AATGATTTACGGATAATGACCACGGACATGATTTACAGCCTTCCGCATATATTCCCACGGGACAGCACATATACGACTTTCCCGCAGGCTTCGAACCAGCCTGCATATATATTCTACAGGCATTAACGTCCAAGTTTTTCCCTCTCCGTCTCAATTCTGACATTTCATTTGTGTGTCAATTCCATCAGCTGATCCCCCAGCCGCGAGAATTTATGGCTTGCCAGGGACTTCCACGCTTCACCGAAAACCCTTTCCGTCAAAATTACACTTTTCCGTGCAGCAAACACTCTGCATTGATGATGAAGACCTTTGTCGCAGAACTCGGGGGGTTATTGATGGGCTTACTCCGGATTTCGTACGGGTCTTCCCGCTAACATAGCCATCCCCGGGCAAATGCAATTGTGGAGCCATTCGTTTGCCGTTTCGACATAAGACCATTATTCGGGATCCCCGTGCTAGGTCTGAGTGATTTTCTATCCATCCGCCCGTCAACGTCTCGCAGAAGAGTCTTGATAAGTAATTTGATGTCAAAGCTCATGGCCAAACTGACTGCTGAAACAATGGCTCGCAATCATTATTGGGTGGTCGGAGTCGCGGTTACTAATAATTCCAATTATCGCTAAATTGGGTGATATATCGGATACATATATTGATGCCTGTTGCTGATGCTGATATCGCCAAGTATCTAAATTAGTTATTGCCTCAAGCTCAAGCTCAAGCTACTGGCTTTTACGAATTCATTAAGTTGAGCTTAAAATCATAACTTTTTTTTTTCTTCAGTTGTTCTCGTGGCGGGGTATCTTGATGAGTGATATTAGCGGGTTGACTCGCAAGTACGACCAATCACAAGAAACTCTCAACGGCACCCTTTTTCTTAGCCTAGCAGGTGGAGCAGCTAGTAGTAGTGAAAAGCTTTGACCTTGCATCATGCAGGACTTAAATGTAGTGTGAGGTTTTCGGTGGATGTCTGGAGTATAGTAACATTGACAATGATCTGCACAGGGATTCTCTTCTCTTTGCAGCCGAACCAAAATTGGAGTGACTTTGAACAATTGGGATTTAGGTCACAACTCTGGCTGACGATCAAGCGGAAATTTGCCAAAAAAGATACAGGTCATGTGGAAAGTATTTTTTATGCTGCAGAATCCAAAGCTGCCGAGTGGGTGACACCCGAGATTCACCAGTTTAGAAAAACGGTATTTGAAGGATTGTTAATTTGATAACATTTTAAAACTTCAAACATACATACACACACAGACACACACAATCACATCCCACGCTTCAATGGCGAGCTACGAGATTCAAATCCATACTGACTGATGCATTACATGGCCTCATGAATCCACCAATTGGCCTTCAGTCAGTCAGTGCAGCAAGCGCATCAAACTTTTTCCGTCCCGAATATCCGCCCCCCAAATTACCAACCGAAGAAGCTAGAAAACCGAACAAGCGAAGAGGATTCCGAATAATACCGATATTGCTCCGCGCGTAGACTGAGGAGCTCTACGGGCCTCGAAATCCTGGGGAAATTGGCTCATTCGGTAACGAATACCGATTCTCGAGAATATCTGCAACAAGGATAATGAAGGTTGGATCTTTTTTGGGCCCTAACGATGTAGCCTGAGGCTAAGCTACTCGAGTGTAAAAGCTTAATAGCCTAAACTTTGGTCTCGCTTTCGAGGTTATATTAAGAAATTCTATATCGATAACCGATAAGAGAACTTCATCTACATACCATAAAACTGATGCTGTGGCACAGTAACGGGTGCCAGGAAGTGCAAGCCGGCCAATTAATTTAGTTTCCAAGGGTCCTGATTGTCTCGTACCCAGACCTGGAAGGGTCCTGACCAATTGTGCAATTCTCTTTGAATTCGAAAAATTTTCCTCCTACCCCAACTTCAAAGGGCAAACGAATCGACCCGTGTGCCCAGCAATCTGCAACTCCAAGCAGTGAGGTACGTGTTCATGTGGGGGGTTCTCCGTCGGCCAGGAACGCTTGTCCGAGGGAAAAAAAATGCTATCACTTCGATATTTGAGTTTGCAAAGCAGCTTAGACGAGTGCATGTAGTCTTTTTGTCTTAATCACCATGCACCGCGCATTGCATATATTCCTGTCCGGACGAAAGCAGTTTGCAATACGTTTCTATGACCTATCGGAGCTTGGCCGACACAGGAGCAGTGCATTGCTTAATAATTAAAATATCTTGTTAAACGGCCAAGTGGTTGTCTGATGCATGGTGCTGAAACTCATCGCAGTTTGTCCTACGTGAGATTACAGAACTTTGAGGTCTAGGCACGAGACAAAAGTTACACCAAATTTGGAACGAGAAAAGAATATTTCTCTGGAATGCATATGTTTTTAGGGACTTGGAACTCCACTTGACCGCGAATCGGACGTCTTAAGCACCATTCTCATCGGCTATAGCCTACATACACCTACTCAACGGCAATAACATTCCTTCATGATAGGTGCTATGCGGGTGGGGGCGAAATAATTATACCCAATTACATGTGAAAGTACTCACATATGCAACACCGTATAAACGACCAATCGCCTGATCTTTCTGAATGTAAGTTTCAGATAGATCAAATTTCAATATTTTCGGAAGCCTGGTGATGCAAGCCCGCAGAACCAATTGAAGCCAGACAGGTTATTTGGGATGTTTGGGACAAAAAAAAGACTCCGAGCTACCACCGTGCGCCATATTTTTTTCTGAATCAATTCAAACTTTCTTCAGTGCGCATCATGCATCAATGTGGCGGGATGCATCGGGTCAGGATGTCAAATTGAGCTCCGAGAGAGCTCCGAGCCATGAACTTAATGCTGCGATCAGACCTCACTGGCATCTGACCGTTGTGGCTCAAGGGCGAACGATGGCAATGTTACGTATCCCCAGTATATTTCCCTCAGGAAACCTGAATCACACATATCATGGTATAAATTTCTTGGAGGCTGTTATTCCCACGGTAACCGCGCTGCACGTACGGCTAAACATTTCCGGGGTAGATAATTAAGTGCATGTATGTATAAAGATAACAGCTAACTATGAGGCTCGCAGTGTAGTCTGCGGTTCCTGCATTACAAATCCTCGAGGATTCGATAGCCTGTATTGTGAAATACCCGAATCTACGCGGCCGATGCAACCCAGTGTTAATTAACTCCACTGGCTAAATGTCGATACATCTGAGCCGCACCAGGTACATTGCCTTATGTATATTCTTGTATCAATCATAAGGTCTTCAAGGATGGCAAACCTTGCCAGCTCGCAATTAACTACCCAAGTATTGCACTGCCACATTCCTTTAGGCTTCAGTCCCTCCGTAGGCCCCCTCTAATGCGTCGGTGCCTGGATTTTCCCACAAAATAACTCAGATAGATAGATCATGCCATGGGCCCATATTGATATTGTCATCACTTCTGTTTGCTTACCAGTATGGTCAGGGTCTCGACGATTTGTTTCTCTTAGTCATACTGACAATTCATATGGGGGTAGTTATCGCTCGTATTTACTAACATCGTACCGTGGTATATAGCGGGAGCGATGCAGGGATGTAAACGAATCTTGTCAAGGCCGGAGACTTAATGAAGGGATAGTCCATTTACTGTCCTACCCCGAATATCTTAAGATCTTGCAGCTACGGTTCTAGAGTGATGTTTTAATGCACTCTCCGACCCCGCTTTCGAATTTATGAACTTAGCTCACGGGTGCACGATAATACTTAGGCAGGGAACTCGGGATTCACAATATTAAAATGACACATTAATAGACGCCTATAAAAATACTTCCGAATTCAGATGTAAATTGTGACCAAGCTGAAACATTTGTGACATTGATAGAATCTCACAGCGATATGCCGACGGCATGCCGGTGAGCTAGGAAGTATTCTCGGCTAGAAAATTCCGAAACGGCTATATAGTGAAGTTTTATTTCTATATTCCCGGAAACTAGCCCTGCCATTTTTCATCTTTGTTCGTATGAAGGATGATATATCGCTATACCCTCTAAATCCTCATTGTTGTAGTTTATACATACCTGTGGGCCCGGTTAAATCCGCTTAAATTCGTCCGATGTCTCTAGTATACCAGCTATAGCTAAGTACGTATACCATGTGGATCTTTCATATATGAAATAGAGGAGCGTAAAGTGGCTATTTGAACTTGTGATCCAAATCTAATTAGCCAGCTCCGATTTCCTCAATAATAATAAGTCCCAGATTTCGAACAGTTTCGAAATTTCAGTTTCTACAATAACTGCTGGAAGATAGGTAATCAGCGACTAGATAGCCGTAAATTCCTATATTCACAACTGTAATATACCAGCAGATGTTATTTAGCACTGAGCTAGACTTTGTCAAATTACCCTGCTGGTAAGAAAGGAGGAGGAGGAAGATCGTTGTAAAAACTTAGCGTCATATAGATGTAGCCCGCTGTGGATGTTGGATTGTGGTTGCAGCTGTTCCCCACAATGTTTCAAATCTGTTCATAAAATTGAAAATGGAAAGGGCCTAGTGATTCGAACCCTCGATTTATGACAATTCAACCTCGATTGACTTCTAAACAATTAGTATATCAATTTTAAATAGTTAGGACATCTGGTTCTGTTCGTTTTTTCATTTGAAAATAGTTTTCCGAGAGCCCCCCAGGAGGCTACTGGCGCAGCTAGCCAAATGTCTTGAACACAAGGTTCAGGAACGCGAGCAAAAATGTGCAAGGATGTTGATAGAAGACGTCAGACCCACTTAGTCAGCTCAACGGGAGCTAACGACGTGAAGTAAGGGGCATTTCTGAGCCCGAAGAAACAAATTTTAGTACGCGACCGTAAACAATTAGCTAGCTCTGAACTTCCGCGTCCTGAGGTCAATCATCAATATCTACAATTTGCCAGAAAAAAAAAAATCTTCCCCCAAGTTTTCAAACTCTTTTTGGATCAATCCTGCAACGTTTGCACGGCTTTTTGTGGACGTCGTAAGTCGGACCCTCGTATCAATTTTGTGTTACAATGCCGCCGAAACGCACCGCATCTGCAAGCTCGCATGCCGCATCCAAAAGGCCGCGCCCGAATGCAGATGCAGAAGGTAGCAATAGCAACAATGAATAATCCCCTGCACCCCCACGAAGCAAGCGCTGGGCAAAGGTTTCTGGATCAGGAAACCTCGATGATGACTATAAACTCGCCACTCGGAGCCCAGCTAAGGCATACAAATACATTTCTGCCAAGCTCCGTTCAGCGGAGAAGATGATGAAGATGAGGACGAGGAGGACGAGGAAGATGAAGATGAAGATGAAGATGAAGATGAGGGAAATGGCAACAGCAACCCTTCTCGAAGACGATGTGACGGCGGCAGAACGTGTATCTGCAACAAGCCAGTGGAAGAGCATCCGGACCATCCCTGGAAGATCACATTTGCTGCAAAACGCAAGTTCTTTAACCAACGTTCCCATTGTAGCCTACGTGATCCCGATTGCTTTGGAATGCACACGTACAATGATCACGCTGGATTTGGGGTTCTAGAGGCCATCGAAAACCTCATCCTTGACTTCGAAGAGGCAAAGGATAATGTAGACGAAAAATGGGTCATTTGTGAAACACTGGGATATTTCATTCACACAGATCATACGGCCACAATGTTTGGGTATGTTATATAACTTTGCCTGATTGAATTTTCTCCTTCGGGTGTGTTTCCCAATTACTAACTGTTCATCTAGGATTAACGACGGCGAAAGGGTTAGAGAATTGTGTTTGATGCTTGTGCGCCTATTCATGACAACGCTTGCTCTATTGGAGCGCGATAACCTCCTTGGACCGGATAGCAGGATCAAGAATCTCGGCACCATTATGGCGCTATGGATGTTCGCCAAGACGGTATTCAACGACCAGGGCTGCGTGGAGGCGCACAATGAGGAACCCGAGGAGTCATTGGGCCCAAAGAAAGACAAGAAGAAATGGATGAATTCCTCGTTCGATAGCCTGATTTTTGTATATGCAAAGAAATATAACATCACACTTTCGGGACCCAGAATAATCGATAGTCTTATCGAAGATTGCGAACAAGATATGGCAACAGAAGACGTTGATCTTCCACTTCCGGAGTCCAACAATCTGCCGAAATCCGATCCTTTTAACTTTGTATCGGGTTTGAAAAAATACAAATCTGATTGCAGCCCCCGAAAGATTGGTGGGGACAAATTAGATATCACCACATTCAAGAGCACCGAACGAAAGGGTGCTGCTTTTGATGGGAGGGATCCGTTGGGAAGGAGTGAGATCACCAGTTTGAAGGAAGGTCTGGTGCTTATGGTAGGGTGAGGAGGGATATTTCTGCCTTATATTACCGCCATGACTAAGACACCTTATATTGTTTCAATGTGTGCTTCAATAGATTCATAGAGCTCGAGGTTTAGATATAATTAGCAATAGCCACATCCTCCTAGATACCTAAATATATATAACGCGTATTCTAGACATCTAGAAGCTCCTAAGGAGATATCTTAAGCTCTAATTAATCAAGAATGAATAATTTTAGTGATCAATTTTCCAGTATTTTCACTACATATACGCGATATTTAATTAGCAACTAAGTCGATTGACCGCTCGAAATCGGGTAGCGATATAAAGTACTCACCCCTTGAACAACTTCAACATTCCTTGAGGAACATCTTCCATCCTTGCATCCCAGATTTCTTTAATCAAGTGGATCTTCCCCTCCATAAGCCAAGGTACCAAATCCGCCAGTGCTTTCGGGAGCTGGTCTGCAAATTGTATCACGATAAACCCTTCAATCCTAACCTTATGGCAGTACTGCACCAGATATATATCATATCAGTATTCACTTCACCAATTTTTTTCCCATTATGCAAATCTAAAGTGCATATGATTACGGATAACTCACCACCTGTGACCAAGCCTCTCTCGATATTCCCGCCGAAGCCTTCCCACCCTTCATATCATCATACATACTAATAGCACCACATGAAACTATCCGTCCGTACTCCTTCATCCTTAAAAGCGCCATATCCAAAATCTCTCCTCCCACGTTATCGAAATAGACATCGATATCATCTTTCGTAGCTTCCTCGAAGTCTTGTTTAAAAGTTGGCGAGCGGTAGTTTAATGCATAATCGCATCCGCAGGATTTTTTCAGCAGTTCGCATTTTGCATCAGAACCGGCGATCCCTACTACGTTTTTGATACCAAGGACGTTCTTTGCGATTTGACAGACTACTGAGCCTGTTGCACCGGCGGCTACGGAGACGACGACGGTGCTGTCTTTTGAGGTGGCGGCGCCGACGGTGAGGAGGCCGAAGTAAGCGGTTATTCCCTGTTATATAAATATAATGTATTAGAATATATTCCCGGACCCCATAATATAATTAATTTTATAATTATATCAATCATTCTGCTTCTCTTATAAAAATTGCAACCAGTTTGGAAGCCTTACCGTTATTCCCAAAGTTAGAAAATCAGTTGGATCACCCATTATTTTCGTCAGAGTAGCCCCGGGATCAATCGTTAAGTCGATAGGCGTCAATGTACAATAGTCAGCCCAGAACGCTCTAGCAAGTACAAAATCTCCGTTCTCGTAGCCCGTTCTTCTCGACTCGATGACTTCATAAATCCCATAGGCCTCCATGAGATCCCCTTTTTCGATTGGCTATGGTAAAGTATCACGATTTATATTAGTTAACTTAATCGCGAACTTGTGTCCATACATTTTGGCAATTTGGAAACTATATTAAAGATTGTTTTTAGAAAAGCTGCTCACCGCTCTATAAAGCCTCTCCTTGACACTATCCTTATTGACCCATATCCTCTGTGTAGGGTCATTAGAAAAGAAATGGGCTTTGAGAAAGAGATCTCCTTCTTTGAGGTCATCTGTTGATAACTCCTTCGTGACCAATTCGAAAGTTTCCTCGACGTTTATATTGTCTCCTGACCGTTCCTTGACGAACCATTGCTTTGCAGAGTATTTAGTCATACCTCTCAATCGATATCAATTTTTTTTCCTAAAAAAAAAAGGGGAAGGAAAAAAGAGGCAAAATCAAATGCACAAAAGTTATAGAGTAATCTCAAGGTCTTAGGGTGTCTAGAGAACCGCGGAACGTAGGTATACGTACGTACTTATATAGCCGAAATATATACCTCAAGTAAGCCTCAACAAACTCGTATACACGTACTCGTATACGTACCCGCGCCCAAAACAAGAAGGGTCACCGAGACCACCCCAAAAAGTAGCCATGCGCGAGCTACGTCCAGAGTCCGTATTATTGTCCATGGATCCAAGACGCATTTCCTTTTTTCCCCCCTCTCGCCTTATTACTAATGTAAGTTATTCCGAAAATCCTCCGTTTCTTACCCACATTTATAATTATGATATACACTTTACAACCCAAATATTAATATTACATGCAGCGCATGTAGAATCCTAAAGCGTATTTGGTGAAGGATCTGTACATGCATCTGGGAATAAACGAACGTCATTCCTATCAGTTTCGTTGTGTGGAGGGTATGTTCTTCGGTAACAGCGCTTGGCATTCTTGAAGATGTTACATGTTACGAGTTTGACCTCTCCATAGTAATAGCTGATGTGATTATAACAAAGCAACTATACCATTGAACCTATATATATTGCGATCGAACTCGGAATTTTCTGGAATATAGGCGGTGTTCTGGCTTGGTTAGTTAAATATATATATATTGATACCAATATATACGTACTATGTATACCTAGCCCTTGACATGCACCTATACCAACTATACCCGATAGACTCCACAATTTTGTGGACTGTATCCCCAAAAAGGCTCTATTTTAGATTTAAGGTTCGATAATCGACCGTAAGCTAGCCGAAATGTTTCAAGTCAGCCTTAGGTCGAGAATGCTAGGTGGGGCAAAGGATAAGATAATGTCTATATAATCAAGCTATGGTACTAACTCTAATCGAGTTTGTGAATCCTATTTCAGAAATGGCATTGAGATCGCGACCTCATTTCCTGCATATGAACCACTAGCACTAATGTATGTACATCTACTTCAGCCCGGTTGCATTGACCAATTTGTCTTAATTACCTATCAAATTGAACCAATTCAGTCCGAATCTGTGTGCATGTGTTACCTAGATCTGCAGAATGATTCCTTGAATAATAAGCTCTGTAGTACATGCACTTAAACTTAGGATTCCCAGCTAGTTGATCGATCGTATTTTGCGATATATATTTTCAAGACCGTCATTCTCTGTCTATAGACGTCTAGACCCACCCGTCTTGGATTTGGATCAAAGATAGTCTTTAAATTCAGATAGAATAAACCTGAAAACCAAAAATTGATACACCCGGAATCAAGTAATGTATATCAATACCTGGATCCGGAGTATTTAACCGCAAAGGTCCCAGTCCGAATGTCTAAAGCTTCAAGATCGGCTTCGACTCTTTGGAAGTGACGTTATTTTGCATTGGTATACTTAGATATACATGCGTATGATAGGTTACACTAACCATCTACTGATTAAGACTTACCCATTATTATATTTTATATACGTTACGACAGGTATTTACCTAAATAACTAGGTACTCTTAAGTACCTAGCTAGGCCATATATAGGTAAGTACATACCACATAGCTAAAATATCCCCCAAATTTAAATCAATCATACAATTAAGCCAGAAACCAAAAAAAAAACAGCCAATCATAACGCCAGGAATCACATCCAAGACTCTTTAAATTCATATACAAGCCAAATTTATAGCCCCAACCTTCAGTACCTCGTATACGTACGTACCTTTTACCCAAGCGAATACCATCAAAACGACCTGCATGCCCAACTACTTAAGTACCTTAAATTATAAGTAAAATAAACAAAAAGCAAGGATCATCACGCATCGATTGTTCGTCAGGATCCTGCCTGGATCATCCCTGTAATTCAACCTCCCATCTTAAAAAAAAACGGTTTAAAAAAGCCACACTTTAAGTAAGCACTTGTTCTCTACCACTACGTTGCATTTTGCTTTCTCACAACACATATAAGCTACCCAGTCTCGTAACCAAACTGTGTGATAAGCTACCTGGAAGAGGTTAATCTCTAAATTTCGTTCTATCGGACTATACCGGAAAGATGTTTTTGCTTCCAAAAAAAATGTCTTGTGGTGTTTTCCTGGAAGGTCTTGTATATAATAAAAATCTTGACATTAGGAAAACAAAAAAACAAGAAAGTATTGGTATAAAATTAGTTATTGCGCCATTTTAATAACCATTAGTAAAGAGTTCGTTAAAGGGAGGGGGAGGAGCTTCTTAGTATAATACACTAGCTATTTGATGCACATTATGGGATTGGCTGCGGTAGGTGGAATAGAGTAAGTTCTTAGGGCGGGTTATCAAGATTTGTCAAGGGGTGGTGTAGGTCAAGGGCTGCCACCTTAAAAGCAATGCATCTACTCCAAAAAAAATTGAAAGGATTCCCTTTAAATAAAAAAAAAAGACACGTAGGAAACCTGAAGAGCGGGGGTACGAGGTACCTGTACGATATAAGCTGTACATGGAAGGGTACTCCGGGCGACAAACGAAAACGTCAAAATACTAACAGAAGAGGGAAAATTAGACGGGGAATAACAAGCCGAGGAATCGCCTTTGACAAACAACTCCCTTTGAAAAAAAAAAAAAGCAAAATAAAGGAAGGGCCGATGAGACGAAACCGTCAAATAACAACATGCTATGTTCCAAGCTGTGAAAGAGTATGGGGTGTTTTGGAGAGTAGTTGACAGAGAAAGCTGATTGCCAAGCCTCGTGGCAATAAGGTCTTAGAAAACACCGGGGAGGAGGGTAAATAAGCGACTAAGGGAGAAAGAGCGCCGGGTCGATTTGACTCATGTCCAGTGGTGGCGACGGCGTGGGCGTCATGCTCTTATTTTGCGGCTTTGGGGACTGGGAGCCACTGGTGTCGCTCGTGTCGCTGATCGTGCTATCAGACCCTCCTCTTCTAGTTAAGAGGGCCAATAACGAAATTGAACCAAAAAAGAGCCTTTTCAATGTATTCCTTATTCTGACCGTTGGTAACCACCATATCGGAAATGAAGTCGAGGTAATTATCCTTTCCAGGAGTTGCTCGGAATTCGTATATGCAACGTCTCTTGGATTCTGGAGGAGGGATTGATAGGGAAGTAGGATGGTGACCTGGGTGTTGGACCCACAACCCGTGGGGGGCTAGAAGAAAATTCTGGTGGGGAATAATCTCAAAGCGAATATTGGTTTGTCCCGGGTTCAAGGGAATGATTGAACCGCATCTCCACCTATCAAGTTCAGGACGAATAGTGATAGTCCGTGATTCGTTATATTCGCCAGGCTGTATGGAAACCTCTATGGCTCGAATTGGGGAATCTTGTTTTGCTAAATACATTTATGAGCATGAACGTTTACCAAGACATATGATCTAGTTTGTACTTACTAGTTCCGGGGCGGCGTAGAATCGAGTGATTGGTCGCTTCTGCCGGCTGGAGTATCAACCCATTCTTAATTGAGTGCGAGTTTAATCTGAAATCCGCATACTGAGGGAGTTTTTGATCAGGCTTCACGATTGGAATTTGAGGAGCAGAGGGTTGTGGTTGAGGTGTGACTATTGCTGGAGACAGAGACTTTTCTGATACGATTTTCGAAGGGCTAGCAGCGACCGGATGGGGAGACCGGGAGGTCTGGAATGGATTTCGACCAAGGGATTCTGGGCCTGGCGGCGGCGACTGGGCGGTACTAAAAGCAGCGGGCGTGGAGGCTGCTGTCGTTTGCAGGGAATTGGTAGCGGAGACGGAGGAGGGGCTACCCGCCTTTTTAGGACCGTTCATCTTCAATGTTATACGGGGCGGTTTGGATTCAGCGTCCTCAGGCTTCATCTGGCTTTGCTCTTGACCCCCCTCTGGTGGTAGAGTTCTCGGTGGCTGGTTAAGGTCTTTTCTCTTGCTAGCCATTGTGTTAATAAACCAGGCCTATACTATCGGTTAGAAATTACTTTGGTAATGTGTGCAGCGTTTATATCTGTAGTGATAGGGCATACCTCTAGAATCCTGGCGTCGGCCATGACTTCGCTGGTTGGCTCATTAAACAGTGCGCAGTTAGAAAGCATCAAAAATATATCATTTTCAAAGCAGGATACGATCGCATCCGGAGGGTAGTTCTTATTTTTAAGCTTTCTTTCGATCTCTCTTAGTGAAATTGGGTTCTTAATGATCTGATAGTAGTTCGGATATTCTTTCTTGGGGACAAGTGATCTGAAGAAATCGCCAACAAAGCTCTGACCGCTACGAGGGGGGGTTAGAAGGATACCATAATGTTGTTTGGGTATTTTGGGACCTACCTAGAATCTCTGACTTCGTTCAGGATGCTGTATATGACACCTAATAGCTCGTCCTGTATCTCTTTGTACGGCGGCCCGTTTACCTCCGGAGTAGCACCATCTGCGGTCTTGGAGGGCGTTGCATTGAAGGCACCGATAAGCTCTTCAACAACGACTCGAATCTTTGTTGAGAACTGAGCAATCAAAGAATTGGTTTTGTTGAAGGTGTTGGCATTCGTTTCCATCAACTTGAAGTCTTCCAGGATTTCTTGGACAGACTGGTAGGAATCCGAATCTAACTTGGACTGAAAAATCCAACGCAAAAAAATGTCAACAGAGCATGTCTAAAATATGGCGATTCCAGCGATAGGGAGAACGGAATTGAGGAAGACTTACTTCAATTGTATCCAAGGCAATGGGATTTGTAATGATGGTGTAGTACTCTGGCAAGTCCGCCTGGAAGTCGCGACAACACAAGATGGAGTGGAATTAGCCAATCCATGTTCTTGCGAAGAGATGCCTGGGTGCAGCGACATCCGTGTATCCGCATATGCAGGTACGATAGTGGAAGGGTGTCGCCAAGCTATGGGACGGATAGCTGCAGACGGTGCCCATAGCCGATGGGAAGGGATTGAATGCACTTGGGTTTGGAGCTTCGGCCTGAATTCGAGGCCTTGAAGCTCAAAGCCTCGAGATGTCATGATGGCCGAATATATTGAGGAAGAGCTTACCTTGGATGGGAGCGTCTCAAAGTTGGATGCGATCAGAATGCCCCTGCTAATCCGCCAATGCACGTTAGCCCGGCCCGTCTTATCAATCAAGGAAAGCATTTAATCCCCTCTTCCTGCTAAGTTCATCTCCATTTCAAGCTTCCCAACCTCTAACCTTCCAAGGTCACAACTCGGATTACTACCACCATCACCACCTACTTACTATCTACCTACCAAAAGGCTAGAACGGCCACACGGATATCAAATGGGAAACCGGAGCAAGTAGCAGCAGGAGGAGCAGCGGGAGGATCAGGAGCAGTGGCAGCAGTGATGTCGGGGAAGGGTGACGGTACGATGACAATAATAATAAAAAAAATCATGATGATAAAGGTGATCAAAGGAGGTGAACTCACCGTCGGGATTCTGTTGCTTCCCTGACTACCTTTAGAGCTGCTTTGCCAAAGTCGGCGACGGATTGTGTCTCAGAGAAGTCGAACGAAACAGGCTTTCGATTTGATGAACATCAGCAGGTTAGTTCCCCTTCACCATCAAGACTTCCCCGAGTGTTAGTCGACGGAAACTAGATCGCTTACTGAATTGGTTTGTCGCATTCTTTTAGAAGGGTCATTGGTGTCTTTGGTTGGAGAGCCGGACTGCTCCTTTCGTTTGGTAGTTCTTCTCATTGTTGTTTCGGCTATCTATCGGTCGAGTCGAGAGAGCAGTTGAAGTTCCAAACAGCTACCGAATACGAGTCCGAGCGCGTCTAACGAGAAAAGAAGAAAAAAAGACCGGATTCAATGGATATAAGAAAGGTCGGAAGGGGATGGTTGAAGGCCTGTGGCTCTATCCTCCGAAGTGCGATTTTGTCAGGGATAGAGCCGAGCTGTGACGCGAGAGTGGGATGGTTTTTTGTATCGTTGAGTACAAAGGTCCAGCTATCGGGAAAATGACGACCAGAGAAGGATGCGAAACACTGATGCTGACAGGGGTAGATGGTGGAGGTCGAGGTGATCGGTTGGTGATGGATGGAGTTTGGGGGTGTCGCGACCGATAAGCTGGCGTTGGTGGTGGTTTGTGATGGCGGAAAGTGGGAGAGAAACGCAGAGACGGACGGGGAACGGGGACAGGGCCAGGGGACAGGACAGAAAAAAAATAATAACACCGGGGACACAATACAATGCAAAGACGGGAATAGGTAGTCTCGTCGAGAAAGAAACAAACAGGAGCAGTGAATACTTAAGTATCAGGTATCTATCTATCTATCCATTTTCAGTATGGAAATACCTGTTTCGATATAATTCACTTGATTAAGTATACACCGGTGGTGGTGGTTGTGGCTGACTTTTTGGTGGACGGTCTTAACTGTCGGATTGGAAGCGACACTAAAGTGAGGAATTGCTAACTACGCTTCATGCAAGGTACATTTTTTTGCTCTCCCGCGACAGGGAACAACACAATCATCATAATACTCTATCTATAGTATATAGCAGTCTCGTAACCAGACTTGTGTGAGTATATAGTATATGACAATCTGGTAAAATCTTTTCAAGTAGCAGTGGAAATCCAGCTAGTTTCGAGATACCTATTTTCCATTTTATATTCGTCTACTTTGCAGTCCTGTGGCCATAGCGACTTATCTACTATTTAAGTACTATCTAGTACTTGGTGCTTTGCTTGTATCCTGCCGTTTGTTTACTTTGCTTGTTCTGTTCTTTGACCACCAAAATCTCTGTCGCTTCAACCCAACTCAACTCAACTCAGATCAACTCAACTCAACTCAAACCCCTCCGGCTGTACCAGACTGCACCGTTCCTTACAACCTTTACACTCCACTCCACCACTACCACCACCACTACTACCACTACCACTCTCCACCACACACACAAACAAAGCTTCCCCACAAAGAGCAAGAGAAAGGGAGAAAGAACAAGAACAAGAACAAGGAAGCTCCAACTCCATTCAAAGAACACCCCTCCCTCCTTTTCTTCCTCTCTGTCTCTCTCTCTCTCTCCTCGACCGCCTCTATCAGCTTCTGAATCTCCTGGGATCCTTCAACGTACATCTCTTTCCTTTCATAAGCTTCTCTGACTCACCTGCTCGTCTGTTCGTCAAAACAGCACTAGCTGAAATCGGTCCTATCCATCCTATCGAAGCTTAAATCGCAAAAAATCTGCTTCTACTATATACATAAATACATACGTACATACTTGGCTGCATCCTTCTTATATTGCGAGTACTTGATCACCCATTCAACCGCTCCGACAATGTCTCGTCATCACCATCGTCAAGGGGGATCTGGTTCCAGGATGCTCACGGAGTCTGAACGTGCGAGACTCGAAGAGTTCGTTCCCGACATCAACTATTCTGCCAGGTACATCCAATTTTACCTCTCCCTTTTTGTCCCGTCCCCTTATCTTCCTCTGGCAATCTCGAATTTCTAACGAACGGATGGTGCTCGAATAGGTACTCAGACAGCAAATACGAATACCGGTACGTCCTTGTCTACCTTCCCGACCGGCTTCTTCTGCCTACCGTGGTACTGATTATCGCTCTAGTCATGTGATGCTCCCGAAGGCCATGCTCGATATGATTCCTAACGACTACAAGGATAGTAATGGTGTCCTGAAGATTCTGAAGGAAGATGAATGGCGTGGGCTGGGAATCACACAGGTACTTATGCTTTCCTCGCAGGGCTGGTGATCCTCACGGCGCACAGTTAGAGCTGATCGCGGTTACACTCCAATTTAGTCTCTTGGCTGGGAACACTACGAAGTCCATGCACCGGAACCACATATCCTCCTCTTCAAGTGAGTTTTTTTTTTCTCCCTTTATCATTATCTAGGTACCAACCGAGAATTTCATCTAATCTTTTGGCTTCTTCCTCTCTTCCTCTCTTAAAATTAGGCGCCCGAAGAACTACGGCCAACCGGGTCACTGAACTGAATTCTTTTCTATTGTTTTTTTTTTCCCGTTCCATCTGCACCACCCTCACCGTATCGACAGATTCTCGCTTCACATGTCTATCACGGATCCGCCATCGTGGGGAGCTAGTTAGCTGTATAAATTGAGGCTCGGAAGACGAAAGTTATATCCCTGACCCCTGATAGGGAAGATAAAGATTTAGGTACCGGGAACGAATGACGTGTGAAGGAAGGAAGGAAGGAAGAAGGCAAGAAAGATAGGGAGAAGGAAGGAAGCAAGGAAGACAGAGAAAGACGACAACCATTCAGCAGCATATTCCCTCACATTTTCAGGCGTCTCGAGGAGTTTAAACAATATGGATTTTTTTTCTCTTTCTTCTTCTCAATTTTTTTTTTTTTTTTTTTTTGCAAAGGCTCCCAAGTCTATACCGTTGCTTTTGTTTCTCTCTTTCTTTCCCCCCCTCTTCGCTGTCATATTAGCATACTATTATATCAATGCATAGCTGGACTTCTCTTTCTCTTTCTCTTTCCCCTCCTCCTCCTCCTCCTCCTCCTCCTTTCTTCTTTCTTCTATCACTTATCGTCCATCTCTGTCTTGTACAAGCTTGTATTTGCACGGGTGTGTGTGCGTGTGCATGTGCGTGTTTCTCGAATATGTCCCTAGAGATAGAGGTAGATAGAATGTCTCGGTCATGTGAGATTACATAATCCATCGTTGGCGGAAAATGCCGCGGCCGATGAAACGCGCAGATTTCCATATCCGGTTAGACGACTCCTTCCAATTTCCTATTCCGGTAATTTACGGTCGGCTCCAACGCATTTTTGCACAGCGCTCCGACGCTCCGGCCCAAATCTCCCTTCCTTTTCTTCCCCGTCTTGTCTTCTCTATCTCCACCTATCACCACCAACCATCATCACCATCCCTCTCCTCCATCACCGCTTTTCTGGGTACCTTTTGTTCGCCGGTAACGGTCCAGCAAGCGCCCAGCTTGTCAGCTTCCTATTTCTTTCTTGACCGGAAGCCATAGTCTCGTTTATCTCTTCTTATCCTTGCTTTTCTTGAGACTCGTCTGGTCCTGTGTGCTTTCCTCGCGACGCGCTGGGTTTTTTTCTCTCCCACCATCTCGGAACCTCCTCCTCGCTCTTGTCCGATACCCATACCCTCTGGTCGATACGGTCCTTGGACATTCGGGCTTCGACAATCACGGACTTCACATATCTCTCGCCGAAATGACGTCGGCGAAAGATAGTTGGCACCCGGCCGACCAGCGGGAGCAACCTCCACCACCCGGTCACCTCCCGCCCAGCCAGTCTCAGTCTGGCCGACAGTCCCCAAGTGGGATACATCGTTACCAGTATGGCTCATGCTTCATGCTCCACTCATTGATCTTCTTTTCAAGTTGGTTGTTCAACTTACTAATCATTTGGTATTTTTTTTCCACTTGGAATATTGTAGGCCGCCTCCTTCTCAAGGTATGCAGAGACTCCGACACCCCGTGCAAGATGATAATTCCGACGGAGGCTATAAAATCCTTTTCGCCGAACTTCTATGGCTGTCCACTCCGAGTTTTCCGTTCTCTAGAGGCCTTCGGATATTTGTTTGATTGTTGGCTATCTTCGTCGTCGCATTTTCTGATTGTGCTAACGGGCATGCCGCACTAATTACAGGAAATTTCTACCAAGCACCTCCACCCACATCACAAGCTGGACCACAGGCTGCACCACAATCGCAGTTACCACACCTACCAGGTCTCTCGTCGGGACAACCTCCGTACCCTCTCCCGTCGCTACAAGGGGGCCCTCAGGGCCCTCCTCATCCACACATACTTGACCGGCCACACGAAACAAGGCCCCCCCACTCACAGATTCCGCAGCTTGCGAGTCCTCCTATTGGGATAGGGCAGCAACAGCAATCGGGCCCAGGCCATCTATACCCTGCATCACACCCTCCGAATCCTCAACAGCAGCCTCCTGCTCAACCTCAGGATCGTCTGGGACCTATCACACCGGCTAATAATGCCCAACCACTCCCTGCAATAGCTTCACACCCGCTTCAGGCTTTAGCTCAACTCCCTCAGCAAGGTGGACCTCAGCCACCTCAACCTCACCAAGAAGCTGTTGCGACAATAGTCAATGCCCAACCTGCCGGCCTCGTGAATATACCCATTGGTGCACAAGCGTCGATGCCCCCTTCGTACCGTCCGCTTAACGTTAAAGACGCTTTGTCCTACTTGGATCAGGTGAAGGTTCAATTCGCTGAGCACCCCAATGTTTACAACCAGTTCCTGGACATCATGAAAGACTTTAAGAGCCAAGCGTACGTACCAAATTTCTGTCTTGAATATTTTGCCCCAATGCTATTTGGTTAGATTGTCGCTCACATTTATTGCTAAATTGACTCTTTTTAATACCCCCCCTCCCTCTTTTTTTTCTCTTTGCTGAATCATTTACTCCCTTAGTATTGATACCCCGGGTGTTATCGAACGCGTTTCGACCCTTTTCGCCGGAAATCCAAATCTAATCCAGGGGTTCAATACGTTTCTACCCCCGGGATACCGGATTGAGTGCTCTAGCGACCCCTCGGATCCCCATTCGATTCGTGTAACTACGCCCCAAGGGACAACAACCGCAACTTCAGGGTTGCCTCCAAATCTCCACCTTCAGGGGGTAGTCCCCCCTGCTGGACAGGTAAACGGGGGGTGGAGGCAACAGGATGCATGGGGAGAACCGGCTGGCGCTAGGTTCAGGTTCAGCGGAGACGAGCCTGGGCCCTCCGAGAGACCGCCGCCGGGCGAACCAATGCGCGCGGGACAGGTCCAAGGCCGTCCGGGCCATCCCATGGCCAATCAGCCCGCACATCTTCAGCAGCCTCAGCCGCTCCAGGCCAATTCTGGGCAGCCTTCGGGCATAGACACGGTCAACCAGCTTCAAAATGCTGTAGCTGCGGCTAATGGAACCGGTCCTTTGTCTGGGGGCCAAATGAGGCAAGCACCCCCCAATGGCCCGTTGGGGCAGCCGGTGGCGAACGGCCCGCTCACCCCAGGCGCTGATGTAAAGCGTGGCCCTGTGGAATTTAACCATGCTATTAGCTACGTTAACAAAATCAAGGTAAGAGCTATATTCGAGTTTTCTAAGCTATGAAGCCAGAATTACTGAACAAATTCTTCAAATAGACACGGTTTTCGTCGCAACCAGAGATTTATAAAAATTTCCTGGAGATATTGCAGACATACCAACGTGAAAGCAAGCCTATTCAAGAGGTGTATAGTCAAGTGACACAGTTATTTAACGCTGCACCGGATTTGCTGGAAGATTTCAAGCAGTTTTTACCAGAGAGTGCTGCCCAGGCAAGGCAGAAGCCTGATGACCACCCGAGGGAAATGGTAGGTTGCTGTTGGTAGAGTGCATGCTGAGGAGCTTTTTGGAGTCAGAGCTGACATAACTCACCCGATAGAACGGAATGGGTGGCCCTGGTGGACGGGGGCCTCCTCCGCAAGGCCATTTCGCTCCTCCTTTGGCTGCTCCCAAAGACACCGGAAAGAGGAAGCGTCCAGCCCAACCTGTTCTGTCGAATTCTCGTGATTCAGGAATAGCTCCTCTGCCGAATAACCCACTTCACGACTTGAATGTTGGGCCGAGCCCGGGTCCTCGGGGAGCTGCAGCTAATAAGGTAAATCTCCATCTTTTCTCAAGTCGCTCGGCGGCCAACTCCTTTTCCTTTTTGCTTCCTCCTTCCCCCATTTCTCCTACCTCATCACTCTCTCACCCCCGCCACCTCTAATCACCCATCGCAACATAAACGCGTCCACTAACCTACGCCAATATTCGACTCCTAACCATTATTCTCTACCTCTTCTCCATGAAAAAAACATCCTACTGAATATTCTCGGTTGCTCAGCACCCTATACCGAGGTCCTGAGCACCCGAATTTGCCATTGAAGAAGCTAACTAACGTGTTTTTGGATTTACAGCGTCCTAAGATTATGCATAAAGCAGCGGAAGCCCCCGTCTCCCCTACCCTCATCCCTGCACCACCGACACCTCTTCTTCCGGCAGACCCAGTTGGAGCCACAGGTGAAGAGATTGCTTTCTTCGATAGAGTCAGAAAGTACATCGGAAACAAGCAGACTTACAATGAGTTCCTGAAGCTGTTGAACCTTTTCAGCCAAGATCTCATGGACAAGTCGTTGCTTATAGTCACGCTGGAAACGTTCCTAGGTAGCAACCCGGAACTTTTTAACTGGATTAAGCGCTTTCTCGGTATTCAGGATAAGGCCGAGGACAGCGTGCAGAATGCCTTAAAGAAGAGCCAAAAGGTTCGGCTTAACGTTTGCCGTGCTCTAGGTCCTAGTTATCGCCTATTGCCAAAGCTCGTAGGTCCTCCCTTCCTTATATCCCTGTGATCGTGACCAACTTAATCTCTAACTTCACCATAGGAAGCCACAAAGCCATGCAGTGGCCGTGATGATATGTGCCGTGAAGTGTTGAACGATGAATGGGCTTCACACCCAACTTGGGCTAGTGAAGACTCGGGCTTCGTCGGTCACAAGAAGAACCAGTATGAGGAAATGCTCCATCGCGTTGAAGAAGAGAGACACGACTATGATTTCCACATTGAGGCGAACTTGCGAACGATTCAGCTTCTAGAGCCTATTAACCAGAGGATTGCCACGATGACTAATGAGGAGAAGGCAAATTTCCGATTGAGTCCTGGTCTCGGAGGTCAGAGTCGAACTATTTACCAACGCTGTATCAAGAAAGTTTATAGAGACGACGGCCTTGAAACAATCAAACAGCTACACGAACAACCTGCTTACGCCGTGCCTATTATTCTTAGGCGACTAAAACAAAAGGATGAAGAATGGCGTTTTGCGCAGGTAGGCAATCACCATCCTTTTTTTTTTTTTTTTTGATTGCATCCGAGGTTGCTAATGCCCGTACAGCGTGAGTGGAACAGGGTTTGGCGTGAGCAAACGGGGAAGATCTTTTATAAGAGCCTTGACCACCAAGGAAACACCTTCAAGCAAAATGACAAGAGGAACACAACCAACCGGCATTTTAACGCCGAAATCGATGCCCTCTACAAGGTTGCAGATGCTTCAAATACCGACAAATCCTATCATCTGAAGTTTAGTTTTCCAGATCTAGACGTTTTGTTGGACATTTGCCGTCTGTTGTCTACTCAATTAGAAAAAGATGGCGCTTATTCTTACTCCGAGCGCCAAAAGATCTCACAGTTTATCAGGAATTTTATCCCCACATTCTTTGGAATCAACAAGGACGACGTGGAGAGTGCGATAGGTAGCTTCTCGCGAAAGTCTCCAGATGAAGACGTAGATATGGACCACGCCGATTCATCTTCAGGAAGACGCAAGAACAAAGAGTCGAATCTCCTCCAAGATGTCCTCAAGCGATCTCGTGGGGGTAAAACCCACAAAGCAGATGGCACTGGCAGTCGCGGGTCCACCCCTGAACTTTCGAATGAGGATGACCTTATGGAGGTTGACGGCCTTGATTCGGAACCAGTCCCACCGAACGCCCCTGCCACTTGGATAAACCCTACTGGCCCATCTCGTCCCTCCAATGGGATCGAAGCCTTGAATACTGCACCGGGCACAGACGCCCGGGACGTTGTTGTCTCCGAACTAAAAGAGCGAAATGTGTACAACTTATTTGCTAATGGTAGCATTTACTGCTTTATGAGGCTGCTTCAGTCTGTATACCAGCGGCTGTTGGACGTCAAAAGCTGTGAGGAGGTCGCTAAAGTGACGCTGAGTCGTCGAAAAAACAACACGACTGCTCGCAAGCTTGGATTGATCCCTCAGGCACATGACGAATTCTTTACAGTTGCGGATGACGCCAACTATTACCAACAAGTGTTAGAACATGCTGAGAGGCTCATTCTTGGAAATATCGATTCTAATGTATTCGAAGACGGAATGCGCTCAGTTTACATCCAGAAGGGTTGGCAGCTCTACACAATAGACAAACATATTGCCACTCTCAACAAGACAATTCAAACATTTGTCGGTGATGGTGGTAAAGAGAATAGTAACGAGATCCTAAAGCTCTTCGACAGAGATAGAGCTGAAGAGAAGACAAATTTCCAACTCCAAATGTCATATCGACGGGATGTTGAACTCTTCATAGGGCGTGAGGAGCCAACATATCGAATTGAATGGGTAAATTCCCCCGTCCTTTCATATATGCTGACCATTCGACTAACACGTTATTTAGAACACCGAGACAAAGGAGATGGCCATTCAATTGCTCTTCAGAGTTGACCCGACACATACGGCCAAGTTAACAAAAGATGAAAAATGGTCTTACTACGTGGACTCGTACATAATGGCACAGCCCACCGAAGGCGTCGACGTCCCAAAGAAACCACCATTCCTGCCCCGTAATCTTCCCGCACCAGAGGCGATTGACTCCTTTAGCTCGAGAGACTGCGAACTCAGCGGTTCGTATAGCTATAAGAAGCCGATTATCCAAGAAGGGTTGGAGCTGAAGATCTGCGTAAATACGTATAAGTTGTATTTCACGCCTGGTACCACCGATGTTATGATCATGAGTGGAGAATCTAGACAAAGATCTTTGGATGCAGAGAAGAGAGGTACATCGAAGCGAAAACGAGTCTTTGAGTCAGAGTATGTTAATAGCAGGAAAAAACTGAAGGATGCACTGCCAGAAGATGTAGTATTGGGATTTGATGAAAGAGAGGGCTTATGGAAGCCTTAGAGAGGATGGGTGTTTGTTAGTCTTTCTGTGTCGCTAGGTTATCCCACCAGCGAAGTTTGACAACGGCATTCTGTAGTGCTTCAGAACTGAATGTTGTGGCACGTAGAACTTTCTGAATTTATTTCCTAAGCTAAATACTGCCTTGAATAGTAGCATTTAGTTAAAAGTGATAAAGGTCAGTATTGTTCGTTCCAGGGGTTATATGATATACTCTGCTGCTTAGGGAGGTGAGGGGTGTTTTATGCTGTGGTTTATATTCCCATCCCACAAGAGCCTTGTGTTTCTTTTACCCACCATCCCTTTTCGTTTTTTTTTTTTCCTGTCAAAAAATATGGCGCGTGGTTCTCACCGATATTTATGTCTACGAGCGCTTTCGTATTTATCTTGCAGTTTTTCATCTCCTTTCGTTTTGGTATGCTGACCTCACTTTTGATCCTTTTTAATGAATATGAACTAGAATTCGGTCTTTTTTATTCTCTACCTTTTCTTTTCCTTTTCACTCTTTTTCACACTTTACTTTTGTCATTGGTGATTTTTGGTGTGCAATGATTTCATAAGTTTGAAGAGGAAGTGGTGTATCCTACTACTTCATCAAATTAAATAAGAATTGAAGCGTTATGATCATGGTGACTTGTGAGCTATGGGGGTTGTAGAAGGCTGGGGGTTATTGTGAACTTTTAATTTTGGGTATCTCTGAGTATTTAAGAGGTCCCGTTTGCTGGTATATATACCTAGGTACCTAAGTACTTAAGTAAGTAAGTACTATATAAGGATTTGTAGTATCCGGGTGTGAGGCTTGACCTGGCACGGGGCCCGCGTGATTACTGATAGAACGGATGATGAGTGGGGAGAGAAGGGAGGCCTGAGGAATCCCGCAATATATACATATCTAAGTATATAGAGATTAACAGGAGATCTCTAATTATCAATCCCCTTTTGACAACATTTTATACTTGTGCAAGTGATTTTGGAGGATCTACAGTGTAATTGGAGCTGAATGATGTATAGAGAGAACGGATGACGGGCGGTCAGGCAGAAGCTGGAAGAATATCTCGAGGTATAAGGTAGGCGAGATCAATTGGTGGTCTCTGTATCCCCTAGTGAATTTTATGGATAGAGAGTTAAGATAAATACAAGAATTTGGGGAGAAGAAAGGTACTGCATGTCGTGTACCGCAAAACCAAGAATAAGTAGCAAACCAATGAGGCCTCTTTCCCTTTACCCTCATATATATATATGTGTGTGTGTGTATGTATGTATGTATGTATGTATGTATGTATGTATGTATGTATGTATGTATGTATGTATGTATGTATGTATGTATGTATGTAAAGAGACGACCGTCGGCCTGCTATTGACCACAGTTGCAAATTACTTCGTTGGCTTTATTGCAGCATTTTCATATTGAACATCATAACTATATAACCTACGGCTTCTTGTAGTAAAAGGCATCCAGTCCCAGAAGTTTATACAAGAATTTATTCTGGATTGCAATTTGGCAATTGACACCATATGGAGCCTCTGGATCCGGCTTTTGCGGTGCGAAATATTTACCATAGATTTTTTCATATTCCTTGCATGCAAACCTGATCCGATGCTTTCGCTGGATCTCTGGATTTACCGTCAACGAAATAGCTTGCATCCCGACACTTAGCCCACTAATCATAATTTCCCTCAGCTTGACGGTATTCCACGGAATCTAACGACCCTGGTTTCAAGGATTCCAATGTTGCATTACAAATGTGAGAGGCGTCTACGTAGTCATTTAATCCCGTCCTGATATATTTTCTAGATGTCTCTGGGAATGAATTTTCAAGGGTTTGAGTTTTTTCCGTGCAGCCGAAGAGGGCGGGATAGATTGTTTTGCCATCGGGGTTTGCCATCGGGAAGAGGCGTGGGATGATAAGAGAGTTGAAGTAATTGTCTTTATTAATATTGTCGCCGCCAGCAGTACCTCCGGGGGGGCAGTCGTATAGACCAGCTGAACGACTGGGGTCTGGTTGTCTAAACCGAGCATTTGAGGTGTATACAGTATCCAATATATCGTAGTCTTTTGGATGCCTTTTTTTTTTATAGACAAGACATTGTGGTGGCAGTCAGCTTTATTGGTAGGTCTAAAGGAGATAGAAAACCAAAACTAAGAGGTAAAGGTGGGGAGAAAGGTTCACATACACTGGCAAATCTACGATCTCATCTATAACGTTGTATGCGTCGTGAACGTAAGGGTCCTCGTTTTCTGGACAAGGGGCCACCATCACATATCCCATGGCCATCTGCTTTGCATTGTTGGTATCCAATGAACGCATATCAGAGTTAGGAAACCCAAAGAAAGGGAAAATGCATCTTTTAGTTTAATAATTTTGTTTCCATCGGTGTTTAAAATAGGTAAAACTAGGCCCGATCCCTGGGAGTGGATGTTTCCATCGATTGTAGGGTGAGTATACGGGTACTCGGGATACTTTTGACGAGAAGGTACTAGGGCCAATCCACAGTTGGGCATCCCCTCCCCGCGCACACTCTTCGAGTGTGGCATACGTATAGTTAGATCCGGGGGTCCGGGTTCCGATTTATCAGCGAGGCAATGCTTTTTCCCATCTATCACGATAGTAACTTTTGTGCTTTTATATCAGTAATTTTCTATATAAACATAGCTATATAGTATGTATAGCTAGATATTTTTGAAGGGGGTGTTATTTTGGAAAAATTTACTTGGCTCAATACGGGGTTCGCGCCATGGGCTTACGGAATCAATGATCTCAAACTTCCAAGCATCAGAAAAGTCGGTATTATTCGGGTTTGGGAAGTCTTCTTGATTAAAAAATGCCGTGTTATAGTCTTCGATTTTAGGGATAAAATCACGATCCGTTCTTGGCTGTAGCTTGGGACCCGTTATATCTCCAATCGGTCGCAGCTGGACCTTGGAAAAACTGGGTTTCTCGGAAGGTGACGATTTACTCACTGGTATGTTCGGCCATCGACCAGATGCTAAACTAGCCATCGCAAAAGCGGGCAAAACTAAAGTATACGCGAGAAGAAGAAAATGGAGGGAAGAGATAAGACTCGGAGTTATACGGGGCGTCATATCTATAACTTGATCTATCCGATATGCCTTAGTATCGGTCTAGGTGTTCATTAAAGCCAACTAAAAAAAAAAATATTCAAAGAAGAACTTCGATTACTTTTGGGAACGGGAGAGAGGTTTTAGGCTTAGCCATCGTAAAGATTCGGGATGTATCGACTTTTTTATAGGACCGCATTTTTGGAGCAAAGGGAGAGCATGGTGGCGTAAGATCGGATAATATCAATACCAGGTTCTTTCCCCCCAACTAGTTGGTCGGTTGAGAGTGATGGAAGTACTAGGTACGGGTAGTAACTCAAACGTAAGCTGGCAATGCCAACATACATATGTATGTTGGTAGGCCGGCAAATGAAACGAATATTGACGGCGGCTTTGAGGTTTAAGACTCAGCTCCATGAATTTATGCACCATACGTTGTTTATAATACCATCCATTTTCCAAATTGTAAGCTGTGATACGGTTAGCTTACATAGAGTATGGTTTTTACAGCCACAATTGGATATCTAGAAAAGCCAATCTGAAATCTGAAAATATGCAGGTATACCGCGTAACATACAACAACTTTGTTTTGTTGGAAATTCTAAAACGGCAATTGTCGGAATGGGACATTTGTGCACCTGTGCATGCGGTTGCTTTTAGTTAGCAAGCACGGAATCGCTTCGCCATAATGTTGTACCCACTAAAGTGCCTCTTAACTGTTTTCTTCTTCTCGTCTGTACTTATGCAGTTTAGATAAATCAATTTATTCATTCATAGTTGAAGGATACAAGTCGAGTGTTTCGAATTTGAGGGCCTCATGTATATCTATTCTATTCTATTCAATTCTATTCTAGCAGACCCGAAGGATGCATGAGGTGTCACCGATTCGTATATGCGACCCCAGTTGAAAAACTAGATTCTAATATCTCATCTTGGGGACCAAAGGTTGTCAAAGGCAAATAAAAATATTTGACCTAGCAGACGTCTAGACTAGGTTTTCTGTCAACCGTATACTATTTCATCTCTGTCAGATACACTCCGAGTGTATATGACTATAGATGTATATATATGCACATAGGGTCACCTGAAAGCCTTATAGAATAGTATATATTATCTTCCATAACATGATATTCCCCATTTGCAAACAAAAACAAAACCCAGCACCTAAAATTCTGCTCCAGACACAAGACTTAAATTTATATAGACATAAAAAGGGGTCTCCGCAACAGTGATGTAGTCTTTGCGGCAAGGTAATTGTAAGTTCTTATATGCAAATGTACAAGTTGACTTTTTTGGTTTATTTCTTATATTCTGTATACCTATACTGAGGGGTTTCATACACTCAGTAATTCTTATGCATTAAATCCTCGATGGCCAGTGGGTTTGATTTATCCAGAGTAGCTATCTCGTCACACTCAACGAAATTTGGTGGTCTTTCCGGGTCAGGAGGTGGTAAATTCAGCAAGCCCCTGTTTTGAAGTTCAATACACATCTGATTCAAAATCCCATCAAGGCCGGGGTTGACGTGGCATCTTTGAGCTGTTTCCCAGTAAGATTTTGCCTGAAGGAACTCGTCAGAAGCTACCCACAGTTCCTTCGCTCTTTTATTTTTTTGTTGACAAGCTTGCATCTTGTCCACGTATATATTTAATCCGATCTGGTAGACATATGCGAGCGTATATGGGAGTGTGGTTTTTTCGGGGAGCTTCCGACTCACGCAGCCAAATATGGCGGGGTAGAATTGTGTACCATTTAAGGACGCCGGGATCAGATTTGGGAGCATAAGGGAGTTGAGGTACTGTTCGTTGAGTTCTGAAGTCTTTGTACGAGTGTAGTCACGGAGAGTTGAATTTTGATTGGGTTTGTCTAGGGTAGGATCGAGCCTATCTGCGGGACAGCCAAAACTTCCATTTCGAAGATCTGGGGCCAGCTGGTCAAACCGTAGATTCGAAGAATACCGCTGGGTATGATTGCCATACACAAATCTTTTGTTTATCCATTAGTATTAGATATTCGCTTTCCACGTATAGGTCTGATCCAAGTTACATCGTGTCGAGAGTGAGGATCCATTGGTACTTACGGAACACCTACGACTTCAGTTCGCAAACTGTGTATCCCATACCCTTTGGGTGTTTCCCCGTTCCCGCAAGGAGCCAAGGCTACAAAGCCTTTTCCAGTATCCAAATAATTTAGATGAATTACGTCCATATTAATCCATTTACCGGGGAAGCCCCAATAAGGCATGATGCACCGCTTGGTAGCATAGTTTCTTCTCCATTGGGATCGATAAGATGTGAGCCCAGGACCAAAGCCGGGAAGTCGAAGCTCGTTGTTATCGCGAGCCACTCTAGTTGAGAAATAGCCTGGACCTTGCCATAATTGAGCTTTATCGAAGTTTTCTTGATCACTGCACTTTTCCAGTGTGGCGAATGTAACATTAGTCCCCGGAGGTCCCGGGATTGAGCGGTCGGTAAGGCAGTAGTAAGTATCGTTTATCAGCATCTGAACTATTTGAGTAAAAAAAAAAAAAGATTTAGTTTTAACCTATTTTTCTAGATGATTGGGAGAAGTGAAAGAGCAGTTATATATTGGAAGGATTGCTAGTATACTTGGGGCAGCAAATTTAGGGTCCGACTGTGGCACCTCAAGATCGATCTTCCAGGAATCGGTAAAGTTCGTATTCCATGACTTCGGGAAGTCAGCAATTGACAAGTTTGATATCGGATCGTTGATTGGTAAGAAAAAACCAAAGGCCGGGCCAAAAAATATAGAAAGAATGAGAAGAATGGGGTTTAAGGCTGCAAGGCGAGCCATAGTGCTGCATAAATCGTATGATCAAAATATAATCATAGAAAATTGTAGCCAGATCCAAAAATGAGGAGCACTAGACAGCTCTTAAGCTAAATTGACTATAGGATTTCGAGAAGACGGTGGTAGCGCGAAAGTATAAAAATATCAGTGAAATATGAAGAAAAGACAGTGTTTATGCTGGCCTAGGATTTGGCATTTGAGGAGAACAAAAGTTAGAGATTGAATAGGCCTATGCCCATTCAAATTGATTCTTCGGAGTCGAACTTATATGGCTGTCACACGCATTATATGATCACAGACTAGCACAAAACAAATTAATCTCAGTACCTTGTCTCGTACCTAGACCTGGAAGCTCAGTACCGTTAACCCGTTAATCGTATAACATGTTGTGTGTTTAAATTGGTCTACGGGCCGCAATGCGGTTCTGAAACTATTTCTTTGTTCTCGAACGGAGCAAGGCCAAAAGAAGACGAGCTTAAGGATAACCTAGCTATAGGAGTAGACACATGGCCTCATAACGCACCCTGTTAGGCCTTGGAATTCTCTTCTTTTCTTTTGAATATACTATTTTACATTGAGTTGATACCACTTGTACAATTTTTCTCCGGCGCTGATGACAGATCACAACGTTGACGTTGGAATATATGTATGGTAAATTTATAGCAGGGTTTCAATTGTGGGATGTTGGAAACTTTGAAACGGCAATAAGGCCTACAAGGGTCTTTCCTCGATCTTCGGCTCGAATTCACTTTCCCCACACGGCCACAGCCCATGCTCGCTATTCAATTGCAAACGTCACATGGCTTATATATATATAGACATACCGTAGTAAATACTTTACACCTTACCTAGGTACTATGGCTCATGGTACTAGGTCATTTATATGATCGATTAAACTTCACGTAGGGCAAGGCGAGCTAGGCTGTTGGATACTGCGGCCATGTTCGAAAGGCTGATGTTTAATTCCATGCCTGTTTAGTTGGCTGCGAGTAATAGTCTCACCCTTGCGGCATAGATTAACAGTATAAATTATTTTTATCTCTTCACTACTTTTTAGCATAACCCTAAGAACATTGCTGTACATCAGATATCGTTCTAAGCCGAGCGGTTATCTGGTAAACCAACTACAGATGCTAGTATACCGTGAAAATAGTAGCCTAGGACCCGTTCTGGCTTTTTTCCATATTCGATCACAAGGGATCTTATACAAACTAGATCGACTGGTATAAAAATAAAAGAGGTTATCGATAGCGATACTATTTTCCTATGATAATAGTCAATCATGATTGTCGATACAAACTAGCACTCGTCTTGCGAAATCGAACAGAAATCTTAGTTCATGGGCAGGTATTTCAAGATAGATGGCAGAAAACAGAAATGGAATATAAAAAGGCGTCGAAAATACATGTATATTATGTACATTCATTTATGATATAAATCCAAGAACCGGCACACACCCGGATACCCATCCTCCTGGAGTTTCGCATAACCCCCGGCTATATATTCCACTATCCCAATCTATTAAACCACCCAATCTGCGTAACAACTACACTCCGTTACATCGGGTACTGACCCCTCATAATACATCTTGGTAGCTGACCATAAACTCTCAATTTCATTTTTAGGATCCAAATAGGGCTGACAGACTTTAAACAAGTCCCTAAATACGCCAATACTATAGCAATAAGGCCAATGTTTATAATACTCCACATTTTTGTTCCACTCATCTCTCTTTTCCTCGTTACATTTCCGAATCTCCGTGACTTTTTCACCGTACTTGTAGAGAGCAGATTTTATCGGTGACTCTTTGAACGATGGGAATGATTTGTTAGTGTTGTTTGCACAGCCGAAGAGTGCCGGGTGGAATGATGTATTATTGATGTTCAATTCGATTAAGTGCGGGATTATTAATGTCCTTGTGCGATATTCTGCTTCCGACGAGTCGAGTGAATCCTCTGTTCTATTTTTCTGTAGTAGCTTTGGACAGTTCCATGTTCTCCTAGAGAGGGTTGGGTTATCGAAATATAACACCTCTTTTATTTCAGGGTAGGACCAGGTAGGATTTGCGTCCGCTCCATGGAAAGTATATCTATTTCAAACTACAACGGGTCAGTGTCAATATAACTTAAAAATTTAGATATCTATAAAGAAAATTTGTTTATGGGGTGTTCAACTTACCCGGATCCCACAAGTGCATTCCGTACATCAAAAATCACACTTGACTGTTGACCCTTCCGCGGACAGTATTCCGACAAGTATACAAATCCAAAATAGTCATCCATAGCCCCGAGACTTTTAATATCAGGTATTTGAACCTCTGAACCCGGATAGCTAGAGTCCCCGTGAAGACACCTCCCCGTCATCTCATTCCTGAGTCCTGGGATTCCGTAATGGGTCACATTAACGGCATAGTAAGGGAAAAATGGGTCCTGATTGTTGTTATCACGCTTCGGGGCCTGGGTGATCAGTTGTCCTCCTGCAGTACCTGGCCAGAGCGTCCATTTTTGCCCCGGCTTTCCCCCTTCGAAGTCGCATTCCTCTAAGGTGGCAAAGTTTTGGATACTTTGGTTTGTCATAGGTTGGATTCTATCTCCGGGATCGGTGAGGCAGTATGTGATATTATTTATTATGAGGGTTACTATGAATTTTGTTAACCTTTGGTGAACCGATGCTTTATATGTATATATTCGAGGATGTATTATAATTTTTGACATAGGTTGGTACAATGATAAACTCAAGATACTAAGAACTTTAAGGAATTTTTGAGTAGGAATACTTACTCCAGCTGGAGCCTACGAGCAAATTTTCGAGTGCAAGCCTCCTAGAATCGAGGCTTACTTGTGAGGTGTTAACACCCGTGGGTATGTGAGATTGGAAAATATCGTAAAACCCAGGGTCTTCTGTGTCTAGTGCTGATAAAGTGGAAAATAGAAAGAAGAGGAAGACTATAATAACGCTTTTACTAGATTTAAAGGTAGACATAGCGGGTGTTCTAGTGCGACCAGCGCTATAAATCCGTGGTTTTCATTCAGGTGATAGAAGGTTTGCAGGAGATATATGCAAGAGAATCGGGGTTTTTTTTTTTGAAAATAAGAAACTAGTGAACGATAGCTACGGGTTGAATTCTTCAGATCAGTCGTTTAACACAATATATAGCCACCAATCTTTTTTCTTCCTTTAAGGCTTTCCTGCCAGCTATGATGGATGTGAAAACCTCATTGAATACTACTCAATAACCCGAACACTACCCAATAACCCGAACACCACCCTTATCGATTTTCCTGTGCCCCTTTCAAACAGGCGTTGGAGTAATAGATTCATGGGCATAAATATCCTCATATCCAGTGCATGAGAGTTGAATACTATCAAAAAATGTCGAATTCGCGAGGTTATACTTTGAAACGGGAAGTCACAAGGCTGGCATGGAGTTAGTTATTCGAACATGTTGGCTTTGGTAGGGTATGATTTCGTTGGAATTACCTATCAACATGCAGTTTCAAAAAGCATCCAACAAGGCCCCAGGAAGAAATTTAAGCGGCGCTGACAAGCCAACGTTTTATCGATTGGCTGCTGTTGGATCCATGCGTGGGGCGCTTATACTGGTCATAAGCAAACGTAGTATCTATCTAATTTGATTAATCAAATCTCATAGCTCTTGAAATAATTAAATTTAACAGAGGTGTTATAGAGCATTATTTTTAGTGTTTAAAAAAAAACATATTTAAACTTACTCTTAGGGCGATATATATCTAAACATGGACTCCCAAATAGCATAGACCACAGCTTGAAACCATCCTTAAATTCCAAATCGAAATTTGAAACGAGATGGATTTACTCGTGCCGCGAATGCAAAAAAGCGGAGAGCCCGACGAATTAAATTATGGTGTTGAATATGTTGGATATTTAGCCAAACCTCAAGATCATTGCTGTGGCTGTGCTGTACTGTGCTACACACGCACACAAGCCTTAACCGAAAGCCCGAATGCAATCATCACGTGATCAGTATAAAATTCTCAAAAGCTTCCTCGAAACCCCAACCACACGACGCCTCACAACTAGCTGCACCAATCGTTCGCCAACCTCACGACGGGCCGGGACCAGCCACACCTCCCTCCGAATCCTCCAACCCTTATACTACTACAATGCATCACAGACATCTACGGTAGCCTCTTCAATTTCAGTACCTTGAACGATTTACCTTCATTCATCCGGACCGAAGAACTCCAACAAAAAAACACACAGATACACTACATACTACGACGACCTTCAAACTTAAAGGAAGAAAGAAAGAAGAAGGATGTCGGCCAAGAACTTCCGTCTCCCACCACTCCCACGCTTCCGTGTGAAGTCAGCAAATAAACAACAGGTCCACCCGTGTAACCTCGTCATGTCCAGTGTTCTAGGATGTTGGGCATCTCAAGGTCACGCTACCAAGGGCTGTGAAGCGTTTGAACAGGCGTTGAGGACTTGTATGGATACAAATGTTAGTATAAAAAAAAAGAACCATATACCCCCTCGATTGATTATCTCCATAAGAAGAAGGGTGGTCTGGCCACTCTTCTTCTTCTTCTTCTTCTTTTTCTTCTTTTTTTCATTTAAGCTTTTTGGGGAAAGAATCTAGAATACTAACGATCTCCTCCCATTCCCTTTTCTACGGAGTATAGAAACGAGTTAAAACACAAAAGAGCACACTTAACTACCATATGGCGAGGTTATACCCGAAAATCGTGGGTCCGCAGAAACCGCATGTCTAGCATCTACATACCGGTTTCGAAATCGAAAGGGCTCGGTTAGCTCTTTTATATTATTATTAAGCCATTTATGGCCGGCCCGGTGGTCGTTTAGTAGAGGGATGAATGGAGCGCCCCCTTAGACTTTGGGTATTTGTGCATAAAGTCTAAACAATCATACTACATCTTTTTTCGCCCGGAAGGACGGGAGTGTACTCTATTTTCGGTTGGTGTAGGAATATTACTTTTTTCTTTTCAATTTAATGTATATACTTTAGGTACTTACCTCTTACTTATTAGACGGAATATACATCGTTTGGTTTCTGACAAGGGGAGTTTAGAGTTTTCGGGTGTATGTGTAACTTTGGAGGGTGATATAGACAGATTTGATTGTTTAAGAAAAAAATATACAGTATAGCTATAGTACACCATGGAGCATTTGGAAGAGAGAGAGGAAAAAAAGGAAATCCGAGCTCTATAACAGATATGCCGCGATCCGAAAAAATAAAATAAAATAAAATAAAATACCATAGTAAAATAAAAAGGAGTAGAAGAACATACAAACCAGATATGTATATATGCATGTAACTGGTAAGCTCGAACTACTCACTCCTCGAACACCCAGAATACATCCTAACACCTAATCCTAGAGCGGAACTTCATATACGATAACAAATGCACAAACTATTCGGTGATATTGAAATTTCGAACGTTACCAAGTCCCCAGTAACGTTCGAAATATTCAGTATCCCAATACCCAAAACTTCCCCCCTCCATTTCGATTTTTTCCTCTCTTTAAGCTTTCTCTCCTCAGAAAGAAGGATCGAATCGTGTCCAATCAAAAAAAGCCACCAAATACCCATACTTAAGCCTCATCGACCCACTTCCCTTCTTTCGCCTCCACATACTCCACCATATCCTCAATCGTACAAACCTTAAACCCCCACTTCCTCGCAAAAGCAATACAATCATCCCTTCTAGCCATCAGCCCATCCTCCTCTCTCACAATCTCGCAAATCACCGCAACCTGTTCCTTCCCCGAAAGTCTACAAAGCTCCGTCGCAGCTTCCGTATGTCCCCTTCTGACCCTCACACCTCCCTTCTTAGCTCTAAGAGGGAGAATATGCCCGGGTCTCCTAAACTCCAATGGCTTGGAAGTTGGATCTGCTAGTTTTCTAGCAGTCAGGGCTCGGTCGTGAGCGGATATACCGGTTGTAGTGTCGGTTGCGTAGTCAACGGATATGGTGTAGGCGGTTAGTAAGTGATCTTGGTTCTTTGGGACCATTTGGGGGAGTTCGAGACGGTCGGTGTGGTCTGGAGTCATGGGGACACAGACGTAGCCACTATGTTGTTTTAATTGAAACGGGATTTGATTAGTTATTTTGTCTTCTTTGGCTCTGTTGCTAGGGAGAAGGAGAGGCGGGGTGTAGACTACGGGGTCGGAGCTGCAGAGGGGGGTTACCTAGTATGTCGGACCAGGAAGGCCATTTTCTCGGTAGTTACATCTTGGGCGGCAATGATCAGGTCGCCTTCGTTTTCTCGGTCTGTGGAATCGAGGACGACGAGGAATTCTCCTCTTCCTGGAGATGATTGGGAACAGCGATGGTTAGTCTACTGGCTACCATTTTCTTGCATGTTGAATTCATATTCTGTGCGGGGAGATGCGGCATCCGGACCGAAGCCGGTTTAGACCCGACGCCATTATTTTTTTTTCGCTTGTGATATTTGGTTACCTGCTTCTGGGGCTGGTTTTTGGAGCATGTGAGAGAGAATGAGATATGGGGGACATACTGAAAGCTTCTACCGACTCCTCGATGGAATCAAATCGTGTATCTGGAACATGTGAACCATTTGTGCCATTGGCGCCGTTTGCACCGTTTGCGCTGCCGTTTGTTACGGTTGTGGTCATTGTCGCAGGCATTCTAGAATATCCGATGATATAATTTTTTGGGGGAGAATTGAGGGGAGTTTTCTTTTGCCGATTGGTAGGAAGTGTTGTAAACTTAAGAGAGGTTTCGACAAAGCTTAAAAAGCCCTTTGAACTTAGTAAAGATAGCTAAGCTTCTTAGTAAGGATTGATAATAGAGGAGGGAGAAGATGATGAAGATAGAGGATTCTGAAGTTCCGGGATTTTGAGAGGGTTGGAAGCTGGGATTTATATATATTTATTATCTTGAGCTTCCGGTCCGTTAACCGTTATTACTTGTAGTCGCAATCCGCGCAGAGGTATACGTATTAGAAGTTAAGAGTTTAAGAGGGCGGTCGTCTTCGGAGTAAAAAACGAAAATGAAGATATACTAGAAAAGTCCAATGCAGCTGTACAATTCAAACCAATGATAATAATAACAATAGTAACAAAAGAATACAAGATGGAAGTTAGCAGATTTAGGTTGAAGTATCAATGGAATAGTTCGGAGAAAGGTCAGAAAAAAACTGTTAGCCTTGACGTCGCCCAGCTTAACGCTTATAAGGGCAGGCTTAGACCGGGACAAGTCCACAGCATCCGTTCGACTGCCGGATCTGGACCGAGGCTTTCGAGCCTTAGGCCTTTGAGCTCCGAATCGAGGTTGAAGACGGATGACTAACTCCTGGCTGGCCCCCCTCCTCTTAATTATCCTAACCGATCGATGCAATGGGGTGGCGAATCAGATGTGAAATTGGTTTGTGAAAAGATGCAAGATCAATTAATGCCACCCAGCGGGGGAAAGGGGACCATGGAATGGAATGGAATGGAATGCGCATGCGATGGGATTCGTAAACCAGTAACGTTAAATGGGTTATAGATAGCCAAAAGGCATTATGCAATGCAATGTCGGCCCTGCAGCTGATGAAGTATCTATAAAAGTTTATTTTTCGATTTGTATTGTGTATCGTATCTATTAATTGCTTCAATCTTCAGCGTTCCCCGCTCGACACTTTTCCTTTGTAGGCCCTTTTTATACTTCCCGGTATAATTAAGTAATTATAAGAGAGCTAGAGGGAGAAAAATACAAAGATGAGTAATTAATCATGAAAGCATTTCGCATTCGCCATCCGCCTTAGTAATCCGTGGCATGAACATGAAGCTTTGTGGGGCCAGATGCAGACCTCGACTAGAATAACGTGACAGTACAGGCACAAGGGTCCCACCAGTCGGCCGAAGTTCAATGTTGTGCTACCCGACAAAGCCGGCCGAATAGCTCCCTGCAAATCCCACCACCGGTAATATATCGGCTGTAGGCCTCATCATATCATATCATATCACCCCAATTAATTATCAAGGAAACAAGGAAAGAAAAGATAAAAAAAGACTTGGATAATTCGGTCATTGTATTGTCATTTGCATAGTAGGAAAAGTGAAAGGGAAGCTATCGTAACACTTCAAGTTTGTTCATTACACCTAAAGTTATAAAAAAAAGTAGTGACAAGAGAAAAAGCAAGGAAAAACGCCTGTATCGTAACAACGGAAGAAGCCGCTAAGCAAAGCACGCAGTCAGGCAATGCAAAGCAAAAAGGGACATCGTAAACGCAACAGAAGCAGGCAGGCAAGCGGCGGTAGCAGGTAGAAGCAAGAAATAGGAAAAAAAAAGACAAAGGAAAGACGTTAAAAGACGCAGTACCGTCCAAAAAGAGACAGGTGAAATCCGAAATAAACGGAAACCGCCGCCTTATCTAGCGCGAATAACTGCCCATAAGTCCAAGATGGTTCGTTCAATATTTGCGACATTGAGGCCCAGAAGAAGATTCGTGGTAGAAAAAACTCATGGATAAGCCGTAAACACATCATCTTGACTTCTCTCTTCCTCCCGTCTGTTCCCCGCGTGGGTTTGCACAAAAGAAATTCATTATCAATTAAACTCCTCCAAACAGTCAAAAGACCTCGCCATTCAGAATAATCAGATCGTACAATCCGAACACCATTCGCTCCTAAACAAGGAAGCTGAAAAAAGTGGTTAGAATACAGGGCGGAGGCGTGCCATACCGACTCGGGTAAGGTTCGGGGTCATGAGGATTGAATCGGTAGTCGTAGTCGTAGAAGTAGTAGTAAACTCAAGGTTAGAGTTGGTCATAAGGGGATGGACGTGTGAGGGTGAAGGTGAAAAGGGGGGGGTTTAATAAAATATCGACAGAGAAGGAGAATGTATTTCGAGAAGTATCATATCATGTTTCGGCAGTCGTCGTAGTTGAGAGGGAATCTCCCTCCTCTCTAGTAAAAGAAATCGTTCGAGCCACACAGGCTTAAAAGTCCCACTCCAAAGAGACACCACCGTCGGTAACCTGGAAGACACTCATGGACTCTTCAGGCTTCATCGACATCCTCTTCTTTTGGGCAACCGTATCCTCAAGACCCATATCGGGAAGCTCGTACTGAGGGCCATACATCGCCTCGATCTTTCTCATCGCCTTGACTTTATCTTGAGACTCGGCTGGGAATCTTCCGGTGCGAACGTGCTCCCAAGATTCCCACCCATCGGCTCGGGCGGCAGTGACCCAGTCGGTGAGAGCAGAGTGGATGTTGGCAAGTTGCTCATAGTGATGTCCCTTTCCGGCACATCTCAAAACTTGTCCCATGATTTTTTCCATACCAGACATGGAAACCGCCATGCGGAAACCATTCCTCTCCGCCCTGGTTGGAAGATAAGCGATGATGGCATTCATAATCTCCACATGCAACGCCGCATAATTTGAAACGTTCATTTCAATGGAATTAACACTACCACCATCAATAGCCATAAAGGCGCGTGGGGTGGGGAAGTGTGCAACACTGAATGGTGCCTCCGGATCGTATTCACGGAGTGTAATTCTGTTTCCAGGGTGATACCAAACCCATCCGGTCTCGTAAGTCAATCGAGCAACCTCACTGCTCCATCTGGTAAAGGGTCGCGGCTGTTTGATAGCCTCAACCCAAGCAGGTCCCTGTTGGCTCTTAGCCAAAGGTGGGTTCTCCAAGATCTTAACAAGAGATCGGGCACGGGCGACTTGTTGGTCAAGTGGTGCTTGCTGGAGGTAGGTAAACATGAGGCTGATGGCGGCCTCGCGAGTTTCATACTCATAAGGGGTCTTCTTTCGTTCTTCATCAAACATCATAGAGAGGATCATGGTGAAGAGTTCGACATGGACTGTGTCAAAACGGGCATCAGCCATTGGGGCGGTGTAGGCTGCCTTGAGGCACAAGAAGACCTCTTTAATAACTCTGCCGCTTTGAATATCGCTAATGAAATGTTAGAATATGCGTCCAAATTCAGGTACGGAATGTAGTGGCTTACTGGTATTCCAATTCGTAAATATTCTTGATCAAATCAAGAAGGCGATCCAAGCCCTCTTGCTCAAAAAAGGTCTCAACCCATGCAAGACGCTCGTTTCTGAGCATCCTCTTAAGGCGGCGAAGCCATCCAAGGTCAACGTCATTGTAATTCCTTCCATAAAGGTAGTCAATGAAGTCGCAAGGGGAATTCGCGTGAAGAGGGCCGACATTAGTCTTCACAGATGGGGTAATAGGAGTAGTAGGCGCAGCGCGGAAGGCTTTATCGGAACGAGTAGTCTTAGGTCGTCCCTTATCTTCCTGCGACCTGGTCGGTAGACCAATGGTGCTAGCTGTCTTGCTCCTAGCACGGGTATGCTCACCACGGAATAGGGCAGCGCCAAAGGCACTAAGAGGACGCTTCTTCTTCTCGCGGGCAGGTGTGACAGGAGAAAACCCTGTCATAAGTGGTGGAGACCCATGGCTGGATGGTGGTGGCAGCGGGGCCCTTGACATGACTTTGCTAGATTTGAGCAATGTCGCCTTGACATGTGCTGGCATTTCAGATGCTCCATTCTTGATGTTGTGGGGGAGACCATAATTGGACTACATATAACATTTAGCATCGGAATGTTTCACAACACCATGATAAGGCAGGACCTACCAGAAGATTATTGAATTCATGATTCAAAGTAACGGTGGATGGAGCTCCAGATTCCAATGCCGCAGGGTGGACTCTCTTATTCCCACCGGACCCAAAGGTTGTTACCCTTGACAAGAACCCACCATGCTCATTGCTGGTATGGTCCGCCTCTCCCATACTATTACGCTTCCCCATCGAGATGATGCTTCCCCAGCTGGACTTCCTTTCTCCTGCTTGTTGTCCGTAAAAAGTAGTCGGCCGAGGCTGTGGGGCTCTCAACTCGGGTGTGACAGCGAAATTACGCTGGCCAGATGCCGAGTAGAGCCTTGGAGTGTAAAGCGAGATCTCTCGTGCAATTTCATCAGGAATATCCGTCTTAATGGGAGGAAGGGCCTTATTTGTATTGCCCAAAATACGAGATTGTTTTTGAGGAGGTCGAAAGTTTTCCTGATCGAGGGTAAGAGTGAGGCTGGATTCATTTTGCATTCTAAGGTCAAGGAATGAAGCATCCAACTGATCGGACATGGACTGGGATTGCTCGACAAAAGCGGGCTGAAGAACTCTGGATGTCGTATAAGCCCGAGGGTTTCTTGAATTCTGTTCATCTTGACAGTCGTCGTCGGTGCTAATTGTGAAGTCGGAATCCTTCTTGGCATCTTTCTTAGACTTGCCGGTAAGAAGGTCCATAAGACTGGGTGTCTTCATGTGTCTAGCCTTCAGATTAGGCTTGGGCAATGGACCCCCAAATCCATGCTGATCGGTTTTGGTGGGCGATGGAGGCCCGTTTGCCGCACCACCGGAAAACGAGAAGTCCAATGGAGGCAGCTGGGGAGGACCCATCAAACCTAAGTTGTCGCTAACAGATTCGGCACGCTTATGGCGACCGCCAAAGAATCGCGAAGCCCGTTTCGTGGGCGAAGGAGGAGGAGCCATTGATGAAGCCATGGTGATAGTTGCGGAGTCGTCTGGATTGTAAAAGATGATGTTAATAAGCCGTTCTTTAAATTGTTTTAAAGTTGCCCTGAGGCCTCCCCTGTGAGGAGGAGGATCAGTAGCAATAGCAGTAGCAGTAATAAGAGGAGATTCCATTTTTGGATGTGTTTTTAATGCAGGTATCTTGTGGGACGTGGCAATTGAGATATAGGCTGAATAGGCAGACCAATCGGGGCAGTTGAAGTGGAGATGGAGATGTGGATGGTGATGAAGATGAAGATGGTGATGCTGACGATAAGGACTTGAGGGGACATTGCTATGCTCGAATAACTGACGGGGTTTTATGTACTTATTTCTTACCAATTATGAATGGATTTCGATGCGGGATCGACTTGATACCTGAGAACGTCGAGATCGCTGCCGACGGTCTGTCGAGCAAGTTGGGGAATTCGAATTTGAATTCGAATTGGTGTTGTTGTTGGCAGTTGGCGGGTTGTGGTTGGTAGGCAGTTGACTGGGCAGTTGAGGGAGGTCAGCCCAGACAAGAAGTCGCAAACGTCACAATTGTAGTTGCAGTTGCAGTTGCAACAGCCTCCACTAAAAGGAAGAAGATCTGAAGAAGAATAGAATACAGTGAGAAAGTAAGTAAGTAGGTAAAGTATTCGTTAATATCACAAATTTAAAGAATCGAAAGGTCAAGAAGGAAATGGGAGAGGGAAAAGGAAGTGTGGGTGAGAGTGTGAGAGAGAGAGGAAGAGATCTTCTGGAGCCTCTGAGAGAGGAAGCAGCCCGGATGGAGTTCCAACTACTAAAAAGTTAGTGGAGCAGGTTGAAGCTGAAAGTGGTTCTCTCGAGATATTTATCTCATCTCTTCCCCAGCTTTTAAACATATCACACAATCTCTCTAAGCTTACCACTAAGTAAACCCAATACAATACAATACAATACAATCCGATATACACACCAACCCCCCTGTCATAACAAAGACAAGAATAAGAGAAAAAGATACCACTACCACCACCACCACCACCGGCGCCAAACATAGATGTGGGGTCGCTGTTGATTGTATGTATCCAAAGCTTACTTTTTCCTGATACCAGCCGGCTATGCTCTGAATCGGTCAATTGTTCATGCGAAATGCCCTGCCCAGCCAAGGTTTGTATGGAGTGCTATGGAACAGCTCGAGTTGTTTAGAATGTCGTTAGAGTGCAAGGGTCGGTCGGCCTGCAGCTTGTTCCCACAGCAACTGACGCTAATTCGGGAAAGTCCCGCCACTGCCCACAACAACAAACCACCTTTAGGCCCCCATGATGCAGAATCCCGCGCGAATCGGGCAGGGGAATAAGACCTCAACGTTCCGAAGAGGGGCGAATCAAAGCTGCAGTGATTTGCTGGCACGGCCGTTGTTTATATATTATTTCCAAATGTATATACATATATATCCACAGACCAGCTTATTTTTTTACGAATTGTAATTATATAAGTGTCGAGGGAAATAAAGGGGTGCATTGAAAACAATATATCTACGACCTATCACAAACGGTCAACTTGCATATAAGGCTTCTGCATCGGGGAAAAATAAAAAGAGGCGTGAAGATCAGACAGACCCTCGTGCAGGACGTGTTTGCCGGCCTATGTACATAGTACATAAACTCACTATGTAATTAACAAAGTAAACTAATTATTCCTCGGGAACGTCAACCAAGTGGATCCCATGCCGACGGTTCGAGGTCCCTCGATCGACCAGAATTACCTGCATCTTTGGCCTTCCCGACCTGTCAACGTAGAATCATCCGATTTATTGCACTATCGATACTAATATATATGCTTAGATACGCACCCATTGTGCTGAGACACATCAAAAACAAGGACAAGAATTTGAACCGGGAATATCGTTGGAAAGAATAGCCTTTTCGACTAATCTCGACTGATATGATCCTCGGCTTCGTCTTTCCCCTCTCGCTTTCTTCTTTCTTTCCTTCATGACGACGACTACGCGAAATCACCACTTTCTTCTTTGTTGATTTATTTTGGAAACTTGGCTAATCCGTTAATTTACCATTTGCGAACAGGAACAACCCGTTGCGACGGTCTGTTTTTTTTCTTCTTGTCTGGAATTCGCGGTTCAGCTGATCCCCCACCACCATCAGAACTAATAATCAAGATGGGAATTTTATTGGGTAGTTGGGGTCATCGGAACATTTCACGAGGGTGTCACAAGCATCGTCTGGCAAAATTGATCGCATTCTGGGGCTGGTTGGGCGACCGGACAGACAGGGGGTTCCCTGCTGTTGGATTTTGGGGATCATCAACAACACCTCTTTTCACTTTCACGTTCACATTCATGAAATGTTGATTTTTCTTTCAAGCTTTTCAAATTAATTTTTTTTTAATACCGTCAGAAACCGGTCCTGAAATTTCTTGAGACTTCCGACTTTGACACTAGTGTAATTACATCTTTCCTCTGTACAGAATAATAATAATAAAAAATCGGTTGTTTGAAGAGCTCCGATTAAGAAAAAAATCAATTGAATAGGAACTACAAAAGAAAAACGGCCCGTGGTATCATTTCCCCGATAGCTAGCTGAGACAAAAGAGATTGGGAGATTATGGTAAGGCTATTAGTATACTGTGAAAGGAAATTCTGAAAAATCAAGAAGATCAAAAAAAAAAAAAACGCCGTATCCCTGAAGAACCTTTTGTGGATATCATTTCCCAGAACAAAGAAGAGGTGAAGTTATAGAAAGGATGGACAAGCAGATAATCTGCTTAATAAAAAACAAAACAACAAATGAAACTTGAAAATAGCAGGTACTTTTTTAAGACATCGAGATACGTCTAGAAGCCCTTTCGGACTCTGGTAATAGTGACAAGGGTTTGACTGGCGACAGAGGAAGCTCTCCGGATTGTGGTGTCCTGGTTCCCATGATATCGTCGTCTTCTTCGACTGCGCAGTCATCAGAAGGCTCTTCGAGATACATTGTTCTCAAACCCTCTGCAGCTTCGACTATCAAGCACTCCGAACTTGCTGTCCGTCTTCTCCTCCTCCTCCTCTTCTCTGGAGGCTCTGTCATCGCTAGCTCTGTGATCTTTCGATAGTGTGCGATTTCTGCGGCAGTCGGTGTCGAGGGGTGTAGATCATCAGTGGTGAGTGTTGTCCCTGTCGATATACTACTCTCCCGTTGTTGAGACCTTGTATCAAACTCTAATGATGGTACACGGGGAATTTCCCATTCTTCATCTTCTTCCGGAGCCTCTTCGATCCCGGACATCCACCAGTCATGGGCGGCGGAATGGCCAAAGAGATCTTCGTCGGAATCGAGAATGCCAGCGCCCTCGTCTTCATCATCACTTTCATCATCTGAATCAAAGAAGCTGCCATTTGCGATACGTTGCAAGAGTTTTTCCTGCTTTTGTTGTTTCTCATAAGCGCGAATCTCTTCGGCTTGGATTTCTAGTGGGCTTGTTTTGGGTTTTGTAGCCATGTAGAATGCAACGAAGGGGTCTTCTCCTTCGGTTGCTGGGGTTGGCTGTGCCGAATATACCCTTTCGACAAGAGAATGGATGGATGATCCATCTGAAGATCTAGAGGTGGCTGCGGTAAGATTTGGAGAAGAGGTTTTAGTAGCAGTAAATGTTTGTGTGAGTGTCTGGGAGTATTGCCATTGGTGGGTAGCAGTGGGTGTGGCCACCGAATTCCTTCGAGACGACATCAGGTGCGCATAAGTTTGTGGTGGTACTTGTCTCCAAGGAAGTTCTGCGACTGAAGAGCCGGATAGTGATGGACGTCGTCTATCTTCCACGTGAACTCCTGTTTCCGGATGGGTGTGGTGGTCTAGAGCTGAAGTAGATGATGAAGATAATGACGAACCCTGGGAAGTAGATATAGACGCAGCGGAGTACCTCGCCCTGCTGTGCCTATTATTTGCAGAAGAAAAAGATGCGATAGAAGACCTATTTGACCAAGATTTCCAACTCCTTAATGGCGACCTAGACGACTGTTCGCTTCCTCCGTCATAGTCATGTTCGGATCCGGAAAGGTATGCCAAACTGAATCTACGAAAACGGGAAACGGATCTTGAAGAGCCACTAGGCTGCTGTTCCTTGGCGGAACCGACGACTTGTCCGTGCGACACCATGTCTGACAATTCTGCGACCACTTCGTCTGCTTCGTCGATTTCCTGGGACGGCCCAACCGAGACAGACGAATAACGGGCGGTGCTGTTGGATAATCTGTTGTTGTTGTTGCCAATATTAATGCTGTTGGAGATTGAGAGGGCGATACTAGGAATGCGGCCTCGGCTTGTGCTTTTACTCCTGCTTCTTGTGACAGCGCCCAGCGGGCTAAGCAGCAGCGAGTGCAATGGAAGTTTTGTACGAGATTGTTGCGGCGTTTCTGTGGTATTCCGTTCTGGCGATGCGGCCCTTGAAACTGTAGAGTGTGAGGATGTGGCACGAGGTCCTTTTCTCTGTGTCAGACCCTTCTCCTTGGAGTTTCGTCGCTCACTGCTGGCAGGAGCTATCAAAACTGGAGTAGTCCTAAATGTTGGATTGCTAATTGCGGTTCGAAGTTGCAACTTCGGTCGGAATATCCGTAAATTTCTATTCGAGGGTTCCTCCACAACAGGCAGTACAGGAGTAACAACAGAAGCTGGGGTCTCGATTGGTTTTATGGTGCTGGATGAACTATTGCTGGATGAATAAGGCAAAGAAGCAGTAGAATTCAATATTAACTTCTGATAATCAGTATCCCGATCATCCAAGCCCCAATCGCTTCCTTCCCGGCTGCGGTAACTTTCAGCCTGGTCCTCATCTTGGCTCTCAGATAGGAGAATAGAGTTGTATTGCGCATCGCTTCGGTCAAGCATGCAACGTCGGTCTAGACGCTGGCCGCTTTTGCCGTTGGCTGGCACCGTTACTTCAACTTTGTGCGGCGACTGCTTTTTCGGATTAACTTTACGGTTTGACTTTGGTCGCAGAAGAGCTGTCCCGATCCGAGACTCGTTGGATTCAGAATATACTTTATTCGGATTTGCGGATTTGCCCTCCAGATCGCAAGTTAATATTGATCTAGGCTTGGACTTTGGGGACAATGGGATTTCCTCGATCTTTGCCAATGGCGTATTTCTGACTGGTGATGATTCGCCGTCGCTTTCGAACCAGCTAGTGAAATTTCCGTTGATTGGGCCAGTGCTACTTCGTTTGATGATGTTCCCAAAGTTGAAATCTGGGTTGAAGACCATGACTGTAGAGTATACTGAGATATAGGAAAGACCACCCTTTGGGTCAATAGAACCATCTGGCGATGTCAATTGAGGCTCTGTAGGGCTTGAAACGGCCGAGTCGTAAAATATCGAATTAAAGTTTGGTGACATTTTCGGTTCTTCTTCTTGGAGGATTATGGAAATTTCTTGGGTGTGTGAGCAAGTTTTATACAATCGAATCCAATCGAATCACTCAGTATTTTTTAATTAACATCAACAGGCCATTTAGAATGGGAGAAAAAATGGAATGGCTCAGTGCTGGGATTTCACAGTTTCCATATCAAGACTCTTCGGAGAATTTGGAGGTTTCTTGGAAATTATTGAATGTTCGTGGGGGGGAAGCAATGCTGGGTAGGTAGCTGTCAACCGAAAACGGGGGACAACCTAGTTGTTGAACCGGCTACGAAGGAGTCCTGAAGCTGTGAGATTTTGGAAGTTGATGGTAATTTCCTTTGATTGTTGTTTTGAACCCGCAAACGTCCTGCACAGGCGGATATTACAGATTCTGGCAGATTAAGTCCTTATATTCCTCTTCTTCTTCCTTTTGAAGGTTGGTCGATTGATGTTGATTTGTTGGTTGTATGTTGTCAACGTTAGTACGGTAATGAATGTGTGGACATACGTGGCTGTCGCTTAACCAGAGAGACAGGCAATTGTATATAGCATATATCGAAGTAGGCAAATAGAGATATTAACGAGTGACAGAATAGAGCAAAAGCATAGGTCTGCTTTCAGCAGTAGGAAAAGTGAACCGTTCGAAAGAAGCCTCAAAGTGGTAGGAGCGGATCGTTAGGAATATTAATAAGTCTGGCAGATACATATATGAGTACTCACCCATACGTAAGTACAGCACATTCAAAAAGTCTTGCAAGGGAACGATCCGGACCCCTGGAAGATAACCTAATGTGTACACAGCCTGGACCGCTAACTAGTTTACTGACCTCATTGATGTTTCTCTCGCAGCGAAACGGACCCTTCCAATTCGTCGTTGAAGGCTGCAACGAAAATACACAAAAAAAAACAAGCAAATGCCCATGCATATTGGGGGTATGTAAGAACCGGCACCCATGCTCGCGGGTTCGCCAAACCTCGCTGTGGAGTGTGGGTCGCGATGATCAGCCAGGCTTCATGCTTCGAGCAGGTTAGCGCCGTGAAATTAGAGAGTCTTCCTCCCTGCGCCAACGGTGACTTGGGCCAATGGTGTGGCGCGGAAGGTAGGAAGCACACCTAAGATTAAAGATCTGAAGATCATGATTGAGATTTTCCTCTCAACACTAGCGACGTTCTATCTCTTGTTCGGGACGGACCCATTGAGATCGAGCTAGCACATGTACTTTCTGGGCCGTTGGGAAATTCCGGATGCACTTTTTTCCTGTCCTTTTCTTCCCTCTTTGATGGTATGAGCCGCTCCGCGTCCACCACGTCTTCGGTTGGGGATTCTGGCCCTTCTGATCATGCAGGGTGCAGTTGGTTTGAGTGCTTCACGAGCCGTCTTGGTGAGATTACGGAGGCATATGATATCTTTTCTATTGTTAAAAGTAAAAATAGACTAAACATGTGAAGCCTAGTCAATATTATTATTTCGAAAATGGGAGTCTTATTCCCCTCCCACCGTCGGAGCCTCATATGAGCTCATGCAACTTGGGTTCACGAGTAATATGGTTAATAGTGGGCATGAAGTCTTACAGGTGTGTTATGGTAATATAATACCGTCAGTTCAGCCACAGTTTTGGCCAAATGTAAATTTATAAATTTTCCCCGTATAAAAACTCTTTTATGTTCGGGAAATTCCCCCCTCTGCAAGAGTTAGGTTTCGATATTTGGGGTGTATTATGCATCGAACAGGAGGTCTAACTAAACGGAATGCGTAAGGTTCTTGCGAAATGGTCCGCTTTTCCGCTGTCAGATGGATCCAAGGCCATGTCTTTGCAGCTCGCTTGTGCAATTGTGCTAGGACTCCGTTAGAAGGCGTAACGGTTGTACACCTTGAAACCATGCAGGTGCCGGTGAGTCTGGATGATGCCGGACTGCCCAGAAGGATGGTGTGCAGACGGAACTTGCAGCTGCTGATCATCATCTGAGAATATTCTAAAAGATTATATTTCACCGTTAGTTGTGCGACCTAATATATTTCCGACATCCAGAAAAAAGACAGGAGACCTTCCAGAATATCAATTGATACAAGATGTTGGTGTGAGCTCCTTGGGGGGGTTTTCGGCAGCAGGATTTTGGCACCAAGGCTGTATCGGACCTGTTTTAGCGAATGTGGAGATCTAGAACATATGACTTCAAGGGGAATTAAGACGCCACCGAAAGGCCGCATTGTGCCGCACCACGTCCACATTATAATAGTCCATTACGCCATCTACGTAAATACGAATTTTAAAAGACGCATTGTATAGGGGTCTGGAAGTAAACAAATCAGTCGTGATAACAATCATATCGAGTTAACGTTAAGAGGGCCTAGGGGTGCAGTTCAATTACATAGTACAATCCAACATCAAAAATTAATCAATTGGCACCCATTGGGGTTTCCTAGCTTTGAACCCAACAGTCAGAGCTCTATTTAACCCAACATAAAATCTATCACAAATTTAAACCGATCGGACGGGAAGACGAATGCAGGCATCTGATATCTGTCTCGCGGAACATGGTTACACCTGCCGACAGACAAACGGACAGACAGAGAGACAGACGTCCCTTTACTCTTGCCGAACCGTTTGCCGTGAAAAATGGTGTCGACGGTAGATACCGATGAATATGTATTAACCGTTCGTGGCCCCGAGCTTGAGTTCAAGACTTTAAACCTCGTGGCAGGCCGGGAATCGGTTGCAGTCTGGTCGGGATGATTCAGATCTTGCAAGACAGTAATATAGAAGAAACCGAACCTAATTGTTATCTTTCTCTGGAGGGGCTGAGATCAGAATTCGTGAGAATTTATCAAAATATGATTTGCAAATTTGATCTTATCTTCTGGGGTGAAGCTTGTAGACTAGAATGATGCACAGACCATGGGGTTTTCCGAGCTATATAAGATAAATAGCGAAAGTTATGGGGAGTACCGTAGAATATTTAGACATTCCAACCGGAATCTAATAGCTATTCTAGCCTTGAATTGCCGTCCACTTCAATTGCTCAATCGAGTCATGGCATCAGCCAATTTATCTCGAATTGGAGCTCACGAATGAAGCTGACCACGCGAGATCGAGGACGTGGACCACATGGACTCCATGTGTTGCGATCAAAATTGTTTGTCATAATCGAATTCCCTATTCGGGACAATTACCATATTGCCCTGAACCAATGACACCGCGTTGCCAAGACAGACGCTAACCCGATCGGCAGAAACAGAAACAACAACAACAAATTTCCGCAATCAAACAATATTTTGTGTCGCGTTCCACCTCTGCAACGGCTTTTTCGATCCCTTACGCCTTCAACGACACAACCACAACCTTCACCGCTTCATCTCCACGACCATCTTCATCTCCACATCAACCTCCATCCTCACCATCGATCACCAGCTACCATCACCGACAGCTTTGACTTCATCATCAGCTCGATATCTCTATCATCATCACGATCAAGTTTACTCCAAGCAATTGTCCCCTCCTGAATAATCACCTGATTCCAGCATCCGACTCGTGATAGTCGGTTTTGCTTCACTTACATCATCACCAAGAACATCACACCTTCACATTTCGCATTCATCATGCCGCCTAAGCGCAAGCAAACCGTTCCGGCCAATGAGCCGACAGGTACTACTACTACCACTACTGCAAACTCCAATCCTACCAATCCTCGCAGGAGGCGTAACCAACCTTTACCGGAGCAAGAGCTTCCATCTCGAAGATCGCACAGATCACGAGGAACAGTCGCAGCTACCGAAGCTGTCGCATCCAATGTTCTAGAGCAGCAGCAACAACAACAACACACAGCTCCTGTTGCTAGAACCCGCCGAGGCAGAGCTGCTGCTGCCGCCGCCGTCACCGAACAACAACAACCCGAATCAGTTGTTGAAGAAGCCCCACTTCCAACCAAGACTAGGAGTACTAGGGCAACGAGATCTACGAGAGCCAAAGCTAAGGCTAACAACGAAGACGAAGTCACTGAGGGAGCAACCCAAGCTGTTGAACAGACGCAACCACCTGCCGAGAAGGTGAAGAAGCAGACCAGGAAGACGAAGGTCCCCGTCCCACCTTCATCACGAGCGATGAGAAGCAGAAGTAATAGTGTCACTTCGACTCAGTCGCAAGAGAACGAAGTTGGTGAGGAACCAAACAAAGTTGAAGAAGAGCAGCATTCCGTGGAGGACGAGGAGAAACAGGCGAGGAAGAAGAAGGCACCTGTCCCGCCTTCGACTCGAGCGACTAGGAGTAGAAGTAATAGTATTACTTCTATCCAGTCAGAAGAGTCTGAGGGTGGGCCAGGTGCTGAGAAAGAGGAGGATAACACCGTCGAGCCGGCTCCAGCAAAGCAGGGGGACAGGAAGAGTATGGCCGCGAAGGGGGGGAGGAAGACGAAGGTCGCCGCCCCCAAAGACGCCGGGCCAACCACCGAAGCCCCCATCGAAGCTTCGAAGAGGCCAACCCGGTCTGCCAAGAGGGCGGCCGGGCCCTCGACCGAAGTGGCTGAGGACCAGCCACAAACAAAGCGCCAGAGGGTCCAGGGCGGCCAGGAGACCACCCAGGCGCCAAGGCGGCGACGAGGTCGTGCGCCGAGGGCCGAGGTGGACCCTCCTACTGCCACACCACCACCACCACCAACATCATTATCACCACCACCACCACCACCAACATCACTATCACCTCCACCAGCATCGGCGCCACCATCGCCACCTCAAGCAGAGGTCGGGCCGGGGGCACTAGTTGCCCCGGAACGGACTGGCGACGACACCGAAGCCAGCGAGCAGCTCTGCCAAGAGCAGGGCTGCTGCGCTGCCGGTGAAGTTGTAGAGGCTCCAGAGGAGCCAGAAGCCGTTGAGGAGAAGGAGGGGGAGGGGGAGAAGAAAAATGGGGAGGAAGAGGGGGAGAAGGAGGAAGAAGAAGAAGAGGAGAAGAAGGAGGAGGAGGCAGAAGAAGAAGAAGAAAAGAAAGAAGAGGGAGGGGAGGAAAAGGAGGGAGAAGATAAAGGGGAGGAAAAGGAGGAGAAGGAGGAAGGGGGGGTGGGTGAGCAGGGGGTGCAGTATGCTCGCCCAGGGGATGAGGAGCTTAGCTTGACGGGGTCGGAGAGGGAGTTGTTGAAGGGGGGTTGGGGTGGTGAGCGGGGGCCTGGCCAGGTGGAGTTTGGCCAGGAAGGGGACACAGCCCTGAGCATCACGCAAAGCGAATGGGCAGAGTTGGAGGAGGGCGGAGAGGAAAAGGATGAGGAAGAGGAGGATGTGGAGATGGGGGGTATGGAGGAGGAGGGGGAGGGTGTGGAGTCCCTAGGGGAGGGGGATGCAGCCGATGGTGCTTGGCCCGGTCCTGCCAATCCGTCGGCACTCGCGCCCTTGTCGCAGGCGGCCATTAATGCTGGCCACCCTGCCCAAGCTGGCGCAGGCCCGGAGGAAGCAGGATCTGCGGCCTCGCCCATCGCGCCGCAGACTCCGGTACGTACTCCAAGCTCAATCTAAGAGCGGGGATCTCCTAACCATATATATACATACAGACTCGGTCCGCGTGGGGGCAGTGGGGGCACCTCAGGCACCAGCCCAGGCTCAGTTCCCCGCTAAAATCGTATTGTATCACCGCCCAGTACTCGCCGCCAAAGGACGATACGCCTCTGAGGGGGAGGCTAATTTCGGAGAATGGGATAATCTCGCTCAGCGGGGACCCTTCACCCCTCCGGGGTGAGGAGCTCTTAGGAAGAGACTTGTTCGTCATCAGTTGTTTGTTCCCTCTTCTATGACTTTATGCTAACAAATAAATAGTAATACCCCGGTAGGGTCCCCAAGCCAGCTATCGCCCAGGACGCGTTCGACCCCGGGCCCGAGGAGGCGTGGCCGCAGCAGGTCGGTTTGCGGGAGCTCCCCGCTTAAGAATGCGGTGGATTTTGCACTCGATGCCAGCAACGAGGGTGGGCCTAAGATAGCCAGCCCTCTTGCTCGCTTGGCTTCAGATTACGACCCGACACAGGAGATATCCGAGTTGAGGATAGAGGAGGTCCTTATGACTCCAACCGCCGAGGAACCAGTTGGCACCATCTTGGACGATGTGCTGGATGAGCAGTTGCTCGAAGAGAGCACTGCAATCAGCTCTGATGATAGTAATGATGACGCCATGGCTGCTCCAACTGAAGAATCATACCAAGAATTTAACGGCGCCGACTCCCCTTCGGAAAGACCAAAGCGACGGTCTCGACTTCCCGTTCCAACGTCTATAGAAAACCTACCAAGCTCACCGACTAGCGCTCGACAGAAGCGGGTTTCCCACACAAAGAGTCTATCTGACCGAGAACTTTTGAAGGTTACTGCTCGAAATACGACAAGGAATGCAGTTTATAAAAATGCGAAGTTTGAGCGAAAAATTGTTCGGATTACTCGACAGCGACCGCCGTCACCAACCCGGGACACGCAAAGCGCTGTTGCAGAAGAAGCCCGCCAACTGAGACAACGAGTATTTGAGGAAACCGGAGTCGCCCTAGGGCCTGGTGATGAATCTGATTATGTTCCACCTCAAGTTTCGCCTTCTGCCAAGAAAGTTAAGTGGCATGAACTCTTGGAGTACGATTTGGATGATGAGGAAAGGGCGGTCTTTCAAACTGATAAGGGAATATTGGCTGTAAGTTTTTATGCTAAATTGAGTGAGCCTCTGCAATGACACTAACAATCCGTCTAGCCTGAGCGTGTTCGCCGGGACTCTAGTACTATCCACGAGATCACCATTCAAAAAATTCTGTATGAGGGCGAGAAGGACGTCCTTGATGAGGACTTTGAAGAAGGGTTCTAGAAATCCTATCCACCTCCACACCCTCTCTTGTCCACCTCTATCGAAACTGAAGACGAATTTCACCCCCCAAATTTCTTTCGTACAGTGCGACGATGACACTCACCGAACATTAACATGAACGAGATACGCATATCCGAGTGAGGTTCACAGCAGCATTGGCATTTTTCCCGAACCTAGCTAATTGATTGAGATGACTTTTGTCTTCTCCCGGAGTTTATGGTCTAGAATGCTTTTCTGTTTCTATTTTCTTTATACAGGCGTTTGATTCTAAAGTTATACTTTTTTTTTCTTTTTACAGCCATCGACATGCTCTCGCTTTGCTTTGGGTTACACATGTTTTCATAACCCTAATCCTTATTCCTGACTCCACTGGCATTTAGAACACCCATGTTTTCAGTTCTTACGCTTGGTTGAGTGCCCGTTAGCGAAAGCATAGTCTGGCGTTCATTGTTATTGAGCGTACCTTGATGATTGAACGAGGTACTTCGTCTAATGCACTTTACTCTTTTGATATTCTATTTTTAAAAGTCTCTTGTTGTTCTTCGTTTTTGTTTTGCTTGGTTCAATTAGAGTCAACCCCCACCGTGCGCCTCTCTAGATCGCCTTCTGCCGTCTAGCGAAGTTGCATTATATTAATTAACATTACATGCCGCATAATTTACAACTTAAATCAGTTTCTCTACCCGCTTAAGCCTAGATATCAAGTCTGGCGTCTAGGTTCTACATAATGACTCAGTCCCTTTTATACAAATGAAATCTCTCGTCCTCCTCACAGTCAACATGAAATGCAAGGCCAAATTGCTTCCCCCTCGGACCTTTCCCATAAAACCCGTCTCTCCTCCTCGCCATCCTACTGCTAAAGTCCACAGCAGTCCCATCAGACCTCGAATTAAACGCCACACAAAACAAGTTCTCGATTTCCGTAATATCAAATACAAGCCCCCTTGCTACAAAAAAATATACCAAACAAAACACATTCATAACCATCACACCGGCCAATACGACATAAAAGCTAGCCTGCCAACCCGCAGATACACCCGATGCGTACTCTACCGTTCTTATCCTCGCATTGAAAGATTCCGTCGTGGGGAGTTGGTACAGATACGGATCCACCCCCGCGTAAGAATTTGATTTTTCGTCGGCACCGAATTGAGCGCCTACGGAGGAGAGGACTATGGCGTTTGCGTATAGAATTGCTAATGCTTCTGCTACGGATGGGAGGGAAGGGTTGAATCCTGGAACTGTGGATGTGGCGAAGATACCGAGGATTCGGGATAATGCGGCGTCTGCGACGTTTAATGAAAGTGCGTAGGCGAGGGCGGTTGAGATGTCTTTGAATTGGGATTGGTAGGTTTCATGATTGGTTGAAGGGAGGGAGTGGGATAGAGAGTTTTGGTTGTCTGGGGAGCAGTTTGTGGTTACGTTACCACCGCCGGAGGCGGAGAGGTAGGTTGTGGAGCAGCGGGAGGTTAGGAGGGAACGGATGGCGCAGAGGGTGTAGGATGGGGATATTGTGGCGTTTGCGGCGGTTAGCATGTACATTGATGGATCTGTGTAGCCTGCTGAAGCGAAGATTGCGACGTTGAAGGGTGGTGGGAGGGAGATGAATGATGGGGCGAGATATTGGCCTTCTGAGGGAATAGAGAGGGATTGTGAGGAAGATGGGTCGAAGTTGAAGATTCTTTGGGCTTCTGGGTCGAGGAGTCCTTGTCTGGTGTCTGATGAGTTATTTGATATGAACCATTGTACTGCGGTTTGGTTTAATTTGTAGCAGATGACGTTGATAGCGGGACTTAGAACTGAAGCCGTTGCATCGATATTTCCAAAATCACTTTGCATCTCTGGTTGGACGAGGTTGTTGAGGGTAACGTTTCGAACCGATGGAACAATACTGCCGTGAGGCATGGCTAATGTTACATTGTTCAGTTTGTCGGAACCGGATATCTCGAGCCATGCTCCGTAGTATCTTTCATTTCCAACCGTTGTCCATCCTACGGGTCTTCGGTTGAGTTGGTCTCTCGGTATGGATTGGTCGGCTCGATATCCGTTCCATGCGTCTGTGAAAAATGTAAAGTCTCGAAGTGGTTGGTAACTATTATGGACTCGGTAGCAGGTCGTTTGTGATACGGGAAGTGCGGAGCCATTCATAGGACCGTCCAAGGACGAACTGATAATCGCGGGACATCGTGAAGCTAAAGCTGTTGAATTGCCGTATCTGTTTTTGTATCCAATGTTGTGAGAATAGTCACAAAATAAATTGTATGCTCTAAGATCTTAAGAGATGACTCACGTTAAGGTGACATATCCTTCTAACTTCACGTCACCATATTTACTAAAATGAAGTTTTGGAGAAACTAAAGAATCGGCGGCTGGTGATTTATAAATCGGTTAACTTGGAGTCCTTCATAAATTATAAATTTCCTCTGAAGCATCCGAAAAACTTACCAGTCGTATAAAATGTCACGCATAGAACTACAAACAAAATAACAACCCCCAATAGTGTCCTCCCAGCGTATTTTAGGCCTGGCATTGTCGTAAGTAATGATCCTGGCTGGTAGACCCATCCTTTCATCAATAGATCCGCTATCCTAATCCCTTTCGAATCTTTTCCCAACGCCCGTTTACTGAGTACTTGGCCAGTATACGATGTAAAAACTGTGACAAACGATATTTCAATCGCCTTTGCGAAGATGGCAGATAAGAGAGATGCGGTAGTTGGGGAGAGATGACCGTTCGCATGAATATAACCTTGATATCTAGGTTTTGCGACGGCTATGAAGAAAAACTATACCATCAAATTCTTGTGAGCAATAATTCTATAGTAAGTAAATATGATAGTTATCTTACCAGAAGAGAAAATAATGTCGAAAATATCGATAACGAGAGGATCATGACCCCCAAGCCGGAGAACTTGGGCACTTTTGCTTGTTCGAGAGCTTTTGGAGTTTTTGGATCATCTCCTATAGATGATGTCAATATTCAAACTAAATTTGTAAATTCATTTGTTTTGTTTTTCAGAGCTTACCATCGATATCGCCTGTATACTGTTGAGTCCGCTCAACTCTACTGATTAATTGGATTTCTTCCGATCCGAAGCCAGTTTCACTCTCCCTTTCCTTATTGACCGGCCTTAATTTTACTTGTTTATAGTCTTCGATCGTTTCATTTGACTTCGGTCCCTTTTTCAAACTACTTATTCGCCGTATGAATCGATCCGTTGTCGTCTCTGGTGTATAGTAGGGTAGCTCATTGTCCTCCGGTCTTGTGTGAACACCAGCGGCCCCAGTAAAAACTGGGTTGGCATACCCACTCCGATTCGACATTGATGGATATATACGGTGCAGAATCAAGATTCTATCGAAAGAAAACCCCTATTCGTGACTATAACCTTTTCACGAATCGTCGTAAAAAGCCCATGAAGATTTCTATTCTTCCTTACGGGGACAGCCCTTGAATATAACATTCTTTCCTCTACAGCCCTGAGTACTACGTACTCGCATCGGCTATATTTGCAACGGGGGGTAAAGATACTGTGGCTGGCTCGATAGCCTTCTTTTTGTGCGCCAACCCAGGTTTTTTCGTCAGCCCCTCGTCGCACGCGTCGATAGCTAGCACTAACGATATGAATGGTGAATGGTTTAACAGGCGTACGTATCAGCGTTTTTTTGACGGGATTAAAAAAGGGCCTGTCGACGGGTACAGGCAGCGAACCAGATAGCGTCAGACCCACACACCGGCCTTGTTCCACGACTAGGATCCAAGGGTGTCAACATGGTCTTTTGCATAATGGAGGGTTCCGGTCTGCTACGTATGTCGACACTCAAGTGGTCGGCCCGCCGCTGCATCATTCCCTTTTAGGATCAGTGAGGCTGAGAATAGATTCCGAATCTGCAGGTGGGCAGGTATGAGTACATCGAAACTTACATAGCTTCGAACTCTTTTTTCTCAAATACTTCGATGTTACTGGTGGTGGTCAAGGATTTCGGTGTTGCCTTTTGTTGTGCCAAGGATGATGGTGCTGGGGAGGTTCGAAGCCGAAGAAGCTACCTCTTACACGCGTGTTAAGTATACGAGATGGGGAGTTTCGGAGTACTCTTTTGATTTGTGTAACCCTGACCAAGAGGCAGCCTGTGTGACCCAGCTGTCTGGGCTACCTCAGCTGTGAGTTTCCCCGTTGGATAGCGACATTGATTCGTGAATGACTGAAACGTAATGTATGTATATGTACGCACGTATGTATGGTACCTACCTCTTGGTTGACTAATTCTCCGTAGGTGGATGCATGGTGGGCCATGGGATGTTATCGCTGTCACAGAGAATTACTCACATATATGTTTTGCATAGGTACTTTATATGAGCACTTCTTTTTTATATTATATTGTCGGCGTTATATCTACTAACGTTATTGAAAGCCGTGCCGTTGACGGGTCGGTATCACGTTTACATCCGATGCAGGTGTAATTAACTTTCGGAGTACCGCTCTGCAAGGCCATTTTCTGCCTTGAAATCTGCCAGGGAGGGTGTCATGGAGGATAACGTCTATAACGACACTTTGCTGTTGTATCATAAATATCTAGATTCGGGTTATCGACACGAATCGAGCAAAATTCCAACTAGCCTCGCTTCTTTCCATATGGAATTTGTATAGAATACATATATTTTTAAATCATAGTTATTCTATTATACCAGAAGGACATATGAATACCGCTTTATATAATATAAGTCTATTATTAAATCGCTTATATCAAAGTTCATGTAGTATTCGCTAACAGCTAAGTAAGTGCATTGGTCGAGAATGCAACCTCACTGCAGTAAAATCAAATCGTTAAGATATAAAATATCTATCTATTAAGCCTACACAACCGACTGTACAATCTTTCCTACAGCGCTGGCAATACGGTTTCTAGGAATTTAATTAATATTTGTGTACGTAAACTTAGGGTTGTATCGGTTAGAGGTGTGCAACTTCCCATCTCGGGGAAGCCGTGGGTATCCGTGATGTTGATATTAACATGGCCGGCTACTACTTTTAATAGATACTCCCCTTGTCCGGTGTACAGTGAATAGAAGTGAGAAAAATAATATAGCTGAATGTTTCATTTGTACATCTATGAACTCGGGAGGAATACCGTCCCTGATATGATCCAACATGACCAACATTGAAAATTTGGAAATCCCATAGGAACCTAAAAACTTTCAGCTGAATTCTGGAGTAAGCAGACAATTAACCCAACTACTTATACCCTGTAGTAGCATTCTTCTCTCGGAATCTTACTACGAGGTGGGAAAAAAAAAAAACAGTTTAGTCCCTCAATCAATTGCAAGCCTAAGAAATTTTATTTGATATAGAAATTTGACATTTAACTGAATATGGCTTAGTCCAGAGCAAGGCCCCTCAAGCGAGATCTTAGATCTAGATCTGAAATCTTGATCTTGTTGACTGAAATTTTTTTTTTCTTCACACCGTTATCCGAGTAATGGCGTCTTACCGAACCGATACCGGACGAGAAGTCACGGGTATCACTATCACACCCGACATCACATTTTTTTTGAGATCTTGAATTTTCTCGGCTTATGATCGGACTCGACTTTCCTACCTTGGTCTAGCTATGTTTATAATGCCTAACAAGGGATTATGTGCAACTCAAAAATTCGGGGCGAAGGAAGTGAGGGGCAGCAATTAATCATGGGGTGTTGCTACAAAATTCTAATCGATCAGCTAGTCAGCACTGCTTGGAGGGGTGTACTAGCCAGGCATCCCACTCAAAAAATATCGACGACAATTTGATCGCTCATCGGTATACTGAATTCACTAAAGCACTTTTACCTTATTTGCGTTCTAAATTCTTTACAACTAGGAAATTTAGGTCTAGAATTCTATACTATATATAATAGTATTAATACTATATATTTGATGTCTTTTATCCATGGTGCGCTGTTCCTTTCAGACGATTTCAATCCTATAAATTTATAATATATTAAATACTTATGCAAATACACCACCATCAAATCTCGATACGTGAATATAACTCCGATTCTTTCATACTCAAATAATCAACTAGAATTATATTTTAAAATAAACATATTGAATTTTAAAATATGCGTCCACAATCTTTATTATTCCTGACGTTTTCTGTTATTGTGGCAGCAGCCCCACTATCGACCTCAGGCCCATTAACAGCCGGATCTAAGGCCACGGGGGTCACAGTAGACAGATCTCGAGATGGTATGCTCTCCTTGCCTAATTTGACGTTTGCACTTTGGCACATGCACTATAGTACTAAGTAGAAACATTGTGGCACTACTTCTAACATATAAGGATCGCAGGATCTACACACATAACTGGTTTCAATCCCACTGGGGACTTTAAAGACATCCTCGACCGTATGGAATTGGGTATGCATCCTTCATTAATCTATAAGACTTAATATATGCCCTTTCTTTTCAGCATAGGATATTTTCCTAATTTTGAAATAATAAATAGATCTGTCAGCGAGGGATAGCGCTCAAGCTGCAGACCCAAATCCAACCGGACTACTTAACGACAAAAGACAAAGCAGTACTGTTGATTTCGATTCTGATGTGGTTCTGAAAATCGATATTGACAATGGCGGTAGCGATCCCACTCGGGTCGAAGTAAAGCCGAATGTTCGCTTCGATGGACAGGAGTCGGGGAGGGGTAAGACGCACGTTATAGTAGAAGGAGATGTCTTCGCCATTCCGGCAGGACACCATGTTTGGTCCCCAGGTGTATAAGTACAATTATACTAATTTGGCCCCCCCCCTTTTTATTCTTTATGTAACGTCTTATAGCCCGACAGCCCGTTTTTGTACAGCCTCTTATAATAATTTTTTTGGAATCAAGTTTGCGACTTGAGCTGTTTTGGGTCTGTTTCCCAGAACACGGTATAGCATCTGGAACACGAAACATACAGAAACTTAACTTAACAGGTAGGAATTTCGTTCTAGATCCGTCATCCGATTACAAGACGTTTAGAACCCTAAACTTCTATCCCGCTCCCGCGTGTAACGCTATATATATATAACGTATGCACATGTACCACGATATGTATAGGCGAGCCAAGCCTAGAATGCAGATTTAGACTCTAGACTCTAGAATATGCGTTGCCGTTGGATTTCCGAATGAATCAAAATTGGCTGGGCTGGCCTGGGAGGAGTTCAAGTTCGAGTAAAGTTTGTAATCTGGCGAACTCCATTTGCCCTGCCACCATGCAGATGTCGTCACAGGTCAAGGGGGGAGTGTGCGATAAAGGTCGGCTGGTTTGATTTGGTCAAAAATATGTTGAGGAAGGTGTGGCCATGGGCATAACTAACGGGTGGAGTCCGCTACTGACCTCTCTATGTACTTACAAGGGCCCCTTCGAGGAACGCCCTCCGAACAAGGGTTTTCGACGAAATAAACTTGGTAGAACTTGGTACTGGGCTAAGAAGTGCTTAAGCACATGGTGTAGGTACCGCACGTCGCCGTCGCCGGAGATAGGCCATTGAAAGGTTTTTTTCTTCTTTTTCTTGTCCTTTTTTCTTTTCTTCTTTGATTCTTGTTTGGCGAGAAGATGACCTTCCCTCTGCATTCCCTCGAATGAGCTCAACAGAATCACCCGATTATAACCCACCCTTTTGCTTCGAATCTGCATGATACCCCCATATTTCATATGATATCTGGACGTCAGGTATTATTAGGTATCATTCTATACGACCCGAGTCCGAGTCTGAGTCCGAGTCCAAACGGGAGCCTGAAGGAGGTATCATATGTCCTCCTCGGTTGCACATTTCCTGACCCGTAACCTTGGTGGAGGTCTACGCAGAGGGGGTGGGGGCCGAAAGTTCAAGTCAGCTCTTCCTCCCAGCACGGGCGCCTTTATTAATATACGCCATCCCCTCGTTCCATCTCGTCTTTCTCTTCTCAATTCATCTTCATCATCTTCATCATCTTCACTATCACCATCACTATCACCATCATCATCACCACTATCATTGTTATCATCATCTTCTCCAAATCATTTACATCTTGTTCATCAGCCCTTGTCAGCTCGCAGCTTCAGTATGCTTCATCCTCTTCAATCCCAGCACAACAAGGCAATGTCTCCACCGTTTCCTGCCCCATCACGAGCACAAACACAACCACTACCTCTATTAGAACCAGCAATCGAAGAATCCCTCTCATCAACGCCACCAAATGAGGCTGTCGCTGGCATCGATCCCTTAACCGGTCTGCCAAAACGTGGAAACAAGAGAGCATTCGCCAGCGAGGACCCGATTGAAGCTCTTTTGGCAAGAAACGAACACTGGTCGTCATCCGTCAGCAAAAAGTATCCCGAGTTGTTCCCATCTCTCGCCTCAACACAGAAACCTCAGATCCTCTGGTTCGGTTGCAGCGATTCGCGTGTGCCGGAGACAACCATTCTCAACCTGTTGCCTGGTGAGGTTTTCGTCCACAGGAACATTGCCAATTGTCTGCCGCCGAACGATCTCAGTTCCTTGAGTGTCTTGCAATATGCAGTTGAGGTCCTTCAGGTCAAACATATCATTGTCTGTGGTCATTATGGATGTGGTGGTGTCGCGGCCGCTTGCGCCCAGAAAAAGGTATGTGTGATACATCATGAAACATACACCGATTGACCCTCGGTTCCCAATATATATTATATATACTGACATCATTATGTCTCTGATTCAGCTCGGTCTTATTGATGTCTGGCTGAAGAACATTCGGGATGTCCGTGCAAAACATATGCCTGAACTTGAGAACATCAAGGACCCAGAACTCCGAGTCAGACGGCTTGTTGAGCTCCACACAAAGGCACAGGTTCATAACGTTCTCCACAACGCCAATGTTATCGAGGCGATGAAGGAGCGAGGTCTTAAGGTTCACGGTTTCGTCTATGATGTTGCCAATGGAAAGATTAGGAAGTTGGAAGTACCGGACGATCACTCGACGGAAATCTACAATCTCAACAACGATAAGCCACTACACTAAGATATATACCCATATCTTTCATATCTTTTACATCTTCTATGTTTCTCTTTCACTTTCGCTCTTTCTTTACAACACCCTGTATTATTATATCAATCTTTGGGCTATGGTGGGTTGTACTTTTTTTTGGATGTTTTAGCGGAGTATTTTGAGGCAGACAGCTACAATTACTATATACCTATAAGGAGTACCAACGGAATTTTACTTCGAATTCTTTTTCATTCTTTCTCCACACACACACAATGGCAAATTCAAAGTTCCGGATACCCTAGACTGCTTTCGCATCTTGGTTTTCTTGATCTTCAATTTCTCATTTCTTAGCATTCTCATATCAAGCTTTTTCTGCCAACCTATCCTGGCAACACAAATTGTCCAAATGATATCTTTGTCTCCACTTTCGTGAGAACAAAGTATACAGGGGAATCCCCATCGGTTTCCTGCACTCTGACCAACGGCAGCGACGAGCCAAGCAATATGCACGGTTTCTCTGACAGGCTGACATGCGGGTTCAGGTCCCAGCTTTCGTTTCCCCTCTTTCGTTCTGTTCCTTTCCCCGCTTGGAACAGGTGGAATCCGGCAATTTGTGCATTGTCAAACGGCTTGAAAAGAAACCGTGCTTGGGCCTCAATTTCCGAGCTCAAGAGCTCGTCTAGACCTTCAGAGACCGTTGGAAATGACCTGATATTATAGGCATATGTGGGGCGGGGAATGCGGGCGTTTCGAATCGAATGGACTTGGCTCTTTTTTTTCTTTCTCGCCTTGGAAGCTAACTAGCTAGCTACATACATACCTAGTAGCCTGGTACGAGCGCTGGTTCGACGCCGAAAAGTCGTTGAGGGATAGGCAAGTGCGCTGTACTCACACGCACACACGGGAACAACGGCAATGTCGGAACAGCAATCCCGAGGCCGTTCGGGTTCGCTGGTCTTGGTTCGGGTTGAGTAGGCTCGGATTGTCCGGCTGATAACAAATGAAAAAAAGAACCACCCACCCTCGGATGGGGTTACGTCGGCATGTCTATCACTTTTTCTTCCCTTTCATATGCATTCGGCCGTATACGGATTGGTTTCAAAGTGCTTAATGCGGGCACGTCCCGTAGCATATACGTACTTGCTAATAGGAAATCGCCGACAAAATTGGAAGAAGTCGGAGCTTTAACTATATCTTTTTCCCCCACATCTGTGTTATATCTGCATAAGCCTCATATGCTCATGATAATGCATTAATGGGAAAAAACAAGCTTTCTCTAACGCAAGTATACGTTGCTTGTCAGGCCATTTTAGATGAATATTGCCGATGCAAGCTGCCCGGCGGAGTAGGTACAACCGTAGGGAGAATTTTCTTCTTTCTTCTTCTTCCTCTTTTATCCAAAATGATCGTTTTATTTTTTTTTATTTTTTTTTAGGAGTCGTATCTTCGCAATACTAAAGGGGCTTTGCGCATTTTGCATTTGCATTGGTGAGGGGTATTTTTATTATATTATCTTGTGATAGATAAGTATGTATGTTGGTACCTACGAGTATGTATGCTGTCTATATCAGCTGATGAGCGCATAGATGCTCTGCCTCGTGATCACTAGAATCCGTGGGGATAATTCATATTCAAATGTATATTTGCCGATGGAGGCCGAAGCCGAAGATGATCGATATAGACGGTGCTTAAGGTTCCGCGATCAGAACCTGGTTCATTATCGGCCGGCCTCGAGGGGTTTCTAGCTATACTCGAATATTTCCTTCGGATATGCAAATCAAAATTGATTTATTTTATTTCAAAATGATCATGATATCGGGTGAATAAATGTATTGTATACTGATACATAATATCAAAATGTTGATGTTTCGATATGCCACCCGCGAAACATCCAGGGTGCATATCCTGATTCTTCCCCGCATTAAGACTTGTTTACATGTATGTAAATATGCATGCACGGCTATATTTAAGCTATATTTAGAATGCTTATCATAGGTTATTAGTATTGTGTGATAGTCACTAATTGCCACTTCGTCGCCTTGGGCTCTTAGATTGCGGTTACAGATATACAACCCCCCTTCTTTCCATATCACCAGATTTGAGATCCACTATCACGGCCCGGTTGATGTCAAAATGAACTCCCTTGTTACATTATTTCCGAGATTTCGAGAGTTATTATTGTGGGGCTGCTTTAGGAGGGTACATTTGGTTTTAGGTCCTAGACTTCAAAAGGAGGTTAGGAGAGCAGCATACAAGCACGTGTGAATATCTTGATATACGGCTCGTCTAGTAGCTAATTCCTAGTATTCGGAAGAAGAAGCCTAACCAAACATCCCCCTTCAATTTAGTCTGGTCAAAAATCGTATAAGTCCTATAACCGACTTCGGTGTCTTGATCATGGACAATATTTACTAGCTTCCCAGTACAGTAATGATAGATATCGTATGATACAGATGGTGGAGTATTCTAAATATCTACCCTGTTGTCAGATGACCAGATTGATTCCCTGGTAATGTAAGAAGTGGGACAGCTCCGCATGCAGGGCTTGGTTTTGGTAGGGTAGGGTTTTCGACGTTCCCCGAGAACGACGACGTCCTATCGGCATTTACTTCCAATTGGTTTTTGAAAAATGGGTTGTAGTTTGTGGTAGAAAACGGTTCGTAAGAATCGCGCTAAGGACCGTAATGACCAATTTGGCAAATTGAGCAGCGGCAGGTAGGTTATGCATATATTGTATCAACATTAAGCCCTAGTCAGAGCCTTTGGGGTCCTCAGCTCTTCAAAATATTAATGTATATCGGTAATATTTGTCATGATAAAGGGTGCCGGGTGCTGGTACCCAGTCAAACGGTTATCAGAGGACCTCCAATCGTTGTAGACTAGCAAATCCAATATCTCAGTGCAAAGACATCGATACCGTAACATGAATACCATCCGGGGACATGGAATTATACATTAGCTAGTACCAGCTAATTAATAAATCTTAATTCTCCATCCTACTAGGATTCCAAGCTGGCTCCAACATGCGACGCGAGATACGCGAATGCCGTTATCATGGCCATGATGTTGACGTTTGAATATATCTAGATATATCGATATCCAACATAACATGTCGATATATGGTTTATAAGCTAGATAGATACTCTCACAATGTATAACCAATTCTGACTTTCATGATGTCCAAACTCCCTAAATACCGTTATGCACACCAAACACCACGCGCCCAGCCTCCGATACTCGGGATTCAACCGTAATGCATTAATGCATGCATACGGATTCTAACACCTGGGGGAGGAGTAGGATATCGATATGTATAAAATTTATAAAATTCATCACCTGGGGCCAGTCAGCACTACTCCCCCCCCTTTTCCCCAGCTTTTTTTTTTTTTTTTTTTTCCAACCCTATCTCATTTTTTCTCCTCGGAGTTCCTCTCCGCTTATGTTGATGTCGTGCTATGTAAAAAAAATTGATAGGAAAAAAACTTGAGTAGGAGGAAAAATAAGGCTAAAGGGAGCTCACCCCCTTGCCCATGAACCCGCCCAACGGTGGCGCTAAGGGAAAACTACTATAGCTATAATAAACGAAAATGGTGTTTTGTAATTTTTTGCTCGCCTCGTTTCTTTGGTTAAGAGAAGAAAAGAAAAAAAGTACACTTAAACGTTTTTTTTTTCTTAAGAATTCTTTTACTATAAACCTGGTCTCGTACCCAGCTGCCCAGACCTGGAAGCTATTAACCGTTAAAACAACCGAAGGTTACTCTGCATCATGCGCGGGAAGTAGCAAGCATGTAATGTTAGTACATCAGCATGTACATACATACATACATACGTATGTCAGTACTTACTTATGAATTGTTGAGAAGATACTTGTCCACGCGGGGAAAGGAAAAAAGAAGCTGTATATAGCTATATGTGGCTGTTAACTGTTAACTGTTAACTTGTTTGCAGCTGCACATGTTTGACATGTCAAGGCGCAGATCCGAATGCAAAAAATTAACGTAATATGCCCTTAGATTGGTCTAAGATTGGCGAATTTCGGGTTAATGGAACTGTCCAAAACGGCCCAAACGGGGCTTCTTTATTTCGGCATGTGGATGATTCAATTGGTTGGAGCTAAGCTTGGAAAAAGGGCTTGCGAGGATGTTATTGCATTTGATGGCTGGTAGTATTTACGCGAAGCTTTGGAAGTCGTTGAGGTTTTCGAAGCGAAGGTGTGCAACGCAAAATTTACAACAAGCAATCTCGAAGATCAAGTCGAGTGACTAAGTGTGCTCTAAACCTGACTACCTTTACTTATACCAGGATCAAAGATATTACTTGATTCAACGTGTCTGGAGAGGCGTATACCTAAACACTACCTGGGGATTTAATTCAATAGAATGCCTTAGTCCTAATAGTAGAAATTGTACTACCTACCCTGGGGACGGGATCCTAAGATGAAAGACAGGCCCCAATACACATCCAGCTTGTGAGTCCCCCCGAGCTGCGGTGGGCATTGGGAGGAGAAAAGGAAAAGGGGTTAAGGTTATATTTTTTAATAAGAGTGAAACCGTGCAGCTATACTTAATAGACAACTTCATAGACAGAGAGGACAACATGCAAGAGACGTACCTTAGGGATCAATATACTAAGAGCGAGAAACCGTACAAACTTTCATTTCCAAAAATATCCTATAAAAAAATTGATTAGTTTTGAGGCTCAAAATAGTCATGTGACATCCAAACAGGTCCCGCACGTGGTAATAAATATGACCTTGATTACGTTCGTTTACTCTCGATGATCGTGACACGGAGGGATAGCTGGTTGTGCACACTAAGTACTTAGATAATGTGCCGACACCCCCTTTCCGGCACAGTGCTTAAAATAGGGTATATATACAGCCTCGTATTAGTATCTGTGGCATTATAAATTAGACTACACCTTCGAAGTTACTATAGAGATGATATATTTTGATGTATTTGGTGGAAGAGATTGGTGGTATTCTGGGGTAAATTTGTTCTAACTCTGCTAATTTGTTTTTTTGTTTTCTCTTTGTTTTTTTATAACACTAGAATGATGCTTGCAATGATGGGTTGGGTATCGATATATGTACTTAAGGGAAGAAAAAAGAATAGGTAAAAAAAAAAAAGGTAAAGAATATCTCGAAATGAAGGTCTAAAACAAATGAAAATGATGTGCCATGCCATGGTGGCCAAAAAGCCCTTCTATTCCCCGATACTCCACAATCAAGTCTAATCTCTTTTATCCCTCAACTCCCTAAATCTTTTCGTCACCTCCTCTCTCTTAGCAAGAACCTCCTCCTTCCACTGCGTCACATCACGCAAAGCTTTCCAATAATCATCTTTTCTAACCATCAGAAACTCCGTAATCTCCGCAGGCGAGAAGATATCGGCATCCAATAGGTCACCGAACCGAAGAGCTGCTGCTATAAGCTTCTCCTTCGCAATTTCGTCACCTTGTTCTTCATCGTCGTAGTCATGAGAGTACATTATTGTGAATAAGTTGACTATTTGTTCTTTTGTGGCAAGGCCGAAGGGGACTTCGAGGTCTACTCGACCCTTTCTGACGAGAGCTGGATCGAGAACTTCGGGGTGGTTTGTGGTCATTATGAGGATTCGTCCTATATATAAGTTAGTATTTGAGATATAAACTAGGGGTTCTTGGGGTTTTCTCTCTTACCCTCATGGCTAGCTACCCCGTCGATAGCATTCAACAGTCCAGACAATGTCATTTGTGTTTTATGCTCCCCCTTGCCTTGATCCCCACCCGCCGATCCATCTCTTCTCCTGCTAATATCCACAGTATCGATATCTTCCAATAGCACAATACATCTATTCGGTAAAGCTCCAAAGCATGCCAATAATTTATCCTCCGTCATACCCGTATCCACCAAACTCAAACAATAAATCGGCAACCCGAACAATCCACCCAACGCAAAGCTCAAGGAAGTCTTTCCGGTCCCCGGTGGTCCATGGAGTAAGTAACCCCTTCGATAAGGGATTCCTCTGTTAGCATACCACCTTGGAGCCTTTGGGTTTAAAAACTCATTGACGTCTCGTAAGAGCGCCTTTTTTGTAGATTCGTCAAGACTGATGGTGCTGATTGGACGGGTGGCGCGGGTGGCGGCGCAGTACCATCTGGGACTCCAGGAAATATCCTTTGCACGGAAGATTCGAGTTTTGGAGCACTCTTGGGTTAGGTAGATGGATTTTGATTCTTGGAGGAATTCTTTGATGGGGTCGGCGGATTGGCCCCAGCAGGAGATGCGGATGTATTCTGATTTGTTAACTATGATTTAATGAAAGGGAGATTCGTGAGAATTAGTCTTTTCTTCCTGCTCCTGTGAAGAGGGACTTGGAAGATCATGTGAGGTAGATCTAGAGATTGCTTACTACTAAATTGATTCCCAGAAAGGAGGTGGTCCTGTAAAAGACTATCATTCTTGTTTCGTGTGATCCAGAATCTTCTGCCTCGAAAGAAAAAGATATGTTCGCCAACATGGGGTTCAAAGTCCGGCTCTAGTAGCACTGAATGTTAGCCTTCTACAATGGCCATTTAACGCACACTTAACCGCCTCCCCTATGATTATGCACACATACTTGTAAACTTTTGCCATTCGATCAAATGAAACTTTCCGTCCCTTGCTGAAGCATTATACTCCATGACTCTCGTCTGATCCTCAGAATATCCACTGGCCTTCGCTGTTCTTGCTTGCAATCTCCGTGTCGATACATTCACGGCAAGCCATGACATGACATGAGTATAAATGGGATCATCAGAATCGATAGTTATAGATGTTTCGTAGTATAATGAGAGGTAATGTAATACCCTGATCCAAATATATGTTGTAGAGCTAATGATTGCAAAAGTAACGGTGGTAAGACGAAAGATCCAATTGTAGGAAGCCAAACTGAAGAAATCAAAGATATCAGACATGAAGTCTGGGCTAGCTGTTGGTAGGATGGTTTCTAGCATAGTGAGGGGTATGGAAGAAAGAGGATCTGTGTCTCTATCGTATCTAAGGTCGTTGGAGTTTGCTGCTGGGAGGCTTTGGATTTGATTCATCGTGCTGGAGTAGTTTTGGGGGGGAAGAAGTAGAGATACTCCCTTTAAATATTGTTTCCTTCTTCTTCCAGTTGCTCAATTGACTTTAGGTGTTAATGTTTTTTTATCCAGCCTTCTCCAGACTTTGTATGATCTTGGAGTAGACAATGGTGAGGAATTCTTGTCTTGGAAAGATTGGGCGGGCCTTTCTCTGTGCGTTGTGGCGACAGAAGGGAGTGTTGGATTGGACGTCAGCCGACTACCCAACTTGCGGTCCCAAATGTGGAATGACAAGGATAGGGGTCCTCGGGAGGTTTAGTCCGGGCGGGAGCTAGGGCAGCCAAGTACCTCCTTCCCGAGCAGCTTAGATCGATCTGAGATCTGGATAGCTTGGGAGGTGTGTTGGTAAAACTAAGGTACCTTAAGGTATCTTGGATATCTCTGCCTAGGGACCAGTATTCTTGATACTTACAATAGGATGGCTCTTGAGAAACCCTTTGAAATATCGAGGAGGAAATTCAATTAATTTATAGCAAATTATAGCTGTATAGCCCGGCTGTTGCTTGATCCTATATCATTGAATCGAAAGTGGCATACGACACAAACAAAGGAGTGAACTCTCTCCTGCATCGTGTGAGAGTTCTGTCTGCTTCCTCTACAGGGTATCAGCAGAAGTACCGGCATCCGGCGTAGAAGTATTTCAACTTGCGACGAGCCCCTCTCGAGCTCTCCGGCGAAAAGGGAACTATAATGCATAGAGCAATCAATCTATATCGCGGCACAGTATCCCACCAATTCGCAGGAAAGTCAATTGGGAATTCGGGCTCTAAAAGATGGGTACCAGGAAATCAAAAGATATCCGGGTGTCGGTACGAGGGTCTGTGCAAACATCGACAACTTGCATATCCGCCAGTTTGTGTACCCAATCGTAATCCATCAATTTGCCTTTACGGCGCTCCTCCTCCTCCCAATGGCATATTCCAGGCAGGATGCCAGTTTGCTGTCCGTTACGGCCTATCGGCAAATGCATTAAAATGCTGTTTTATGCCTATTCCGCATGCGAGTAAACATGGAAATCCGAATTTGTAGCATGCTTTTCAAATCGAAGTTTGCGCAATCGAGGGGTTCGAGAGTGGAGAACATATTTGTGAAGGTGATGTAGGCCCTTTTTTTGCGGCAGCCGCGGAAATAAAGATATATATAGCATATAACGCTATTTCAAACCAACTTCTTGGAGGTCCTTGTGATGGGGCGCAGTTTCCTAAATCATAAAAACATTCTTTCAACTTGTATCCTCCTTAGATCATCATTTCTTCTTCTCGAAGAACCACCTCAGGTGATTGGGTTCGAGACTAGAAGAACTCTTGTGCAAATATTTGGGTTCATAGACGGAACGGTGGCGTTTGCCATACTATCACGGAGCGCCGATGTTTTGAATGGAATGCTCGTCGCATGAAGTAGGAAGAAGCAGCATGAAGCAGAAGGAAGCAGCACCAGGCAGTAATATCAACGCTCGCTAAACTCCATGTACAAATCGCAGGTTGTGGCATTTTATCCAAAGTCTGCTTGGACCGGCCGTACATATCCGGGAACTCTCAGCGTCACACTGCACGGCACCGAATTCTTGGTACTTGCACTTGACTGAAGGAATGATACCAGAGGTCGCCGCTTTAGGCCTGACCATGGTCTTTCACCGTACTCTGACATATTAGATATTTTTTTCCCAATTTCCTCACGAAGCGCCGTCGAATAGCATAGTTGCTGTAATTATATGGAGTGATCGCCACCTCGCACCGGACGGGCTGACGATTGGAAAGAGACGTTCTTGATGGTAACACAAAAAGGCCCAACACTTGTACCGTATCTTCCTTCGCAGTCTCGTAACCAGACTTGTGTGTTCTTCCTTCGATAAACCCACCGAAAATATCAGCAGGTGACTTGGTATTCATGAACCTCTGGTTCCTATATCCCGCTCTTGCATGAACTTATCCAGGGATCAAAAAAGTGGTCACAGTGTTCTTCATCTATCGACGGCGTTTTCGTGGATGACCCAATTGCAAAAATTGGGTTTGAAAATTCCCAAAAGGGAAGATTTTGGGCTCGAAATTGTTCTCACTGAGTGCCACGGCAGTAGGCAGGAACCGAAAAGAGACGGGAATATGCAGCGCTGTCGATGAAATTGGGGTCAGTCGGAGCGAGGAGCTGTGGTTCTGAAGCAAATCAGAAAGAACGGAAATTTTTTTCATAAGGGTCTTATCGTGAAAAATTGGTGAGACCTGAAAACGATAGAAAGAAATATGTGTCATTCTTAGTAAGAGAATGAAAATACGTCCTTTTGATAGCGAACAACCACATGTGCGCCCAAAAGCTGCCTGATGCACGGCAATTGGATTGGTTCCTCTCCTTCGGAGAAATCTTGGGAGCCTGCAATGCTCCGATTCCGTTTTGGGGGGCTGTCTACCCTGGCCGCCTAGGAGGTTCACTTCAGTTGGGAAGGGCACGAGTCGCACAAAACCACCAGTTATGCACTGGTGGGTGTGGAACAACAAGCGTGGCCTTTCTTCACGCCTCTCAGTCTTACCATGCTGTATGACCCGGGGGAACTGTTCCCTTGTGACCCCTAGACCAAACGCTTATCCACTATTTCTTCTCCTGTCGCCAACTCTTCATAGCCTTTGTACTGTCATGAGCAGCACGGAATACTACAATGCCACGAAGGTAGCCCTCATGATCAGCAATAAATTCTTTCTTTTTCCCCTTTGGAACAATGTCATCTCAAACGGCAAACGGCAGAGCTCTCGTCGTCGTTGTTATACATACTCTGCCTCTCCGACTCCTCCAAACCCGTCAAGAACTCTGTACCCTCGCCCAACGCACCTTTCGGATTAACCGCATGATCCGCAATTTCAATCGTCCTTTGTCGAAAGGTCTCTGACAACGTGTCTACTAGTTCATCTTCTGCGTCTTCGACGAGGTTGACCATTCGCTCTCCAAGGGAATAGTAGTGTGTGGCAAGATCTCGAAGGTTGACGGAGAGAGGGTTGGCCTTAAGTGCATTCATTACTGGTGCAGAGAGTGCGTGAGGAATATTCGTGTGAATGAATGTTTTGGTCCCAAGTTGCTCGCTAGATAATTTGTTAATTAGCAAAAAAATTAATAACAACCTCCAAAACAAGATTTTGAAAGCAAAGTATCACAGCATAAGCAGTGAAATATTGCATTTTTTGTAGTTGGTATCTTGCAGTGTGATGTTGTATAGGGACGAATGGGTATTCCAGCCCTTCGCATGGGGGTTCTTGTAGTACGTTCGTTCGTCTCATCTTTCAAAATCTCGAAAGCGAAAAAGAAACTTGTAGAAGAGGCGACAAGGTATAGAATGGTGTAGGTTTGTACCTGACAGCCAATATCTCAGCCAGCCAAATAGGCATCTCGAGTTTAGTCCCGGCTTTCATATCGGAGTTATCATTTCCGTCCAGGTACCCCAACCCGGGTACATCGACTTCGAAGGTGCATGGTATTTTCTATGAATGAAGATAGGTTGGGTGTGAGCATCCGTGTCAGCCTATTATTGGAACTCAAAATCGACAGCCTAGGTTGCAACCTGTGGAGTTGCCGTCTCCCCGAGTTTTGACGTTTTAAAATCAAGATCTATTAAACGATCATGTAGGGTTTGCATACTGCTCGTGGGCTGAATAATCCTCCCACCGAGACGTTTTGCAACGAGTACAGGCGGAATTGAGATGTATGTAATGGTATAGAATGTACTGGGATGATGATGTTTACCTGTGCATCGGTTAGGATAGCGTCGATATCGTAGTATTTGCTGCCCATTGTCGAGACTTCCACGGTGCAGTGATCTTGATATGATAATTGGATGAAGTTGAAGTTGGTGACAATTGGAAGTTGGAGCTCAAGCTGTCATGTCAAGAGCTCATGGCAGGTATAGTGCTGCTGGACATGGACATGCAATGCATGGTTGTTTGTGGTGTTTCGCGTGGAAAGGACGTGTTGGTTAGCGCATATAATATATTACCTCTTTAGGAAAGTGGGTTGTTATCCATATTTATTTCCTTAAAAGGTAATCTAGGATATAATTCTTATCTCCGAGTATTGTGTAATGGCGCCGGCTTTCGGGAAGTGATGTAATTGTGATATTCTAGACCCGCGGATATTTTGTAAGCGTCGACTAGACTAGCATTCTTTCACCCTCATTTGTAACAAACTCCTGCAATTGACCCTTGATATCTTCAAGAAACCACCGGTAAACAGCCGATTCGATACCAATTCCAATTCTTCGGGTACGTTCGTGTATTTAAAGTGTCCTTTCATGGCTGTTTTACGGACTTGAATTCTTTGGAATACACGCAATGTCACAAGCTAGCCCGAGTTCAAGATATATCAAGATACTGAGACATTAACATATACGTATATCGTCATTTCAACAGGACACAACCACTTCTCAATCGTATTCAACCATGTCGATTGCAGCTTCAGCACGCTCCACGCTCGTCAGAGCATCCAAGGCATCTAGTGTTCGTGCCTTGGGAGGCCTTACCGCTGTCCGAACCAAGTACACCCTTCCGGACCTGCCATATGACTTCGGCGCTCTCGAGCCACATATCTCTGGCCAAATCATGGAGGTAACCTCTTCTATTTTTATTTTTTTTCGTCAGGAGAAGAATAAGGAGTATAGACTAACAAAATTTGGGAATTGATACCAGACCCATTACACAAAGCACCACCAAACCTATGTCAACGGCATCAACGACGCGCAAGAGAAGTTCGCCGCCGCGTCTTCACCTGCCGAGAAGGTTGAATTGACTTCGCTCATCAAGTTCCACGGTGGTGGCCATGTGAACCATAGCTTGTTCTGGGAGAATTTGTCTCCTACCAGCAAGGCTGGTGGTGCACCACCCAGTGGTAAGTTGAGCGAGGCAATCAACGATACCTGGGGTAGCTTGGATGGCTTCAAGGGAAAGATGAAGTATGTTTCTCTCTCATGATAGTATTTGAGTTTCTTTTGTTATAGACTTTGCATTCTAACTATGTAATAGCACCGCTCTTGCCGGTATTCAGGGATCCGGATGGGGATGGCTTGTCAAGGATAACACCACCAATAAGTTGTCTATCATCACTCTACCCGTAAGTCTATCCATCGAGATGTCTGGATATCAGACGGATTTAGTACTGTTCACCGATATGTACAACTGACTAATGCTATTATTATAATTAGAACCAAGACCCAGTAAGCACCACCCAGTACACTCCAATCATTGGTATTGACGCCTGGGAGCACGCATATTAGTAAGTCTATCATTTACTCCTATTCGAAATTAATAGGAACTATAAATATCTAACCGCATTACGTGCAGTCTCCAATACAAGAACGTTAAGGCCGATTATTTCAAGGCTATCTGGAACGTTATCAACTGGCAAACTGGAGAGAAGAGATTCTCTTCCTAGTTGGTTCAATAGAGACTTTCAACTTGTCGCTAAGCGAAGGGAGTGAAGGGCTTGTAGTTAGTATTGGTACAATAAGTATTTCAAGAAGCAATTTTGGCCTTGATATCACTTTTAGTACAAGAGACGAGGTTCTGCGTATACTCTAATATCGTTACTAAGGGATCATATGTGATCATATCATGACGAGTGAAGTGAAAAGTTAGTAATTAAGAATATACACTTATTAAATCCCAAGTACATATTGCATACACAGCAAAAACACCCCTAAAATCATGTAGCACTATTATCTATCAATCATTCCAGAATTTTTGACAAAAAGATCTAATCCGACGCAGATTGGATCGTTAACTTGGAAATTTATGTCCCCAACTTCAACAGTAGAACAAATCGAAAATGTGTTGCCTTGAAATTAGGCGGTTGTGATTGGCCACACGCCAAAAATGACCTCAGAAGTCAACTTCAAACCCGACAGACTTCGACAACCTCGAATTTTGAAGCCCTTCCGACATCGTCACCAGCCAATTGACGGGAGTCACTAACATCATCGAGGTCGGTCCCTATAGGCCCTACTACTGCCCACCATGCTGGCCTCACGAAGTGCTTCCTCTTCTGTCCGCGCCATCTCCAAACGCCTCTCCACAGCCGCCTCCTCCTCCTCGACATCCACCACCACCCTCCTCCGCACCACCGCCTCTTCCCTCCAACATGTCCGCGGCCTAGCCACCCCGGCAGCAGACCCGGCTCCAGCCCCAAAACGTACCCAATTCGGCGGTCTAAAAGATCAAGACCGTATCTTCCAAAACCTCTACGGCCACCACGGCGCCGATCTCAAATCCGCGCAGAAGTACGGCGACTGGTACAAAACCAAAGAAATAATCCTCAAGGGACACGATTGGATCATCAATGAAATCAAAGCCTCAGGACTCCGAGGCCGTGGTGGTGCTGGTTTCCCATCTGGCATGAAATGGTCCTTTATGAATTTCCCGGGATGGGATAAAGATACCCGGCCGAGATATTTGGTCGTCAATGCCGACGAAGGTGAACCTGGGACTTGTAAGGATCGTGAGATCATGAGGAAAGATCCTCATAAACTCATCGAAGGGTGTTTGGTCGCCGGAAGGGCTATGAATGCTACTGCTGCGTATATTTATATTCGTGGGGAGTTTTATCATGAGGCTACTTGTGTGCAGAGGGCGATTCAAGAGGCCTATGCTGCTGGATTGATCGGGAAGAACGCATGTGGCAGCGGATATGACTTCGATGTCTACGTGCACCGAGGAATGGGAGCATACATCTGTGGTGAAGAAACCTCGCTCATTGAATCCCTTGAAGGCAAGCCAGGAAAACCGCGTTTAAAGCCACCATTCCCGGCTTCGGTCGGTCTCTTCGGTTGTCCATCCACTGTCGCTAATGTTGAAACCGTTGCTGTTGCGCCAACAATCTGTCGTCGTGGCGGGAAGTGGTTTGATAGCTTCGGCCGTGATCGGAATTCTGGTACCAAGCTATTCTGTATCTCCGGAAATGTCAACAACCCTTGCACCGTCGAGGAAGAAATGTCAATCCCGCTCAAGGAGTTGATTGAGAAGCACTGCGGTGGTGTTCGTGGCGGATGGGATAATCTGCTTGCTGTCATCCCCGGTGGTTCCTCGACCCCGATTCTACCAAAGCATATCTGCGACGATGTGCTTATGGACTTTGATGCTTTGAAGGACGCACAGAGTGGATTGGGAACCGCAGCAGTTATTGTGCTTGATAAGAGTGCGGATGTGGTCAGATCTATTGCTCGATTGTCGGTCTTTTACAGACATGAGAGTTGTGGACAGTGCACACCTTGCAGAGAAGGTAGCAAGTGGACACAGCAGATTATGGAGCGGTTTGAGAGGGGACAGGGAAGTGTTAGGGAGATTGATATGTTGCAGGAGTTGACGAAGCAGGTTGAGGGACATTCTATTTGTGGTATGTATCTTCTACTCAGCTGAAGTTCTAATATCGAAGAAAGGAAGGATGCTAACATATGGGAAATAGCTTTGGGAGAGGCTTTCGCCTGGCCGATTCAAGGGTTAATAAGACACTTTAGACCAGAACTTGAGGCACGGATGCAGAAGTATGCTGAATTACAGGGCGGTGCTGCCAGAGCTGGTGGATGGGATCATGATTCTGCGCTGAAGGGTACATTCTCTACACCCGGACCTTGAAGACTTTCTTTATAAGAAAATGGGTTCCGGTCTTTTTTGATTCAGCGTGTATATTTTTTGGTTCCTTTTCACAAAAAGCTGTTTTTACCGATAGTGTAACGGCAGTTGTATAGGTTAGATTCGGTCATCCTTTTTTCTTCTATTTAACTTCGAATTGTGTATAGTCATTTCTTTTTTCTCTTCCTCTTAGGGAAAAAGAAAGAAACGTTTTTTTATGTCGAATATATAATATTTCAGTACATACGTCCTAGATTGGGGTATCGTATTCGAAGTCTATGATGATGGAAGTCTTCCAAATTATGGGATCGTGAGGTAGCTGTAATGCAAGAGTAACCCGCCCCCAATAACGCCAAACAGCGGTTAACATAAAAGCAATAAAAAGGATATAACGCTATACACAAATACTCTTTCTCTTCCAAGGCATTAACGATTGATGATTGACATGAAATAAAATAAAAGATCATGCAGCAGCCTCCTTAACCGGCTTAACTTCATCTTTACCACCATCTATAAACGTCGGCACTTCTTCTTGCAGGAAGCTGGGTATCTCGCTTTCCATGTTTGCTTCACTCCAGCCGAGCTCTGCCTCTGCGCCTAGAGCCTCGAGTTCGGCGTCCAACTCCGATTCGTCGATATCGTCGGGTACATCGTAAGCTCTTGCTAAGGAAGCGTTGATGTCGTTTCCTATTTCGAGGAGGTCTGCCATTTCATCCTGGAGTTGTTCTATTTTGTCGATGTCTATTTTGCCGTATTGCTTTTTTAGGGTTTGGTTTGTAGTTTTGAGGGCGTCGACGGTGGTCATTACGTCTGGTTTTCAAGAATTTAGTAACATATTCCCCACAATTCACGAGGTTAAACTCGGCGAAGGGAAATGAAAGAAAAATACTCTTCAAATTATCCGTCATCATATTAGCCTGTTCCATATTCCAACTCTGGTTCATCAACTGATCCCTCTGAGTCTCATACTGTTTCCTACGTTTTAAGACAGAGAGAGCCTTGGTTTTTACGGAGTTTTTCGCGGGACCGTCACGCATTTTTGACATTTTGGACTGGTAGGTTGCTAGTTCGGCATTTAGTTTTGAGATTTGGACGTCTAGGGAGGACACGCGGGTATCGATTTTGGAGATGGCATCGTCCAAGGTTGGCTTTGGACCGGTGGCTTTGGTGCCGAAGAGGCGATTCATTTTGGATGTTTCTTTTCCCTTTTTGGTTCTTTTAGGTTTCTAGTTAGGGAAGTAGTCGGTAGGGGTTATTGTAGTATGATGGCGGGTGGCGCTGAGGTTGAGATGGATGGAGGAGATGGGATGAAGTGAGAGGATGGGAGAGTTAAAGCGGTGGAGGGGCAATTCGTCAGATGTCTAACGTTGCGACAAAACAGTGCAAACGTCACCCGGCAGCTTTAGCTCCCTAAGCTTGGCTTATGCTTAATTACAATTCCACTGCTCAACAAAAAAGAACCCTTTGAATTCGGTATCTTAAAAAAGAGAGAGAAAATAAAAAGGTTTCTATGTTCGAGTCGATAGAATAACCGGTTTCTTAAAAATCAACAGATACTTTATTTTAGTTTCTATTGAAATCTGAGGTTGGTAAGGCTAACTCGATCACAGGTGTTATGGTGAAGAGCTTCAACCACAGTCAACACATATGCACATATCGATCTCTGATGCTGATCTATCTGTTCATGAGGGCCTATGCATATATGCTTTATCTCGCCCATGCTACTGGAGCAAGTGATATTATATTAAGCGCTGTCTTTGTTTCATATGGTCAGGTATATTTTCCCAGAATCCAATACGCACCGGCAGAAGGTCCAGCCGGAAGCGCTTTTAGAGATCAGAGAATAATATCAAATGCCGAACTGCGACGAGACAAAACTGCCCAACTGTCCCAGGGACTATAGCCCAACTTGTCAAAAAGGCAATACCCTATTTTGCACTAGCTCAGAAAGTTCAGGCAAGAAGCGAGTATGTGATTAGAGGATGTCTTTCTAGATATGGCCGAGTATACAACCTTGTCAGGGCTTCGGGGACAACATCAGCCTAAGATTCGGACACTATAGCCGCCTGGATTGATAATACTAGCATGATGTTTATATATCAGAATACCCACGGATAGATATTCTCCTAGATCTGAGGAAAATTTCGTACTCTACTGAATCTGCACTTGACGGGGTTGCTAGTGAAGGCTGCAGAGGTACTAGGAGACATACCATGACCGGCCAGACACACGTGCACCTAAAGTATTCTGGTATTAATATGTGGGAACTAGATTTCGAAACAGACTTCTAAACCATATCAACCTTGCAAATGAAATAACTTTTTCAGTCTTAGCGAAATTCAAGACGAAGATGTTACTCTTGTAGGAGATTGGGGGTGGTCAGAATCCTGCCAGGAGGCTTATAAGCTTATTGATTAGGAGACTGGTGGGATATATCCTTCTGATTTGGTATTCCGAGCATACTAAATTTATAATTAACTTAGAAACGAAAGTATACGTATGTAAGTTGGTGTTAATTTGAAGTATCAGGAGGTATATGGTATCGATTGAATATTTTATATCACCAATAGTATCGATACCAATACTGGTATAATCTCATTCGTATGATAGCTGTCATCCAACCTCTGACTACCTCGTCCATTTAGCCGTCTAATTTTCAAACTATATACTCAACTTTATCTCTAATCCCTCCTCGATAATATTAATTAAATGCGTTATCTTTTCACATGTATACGTAGCTTAGTGTTAATTAGTAGTCTCCAGTAGTGCACCGGGCCTGTTGAGAAGAATGAATGTCCTGTGTTGCACCAATGTTGCATATTTCCTGACAAAACGGGTAATTTTATAAGTGACAAACATATATCCCTCTAAAAGGCCAGCTTTGAGTAGCTGCGGATGCGCCTGTGTTATATAACCACCAAGTTCCCTAAGCAAGCCGCAGGAAGTCTGGAGTAAGCTAAATTATAGACAACCCCCCAGGAGTAAGTTACCTCCCTCGCTCATTAACCTCACTCAACCTCACAATCACTAACTCATCTCTTCTAAAAAAAAGGAAAGGAAGAGAGAAGATGCGACAATGCAAGTCCCCGGGTTCACACACACACCCATCAGTCAATTCTTCGTCTACTACCTCGTCATAGCCGCCGTCTTAATCTCGGTCAGCGACTACAAATACCTCTTTCACATCCAAATAATCCCGCATTTATGGCGATGGGGACAATGGTGGAGAGTTCTGATCTGGCAGTTTTCGTATGCCAATACCGGTGAAGTGCTTTTTGCTTCGTTGGCGGTTTATACGCTTAGAGTCGTGGAGAGGTTGTGGGGGAGTAGGAAGTTTGCTGTATGTGGTTTTTTACCCTTTCCCTTCTTTCTTTTTTCCTAATTCTTTGGAGTTTGTTATTATGATGATGATGGTGATGATGGTGATGGAGACGATGGTATACTATTATGATATAGATGACGCTGACGTTGTGATGGTGACGATGATAACAACAGAGCTTCATAACCTACAACCTAATCTTCACATCCCTCATAACCCCCCTCCTCCTCGCCATAATCTTCCGACCTCTAACCCTCTGGCGAATGAACTACCTCCCACCGGGTCCGACCCCTCTAATCTTCGCAATCCTAGCCCAATTCCACGCCACAATCCCATCAACCTACAAATTCCGTCTCTTGCTCCCCATCTCCCCTTCACCACCCCCACCGGAAGCAACACCATCCCTCCAAGTCGCAAGAGAAGAATCAGAACCATCCATCACTCTATCCGATAAATTCTACGTCTATATCGTTGCCGCTCAGTTGGCTGTTAGTCAGTTCCCAGGGAGTTTGGTGGGTGCTGCTGTAGGTTGGATTGCTGGGTATGCTTGGAGAGCTGAGGTTGTGCCTTGGGGGAGGTGGAGGTGGCCGATTTGGTTGTTTGAGAAGAGGGGGGTTAATGATGGTGGTAGTGGGTATGGGGAACTTAGGAGGATGGCTAGAGGGGAAGGGGAACAGGGGACCGGGGTGCAGCAGGTTGGAGAGGGGCAGGAACAAGGGGATGGAGATGGGAGGAGGCCGTTGAGTACGCAGATTTTGGATCAGTTTAGGGGAGGGTTTTAGGGTTTGATTTGGACGGGTAAGGTGTATTTCTTTGTATGTTAATGTGTGTATGGGTTATTATTCTTTTTTTCTCTAGCATATTTGCTATAATTTACCTATTTATGGCAGTCGATCAGTCGGGCCTTATACCTTGAAAGTGTAGAGATATAGAGATTAGAGAGTGTGGTGGGAATTTCCCTTGATATTCAGGAAGTAGTAGTCTCTGATGTTATGATCATGAAGCTTGAGCGTATCTTCATAAAGTACTTAACTTAAGGAGCTTGTGTAATGAGGCTCTGCGAGCTATCCTCTTGGCATCCAAACCATCTGTCATACATCCACACCTTGAACATTTTCGCGTCACAACCTTCCCTTCCCTTCCCTTCCCTTCCCTTCCCTTCCTTCTCCACGCCCTCACCACCACCATCGTCATCATCAGACCACTCCCCAAATGATGAAACGTTCCAAACTCTCCATGCAAGTCGCCTACGACTCCGACTCCTCCCAAGCAAACACCGACTCCGATGCCGACCTCCCAAACGATGATAATACTACCATAACCAACAACGAATTCGATACATCATCCCACCGTCGCAAACGTCAAAAACGTTCTAAACAGGACGCGAAAGAAGCTGCCGCTCTGGGAGTCTTCGGTAGCGATAGCGATGACGACGATGATAACTTTAGAGATTATTCTAGAGGGAAGAGGGGAAAAGTCGGGTTTAGGAATTTGAGGGAAGGGGGGATGAGTTTTGTTAAGAAGGGGGAAGGGAAGGGGAAAGATGATGAGTATGGTGATGATGATGATGATGATGATGACGACGACGATGACGATGAAGAGGAGGAAGATGAAGATGGAGATGAAGGGCTCAAGCAAGATCCATTCGCTGTGGAAGCTACAGCCGGTCTTCGCGATATAGGAACTCGAAGAGGAAACGAAGGATACTCCGAAGATGAAGATGAAGAAGAGGAATCACGACCAACAATCGGTCTCGGAAACGCCCTGCGAACCGCATTCTCCGCCGTCACCCCAGCTACAGCAGACGAAATGTCACTTGATGAAAGTGCAGACGATAAACCCCGAATCTCATTAAAACCCCGTCTGTTCGCTCCAAGAGCCTTGGGCGGTGGTGGTAGCAATCTAAAAGGTTTTACATCTGGAACTGCTACACCGGGTTCTTTGGACGGTCATCGTGGGTTGGGGTTTCAATCCGCTGGGACCAGTAGTATGGAACAATCACCTGCTCCTGAAGTTCAAAAACCTTTGTTCAGACGAGCGGGGCTTGGAAGCGGAAGTGGTGGTGGTGGAGGAGTCGGGTTGGGATTTAGGAAGGCCGGGGTTATTGATTCTACAGATTTAGCTGGAGAAGAGGAGAAGATGGATGAAGATTATTATGATGGGCGGGGAGAAGAGGAGGAGGAGGAAGTAAAGGCCTCTATGATTAACCCCCTCGGTCAGGGATTCGTTTCATCGATACAAAAGGAAGCAATGATGTTTGCACCTCCAAATGGTGGTGAACAGGAAGAAGAGGAAGAGGCGGTAGTCGAAAAACAAAAGGCCAGACCATCGTTTACCGACGTCCGAGGGATGAGGGGGAAGAAACAAAAGGGTGATGCACCAGTGATCAATCAAGATTCCTTCGCTGCGAAGATGATGGCAAAGATGGGGTATCAACCAGGCCAGGGTTTGGGAAAAACTGGAGAAGGAAGATTGGCGCCTGTGGATACGCAATTAAGACCTACGAGAATTGGTTTGGGTGCTGTCAAGGAGAAGACCGAACAAGCAAAGAAGGAGGAGAGACGGGCGAAGATTTTGAGAGGAGAGGTGCCGAGCGATAGTGATAGTGAGAAGGAGAGGAAGAGGAGGAAGAAGAAGAAGAAGGGACTGGCTGGGCTTAGTAGTAAAGAGGGTAGCGGCGCTAGCACGCCGGCTAGGAGGCGGCCTCAATTTAAGACCGCAGAAGAGATGGCGAAGGAGTTGGAAGGCGTGGAAGTTCCATCTGCTTTGAAGAATTTGATCGATTTGACCGGGAAGGGGGTTGATGTTGGTAGTCCTGGAATTATGGCGGGAGGACTGTCCGAGGTGGAGAATGAGAATGTAAAGATTGCGAAACTAGCAAGGAAGGAACTCGAGGATTTCGCCAGAGAGTGGAAGAGATTGCAGGAAAGGAAGAAGTTTTTGCAATTGGAGGAGAAACAGATGACGGAGGATATGGACGAGCAGGCGGAGACTGTGAAAGCTTTACAAGGGATCGTGGATGGAGCTGAGAAGCTTGCTATCGATGTATCCGTTGCGGACAGTCGGAATGAGTTTGAAGACAAAATCGCGGCTTTGGCGTCTGAGCTTGAGGCGATGCAGTTCAAATACAAGAACGAAGTGGAACTGTACGATCTCTCAGAAGTCGCTATCGCTGCATTCCATCCTTTGGTAAGAATTCTTAATTCACAGCTTAACTTAAATATCTCCTTTATACTAACATTTACATAGTTCAAATCCGCCTTAGCAATCTGGGATCCTCTCACCGACCCTGTCTACCTCCTAGATTACATCCGCAAACTTCGCCCCATTTTCAACGTCCGCACCCTCGAAGACATGGAGGCCTCCCTCGTCACAACGGGATACGCTGAAAAATCGGGTAAAATGTCAACATATTACGAAAGCATGATGTATAGCATCTGGCTACCCAAGATCCGCAGTACCATTAACAACCACTGGAACGTTCACGATCCCACGCCCGTTCTCACAATTCTTGAAACCTGGGCCGGTGTGTTACCACCATTTGTTAGTGACAACATTTTGAACCAGCTGGTCCTGCCGAAAGTCAAAGCTGCGGTTACAGAATGGAACCCACGGGTCTCATCAAGAAGGAAAACAGCACCTCCACCGCATGTGTGGGTTTTCCCGTGGTTACCACATCTATCGTCACATATGGATGATCTAGTGAGAGAGGTTAAGAGGAAATTCAAGGGTGTTCTGGATAAATGGGATCTCTATAAGGGAGTCATAGACGGCCTAGAAGCCTGGAGAGAAGTCTTCGGACCCGGAGAATTGGAAAAGATGTTAATCTCCCACCTCCTACCACGACTAGCCGATTTACTACGACGAAAATTTGAAGTCAACCCGGCGGATCAAGATATAGCACCATTAGAAGCAGTAATGGCATGGCATGGGTTCTTCCGACAATCCACATTTGCACAATTACTCGAGGCGGAGTTTTTCCCAAAGTGGATGCAGACGTTATATACGTGGTTGACGATGGAAGGGGTTGATTTGGAAGAAGTCGGGGAGTGGTATAAATGGTGGCAAGCACAGTTTCCTGAGGAGGTTAGAGAGTATGTACTTGTTAGGAGGGAGTTTAAGAAGGCGGTTGATATGATGGGACAGGCGGTTGATGTTATGGATGGAGTTGAAGGGGTGACTATTGTTCCGCCAGAAAGTGGTGCTGCGAAGCCTATTAAACCGCAACCGCCATCGGTGGAAGAGAAGAAAAAGGGGAAGTCTGGGAAGGGTGGTAGTGGTGGTGGTGGAGGAGGAGGAGTACAGACGGAAACGACGTTTAGAGAGTATATGGAGGAATGGTGTGCTGAACAAGGGTTATTATTAATGCCTTTGAGGAAAGCGCATGAGGGGACCGGGTTCCCGTTGTTTAGGATTACGGATAGTCCGAGTGGGAGTGGCGGGGTGCTTTGTTATTTCAGTCAGGATGTTGTTTGGGCGCAGGATAGGAAGAAGAAGGAGGTTTTTGAACCGATCAGTTTGGAGAAGGTTGTGCAGAGGGTGGAGGCGGGGCATCGGTAGGTCATAATTAATATTAATATTAATATTAATATGATATACAATCCTGCATATTATTTGAGGTTATATATAGTAGTACCTAAGGAATGTACGATAGAGTCGATAGAGAGATGTTTTGATAAGATAACAAAAAATGATACCCCAGCATTTTGCATGCATTGCCAGGCATGAATAACATTCCTCGTTTGATAACTACATACATACCTTAACATTTCTAAACATTTAGTGATATCATAAAAATATTAATAGGGAATCACAAGCTACTGCGGTGCTTTTTGAATGCTTCCTGCAGACCACTGTTGTTTTGGAGAACGTCGATTCGGACTTTATCATCGGCACCTGTGATCTTTGGAAGTAACTCGAGGACAGCATCCAGTTTATCCTGAGGAATCGATACGACGCCGTTTACCGGGTCGGCAAATATAATATCTCCCTATATTTTTTAAAATTTTTTATTTTGAACATATCGATTAATTAAATCCCAATTTGAATAACCAAAGTATTCAAACAGTATAACATGCATAATACAGTAGGAATAGATATTAAATATGAAGAAGGTAGAAAGAATACTCACAGGAACAACCTTAACCCCTTCAACCTCAATCTCAACCCCAACAGCCACACACTTCGACTCCCCCCCAGCACCAACAGTACTAGTCCCCTTAGCCCAAACATCCACTCCCAGATTCTTCAATTCGGTAATATCTCTAATCCTGCCGTCGACTATGATCGCCAGACTACCAAGTTTTTGGATACGAGCGGCTACCAGACCGCCCAGGACGGCGTTTCTTTGGTTTGGAGGTTGGGAGATCAGAGTTATTGTGGAAGGAGGGGTCAGGTCGGCGAAGTGAGAGGAAGGAGGGAGGAGAGAAGGAGTTGGTGAGGATTTGGGGACGAAGAGGACTGTGTGGGCGGGGGAGATGATGGGGGTTTGGAGGGGTTTGGAGGGGGTGTGGAGGGCTGTTTATATATTATATAGATATTTTGTATATTCGTTAGCATGCTTATTACTAACGAATACCTACCTACTTCCTCACCTAAGTACTTAAGTATATTAGGCATAAGTACTTAAATAAGGAAGGAAGTATAATTGAGACAAGAGGGACTTACAGATATCGGCGAGGAAGCCGGCACCGGGGACTTTTAGTTTGAGGAGGGCATCCGAGATCTTTGTATTTTAAATATTATCAGAACCACGATTTCTTCATATTATACATAATAAATTCGATCAATTGATAGATGGATGGATGGACAGAAAGGTAAACTAACATCGCAGGCGGTATAGGCAGCCAGAGCCTTGAATTTATCGTCGAGAGACATTGTTATTATATGATATCGGATGAATGTGAAGTGAATGTTTAGTGAAAGTGGTGTTGTTCGAGTGTTATAACGCGGATCATATTACCTATTGGTTGACAGACAGCCGTTTGCCCGAACATGTGATGTTTCTTCTTCCATTTCACTTCACTTGACTTCACTTCACTTAACTTCACTTCATTTAACTACGACTTTAACTATAACTATGGGTATGTATTCTAATTATTCAGGAGTCAATCGGCCAAGTTGTGTATATACTACTCATCACAATTAATGCAATTACAAGTATAGGAAAATATATCCTCGTGGCTGGGAAGAAAGAAGCTGTCTACACACATACATACGTACCATACCCTGAACGGCCTGAACGGGGAACCTCGGATGTCCCCAAAGTACGTAGTACTACACAGCATGTACCAGCCATGACCATGGATGGAAGCCGAGCCGCAAGCCATGCATTCATTTCCTACTCGTTTACAGCCGGGTAACCTATTAATTAGATTAGAGTTAGTCTGTTGGTTGGACCGGACTGACTAATGTACTGGACAGGAAAACTTCCAACCGGGATGCTTTTCTGGTTGCAGCTGGAGCTACCTTGTCAGCCATCTCCACTAGTCACGAACTAAACCGGCTAGGTCTCCTCGTGGGAATTGGAGGAGGGATCCACTGTTGAAATAAAATGTTATATCAGGATGAAACAACGATACCATACACACATACATATATCATATCGCAAGTAGTTACTGTAACTACTGTACTGGTGGAGGTGAATGGATAATTGATTTAATGCACGCTGCACTGCACGGCACTGTACTGCACTGCACTGCACGCAATTGCTCGTTAGGACAGCACAGACTGACAGATATCTCTCATGTTGTTGTGAATCATTGATCAATCAATCTTTGAATCGATTGATTCTTATTTACTTACTGTCTCTGAGACTGTCTCTGAATATTTCATAGCTGTGAATCTGTAATCAAAAGTAAAAAAAGTAAAAGTATATAGCCGTGCTGTTTTGCCTCGAGTCGCCTTCGAACTTCTTTTGTTTTCTGCACACGGACCTTCCACCATTTTCCTGGCTGCATCCACCGCACTAAAATCCCAACCTTAACGCTGCACCGTTCTGCTGCATCCAAACTCCACTCCACCACAACTACCTGTACTTACTACTTACACATTCTACCTAATCCATCCCTATTTTCCTTTGCTTTGCATCTTGACTTTACTTTATTGAGTACTTCTTACTGAAGTATATATCTAGATATTCTTTCTTCTTCTTCTTCTCCTTCTTCTTCTTTTTTTTCTTTTCTTCTTCTTTTTTTTCCATTTCGCTCTGCTGGCCCTTCATGTCATCACACGCAGACAACCCTCATCACGATTCCTCCATCGACTATCATCTCCCAGAATTCACCTCGCCACCAACCCCAGCCTTCTCCTCTCTTCCTACTCCCATCTTCCCTCCTTCGTCTTCTTCTTCTTCACACGCGATTCCTCTCTCTGCTCTTGCAAGATCCGGGTCTACTACTCTTCCTCTTCATCTTCACAATCACCACCATCATCCTCCTCCTCCCTCTTCATCTTCATCTTCATCTTCTTCTGCTTCAGCAACTTCGACATCTCTAAAGAGACCCGGCTCTCCTCTGTTACGCAAGACCCACTCCTTCAAATTAGACGAAGGTTACGGCGAGGGTGTAGAAGAACCCCAGCCCATCATCATCAACGACTCTTCACGAACCTCAAAATACCCTGCTAGTTCTTCTTCTTCGGGGGTTGCAGACGTCAAAATTCCCGACTGGATGTTGGAACTTGCTGACGACGTTCGAACTGGTATGTTTTTTCCTTCTTCCTTTCTTCCTTTTTTATATATATTTTTTTTAAAAAATAAATAAATAAATAAATAAATAAATACACTGAGAAAGCCTTGTTGGTCCATTTTGTCGAGCCTTGTGGGGATAATTTTATGATGATGGTAGCTAATAAAATATTATTATTATTATTGATAATCTACAGAAGTTGCATATAAACTCGTCCGCTCCCTGCCCACGTCGGCTATCGCATCCATCGTGGAACGACTAATCCCCGTCCTCCATCTCGACTTTGTCGCCCTTCTCCCTTCAGAGTTATCCCTACAAATCCTATCCTACCTACCTCCCAGGTCTCTCTTGAATGCTTCTCTCGCGTCGAAAACATGGCGGAAATTCGCCATGGAACCTCGGCTCTGGAAGGGTCTTTACAGGGCCGAAGGTTGGTCCCTAAACGACGAGGCATCCTACGAGTTCGAACGTGAAATGAGAGGTGAAGGGAAAAGAAAGCTTCAACAGGATGCCGAAAACTTTGTGAGACAGAGATACGGCATCAATGGATCATCCTCATCCACCGACAACCTATCGACAGCTGCAACCCAAGGAAGCGAGGCACGGTCTCCAACGTCCAGTTTCTCCACGAACCAACAACCTACACCTCCGACATCTTTCCAAACAAACACCCCTGACGAGGAAGATCTCTACCCTGCGCCCTTGCCACCTCAGCAGCATCCCAATCCGGCCGTTCTCGTCGCTTCTTCTTCCTGCGACCCTGCGAACATCACGTCCATAACAACATACGGTTTAACCCATCCTAGGCTCAACTGGGCCTTTGTTTTCCGAAACCGCAAAAAACTGGAGGAAAATTGGCGGACCAACAGATATGTCTCGTTTCAGATGCCTGATCCGGCATATGCCCACGAAGGGCATAGCGAGTGCATCTACACCATCCAGCATTCCGCCAAATACCTCCTTTCGGGTTCACGCGACCGGTCCATCAAAATATGGAACATCCATACACGACGGCTGGTTAAATCTTTGACCGGTCACGAAGGATCCGTTCTCTGCTTGCAGTTTGATGATTCGCCGCAAGAGGACGTGATTTTCAGCGGATCCTCCGACACAAATGTTATCGTTTGGAGGTTCTCGACGGGAGAGCGACTGAAAACTATCACCAAGGCTCACACCGAATCCGTTTTGAATTTACGATTCAACAGGAAGTACGTTGTCACGTGCTCAAAGGATAAATACGTCAAGGTGTGGTCGAGGGACGAGCTCCAGTATGGATCTCCGGGGTTCGATTGTGCCGTGCGACAGATCCAGTTGGGCAACAATAGGTTGATTGAGCCCTCTCAGTTACCACACTATATTCAACTTGCCGGCCACTCACGGCCCACCAAGGACTTACCGGCTCTGACGTTGCTTCATACCCTTGTCGGCCATAATGCCGCCGTTAATGCGATTCAGTTGAATGGTGAAGAGGTCGTGTCGGCTTCCGGAGATAGGATGATCAAACTGTGGGGACTGAAATCCGGGAACTGCGAGAAGACATATGTTGGCCATCACAAGGGAATTGCTTGTATCCAATACGATGGCGTCAAGATTGTCTCCGGATCCTCGGATAAGACTATCAGGGTTTGGGACAAGGATTCTGGAGCTGAGATTGCCAGATTGGAAGGGCATACCGGCTTGGTGAGAACGGTTCAAGCCGGTGGACCCAGGAATGCGAGGATCGTCAGCGGTGGATATGACGAAACGATTCGAATCTGGAGAAGAGAGGATGAGAATGGTGATTTGGACGATGGAGAAAATCCGGGGATCTTTGGTTCGTTGAGGGACGGTGTGCGGTGGAGGACTACTGGTATTTTACGACACGTTCATGAAGTGTCACCCGTTAGGCCTCATGGACACGCATTGGCCCAGCAGGCAGCCGCGGCAGCCATGCACCACCAACCCGCACCTCCTGTTGCGCCACAGAACGTACCCGTGGCCCCACCGAACCATGATAACCCGGCATTGAATGCTGCCCAAAATGCATTCGCCAACGTTGGAGCCCAGAGTAACGTCCCGGCAACAGTGCCAGCCCTGGCAACAGCTGGGCCATTACATCCTTTGCCACCGCAGTTTAATATCGCCCCGATCCCTCCTCCGAACGTTCATCAGCTCTTGCCTCAACCTTGGAACCCACAGAACCACGGCCTGACAGCCCCGGCTGCGCAGAACCAGAACAAGGTTTTCAAGTTGCAGTTCGATGCGAGGTTTGTTTGGTGCTGCAGCCAGGATATGAGGATTGTCGGGTGGGATTTCGCGGCGAACGATCCGGATATTGTTGAAGCCAGTCGATTCTTCTAGGCGAAGAGTCGATTTGATGGGTTTTGATTCTTTATCCACTTTGTTTACCTTTTTACTTTATTTTTAATCGGCATTATTTTATTCTTTCTCTCTCTTTGTGGCTGCAATTGCTTGGGGTTAATGTCTAGCATACATTGCATTGCATTGCATATTGGAAGGTTTATGACAAAAGAAAGTAAGAAAAAGGCGCTACTCATACCTGCAATCAGTTCCATTTCCTCTTTTTCTCTTTTCTTCTTATTGTTTCTGTTTTCTCTTATTTTAGCAAAGCATGCAAGTGAAGTCAACGTCAAAGTCAAGAAAGCAAGCAAGTACCTATGACATGGAACTTTTTATAGACAAAGAAATACGCGGCCCTCAAGGGCGTTTTGGAGGTGTTCTGTTTTCTTTCTTTTTTTCTTCCTTTCTTTCTTTCTTTCTTTTTTTTTGTTTATAATGAACGACATACCCCGCTCTTGTCCATCCCGTTTTGTGGTTCTTCGGTGGAATTCTGAAATTTCGTAAGAGGATGATCGATTCTGGGTGGCGTCTTCCTGTTTTACTTATATTCTTTTTTTCTCTTTCGATTCTTTATGATATCTGTCTAATTTCACTTTAACGTCTTGTAGTAGTATAGTAGTATTAACTTATTCTAAAGATTAGTAATTTCTACCATTCTTCATATTTGCAATTTTATCTATTTGAGTGCACGTGTCTAGACCGATAAACTGTAATACATAGACTAATAATTAACCTATATGGTTATATATACCTAAGTGTCTAAGTACTTAAGTAAGTACATATGTACCTATTTAGTATTTATATTATATAACAAAGTATATACGTGTATGGGCGTCTACTCCCACTCCTGCAAATCCACATGAAGAGCCGTTGGAGGACCCGCAGCAACCTGTCTCATCTCCGGTTCCGCCTTCGCAAACGCGTCTGTTTTCAAAAAGGCAGCATGTTGATCTTTATCCTTCCATCCGATCAACGATACAAGCAGATTCTCATGACCTTCATCGATTGAGAATGCGTATGTTGAAGGGATAGATTTCCCTCCTTCTTCCTCTGGGTCGTAGGTTGATAAAGCGACTTGAAGGGTTTCGAATGTAGATGATATACTGGAGTTTGAGGATGGGAGGGTGGGGAGGGAGAAGTATTCTAGGTATGGCTTTTTTGGGAAGGTGGAGAGAGGGGTTGGGAGGTTATAGTGTAAAACTGAGATTGGAGATTCGGATGAGGGGTTTGTGAGGGTGGTTATGAGGGTTGAGGCGAAGGAGGGGTATGAAGGTTGGGATTGGAAGAGTTGGTGGGAGGAGAGGGAGTCCCATTCTTTTTTTTATGTTAACAGTAGGTTGTTAGTATATATATATATATATTATATCGTATGTTAAGTTATTGGAGATAAGTTGAAGGAAGGGGTTGTTTACCGATAAACCAGAATAACTTTAGAGGATCTTGGATTCCTACGCCCCAGTGGAAGGATTGACAGCCCGGTTGGGAAAGAACGGTTGCGATTGAGGATTTATGGACCGAGGAGGGGTCGAGGAGGTCTGGGAGGGTGATTGTGTCGAGGAGGGTGAAGACGCAGATTTCTGTGGTTACCATTTTGCGTAGTATAGATAGGTACTTAAGTACTTATAGGTAGGTAGATGGGTATATTTATTAAAATAGATGATTTATTTAATTGATATGATACAATTGTAAATGGAAGAGGGGAAGAAGAGAGGAGGAGGGGTTTTATATCCTTCGGAGTTCTTAAAAAACTAAGTTAGTTTCGCGAAATTTCGGAGTAAGTATGTACTTAGGTATACAGCTGTACAGGTATTCGGAGTTCGCGAATTTCGGAGATGACGGAGTCTAGGTTGATATTTATATTGCACATCAATTGTGGAGTAAGTAAGCTAGTTTAAGTTCGTAAACGCGGCAGCGCCGAGTGGGTTTACGAGATCGAAGCTTACGAGCTTACATGATGTGCCCCCCCCGGGATCTGGGAGGGATTGGCTGGATTTGGGTATTATAAAACTACCAAAGTTAAGTAGTTCGGTATGGAAGTTTTCTCAGGACGGATGTTTTTGGCTTATAGGGGAAGTAATCCATTAGACTTGGTTTTGCTCAGAACGGAGGGTTCGGAGTATGTGGTGGGGATGGAATGGTCAGATCTGGTTAATATTTGCCGAAGGATTTCGATTGTAATTCATGTCGAGTTGGATGGATGATATGGTTACTTTTGGAACGCTTCTTAGAATTTTCGTGAAGACTTTGGGAGGTCAGACGCTGGTAGACTGGTTGGAGATGGTATTTGATACTAGTTGATGATTGGTTGATTGACCGGATTGGGGAGTCGATTCCGTCTTAAAGTGGCGGTGGTGATGCATTTGAAGTTGAGGTTGAAGATGCGGTTGGTTTATTCTTTCGTATTTTGCGGTACATGACTGTTCGAGTACGTACCTTAAGTACCTAAGCACTTAATATTAGTAGCATAAAATTGTCTAATATATCGTACGGCATAAAATGCCTAATATTGTATTCGGTATGTCGAATATGATTTAGTATCATAAGGTTGGAGTGCGGATATCGATCAGCAGAGTAGTGCAATGTTCTCGGGCCGATTTTTTAAAGGCTTTAGATCCGATTCGATTGCTGCACACGTGCCCCATCTGTCGGTTACACTTAATTGTCTGACCAAGTTAGCCCAGTATATACCTAATATCCATAAGTCGGATCCGAGGGTACATGTACATGGACATGTACCTCTGATATGACAGGTGCCTCGTATGGAACGTTCGAGGTTGGGTGTTTCTGCAATGCACAAAAACGTGGGCCAGCCCGGCCCTGCCAGCCCGCCACGCCTTGCTCGCTCGCTTGCTACCTAATGAGTACCTAGCCAGCTATCGGGATTAGCAATCAGAAGGTGGGGTTCATTTTTCCTGCTTGCCTTATCACGAGCTCAATTGCAAGTGTTAGTGAGTGGACAATGCAGCTAAGCTATATATGTAAGTATGTAAGTAAGTACTTACCTAGCTGTTGCATATGTGGTGTTATAAGAACCCCCGCCGGAGAGCTAGAAGCTACTATTAATTTAAATTCATGCACGGTCTTCTTGGACTTTGAGCTTAAGCGCCGCCCTTTCCTTCCTTTGCCTTCTTTCTTTTCCCTTCCCCTTTCGAATTCGCCCCCATGGTCCCCGTTGCATGCGACTCGCTCGGATTTCTTTGATTTACGTTTTCGTTCTCTTTGGAATGACATAGTATGTTCGGAAGAGCTCTTTGAACGAGTTTCAAGTTTTCAAGCCACTGAGAGGGCGAGGGAGGGATGGTTCTTTTGTAAAATCCTACAGATAGAAGTTATTATCCTCGTTATATTAGGTGAACAGCACATCATACCTCTATCTATGTAGGATTCTTCTTCGAGATGTAGTGTATATGTAATGTAATGTCCTGTACTGTCCTGTAGTGTACGGTACGGTACGATCTGGTTTCGGAAGAGTGGAGCCTGTTTAGCTATTCGAATGCAGGATTGCCTCGCTAGAGCCGTGAGGTTAAACAATTTAATTGGAGCTCTGCAAACATGGAATAAAAAAAAGAACGATGGATAAGTGACTACTTACCTTCCGGAGTACAGGCATAGTAAGAAGTAAGTACCTGCCTGGGTAATTAATAGCATTGCCTAGTCGTGGTGGTGGTGGAGGAGCAATTAAACCCCGAGCTCGAACGTGAATGATGTTCGTTTCCATCATCCTCGAATAAATATCATCTTCGCCATCTGCCATCGGCTTCCAAGCCACATCTCATCGGGTCTTCTTCTTCTTATTATTATTCTTATTCGGTGTTCAATTCTGAAAAGGTATGATCTTCTTTTTATTCTGTCAAGCTTCTCTCAGCCCTGCATGGTGTCTTGTCTCAAGCTGCAGTGTCGACTTCTTGTCCGTGGGAGGGAGAATCCTTCGTCCGGGCTGCAGCTGCTGGGGTTGTTTGGGATTGAACAATGGACAACCGCAATTCAAAGCCATAAGCTTAGCTAGCTAACTCTACGAGAACTTTACTTCTTCAAATTTAGCCTTCGTTGATATCGATACGTCTCCTCAAAGCTACTCGATCCTTCTAGAAAACCTTATTGTCCTCGATAGAAAGCCCGTATGAGAACTCCCTCTCCAGCTCAGGCGACCAGCTCCCGATTCTGACGTTTCGTTATGTAGTTCAGGGCCGAATTCGAATCTGTTAGCTCCACCTCACACGCAACACAGTCTAATCCCAATCTCTACCCCTCCATACTTTCAACTCTCCCACTTTTTCGCCCGGCCTTCTGATCCTATCAATCATTTCTTCCCTTCCCTTCACTCCCCTCCTCCCCTCCCTTCTCCTCCCCCACTCCCCTTCCGACTGGCCTCGAAGAAAGAAACAAAAGAAAAGAAAAGAAAAGAAAAAAAATACATAAAAAAATAAACCTCACCCTTTCCTTCCTTTTTGTCCTGGTAAAAAGGAAACTCGATTTCCTCCTTCCGAACAGCTCAGCATGTTTTGGCGATTCGGTGGCTATGCGAATATCAGCACCATAGAAACCTTATTAGACAAGCCTGATGTCACCCTCGAGACCTTACTCGAAGAACCAGACCTCATCCAAGAGCTCAAACAGCATAACACCAAACTTATCGAATTCATCCGCGAAGATGCTATCATTCGCAAACTCCTTGAATATGTCATTGCAGCCAAGATACCGGCTCCGACGGTGATGGGGATTCCTGGTGACGCTAAGGCTTTACCGCTCACTCCTGATGAAGTGGTAGAAGCTGCAGAAAAGGATGCAGAAGGGGAAAAATCTACTGCTGAAGAAGGAGACGATGAGAAGCCTGTTGATGCTACCACCGCCGCTCCATCGGACGAGGCATCTCCTTCTTCACCGAAGGAAGAAGAACAACAACAGGCTGCTACTGCTGCTGCCGCCGCCGAACTTGCACCACCCTCGCCATCTACGAGCGAATTGGAAAGAGAAAAGGCGGAGAAAACCCGGGCTAAATATTCTTATGTCTCCTGCGAGGTCTTGTCTAGCGAAACATGGTCGATATGCGAGGCTCTTATGGATAATCTCGACAACTTACGGATGTTTTGGAAGTTTTTGGAGCGGCCTGCACCGTTGGATCCTCTTCAGGCCGGTTACTTTACGAAAGTAAACGAAACCCTGTTCGATAAGAAGACAGGGGAAATGATGGATTTCTTCAAGTCGATTGAGAATATTGTCCCCATGATGCTGAAGCATATCGACACTCCTCTTATTATGGATTTGATCCTGAAGATTATCAGCATGGAGAAGTCAGATGGAGGGAGTGGTATTGTTGATGTGAGTGCGGCCCGTATCCTCTCTTTGTTGAGGCTGAGACGGGGTAGACACTTTAAAACTAACAAATTATATTATATATAGTGGTTATGTGAAAAGGAATTAATACCCCGACTCCTATCCTTCCTCTCTCCTGAACACTCTTCGACTACTCAAACTTCTACCGGAGACTTCTTGAAAGCGATCATTACCATCTCCGCTAATGCATCCCAGAACGAACAATCATGCATCGGTCCTAACAACCTCACTCGTCAGTTGGTATCAGAGGATAGCGTGGAGAGTCTTATTGGTGCCATGCTCAAGGGCGGTAACCCTCTTACTGTCGGCGTCGGAATCATAATTGAAGTTATTCGCAAGAACAACTCGGACTACGACCCGGAAGTACACGGTGGTATCGATTCTACTCCTTCTGGTCGGGACCCAATATATCTCGGCAATCTTCTAAGATTATTCGCCAAACATGTACCGGATTTTACAGGGTTAATCCTGAATTCCGAACCAACTGTTTTGAACGAAGACGGAACCCGAACGGTCAAGAGGAGGGAGTTGAAGGCTGCATTTGGTGGAACAATTGAGCCCTTAGGTTTTGACCGATTTAAGACATGTGAACTTATGGCTGAACTTTTGCATTGTAGTAACATGGGTTTGTTGAACGAGAAGGGTAGCGACGAGTATGTTAAAAGGAGAGATTCTCAGAGAGAACAACTTCGACGGCAAAGGGAGCTTGATCTGGCGACTCTTGTTGTTGGCCGACAGGATCTGCGGGGATCTCTTTACAATCGTTCAGCTTATCTTTCTGAGAAGAAGGATGAGGAGGAGTTTGAGACTGTGGCGGTAGGGACTGTTTTAGAAGAGGTTAACGATGGAGAGTTTGCAGAAGGACAGGAGAAGATAAAACCATCGATAGTTGAGGATCCAACTACCTCACCAAAGGAAGATAAGCCGGAAACTGAAGGCTCGGAGCCGGTTGTTACGGAACTTGATGTTCCAACTTCTTCCCAGCCTGTCGCAGCGCTCTCCCCAATTACTGAAACTGCCAAGAGCGTCGAAGCTATCAAGATCGACGATGAAGATACGGTTATGCAGTCTCCACCCCCATTGGCTCCACTGGATAAACCAGAAACTACGGACGACAAGACTGATGCAGATGAGCCAGATGAGCACATGTCATCACCGCCGACAATAACGGCGACTCTTGCTGATCCTGCTTCGATTTCTAAGCCCGAAATTGTCGAGCCAGAAGTTGAGAAGAATACCGAAAAGCCTCTACCACCGCTGCCAGAAAGTGCCGAGGAAGCGGCCAGTAGAGCGGTAAAGGACTTGCTCTTGGATCCGGAGTTACTGAAAGCACCTGGTATCGATATCGACACTGATGGAAGACCGCTGGTTGGTGATTATTTGAAGATGATGTTTGTCCAGCATCGAGTTGTCCCCACAATACTGGTAAGAGTCAAGATACTCAACTTCTCTTTTTTTTTTTCCCCAAGAGCCTGTTACTTGTTCTAACTCAAAAGGCAGGACTTCTTTTTCAGGTTCCCCTGGAACAACTTTTTACATAACGTTGTATACGACGTCGTTCAACAAGTTTTCAACGGGCCAATGGATAGAGGCTTCAACAGACACCTAGCCAATGATCTTTTCATCCAAGGAAGCATCACAGAGCGAATCGTTGAGGGACAGAAAGCATCCGACAAAGCACAAGCAGAATCTAATATGAGGTTGGGATACATGGGTCACCTAACATTGATCGCTGAGGAAGTGGTTAAATTCGCTGAGCGACAGCCTGGTGCGGCATTAGCCCCATCGGTCCACGAAAAACTCCACGATGCTGCTTGGGTGTTTTATATGGAGCACACCCTTACAGAAACTCGGGAAAGAGACAATGCGATCCTTGGTGGTGTGAGACCTGACATTATGTCCGGTAGACCTGGAATGGGTGGTTCGATGAGTGTAACGCAGACGTTTGGAGGTGGTGGACTCGGACAAATTAGTGGTACGTCTGACACCGGATTGGATACTATCGAACTACAGAACAGTGGAATCGGCGAAGGCGCGGACATACAGACGGCAGAAACATTTGACGGCGACGACGGCGACGTAGGTGCGGACATCGGCTCCCGAGAAGGACACCCAGATGAGAGTGGCGACAAATCGTTATCCGGATTCGGCAGCAGCTCGGACGAAGACGAAGATGAGGAGATGAACTTGGGGGACAGCGATGACGACGATCAAATGAAGTTGGAGTTGACAGGCGACCGTAACCAAGTAAGATACCTACAACTCTTGCTTTCAGAAGATGTTGAGGACGATATTGAGGATGAAGAGGATGAGCACGGTGCGGGGATTGGTGAGGATTTTGAACAGGGCCAGAGCAGCAGCAGCGCTACGGATACGAATACGACAGCGAAAGCGACCACAGAAGCAGACCTTGAAGCAGATCAAACAAAGAAGGATAAGGATGGCGACGATGATCATGAAATGGAAACGACGAAACGTGACGACGATGACGATGATAAGAAGAAGAAGCATGAACCCTTGGAGCCCTGAGAAGCCTTTATTTATTTACGAATAGACGAATTATGTGAGCGACTGATCTTGTTCAGGCTTATTTGAACTCGGTTAATCGGCATGTTTCTCTTCTTTTTTCTTTCCTTTTCAGCGTAAAATAGAGGCCATCTTTTACCTGGATCATTTTTTGGTCTCATATAGACAGCCACCGTACCAAAGTTCTGGAATCTTTGTCCTTTCATTCTCACAATCTCCCCTTCCCTTTTTTTAACTTCTATTTTTCAATTCTCTGGTATGCTTCTCTGCATAGCCCTTTTTTTTCTCTTTTCTTTTCTCCTTCCGTTACTTTTCCCACTTCCTGGCGTTTTTGCATTTCATTCGTGGACCGTTGCATTTCATGTATAAAAGACGATTCTTCTTGGGAGCGACGTTGAACTTATGGCTGACGACGGTTTTTTTCCTTTCCCCCTTTCTACGTCTCTGTCCTTTTTTCTGATTCTTATTCCCCAATTTTTTGCTTTAAACCATCCTACTTTCCCTTATATGACTGTTTTCTTCTTTTTCATCTGGCGTCCTGCACTCGCGCTCGTCCATATGCTCTCCCCCCAAAAAAACCAGAAATCCTACACGCACACACAATCGACCTACGTTAGGCTCCAAGGGTTCTATAAGACAAAAAAAAGAAGAAGAAGAAAAGAAGAAAAGAACAAAGGGTAATCAAAGATAACTTTAAAAGACAATAGTGCGAAGAAGAAACACGCCGTCTAGTTCTCGTGTCATCGGTCTGCTTCTGCCTTCGCTTTTTATATTCGTGAAAATACCTGGTAATGATGCTGCTGCTGCTCTCGCACTTCGGGTTCGGAAATCCTCTCTGATTGACTTCGTATAATTCCGTATCTCTCTATCTCTCTCTTTTTCTTTTTATTACATCCCCATATGCTAGCTAGCTATAGCCCTAGAAAAAGGACGCAAGATGATAGCTAGCATTAGTATAGTAGGGGTGTAATTCTCTAGAAACATCTTCTTTGAAAGAATCCTCCCCCTCTTTTGAAAAAAGAAGAGGGGAATTGATGGTAAATTAATAATGTTGCGAGTGAAATTGTGATATTTCTGCCGCTTTTGTTTATCCTTTGACTTTTAATATTCCGCTTCTTTTCTTTCTTTCTTTCTTTTTTTTTGGGAGAAGAAACATGGTTTACTGATTATAGACACCGTTGACGTTCTTCCGCACGCTGTTCCCTGGAGTTTCACAGGTATCCACAATATCGTCGAACGAAAGTGCATCATCATCTTCCGGTCCTACAAATCCAGACGGAAGCCGTGTAAAACCTTTACGAATTGCGTTAAAATGGCGAAAGATTTCTGAAAATCCCGAGGAAACTATCATCGGTCCTAGCGGCGATAGCAGCAAAAACGGTAGTGGCGGAAGCCATGATATCGAAGGGGAAGGGTTTATGGTGGAACACGAGGAAGCTTTTGATGAAGATGAATTTACGAGGAGAGTTCTGGGGGATGATGGGGTGAGTGCTAGTTGTTGTGTGCCTCTGCAGTCTGAAAGCCTTGTTCGAGAAAAGAAGGATGATGATGAAGTTGGTGGTAATGATAAAAGAAAAGAAGAAAAAAAAGAAAAAGAAGAAAAAGAAAGAAAAGGGAAAGAAAGAAAAAAACGTGAAGATGAGGATGAAGAAAATGAAGAAGAAGGGGAGATTTATTACTATTACTACGGAAGAGATCGTCATCATGATAATAGCGGGGAAGGGATGTTCCCCAGTATGATGTTTATGCTTTCAGGGTATGCGTATAGTGTGATAGTATCAGCTGACAGTATACCCTGGTTCTGGGGGGTTTGAATTACTTTTACAGATGTCATCCGGTAGCGAAGATCATGGAGAACTTGGGGCGAATTCACCGGTTCTACTGAGTAAACCGAGAGGAGGAAGGTCGTTACTCGAAGACGACGACGACGATGACGATGACGATGAAGACGACGACGACGATGATGATGTGGTTTCATCCTCGGATGATGAGGATGATGATGATGTGGTAGATTTGATTAAGGAGTCTATGCCGCAAGAGGAATTGCATAGTTTACATATGTCGGATGATGATTTGGAGGATGTGGAGGATGAGGATGAGGACGATGATGAGATTGATTCGGATGATGAGAGTGAGTTGCCGAGTGTGCTACCTTTGAGGATTGTGAGGGAAGGTGGGAAGGCAGATGGGAGTGGTACTGCACCTGTTGGAGGCCCTGCTGGGGGTAGTAGTACCAGTGCCGGTGCCGGTTCAAGTACTAGTACTACGGGGAGTGGGGGTGGGGGTGGAACTGGGGGTGGAGGGGTAGGAGATGCAGTAGAGGAAGTCAATATCATCACATTGGATAAAATTGATGAACAACTGGCGGATCCTACGATTGTCATGAGCAATGATTGACTGGCCGTGGGGCTAGTTTTGGGAACTCTGGTTTTGGGGTTGGCGGTTGGATATGTGGTTAGGAGGAGGTGGGTTGGTGCTTTTTGATTCTAAAAAGTATATCGTATAGAGAGGATGAGGAATGAGGTCTCGAGACAGATGTCTGCCCTTTTTTTCCCTTTTTATTACCTTCACCTACTACCTTTTTTCCCCTCTCTTTTCTATTCCCTTCTGATTGTTCGCCCCTTTTATATATCTCATGACCAGAGACGAGTTTTCTTTTTATATATATATTTTTTGTTCTGTTTTTGTTATACTATATACCTCTTCGAAAAAGAAAGAAAGCAAGATAGAGCGAGCTGGCGAGATGAGACAAATTCATGTATTTCCTAGATCCTTTCCTACCTATGTATATCCCGTTTTTATTTTCCCTTTCCTGTGTTTATTTTTTCTTAGAAGGATACCCGCGATATCAATTATAAAATAAGTCCCTTATTTTGTTCACCTCTGGCCTCTGTAAATCTTGTTCGTAACTTTGCAGACTCTAGTTCGAGTACCAAATTTGTTCAAAATAACTTCGAGTACCTCCAAATTTTTGCAAAAAAAAAGAGAAATTGCTGAATTTTATCATATATAAAATGTCGGCGTATGTACATACACTCCAAAAAATCTTCCAACCTTTTTCGCCGCCCAAAAAAACACTTTCTACCATGGACAGTCCTCGTTTGTTTCTGGTGTATACATGATCCAGGTCTTTGTGCCACTGTGCTTTCCAATAATGTTCCGTCGGAGACCTTCGATTACGATATACGTTTTTCCAGCTAGGAGAATATTAGTATCCGTTTATGAATATAACCCCAGCATTTGGGACGGATTGTACGTACCCTCCATTGTGAACTCAATTCGAAGCCCTTCGGCGCCCTCGGCGCATCTGATTGTCCTCTATGGATATTTGTAAGGCGCTGATCCCGTCTCATCACTAGATGAAAGCAACAAAAGTCGCATATAGTTAGTAAGACTGGTTTCCGGGGATAGTTGGATGAAGGGGGGAGGGAGATGTCCGTTATTTACTTTGCTAATAAGTTGCGTATCAAGTTAGCATATCTTGAAGGGAAGCTCGCGAAGGGTGAATATGGAAGGACTTACATGATCCCAAATATCTGTATTGTATCTTCTGGGCTTATAACCCTCGGCAACGTATGAAACCGTCGACATACCGGCGCCGGAGATGGTGAACATCTATGAGGAGTAAGAGAGAGGTTGTTAGTCGGGTGTATGCTTTTGCCTTGCTTGGGATCGGTCCGGTGGATTTCAATTGTACGTACGGCAATGACGAGGCCGAATGGCAGGAGGGTTTCCCATGGGACAGGCATGATGGACGGGTTTTACGATATCGTTGATTCGGAATGCGATGGATGGGTGGATGGTCAGAGGGTCTATCGGGACGGGTTTCTTTGGAAGTCGTTGTTTGTTCGGGAATGTCGTCAAGAGCCCCAATTGCACCGCCGTATTGAGTTTACTAGCCACAATAACTGGAAATGTAATTGTGGCTGGTGCTTTGGGTCCCAGGGCTATCGCGACGGGGGAAATGGACAAACAGACTAAACTAAGAACTTACTACATCGTTTTTGCGCGCATCGCGGCAAAGAAAGACACCCATCCCTACTCCCCTCATCCTCATCCCACCTCTCGAGCTTCAAAAAAAAAAAACTGTTGAATATACCGCCTACTGGACTTTTTCGATATCAAAGGCGATCCTTTACGAAATCCATTTCTATAGCTGTTTCAGCTTTTTACGCCGTCGTCATCTTATTTTGGGACAACATAAGTGATATCAATTCCTCAATCCTCCCGCTTCCCCCCTTTATCGGCGAAATTTGAACGATACTTTTGCGAACAAACGCGTCGATAACAATTATTTCTTCGTCTCCGACGGGTTCAGCTATATTGGTGTATTTCCTTTGTGTGGACGGACGGACCCGCTTTCAATCTGGGGGGAAGAACGGTCTTGGCTACCTTTGGGGGTTTGAAGTACCTAAAGCCCCCAAACGCGATAACCTCCCGGTTCGACAGCAAAAAAACGATATATTCCATTGGGATACGATAGTGGTTTACGGCTTGGGGGAAGTTCCCTGTTGGGAAAGAGGCAAAGCTATCGATCTTTTGATAATAATCCCGGCCGCCGCATGACAGTATCCTTACATTTCGCCTCGATAAGATAGGGTGGTAGTGGACTTGGGGAAAGAACCTCGTGCCTGAAGTTCAACGGAAGCAAGGGGCTTGGGAAGGGAAAAGAAAGACAGGGGACTTTGATATTGGGGGGAGATCAGTTTTGAGAGAGAACGAACGAAAGAAAGAAAGAAAACCACTTCAAGTTTTGTTCTAACGATTGTCGAAAAAAGATGACTGTGGCGGTTAAGAAGCGAAAGGTGTGTGCGTGTCTGTTTTTGTCCGTATTCTCTTTGTTCTTCACATCTTGGAATCTACGTTTTAGAACCGACGGATTTGCTAAACAGCTTGGTGTCATTAGCGGGACTCTGACGACGAAGGCGACGAATCGGATACACCCTCCACACCCGTCCCACGTGGCGCTGCTTCCAGAGCTTCGAGTACGAGCGACGGTACCAGTGCTAGCGAAACCGGTAGCGATAGCGAGACCGGCAGCGAGACCGGCAGCGACGATAGCAGTGGGAGTGAAAGTGGCAGTGGCGACGATCAAAGTGTATCCGGTGATAGCGATAGCGACGACGATAGTGGATCAACGGACGATACTACGAGTAGCAGCAGCAGTAGTGATGATTCATCTTCGTCTGGGGATGAGGTTTGGGATGGGCAGTCGGAGGATAATGAAGAAGTAGCGGGGCGGGTAAAAGATATATGCATGTGAGTTTCTTATCCTTTCTATTTTCGAGATTGGGAAGGAGGTTGTGGGATTGTGGAGCTAACTGGTGTGGCGTCGCTTGGTAGATTCTGTGGTGGAACAGAAGAGGATGACCCCAGTGAGACTTATGAAGAATTACTGGAGTGTAAGCTCTGTTATGATAGTGGTAAGTCGAGCCCGGTTATATCTGGTGATATCGTGTTATATCGATCTAACTTTGTGTATTCAAAGCCCACCGACAATGTGCCCGTAACCATAAGGGACCCGGTCAACTGGCTAGTGGTGATGGTAAGAAAGGCACTCGGAATTGTAATTTATAGGTGTACATAGTGTACTAACTTGTGGGGTCTCAGCTATTTCGGATTGGCGATGCCCAACTTGTGCAAACGTGATATTTGAAGATGACGCTGCAGATGCAACCGAGGAGAGGACTACCCCCCGTTTAAAACTAAAAGTTACACCTACCCAAAGCCGAAATGCAGCAGGCAAAGCTACTCCGAACGTTGCTGAGACTCAGAATATGGATGGGGCGACAAGACGACTACGGACAAGGCATTCTGACGAATTCAAAACGCCTTCTGGATCCCGACCGCAAAGGCGGACTGGAAGGACAAATTACCTTCACCTTCAAACAGACGGTGCGAGTGCAGAACCTGAACATGATACTTCTACTCCGATTAGAATATCGAGTCGCGCGAGGAGGACACGGTTCCCGGAGGGGTCTTCGAGAGGTGCCAGTATTCAAAAGTCAAACCAAGGAGGGCTCATCTTGAAGCTGAAGTTCAAACCGGAAAGGCTGGCTTATGCCATAGCTACCTCTTCTTCGATACTTTCTCAATTCCCTAAGAAGGGCCAGAGGAATTCATCGCAGCCATGGTTGACACCAGCACATAACCCGTTTCAACCACAACCCCAGGTCCAATACTCACATTATACCCTCTCCTACTATGAAAGTGTTACAGACGAGAACGTGAAGCCTTACGGTGGAATCCTTAATGAGACTGAAACCGATACATCAAAAACGTTACCTTTGGCTGTCGACAAGATCAAGTTCGATAAGGCTCGACAAGAGGCAGACGAGGAGAAGGCACAGAGAGAGGCCATGCTCGCTGCATCTATGCCGACACCAAAACCTGGTAGAAAGCATGATCAGGCTCTGAGAGCTAGCAACCATGCTAGTATGATCAAATCTGTTCATTTCGGAAACCATCAGATAGATACATGGTATGCGGCGCCGTACCCAGAAGAGTATAGCAGGAATCGAATCCTCTTTCTCTGTGAGTTTTGTCTTAAATACATGAATTCAGAGTTTGTACAGTGGAGACATCGGGTGAGTGTATATTCCGCCGATAATACTTGGTCGGCCTTGAACCCTAGGCTAAACTCGGTGAAATTAGTTAAAATGTCCGCACAAGCATCCGCCAGGTGATGAAATCTACCGTGATGGAACGGTTTCGATATTCGAAGTCGATGGGCGAAAACAGCCGGCTTATTGCCAGAACTTGTGCTTGCTGGCTAAGTTATTCCTTGGCTCTAAAACGCTTTACTATGACGTCGACCAATTCCTGTTCTATGTTATGGCGGAGTATAATGAGACCGGGTGCCATTTCGTTGGATATTTTTCCAAGGTAATACATTTAGGCAGTTAGCGAGGCACTTAGGGTTCAATAAAACTGACAGGGCATATTAGGAAAAACGTTCAACGAGTTCAAACAACGTCTCCTGTATCTTAACCTTACCAATCCATCAGAGGAAAGGATACGGACATTTACTCATCGACTTCTCTTACCTTCTAACGCGAGCAGAAGGCAGGTTGGGCTCACCTGAGAAGCCGTTATCGGACCTCGGATTAGTCTCATACCGCAATTACTGGAAGCTTACATTATGTTACCTCCTCAGAGACTTTGATGGAGGGACAAGTGTTCAAAGTAAGATTTTTTCGGACCCCTCATCATCCGTGCTCATCAAGCTAACGGCAGCCTGCGACAGCAATGTGCGACCAAACCGGGATGACTGCAGACGATGTTATCAGTGCACTTGAAAACCTTCAGGTCCTGATTCGCGATCCTATCACGAAGACATACGCCTTCCGTATTGATAGGGAGCTAATGCAGACTATAATCGACAAATGGGAGAGTAAGGGGTATGTGAAGTTGAATCCGCGTGCTCTTGTGTGGGTGCCGTTTGTCATGGGGAGACAATCGCTTTTGCAGGCCGCTCCGCCCACGATCGCGCCCCGGGAGGACGAACCCGTCCTTGAGGAGGGCGTGATGGTGGATCAAACTATAACTAGTACCCCTGCTGCTACAAGTATCAATACCCCAAAGGACAGTACCATGGATCATGAAGATTCTGTATCCAGTGGGAAGAGTGGAGATCCCATGGACCTTGACTCCGGGATGCCTCAGAAGTCCGCCACCAATCAAAAAAAGTCGCGTAGCCCGGCCGCTGCCACGAAGCTTACCCCGCCTGAAGATCCTCCAACCATAAGAAAGGGCAACACCTCCTTTATCAGGCTCGGCGATGATCTGTTCCGGCGAGCCGCTTCAACTCCGGCGAAGGATTTGCCAACAAGGGTTGCAGTTGATCCCAACTACATACCACCCAGCCGCTTCCAACTGGTATCGAACACACCGGGCTCTGGGCTTAAGAAGCCAAATTTCAATCGATCCCCATCCTCTGCATCTTCAAACTCTAAAACATCGCAGCCTTCACGTGTAGTATCAGCTCCTCCCGTCGCGGCTCGTGCACAGAGTGTATCGGATCTCAAAACACCATCATTATCTAGAAAGTCACAACCACTACCCACACCCCAGCAACAGATTCGAAAAGCGAGGTCCAGCTTGTTTGAGGAGGCAAGGGAGCCCCACAACATGACTATCATTCGACAGTCCTCACGCAAGTCAACGAGAGTTTCACTAGCCCCCAGAGGTCTTGTGCCGTCTCCCGCCCCTATTAGGGACGGCCAAATCACGGTCATCACTAATGGTACCGGTGGGAATGGGGGTGGGTATGATTCTACAGATCAAATGAGCGATTCTGTCAAATCTGTCAAATCGGAATTGCCAGGTGCAAAGCCGTGAGCAACGATGTGTTTTTGAGAGGATGGGTTGATGCACTGCCCAATCGGCTATCTCCACTCTCCTCTTCTCTACAGTTACTTGTCAGAACAGCTTTGAATAGTGGCGGGTCGGGCCTGCACGGACTAGGATTGTTGGTTTATGCTGACTCCTCAGTTCTTCGGCCTCTCTTTCGTATTACCGTATCCTCGTCGTAACGACGTTTATATTTTCTTATGCTGGCGCAGATTGACGAGCAATCGTCTTTGTCCTGCACTCGCAATTCCTGCTTATTTGCATTTTTGTTCACGCGTCTTACCCTCGCCTAATCCCTTTTTTTCTCTCTTCAAGTGGGGGCCCCGTACCCCCACCATTGCTTTTTTTTTCTTTGGCTGGCGTCTCTGAAGACGGTGAATTTTCTCTTTTTTCTTTCTTTCTATAATTCGTCTTTAGTAAGTGTTTTTATCATGGGGATCTTTCTAGCTAAAGGTCAGGGTTGTCAAATAGGTTTCTTTCTTTCCTTTTTCATTTTTGAAAGTCGTTTCATGGGATGCAGAAATTCAATATATAGCTCAAGTGATGATGGATATACCTTTATTTTACTACTGCTTTTCTTTTACTCGATCAAATGCAACCGTAAGATTACGAGAGCACTGTATGGAAATATAATTAGATCAAGCATGATTACTTAAGGACATATCTACTACGACTGTAGAACTTACGTATATGCGTACACAATTGAAGAATTAAATACACTGATTATATATACATATGTGTGTATATAAGTGATTATATTTTATGAATGGCTGGAGTTTTAGGCTTGCATCTAGACCTATAATTGTGTAACAGGTATTATGTGAGGTGCTACATGTTTGCTGATACAACAACTTTCGATGGGTCTCGTGAACGTTCACCCAATTGGCCAACCCAAGGGTGCCATTCGGGCCTCGAAGGTACATTTAATCTATCTTTGAAGTTTTGTTTATTCAATTTTGGTTTGTTAGGACGTTGCACAGTACGGACAATTGTTGAACTGAAGTAGTAGAGTATCTTGATTACTATAGAAGGAAATAATTGGCAAAGAATTGATATCAGGAAAGCTACGAAGAGTTGTTTTTGTGGTATTTTTCATCGCCGTTTTGGGAAACATCGACGGCATACGCTCCAATCGGTTCACACCCTGACATTCGTACCCTGATTGGAATCGCTTGTCTGGTTGCATTGGAAGATATCAAATTCCCGGGAAATTTGCAGTAACCCTTTGAAAAAACTTTTTCTGAGGGAATATATTTTTGGCAATCAGATTTTGATACTGTATACTCTTTCAACGTTGCAACAAACATATATGCGATTGAGCGTAATATAATATCATGATCAATATAAGACGACATGATCACTGCTTTTGAGTGCTAAGCGCGAAGATATCCTTTCTCTCCAATCAAGATTATGCGGAGATGATCAATATGCAATTGATCGATATTACCAATCGATGACAACTCGATGCACGGGCTGTGAACGCCAATAGTATAGGTACGCTTATGGGAAGCAGTATAAAGTATATGCATAAAATATAAAAGAAATTTTTCCCGAGCCCGATTTCCAAGATTGTGGAGCTGGAAAATAGTCCGAGCCCGAGTTCCAAGACCCGAAAGCTAGGAATATCAATTATAAGAAAAACACTGGATGTTACAGAACCAAATTTTCACGATATTTTTTGTGGTGGCGGAAGCATTGCTACACCGCAAAGAGAAAAGACTGCTGGCTAGCTAGCTAGCTAACTTAGCTCGATGCATCGATGTTCGAAGATATTTAGCCAATAAGTGGAATGGTATCACGCAAAACTGAGGAGATCATGGAAAGAATTTTCTCGCGTTAACGTTCTTGTCCTGCAGGATTGTCCTCCGAGACACACATTAGTTTCGAGGAGGTCTCAACCGTTACGGGGGCTTTTTCAATCTTTCTCAGAAGCGTCTAGCCCTGAGCTATGACAGCTGCATAGCTCTGCTAACAACTGTACAAGGGTGTCTCATCCCACACTAATGCAAGCTGCTATGCTTTGGGGGGCTTATGTCGAAGCTATTGGCTGCAGTACTCTGAACCGGGCTTGCCGCCGCCACTCACCCACACCCCCAGATCCAAAAAATTTTCTGTCCCAATCATTTTAGAATGGTCACAGGATCGATTCTGACACAATTGGTTTCCTGGATAGCATACAATGCAGGCGTATATTTTACTTTAATTTTTTTGGAAGAGACTGTTTCGCTCCCGCTTCATCCCACTGGTTTCTGTTCTTGTGTTTCCATGGAAGAGATATACGTCAGCTAGCTGCTGTTCCATGTTTTTGATTCCCTTTTTCCAATTCCCAAAGGAATTTTATGATAATGACCGCCACTCCCATGCATGCATGGTATCATCCATACATGATAGACCTGTCAGCAAGAGATATAACATATATTAGCTATAGTATTATGTTCTATCAGGCGAAGTGATGAGTTGTAAGCGCTTCCGCTTTTTGAAATTTGCTCAAATTGATCAGTTCACCGGAATCATTGATGATCGTTACCGGCGTTAATATTTGTCTTGTCTGGAGATACGGACTGGGAAGCCGGAGTGGTAGTATATTTCGAGAGATGTCCGGTTTGTGTAGATTATACGAAAGGAAGCTTTTTTTTTCGGAAAGCAAACTAGCTGTCAAAAGCTGTCAAAAGTTCCGAGCAACTGAACTGCATCAGTCGTGAACTCCGTTCTGATACGAGAGTGTGTCTTTTCCGTAGCCTAGCGGCCAACCGGAAGCCCAAATACCCTGTGACAATTCAAGATGGGGTTTCCTTGTATGACTTTGATAGTTCTAGGTAATTATCTTCACGCACAGACCATTTTCCTTCTTCCTCTGTGGTGTCAATCAATTAATACTGCTACCAATTATAGGAACTAACGCCCACGATACTTTCCTGCAGCTTCGTTCGCTCCATGCTTCCCTTTTACCCTACTGATTTCCGGAATTTCTCCCCTGCAAGTATGTATACTAGAGAACTTGGTACGGGTGCGTAGACTGGCGCGGTAGCTGGTGTAGGGAGGTACCTCCTGTTTCTCACATATATTCGGGAAGTGGAGTCGGGGAATTTCAAGGGATCTAAGTGGGTTCGAGCTCTCTTTTACCCTTATTTTTGCTAAATTCAAAAGCTCGTGGGAAGGAAGCGTGAAAGGGAAAAAAAGAACCCATGCCGATACCCGAATACGTTTATTCTCCAATTCGTTCGAGGCTCTCTCTCCTTTCGATGCGGGGTTGCCGGTCTTTGGATTTCATCCTATTTACCCAGAAGTTCACAGTGTGGTACATGAAATCGGGATCCGAAGATTTGCGACAGGCAAAATGGGGGGGTGAAGTTACTCTGTTAAGGCGAAATGATGGGTTCGAAAGGGTTCGGAAGGCTAAGAGGTTTTTCCCATTGAGGAATTTCAACGTAGAAAGGGTAAATTCGAAAAAAGGCATGAGGAAGGGAAAAAAAACGTGGGCGCTTTGCCTGCATCTTGCATTGGGAAAATCCGGAACATATCTAGCGAAGTCGTGGGATCTCGGTAAAAAAGCCCATTCAGCCGGTCGTTTGAATTGGATGATTTGAAGAAAAATATATCTCGACCGATTTTCCCACAACTTCGATTTCTTTTTGCACTTCTCGGCAATTCTGCTAGTACACTATATGATATTAGAGAAAAAAATAGTTATGGACTTAGCTCACTTGGAAGAAACATTTTCTTGGGAGCAGCCTGTTTTTTTGTTTGTTTCAACCACTTCGTCTTGTAACTCAGCACCGGTTGAATCCCCGCCTTTTTTCTTTTGAGAACTACCGGCTTAGCATTGAACCAATTGATATTTAGCCCCTTTGATTGAACTATGGTAACATGACCCGAGCCTATCTTGCCGAAAGGTCTATATATTTTGAACTTTCTTTAAAGCTTGGCTATATGATTCAGTAATCCATAAACTGTGCAATTATGCCAATTGCATTTTGCCTTGGACCGGAAAACTTACAGATCCGTATAGCCAGAGAATGAAAAATAAAAAAAATAATACAAAAACGATTTAAAAAAATAAAAAATAAAATAATAAAATAGAGAGTGCTATAATATATATCTCGTGACGAAGCAGAAACAACAGACCTTCTGCCTGGTGCGCCTAACCATTTCAAATATTCCAAACAGTGATCAGGTGACAATATGTTTTATTACCACCACCACCGGCCACAGGTTGAATCTGGCTATATTTTCTTGGTCTTAAGCTAATAAATGTTGTTGTCGCGTTACACATCAGATAGGTTTTACTTTACGGACGAGGACGCGGACGCCGGCTAAATTGGAATACCCACTTCCACGTACTGTACTTACCTCTTTGCGGGATTCATGCAATGTCGAATACCTTCGAACAGGGTTACTCCATACATTGAGTTCCATGGTTAGGTGGCCCAAGCTCGAAACTTTGGATCCGTAGATGTCTGTGCCAAAAAGACGTAAGGGTTTCATCTAATCCGATACAATGCACTTACATAGTACATACACAAATGTACTTCGATACTTTGCTCGTGCGTATTTCTAGAACCAGTATCGCCTCTCCTCTGCTCCCCCTCTTCCCGCAGCACTTTATCTGCTTTTCTTTACTTTATTTTATTAATTTGAGCACGCGCAAGGTGCACCGGTGTTGCATTTGGCCCGTTCGTTTGCGTTGGCACGGTCCAAGACTCGGCATCCGACACAGACCAGGTTCTGCCATTATAAACTGACGAATGGCAGCTGTCTTCCAGAAGACTACAGCCGCACGGGCCTACGATTTCGTCTTTTTCTGCCCAAGTTGGAAAAATAAAATAAAAATTATAAAAAAATAAAAAAACTAGAATACCGTTTCCGTGTTTGTGATTCTCTTGCATGAATTTAATATCTTGGGGGTGAAAAAAAAAGAGAGAAAACTTTCTCTCACACTTCATAATTCACATACGAGATGAAATGCTATTGTTTGGGCCCTTGTGCACTATTACCCACTTGTGGGGAACTTCAACGGAAAACAAGTGGTCGATGATCGAATCTTTAATAACATATCACGCCTCTTGCATCTGGGTGTTAAGTAAGCTAATAAGGGGAGGGGTGGGCTTGAAATCTGGAATCTCTGGAGGTCCAATGAGATTCAGCGATCGAATTTAGCCAGATATAAGGGGATCACATAAACCAAATCTCAAAAAGTTTGGCAACCTGGTTCTTGTTTAAAAATCTTCGGCTGCAGGCAACTTGGGGAAACGGAAGGGTTGCAAAACCCAATTTTTCATGTAAAAGGAAACCTATATAACCGGTTTTAAACCCAAGGAAAAGAAATATATCTGGTGTGGGAATTTGGAGGAAAGGGAGGGAAAGGGAAGAAACAAGAAGGGAAAAGAAAAGATCAGATCACGAACCTGTGGAACAACCAACTTCACGACTATATAGTACAATGCATATGTACTAAACTACTTTGGTTTCCCCACTTTGACGCAGTGGCCCTAATTTGGTATAAATGCAGATATATCCACGGCTGGTAAAATATAAAATAAAATGATACGAAGCACGAACGGTTCCTTTTAACCGGGGTTGTGGGAAGATGTGTAATTGGGGAAATGCACCATTGAATTATAAGCACCCCTCAGGGTTTCTGCGTGTTAGAAAACTTAAAGATCTTTGATTGGAGCGTGACTGCATCTGCTGACATGACGTCTGAGGCTCTTTTATCCAGACATATGGCTGAAACGCTAGTAGCAACGAGCCGTGATAGTATGATAACACCAACGTTGAGCTTGGGCCCTAAACTTGCGGATTGACACTGCTGCAGCCTCGTTACAGAAAGATTGATCCTTTATTTGGAAAGCTTCTCGAAGCCAAAAAAAGTGGAGGAGATTAAACTCTCGGGCTATTCCTCGCGTGGTAAATATTCGAAGGTAGTGCAGTCCTTTGCATCGGCCAAGTCTACGAAGTCTGCAGCCCAGAGAGCTCGATGGAAAGTTTTCCGCATTTGTGGAGCACCATTCCCATGGCTACAATGGCATCACCGGCAGTCGCCTTTGAAAATACCAGCGGAACCAGACCAGTAGTACTCCGATCCCAAACAAACACCAGCTTTTACTTAGGAACCTCAGTCCGAAGTTTTCAAAGAAGTGTGGGAGTTTCTATTCCATGGATGTGAGCCAATTCGCATGCATAGCGTCCGAGTGTCCCTATGCTATGAGCTGTCAATGGATATTAAGTTACAACCCCGCCCATGTTGCCGCCTAGGGCACCCTCCAGAAGCTCTAGAAGAGCCAATTTAATTTAATTTAATTTATCGGAATGGCATCGCGAAACAGGGAAACCCCAGGGGAGTTATCATTTCTTCACAGAAACAACTCACAATAAGCATCCACCCTCCCAGTGCTATCGATAGCTCTTCACCGGTTAGCCTTCCCGAAGATACAAATTATCTCTCAGGGATAGGACTCGCATTTGCCCGGTCTATGACTCGAGATACAGGAACTAAGCTTCCATATTGTCTTCAGACATTGTGGATCAGTGGGTCACTAGATATATTTGCACGGACCCGTCAGCTTCGCCAAAACTCGTACACAGAATTGGCAAAATACTACCGGAGGCACTGAACACAAGCCTCGCCGATGTCTGAGCCATATATACTACATATGATCACCAGTGCCAAACCGTCTTGCCCGAAATCCCAGGACGAGATCTTAATACGCCTCTGGGTATTATAGTTGCAGGCGACGATCACCCTTGTTTCGCCATAAAATTCGCGTCAATTTTATAATGAACCGAAATTTAAAAATGGGTCTTGTGGTATAGACCACCGAGTGAAAAATGGATTAGAGTATCAAATAGAGTGTCTTCCAAGGCTCGGAAAGTCAGCTCTGCCTTTCCTGAACCCAAGGTTCCTCAGCCGTTTTGTTTTTTGTTTTTGGAGTTCTCCCAACGCGAGAGAGAGTGGCTCGAATCTATGGCTTGAGTCCCGCTTCCCGGTTATAGATGTTTCATGTATACAAAATCTCGAATAATCGGGCCTAGGTTTCCACTATCAACCCTGTGTAATCTTGACAAAGGGATTGGATTTTACTCACTTATAAATGTTTCGAGATTTAAATTTGGAAACTACGACATGGAACAGCACGTCATAATCTTTTTTTCGCATAATAGCTCGTCTGAGATTTGATTGTTTTCAACGGTTATATAGAGACTAAGGGCTAAGTTAAGCTATCTCCGTATTCAGAATTAGTGCTGTAGTGATGCTGAAATTTAAAATAAATAAATAAAAAAAAAATAAAAAACCGAAATTACTGATACGATATCGATACGAGGCCCCACCGAACTACTGAACCGTTAGGTTTCATCTGGAAATTTATCAGAGTGGCAATTAGGTTGACAGTTTTTGTTTTCCTTCCTTGGTTTTATGAAATTGGAAAGACGGGGCGGCAGATTCTTCGTGCAGGCACAATCTGTCTGCATGCACCTCATCGCCGTGGCAGTTGAGAGACGTCAAAGAACGAATTGGTGTGGAGTTTTTCGGGCCTTCATTGGTTCAAAAGAGTAGGCTCTGGAATAAAGACTCGCAAGTATTGCAAATTGCGCATAAGAACGGTTTTGACAGGCTGTATCCGGACCACAACCCATGGAACCCTTCAAGGTCTAGGTTCTCGGAGAGTTAAGAGGCTTGGTCAGTCAACCGTGCCGTCTTCCATGCCGAAGGAACTATGCGAGTTTTCTGTTCTGGAAAGAAGTGCCACCATCGAGGTCAGGATAATCTTTGGATCCTTCCCGAAGGAACCGTCTACTTTGAAAGCCTGGTCGATATTCGTCGACAATCTATGGGAACCAGTAGGTAAGAGGTCTGTAACCTTGCATTCGTCAACGGCAAGGGGACCCCTCTCGAAGCAGGAAAGTGACTTTGGAGAGCATGATGTTACCATCGACAAAATCGCTCGCCCCATTGCCACCAGTGTATGTACATACACTATTCGGGTAAGGCAGATGTCGAATACGTTTCTAGACTGAAAATTTGTTTCTTGATAACGACCCGAGATTCCAGATGGAATGTCTTGCACGGAGCCTGGTCACAAATTGACATCAGCTTCAAACTAGAATCGCATACAAGGGTTGAGTTAGCATTGAAGTTGAATTGGCGCTTCCATGAGAGAGAGCAGCCGTTTACAGAAGCGGGGACGGGTTTCGCTAGGTTCAGCGAGCTGACTTTCCGGATCAACCATATGCCCCCCCAGGGTAATAACATATTTCCGATGAGCTAATGAGTACCAATACCCCCCGTTCATTGAACCAGGTCATCTGAAGGTGCTAGAGTCTCCAGTGCACCTGACAAGGCATGGTTGCGACAGCTGTCCGTGGGGTGCATGTATTTACCTGCCGCCTTCGAGTGTGTTCCACTGATAGCGACCCAAAGCCAAATATCTTTCAAAAGGGCGAGTGAAGTTGGTAACTTCTGTTGTCGCTTCCAGCTGCAGAAGCAGGTTCTTACCAGGCACCACGTGTGTGTGTGTCCTGTTTAAGACATCGCCAGGAAGTCCTCACTGGGAAGGACCTCGAAAAGCGATAAAAGAAAAGAAAATAGAATAGAATAACGTTAGTCAGATTCTCATAGCATAATCGAAAGGTGGAAACATTTACGGATGCTGGAATCCGATTCTCACATATACATACTTAATTCTTCCTGGGGTTACGAAGTCGATTGACACCGTATAGACATCGTTGCGTGAGGAATTGGCGGCAGAAGGATCCTATAGGGTCATTGCATTAAACCGTCGAGAGTACCCCATGTCAGAGAAGTACGATCCTGGAAATTTGCAGCGTGTATTATTAACACCTCCGGTATATTTCTATTTAGCAAAATGGGGTCGGTATGATAGATGTATCATACCTCTATAGATTGTCATGCAAACAGGGAGTTTGGAAAAGTGATCCGTGAGACTTCACGATTTCCCTAACTAACCACTTTCTTAACCAAGATAGACTCGGCTATTTCCAACAGGCGACTATAGTTAAACTAGAAACGAATGAGAAGTGGTCTGACAAGCGGTTTCGCATACAAAAGACCGATCCAAAGAAAGTAGCTTATTCAAAATTTTGGGCGTTGGAGATGATCCGAAAGATTTGATTGCTGCCTGCCATATGTATTCACATGCCCCAGACCCTGGGCAGGCTCGGGAAGAGCGAGACCTATGATCCCTGGATCCACGGAAGCCGCTTGGCGTTGTCGTGCCGTTTTTCGGAATCTGGAAGATACACATGTTAATGTAAAGGCAGGGCTTGTGATAGAGCGTGGCCATGGAAGGCGTACGTGCTGATAGATGGTATCGGCATAGTCTGCAGCCTGCAGTGGAGTCCACAGGACATTCTTAAGTTAGAAAACATTTTGAGGAAAACCGGAGACACTCGCCAACGCAAAATAGATGTCTGGTAGCGTTGGGTTTTAGATTTCTGCCTCGTCTGGTTCCTCAGATCCAGCCAGGAGCACTGCCCATGGCCATGCCATTGCAAACACTGATTCAGGTACGACTGTAAGTTCGAGAACTAATAATATTACTGCGCTGTGCTCCAGCTGTGAGGTCTGGACATTTAGAACTTGTGCAACCTGATGTCTCGTTTAGCCTCCACATGCAAGCATTTATTTATTTGAAGCTCAGGGAATGGACAAATATAGCGGTGGAGATACACGCCTTTTGTGCTAAGGTCCCCACTCCTATGCATGTTGCAGAGGTGAAGATTTGTTTCGCATTTGTACGCCACGTTTCGCCATCCGAAGCTGGATTGTCTGCATTTTTTTTTTAAAAAAAACACAGATCCACTGAAGCCGAAAGGCTGGATATAGTGGCATAATATCTAGTAAACCCAAACGCCGGGCCGATCGAGCCCGCTCCGAATATGTAGTGGGTTCGAAGGAAAACTGGATTTCGCTTTCGTTCAATTAGGAAAAGAAAGAGAGAATCTCGGGGAGGGTAGGATTTCCTACGGGTGCTAGTTGAGTCTAGTCCGCAATTTTGACTACTGAGGTTTTTGGATCCGATGGCAATCTTAGAGAGGTCCGTAGGTACCTCTGCTTCATGTTTTGTATTAATAGTAACTTCATATGGAAACTCATATTTCCGTACTTTTAAGGCGCATCATATCATATTATTATAGATCTGGACGGTTGCCTCTGTGCCATATTTAATAGGGTTTTAAAAAGTTAGAGAGTTTATATATTAATTACCTACCAGGTACAAAACAACTTTATTTTGAAATGCCAGATCCCGATAGAGATGCTGTCTGAGTTTCATTGTGAGTCGATTCCCGATTGACTGGACCTCGATGTTTCGTTTTGATATTTTACAGCATTTCGCAAAGTTGACAAATCGCTTAGTCTTTTCGAATATTTAATCAATCCGAAAAGGTTAACATAGCCCATGTAGCGACCAGGTAATGGTGATCTGTATGAACGCCAACGGAACCTGGCGATATCTGCTCCAAGATGACCGCTACTTACCTCATCGGTTCAGCATGAGCGGGGCGAGCTGCAGCCTTTTGTCTTGAATTGTTTTAATTCTTGCCGCTTCCGCTCAAGCTACCGTTGGATTAACATTATCAAAATGCGGGAGCTGGCAAAAAAAAAAAGGTCTTGTGCTCGAACATCTACATGACCCCGGCTGCTAAAATAAGACTTCGTTTGTTTCGCACGAAACTTGACAGCCCAAAAGATGGGTATCTACCCAGCGACCAGTTGGGGTAATTAGTTGAGGTCGACGAGACAATTGCGCAAAGAACTTCCACATCCTTGTTCCCTGCATGTGGGCAATATGAAATAGAGGCGCCAGAGTGCCGCCGGCGTCCAAGGTAGATGACCCGTAGGAGTTAATGAAACATAAACCAAGGAATCTACATACTTAATTCCAAGACGTGGTGGTGGTGGTGGTGGTGGGAAATGAAAGATGCAATAAAAGAAAAAACAATGCTGCCAGAAGTCGAGTCAAGCGGGCGATGTTCCTATCAGCTGGATAGCGTGCATAATGCTCCGATGAAAATGGTATGCTCGGTTCCCTAAATACAACATGTCTAAGGGTTGCAGTGCAAGTGCAAGTGCAAGTGCAAGTGCAAGTGGGGGGGGGTTTCCTGACCGAAGCCACGCCCGTACACAACTGTGCCTAGTTTCCAGCTGTCGAATCGATGACTATGACCCGCACATGTACATGTACATCATGTGTGTATACGGGGCAGTTGTGCTACGTAAGTACCTGGCATAATATAATTGAGACGAAGGGAAAAGCTTGGTGACGATGTCAACCGAACCGGACCTTAAGCCCTCCCTCTCTCTCTTTCCACATTAGCAGAGGGCTACTTAGCTAACTAAAAGACGTCGCAATCTTGCCTTAGTTTAGCCCCTGGTATTCTCCGCCAAAAAAGCCATAAGAAAAGAAAAATAACTAGAAAAAGAAAAGGGATTCTTGAATGTCAGTAGCTGCCAGTCTCTCCAATCCTGTCGACAGCAGAGACACAACCAGCTTGCAGCCTGGTAAGCGTACAACCAGGAGTCCCAGGGTGATGCTTGTGGGTCGTGCCCTTCTTGTGGAGCCTGCATGAAGTTCCTTCCTCCCTGGGAGACAATGGCGATGTCGTGCAAGGATGGCCCCGAACATCACCCATTTCCTTTTTCCTCCCTTCTCGGATTGCATCTCGAACACCTTCTTTTGCCATTCGCTCGTCTTTTTTCTAATCGGCTTACCCCTCGACAGTGCACCCGTGCTCTGAGGGGGAAGGCCCAGCTGCGGGAAAAAGGAACGGCTCCTTTCCCAAGAGCCAAGCCAAATGCTAGTTCCCTTCTCTCCAGTTTGACAAGGTTCATTGTAAAAAGTAGATCAGCCTGGAGTCCACCGATCTTGTTGATTATTATCATCCGGACTCGAAGGACTGACCTTCCAGATAGTCCTAAGCCGATAGATGTCTCTGTCTAGAGAATCCTTGGCCAGAAGGGCGGTGATTCGCTAGTTCTCCCAACGATCCACAGGTGGACAAAGAGCATATCGGTAGGGTTTGGAAGCTGCCTAGTATCGTATAATTCTTGATTCCGCTGACGGTATCAGAATTCAGCGACATTGCAGAACTAATTTATTTTACAATCGAAGCAGAAGCAGCGTGGTGGCACTGCGTTCTGCGTGGACCAAGGTCAAGCGCGACCCTCTTACCTGCCTTCCATGGGAAGCCGGTTCGGGTCGGTACCACAGATAGCGAAAGAACGAGAGCATGAGAGCCCTCCGATCCCTCACCCATCCACACCCCCCCATTTGAATTCATTTATTCATTCCAAGAGGGCAGAGAAGAGAAGAGGAGAGGAGAGGAGAGAAGAGAAGAGTAGAGTACTATAGAGGATGTCATGTTCTCGCAGTGCAATTGACTGGTGTGCCAATTCAAAAGCAAAATCCCAGGAATCGAGGGAAATCATACCATACATACTAGCTATAATGAAGCGAACTAATATATCGCGAAGTATTAAAAAACAAAAAAAATAAAATACAATAAAGAAAGAAAGAAAGAGAAAAAAACAAATAAATTAAAAATCAAAAAGTACTCACTCACTCACTCGCTCGATCAATCAATCAATCAATCAATCAATCAATCAATCAATCAATCACTCACTCGAATACTCACTCATTTGCTCGTTCGTTCATTCGTTCATTCATTCACCCACATACTCCAAGAGGCCATGGTATACGGGCCATGGGTCATGACCATACATAGCCAGGAAGGACCGTAGTATATTATAGTATAGCGCAGAGCGGTGCGGTGCGGTGTATCTGGCCATGGCCCACCTTTCCGGCTACTGCTTCCTTAGTGACTTTTTGATTTGATCTATGAACCGATTGCCTTTACTGTGTACTTACAATTGGTCAACCTCGTTCCTGCTCTTCCTGTCGGAGCTTATTGTTAGCAATCTTCCTAACACATATTAACACTCGGTTCCCCAGCATTTCAAACCGGAACGAACCCAGGCTCCCTCCAATTCATCCTGAACATAAGTTGCATGGCCTCGCTTTACGGCGGACCTGATCTCAACTTTTTATTTTCGATAGTTTAGCCTTTTCCCCAGGACGCTTCCGCGCTGTGAACTTAGTACGTACTTACATACTTACTAGTCTCAGCTATAACTGTCCTTACATCCCCTCCTTGAACTCAGATACCTTTTGGGAGATCTCGCATATATTTTGTAGCATCCCGCCCCCCGAGTCTTGTCTCTCTTCCCCCCCCGTTTCTCTTCTTTTTTTTATTTTATTTTATTATTACTATTTTCTATTTTATATATATAATCACAAGCTGCGACAGCACTGGCAAGCGGGCCCGGTCTTTCTAGCGGAGCACATAGCAGCAAACCCTTCCCACATACAGCCCACTCCGTACTTACATATATAACTCCAAGTACCTACCCGTCCAGGACCTTTTTTAAACTTGGCCCTGTCCTATTCCATCCTATCCTGTGTATCTGCTTGGGTTGATAGGACTTCTCATACATATCGAAGCCCTTTTCTTTGATATCTGTGATATAAGGACACACACACACACACACTATACGACATCGACTTCAACCTCGACATCCTTTCCAGCCGAAGCTATAGTCAACATTTATTTATAATTACCAGTCGACGTCCTACCAAAATATTAAATTCTATCGGCTCACTTGCAACTGAACCACATAGACTTCCTAGATGTAAGTAACTAGACTATATTATACTCCTTCTTCCTCATTTTTTTTATTTTATTTTATTTTTCCTGTCCCCCCCCTTCATCTTTTCATCAGCCAGTTTCGCTTTCGCCGGAAAACTCCAGCGCATCCATAGCGCAACGGAAATCCAGGCGATGCAACTGCGCTGCAGGCAAACTCCGGCCACTTGTGATACAGTAATCGTACCTATTTGATCATAAAGGAGATTTTATGGTTTGCAGTACGCACATACATGTACGCGGCACCGGCGCCTTGCTTTTTGACAAGCCATCGTTGTTTCCTTTTAGGAAATTAATTAGTTATAACCAAGTTTGGTCTTGTGCATCACCTCCCCCATTCCTTCATTATCTCTGGTTCTCCTTCTGCGGGTGCTCGGTTTAAACTTTGTATCGCATGTGCTTTGGTCGCACCGGTTGCTGGCCGGCTTGTCGATGATTGGAATTTCATACGGGACCCGGGAACCAATGCAGCTGCGCAGGCTCGTCTCGGAACCTGGACTTCCTTCGAAATCACAGCAAGCAATCGGCATTCATACCGCAGAATGTGAAGCTAATCTACCAATTGAATAGCCAGCAGAGGTTCACACAAATATCATCAACATTACACGAAAGGTCTTAAAACACAGCCGTCACATTTTCTCTAAACTTGCAGCCGCTTCAGCACGCCACTAGAGCACGCAGCGTAACTTCTTTCTGGTTCCACCGCGCGAATCTGCGTTTTGCACTCCCTTTGGCTTGGGACACTTAGCAGCACCGCACCCGTCCGGCCGGGATTATATGTATTACCGTCCCATTCGCATTTCACTCTCTTAACCTGCACTGTCCTTGATCTCCTGGCTTTTTTGCCTTAACGAAGGAAATTCGGATCGAAAGAAAAATCCTAAGCCTTCTAAACCACCGTTCGCCTGTGGAAATTGCGCCACCGGCTTCACCACTCGGTTCCGTTTCGAGGGCATTGCATACGACCCCGAAACCCGAGTCAGTCAGTACTGCAGTTGTTCTTATTTAGCTTGCCTTTGGCCCGCCCGCATTTTACATAGTGACCAGCCAATCCGCCAAACCTCTCCCCAGCCAAACCTTTTTATTCTTGCGTGGTGGCGTTAACTTAACGATCTCTTGATTTCCTGGTAAACTTCTTCTGGATCCGAAAAAGAATTTTCCTCGAAGCATCTTTTAAATCTTGCAGCGGTGTCCACGTTATCTATATCGGCGGAGGGTAAAAGACTGGTAACAGTCCTTGCCTTTGTTTCAAAACGACTTGGTTCCCTTCCCTGCGCTCGCTCCACAGTCGGACCCTATAGACCTCGGGTCATATCAGTCCGCGGCTATACCAACTGCGTATCTCTGGTCGTATATCGAGAATCCGACCAAAAAAAAAAGGTTCCTGTTGGGTCCGAGCTTCCTTGTTTCCAGAAAAGCACCAACTTCAGCGCCCAAGCTTGTCCTCGGAATAACTTGACCTTGACCTTGACTAGGCTGTTGACTGTCTGGCACTAGTTTCAACTCACAACATCTCGAACCACAGACAACCCCACAGTACCTATCAGCTGCCTCCTCTTATTGGAAAATAGTGGACCCCGGCTGGAAAAACTGGTCCTTCGAAAGACATCGTTGTCAACTGCTCCGGATGTTAATCAGAGTTTGACCGACCATATTATATGTATACAATCTACGCTCGACTTAGACATCGAAGTCCGCTTTTGCATACTACCTATACAACGCAATACAACTTTATAGACGAAGGAGCCTAATTGATCGTCTAATACTATTTGGAACTCGAACCGGCTTTAACATCTCTGGTTTCGCTGCGTTCGTTGCTATTTTTCTTTTTTTTTGTTCTTTCTTCCTCGAAGATCCAAGATCTTAGGATACCTCCGGCCGTGGTACCTAAGACGCACTGGTGGAAATGCAAAATCATTCTTTTGCGGATGCATCCTCGAGAATGTCGAGGCTAAGAAGGTAATTCGCAATTTTGCAACTGTTCCTCCTTAGCCATATGCTAACTTCACTTCCCATAATACAGTGACGATTATGAGCTCTATATCCGACAGGGCCCAGAGAGAGCGAGGGTAGCGGGCACAAAAGAGAAAGGTATTTCCATATTCCAACGTACGAACTAATAGCTTGGACAACCTCCTCATACTAACATGCATTTACGAAAGATCGAAAACCTGTCGACCCTCCACCAATTATTCAGTTGAAGATCAGAGATGACAGCGACCCCCAGCAAAACTACTTACAGAGCCCGTACTACTTTATGTGTACAAACCTTTACCCAGCCACAGAAACCCCAAAGGATAATACCGGTGCAAGCTCATCGTACAACCAGGCCCTGGCTGGTACTCTTGTATCTTCGTTGCACAGACTCAAGGACATCGACAACACTGGTAAGTGGAACATTGGAATCCATGGGAACCTTAATATATATAGGTTTGCTAAACTTGATTTTGTTTTATAGATGGGGGGTTTTTCGTATTCGGTGACCTTTCCGTCAAGGTCGAAGGTCAGTTCAGATTAAGATTCAGTCTGTTCGAAATATCGTCGTAAGTGTTTCTTCAGTACCTGTTATAGTCACTACGTTGTACGTTGTACTAAAGGTTTCGTAGTAGCGAAGTCCATTATATTAAATCAATAACTTCGGCACCTTTCACCGGTATGATCCCAGCGTATGCTTTGGTTTTATTGAATAATTTTAACTGACAAGTGGCATTTAGTCTACCCAATGAAAAACTTCCCCGGAATGTCAGAGTCTACATTTCTATCCAGATCTTTTGGCGACCAAGGTGTCCGCCTCAGGATCAGAAAGGAACCCCGAACTCTAGTGTTAGTAAATTATTTAAATCCCCTATTAATTGAGAGAGTATAGAGTTGACGAATAATTAGAAGAAAACGTGCCTATCGCCCTCCTCCACCAGAGGCATATGCCAGTGCACAAATGAGGAGGCCTTCATCTCCTGATAGTCATTATATACATGGATACCCAACGCCTCACCCTTCGGTCGATTACGGGTATGGACCCTATCACGATGCGCATAAGCGGATGAAAATGGAATCGAATCCCCCTCCTCCATACGGATCCCATGGGCGTGAGCCATATGGTGAACGCTCGCCATACGGCGAATATCCCCCAAACCACCCACCACCAAATCAAACAAATTATCACACTGGCTATCCAAACTACCCGCCCTACCAACAGCGCTCCCCGACAACCCCAGGAGGATACTTCCCTCCCCATCATGGCCCCCACTCAAATTCTGGATACGGACATTATCCTCCACATTCGCAACACCCTCAGCACGAGTATCAAAGTCGTCATTCGTCCTACTCTGGTCCTTCTCCTGTCCATCCTACTCAACAGCCTTCTCCGCTTTACGAATCACCCAATCTACCACCATCAGCTCAAAGCACTAGGTCGCCGGTTGCAGGTTCTGGTCCCTACAAGAGTTATGAAAGGCATAATTCAGCCTCTTCCGCAGGGTACCCACCATCATACCCTGAAGATACATCTGCAAGCAAACAGCCACCATATCGGGCGGCACCGCAATCCAGCTCGGTTCACTCGCCACCTGGGGGACTTCCATCACCGGGGCTATCAAGAACATCCGGTTCCATGGCTTCTCATACATCTTCACCAATGAACTCTACATCGAGAGGGTTAACAATGCCAGCGCAACCTCCGTCACCATACAAATCAGGGATTTCTTTGCCCCCACTGCAATTACCTCCCTTGTCTGAGCCCCATGGATCTAGATCACAGACACACACCAAAACCCCTGGCCCACCGATTTCTTTTGATTCAGCTGTTAGCCAAACTTATGCTACATGAAAATCCGATTTTATGACGACCGACTTCTAGCTATCGAACCGGGGACCCGGCATTGTGGAATTTGCTTTCCCGTTTTTGCTTTCCCTTGCATTTCCGATTGAAGCATTTAAGGCGTTAAACAACAGTTTCTTTACTTTGTCTTTGCATATTTCCCTGCAAGGGTCTTCTGTGGTCCTGCCGTGAGGCAGGTAGTACCTACATACTTACCTACTACTTTACATTAGAGTTTTTGTAATTTATGATTTCACACTGTCCAGATTTCACTCTTTCTTTTGCTTTTTCATGTTTCAAGAAAAATTATTCACCAGGCGTTTTACTGTGGTTGGAAGCAGGCTGTCCCCGCCGATGTTTTTTGCACAAAATGATATAGTATATACGAGCAAGATACCAGATTTGATATTTTCCCATCTTGATTTCCTTTGTCAGAAAAAACATGTCTTTCAAGTTTTCCTTACCCCGCATATCTCCGAGGGGGGACCTTCTGTACATACTAGACGTATGCGATTATGAACATATATTTGGCATTCAGTAATAACTAGCCATAATCATCTTAGAACCGTTTGCAGCTTCCATTACGCAGATACAAAACGCCATGCTGACCAAAAAGTAAGATAGGATAAAGGCGCTAGCGGTACCCTTTGCCCTTGCTCATGAGTATACGTAGTATTAATTCTGGCCAGAAAATTATCGAAAGAAGGAGACCAGCTGCCAGCTTGAGAACCCGGTCACCTAACTAGTCTTCAGGATCCTGCACACGAGATCACACGCATACATAGCACACACACACACACACACACACACACACCACACTGATGCAACAATATCTCTTTCCTCGTATATTCAGGACGGTAATGGTCAAGAAAGGCTCGATTTCATGCAAGTCAGAGAGCCTTAGCGTATCACCAAAGTGGGTTAAGGTGCTTGGAACCGGACACATTCCCGCGTCCCATACCAAAAAATTTCCCAGACCACGTTTTTCTCGGGGTCTGGAGACGAAAGAACAACCAACAAACCAGTTCGTCTGAGACAAGAAATGTGGACCAGCCAACATTTTGCATTTGACGCCTGGGTCTGGTCGAAGTGGGGGCCAACCGCAGAAGACAAACACATTTTCGGTAGGTACTCCCTAGGCAGTTAGGGTTAAGATTTCTCGAGGTGAATTAAATAAAATAAAATAATAAAATGATAAAGTAAAATAACTACTTCCTTCCTCTTCATTTTGAGGGGTTCGAATTTCGTGGGTTTCCATGCGGAAACCCTACTCACTGTCCAGGATATCGCAGGACGAGATGAAGAAAAAGGTTGTAGATGCGGAGACCAGTCCTGGTTTTGGTTGCTAGATTTGATACGTTTTCGGGTATCTCGGGACCCATGTACGAAGTTTGTAGATTTCCCCGTCTCGTCACCAATACTACTTCTATGAAATCATCGACTCATGCACCACGCAAAAGAGTTGACAAAGGGGTGGTACTACTTGTAGATGGTCTAAGCTCCACACCCTCCAGTTTCGCTAGCCCTCTTTTTTCCAATACGATTCTTTTTTTTGTTGGGTGTGCAGCTTGCATTACGCAGAAGTACAGCTGAACGGGACATCAGGCCATACGATATCGGATCCTCTCGATCGAGATGAATAGGATTTTCGGATGGCCACCTTTTTTATGTCCATATCTACATGGATGTGCATCTAAAATGCCTAACAGGAGAGGACGGAAATTGTCTGCTGCAGCAATTGCAACGCCCTCTGTTTTTTCTTCTGTCATATATGATCTATCACTTTTTTTATATTATTTTTTTTTCACCTTTTCACACCGGCCTTTCTTGGGGACTTCATTCTAGACTTCCTTCGTCCCCTGGTGCAAATCTAGTGATGAATTCCGGCCGGCAAATGCCATTTCAGTAACTCAATTCGAAAATCAAGCCAGCGTTGACCCAGTGGAATGCTCGAAACGACGCATCAAGAGAATCGGGACTAGTACCTCCTCCAACATGAAGAAAGTACTTACTTCCTTACAATGCACTGCTGCACCTGCACCAAGAAGAAAAAAACCTACAGGATGGGGTCGATGGAAGGCCAGGTTGTGTGGACCGCCCAGCCTAGTTTTTCCGAATTTTATGCCGACTCCATATTCCGATCCACAGGTCAAGAAATAAAATTCAAAGTGAACCACTGGATTGCTACGGGGCTCCCGAGGCGTTCTCCACAATGGTCTCCACCTTTTTGTCAAACCGACGACAGCTCATTGGCCATCCGAGACCGGGAATTAAGGGTGCAAAGGTGTTGGCGTTAGGGTTCTTGTTCCTTAGCTTGCGTAGTGATAGTGGTGGCCTCGGCCTGACTCCACCGAGAGGTTACAACATCGATATTTGGCTATTCGGATTTTCGAAACTGCTGACCAAAAAAATTAGTCAAAGACACCTCGGCAAACGGATTCTGGACCTGGATTCCTCGTACCAAGATCTCAGTTATTGGATTACTTCCCCAGCGTCACTGCCTACATCTCGCTTATTCAATGCAATGAAGCTAGCGCACGGTCTGGCACGCTGGTTCCGATGTGTCTCAGAAACTTCTACGGTTGGATACCCGAACTTCCAGGATAGAACAATGGAATACTGTACCTAATGACGACCTTCCCCGTCCGGTGGAATAGTGGGTTTTGGAGCATACTACTTAGTTTCCAACATTTCGAACTTGAGACCCTCAAATTAGTGTCTCTGTTGTAGGTGGTATAGTGTAGTAGCAGAGAGTGAAATTGTTGGATTCAGACGCTAATTGTTGATAATGTTGTGTCTGGACCATCCTCCTCCACTCTCCTTGCTTTGTGTTCGATGTATAACGGCCACTAAACCTACGCTCAAAGCGGCTAAGAAGACCTCCCTAGACGACTCGAAATTCGGGTTCTTCTTCCTCTTATTTTCTTTCTTTTCTTTTCTTTTCCTTTCTTTCCATAAGCTTGGGCGAAGTGAGGGGGCCTTTTCTTTTTGTCTCTGATACTCCCGTGATCTAACGTTCCTTGCCTCTTGCATAAGTGCGAGCCGCCTCATGATCAACCAATTAGCAAATTAGTCTTCACAAAGTTTATGCATCTATGAGCCAGATACTGGAAATGAACAGTCGAACAGGATTTAAAAGCTTGGTTCGTATCCAATCTGCTGAACCAGGTAAGTATAAGGCATGGAGCGTATCGTCCTGGCTGATCAAACTCGTTTAAGCCGTGCTAAAACCTGGCCGAAGGTGGGACAGCATCGCTCATCGGTTCAAAAATACTGTTTAAATTTAGTTAGCCGTCTGCGGTCCTCCTCCTCCTCCTCTAGCTCTTCAGCTGTACCATGTATCATATGTATGTTATGTAATGTATGTACATTACATAAGTACTTATTCAGTTACAGTTTCAATTACACTTACTTTTACTATTATTAAAAAGCAAATCCTATTATTGCTGTGCAACCATGGAACCTTTTAAACAAGACTCTTATTTCGGTTTCCCGAAGGTAGGTTCATATCGCCAAAGTGTTATAGATACGGCTCGCGATCTGATTGGTGGATATTTTATCGCGATGCTTCCACTTAAAACCTCACCCGGTCCAAGGCACACTCCACAGAAACTTCTTCCGCTTCCCTGACAGGAAGCAAAAATATAATTCTTCCTTGTCTCCCCCTCTCCACAGATCGTAATGAGGGATTCTTACCTGGTAACAGGTTGATCCCGAGCTTACGGAGCGAGAATTTAACCTTAACTGAACTCTCCCTCTCTGTGATATCCAGGAGACGGAAATACACAAAAAAGAAAAGAAGGAATGTAAAACGAGACCCCTCTTTTCTTGGGCTATATCTGCTGGATGTTATTGCATAAAATATAATATTGTATCGAAGGTACGGAGTAGTTAAGGCAGACTGGGACATGCCGGTGATACACTGTCTTCATGGTGTCTTGACCCTGTTACTACTATACTTTTGTGACTATATACATACATACATCGAGAAGGGAAATCTCCCTTTCCGGTTCTCATTGGCTGGGACAAAGCTTTCGTCTCCATACTTTTTTTTTGCGACTCCATGTCAATTATGTCAGGGTAATGTTTTATGTACTTAGCTAGTGGATCAATTTTTCCATTATCGTATTTCTGCGAGTGCATGTATGTATGTACGACAGCATACCAACCTCGGTACCAATACCGACAGCTCAGCGTTTGATGATTTTTGGCCGAAAGCAGAATTTTTTGAACCCATTCCATCTAGAATGATGTCGTCCAGGGCTGTACTAAGGTGGGAAAGAAAGAAGAAAAATTCCGAGGAGAAGATGTTTGCAAGCGCGGGGAGCACGGCCCATGTCTCATCTTCCAGTAACGGTGGGTTTAAGCTTTATGAGCTGAGAATATACCTTTTTTGAGATCTCAAAATAAAAAATAAAAAAAATAAAAATAAAAAAGATAATGGTCAAGCTGGTCACAAATCGACTATCTAAAGGTCTCGGCGTACACCGAAGAAATAGTTTCCGTAGTCTTCGCTGCCCTTTATTGCCTTCCATCCAAATCCGGGGACGTACAGACATCCCATGCTGAGCATTCCTTGTGACCCCCAACCATGTTGCTTCTCAAAAAACGATCTCATCTCTGGCTCATTGATGTATTTGTACCAATCGTGTGTCCCTCTGGGGACGATATGCAAGAGATCTTCCGCAATAAGCTTGGTGGTCATCCAGCTGCTCCAAGTCCTTGCAATAGTGCTGAGCACGATCCACCCACCTGGCCTCACATGCCGCATACATGTCTGTAGAAATGCGGCGGGGTATGGCACATGCTCCACCACTTCGAATAGGGTAATTAGATCGAACTGATGGTCAGGTGTATAGTCGTCTATTGACGAATTAATGTATTGTAATTTCTCGGATAACGTTGGGTCCTTCTTGGCGTGCGCTCGAGCAACTCCCAAAACCTGCTCGGATGGATCAAGTCCGATGACTTTGGCGGTGTTTGGTAGTCTTGCGACAGATTCTGAAAAAATACCACCACCGCAGCCGACATCAAGAACGGTCAGACCTCTAGACGAACCTTCCCCTCCCCCTTCCCCTGCATCTGTAGTCGCTTCGACAGGAATGCCCATTGACAAGCAATGTTTTGCGAAGTCGATTCTCATCGGGTTCATTAGATGGAGGAGTCGAGACGGCCCCTGTGCATCCCACCAGCTTGACGCAAGGGCGTCGAAATGTGATACCTCAACTGGATCTACTCCGCCTCCACCTGTTGGACGACCTGGGCTCCCTCCAATCCCTTGGTATGCTGACGTAGAGTTGTGCCTTGCATCGCGTGAGACCGGTTGTTGGAAGAAGGCATTAGCAATGGGTGAAGATCGACTAAGCTTTCTGAGGGCTGTCGAGCGGTAAGAAGGGGACAGATGCGCGCCGACCCGTAGCGTCCTCCCCAACATTGCTTTGCTGAGAAAAAAGGATTTTTTTCCTGAAATTATGAAAGGGATAAAATTGGTTACATGGTGTGGTTACGGGAAGGAAGGATGCTGGGGGAACTTGTCCCGAGACAATATTTTGATATCACGTGATATTGTTGGATATTTTTTTTGGGCGACTCCGTGCAACCTTCGACAACACGTTTTTCACGTGGCATTGTCGTCCTGTGGAGGGTTTCCATAATAAGTACCTTATATAACTACTTAAGTATATATATAGATATAAATATAAATACATTGGCCTCGAGGTTATCGTGAGAAAGTTAGATTATACATTATATAAGCCTGCCCGGTTTCCTCGATATAATCCGAAGCGTCCCCGTCAATGAAAACTCGATAGTGACGTCTTATCGTCAAACGTCGACAATCTTTTTATATAATATATTCCAAGACCTGGAAATTACTACTCGCTTTATTAAGGGCATGGATCATAGAACATAGTCGATCAAAAAAGTTTATATAACGCATTTATGAGGAGTTTTCAAATAAGTGCTAAATATATCAAGTAGCGGCTTAGATAAATTGCATCTTCGCGATAAACCCGTGATCAGTTCCAACCTATATAGCTATAGACCTCTCTTGTTCTAAATTCGAACCATAAAGTAATCCATAGCTGGCAAGAGTTTCCATATCTGGTATCACAACCCGCAGGCGGGATGTCAATTAAGTTATATATCTGTAGATCATTGAATTTTCAAGATAGACGATCATATAAACTGAAGACTTAGGGCTCCAGGACGGATGACTCTACTGAACACTGTATTGTAAAGCCCCCTTTAAATAATTGGTCTATAGGCCCGTAGACCCAATGTGATATTCTACCGTTAATTTCAATCTACATCAACCTTCAAGCTCCATACAAGCTTACACTCCTCGTTGGATAATAACCTGTTAGCAACAGTTACACCACCCTTCCGTTTCAATCTTCGCTTTGAGATTATATTCAAACAATTACCTAATCCCTTTCGTTTAATTAAACCTACGATCAGACATTTTCCCACAAAAATGGCGGATCATAATCAAGAAGCTAAGGAACGTATTATCTTATGCATCAACCGGGTAGCCCAGAAGATCACAGCGAAAAGAGTCGCCGCCCCAGCTGCAGCCGTGGCTCAAGCCTCAGATTCCAAGGCAAAGGAACCTGCCACTCCCGGAAATTCAGTCCCAACCACAGCTGAGTCGAGCGGCCAAAGTTCCTCGCCCACACTAGTTGACAGCTGCAGCGCGGCATCATGCACTCCAAAAACTTTCGTTGGAGGAAGAAGACGTGCCAGGCGCAATGCTACAACTGGCATTCCAGAGCTAGAGGAAACCAGCATTGATGGACTTCAAGTCTATTCTTGCAGGAATGGACAGGTTCCCAATATTAGCCTCATGGAGGACAGCCCACAGTTAACTTGGTCAGCGGGTTCGGGTCCAAAATTGCAGACTCTAAAAGCTCAAAGCCAGAGTTCCGATGGTCCCGCTGATCCGGACCATAAAGAATTGGATAAACCACTATCTGCATCAGCACCACCAGCACCATCCCCTCCAAAGTTGGGACATGAGACGTCCGAAGATCAAAGAACACCGGACCAGCCATTAGTCCCATCTTCATCACCAGCCCCGGAAATCGAGGAATCTGACGACGAGGCAATATCAGAAACTTCAACAATTACACCATCAGTTGCACCATTATCGCCCCAGCCACGCCAACTGGCTCCATTACTTCCGTCCTGGAGCCAAGTTGAACGATATGTTCTCACTATGCGAGAACAAGAACAACTTATTGACGGATTAGTCATTTCCCGCGCTAAATATCGAATGCTATTCCCCAGTGTCCCAGTGGAAACCCGAAATCGACTAGCTCAATCGAATATGGAACTGTCCCTCCGGCATGAAGTTTACCGGAAAATCAAAAAGGGATCAATGAGCAGAAGTGACTTTGATGGTCTTGTCGGAAGAGAGCATATTAGATTGGCAGAGATGGCTAATAATATCTTTACACCTAATCTAATTGCTAGTCGGGTGCTGAGCTTTGCACCATAAGTTGAAGTGGAGCTAGAGTGCATGTGAATTGCCCTCTACGGCGATTGCGGGGCGTATATTGTATATATACCTAATCTGGCGACCACAGCACCTATTCAAAGGAACATCATATGTCTAACCTGTGCACGCACCCCGGTTTCTACCCTTTGATTTTTGCCCTTTCCCCTGTATATACCTTTTTCGTTCATACCTATATGGACTTACCCGGTGTTTTTTTTTTTACCACAACGGTGTTTTGTTTTTTTGGTCTCTTTTAATATTCCTCCTTGTTACAACTACGCCTGCACGCATTCGGGCCCTTGCTGCCTCTTGTATATTTATATTAGTGTGGCTCGGATATTAATATATTGTTAAGGTTTATAGACTTGCAGTTTGGTATATATACTGAGGGTTACGTAGATTAACCGGGCCAGGTGAATCCTGGGCCGGGCAGCTAGCATCAAATCACGAACGACACGCAGTTAAGTAACTTATGGAACGAAATTGATATGATAAATACCACAAAGAAGATGGTCACGACTCCCATGAGTTTATGACGTCCCTCAGATTCCATTAATGTCCTATATAGAGAAGAAAAACGAAAAAAGGCGTTGAAACAATAAGAAAACAAGCTGAGGAGCCTTATATTGATAATGCATGTACACGAATAAAGTGGCGCGACGTGAAATAAAGGTAAAACAGGGAAGAAAGCAATTCGTAAGAGGGGTGGGGGAAAGCATAAGAACAAACACCATGATCAAAATGCGTAGCTGAATGCATGAGATCGCCGTGACCTTTTGTTGCTGTAAAAAAAAAGAAACATTCTCGGTTTTTAGAGGGTGCATTGGAAAGACGAATTAGAGTCCATTAGATGAAAGACAAAACGAGATAAGGAAAGTTATGCAGGTAACTGTTTGAACATGGGCGAGGATAAAGGGCGCGGCCTTCACTCGTTGGGAGGCTGAGGCCCAAAACGTTCCTTTCGCGCCTGGGTTTTGCTTTTACTAGGAGGCAGCGGTGGGCGCATCCAAGACTCCAAAGCTTGGTGTCTTTCGGATTGTAGGATTTGTTCAAATATTGTAGGTGGAGGTCGATGAGAATTACGCGTTGGTGATGGAGAAACCGATGATACCCCGTCAAAGCAAGGAATACGTGAAGGTCGAGGAGTTTGAGGAGCAGAATAAGAATTCGGGAGGGGCTTCTAGCTCGTCTGGCCATTGCCCGGCTTCTTTTTTCTTGCTTTGCGTGCAACGGTGCCGTTAGAACGATTATACTATTCCTCGCTCTTCTGTCTCTTCAACGGGTCATCATCCACGATTTCTCCATCCTCTCTCGTTCTCTTGCCAGTGGTCGGAGTGAAGGCTCGAGCCTGAGCGTTCATCAACGGATTCGGAGCGTTTTGCCCCGGAACAGGGATTCCAGATGGGGCAGGGGTTGGGTGTGATTGTGGTTGAACGGCGATACCAGCTGGCCCGCCTCGGCTCAGTCTATGGCCGAAAGCGCCGCGTCCCGCTGCTCCGCCCCGTGGCAATTGCGATTGTGGTTGACCTGCAGGACCGGCTCCGAATACAGCTTGAATGCTTTGCGGTTGTGGGATGCCAGGCTGCATGCCGCCGCGAGGAGCGCCGAATGCTCCTCTGATATTTCCTCCGCCTCTTGGAATGCCCGATTGGATGCCACCGCGCATATTCTTAATAGCACTTGGACCGGTTCCTTGGTTGCCGCCTGGTTGAGGGATACCACTAGGCTGTGCGAGTTGCTGGTGTTGCTGTGGAGTGTGTGATTGTCCGAAGGCAGGCGCAACTTGTGGGGTTTGCTGCCCAAATGCTGGAGGTGGTTGATTAGGGGTACTAGCCCGCTGCATGACACCGAAGGCAGGAGCGATGGGAGCACCGGGCTGAGGTAGCTGACTTGGAGGCGGGTGTCCGGGCGATTGCAAAGTAAGCTGAGCGCCGGGAGCGCCTTCGAGTGACTTGACCTTCTCAGTCAAGTCCTTATTCTTCTTTTCTAGCATTGATACCTGAACACGGGTCCTCATTTGCATCTCTTTGCGACCTGACTCACGGGCGTCTTCAAGTTTCTTCGTAATCTCTTGATCCCGGGTAAGAAGCTCCGCAGCATGTTTCTCCTTGAGGGCGTTGAGTTCGGCTTCATTGGATTCACCACCTGTAGCGGGTGCGGCAGGAGGTGGAGCCTGGGATGGATCGGAAGCAGGTAGCTCTTTCTTCGCAGCCTCAAGCTTCTCTGCAAATTCCTTGTCTAGCTTTTCCCTTTGCTGGGAAACGCGAGCCTCGACATTCTTCTTGATGATGGCTTTCATATTCTCTTCATGACGCTTCTGGGCAGCACTCGTGGTCTCGAGCTTTCTTTCAACCTCGGCGCGCTCCTTCTCGATGGTCTCAATCTTTTCTTGGGCGGTCTGAAGTTCGGTACGCAATTGAGCCTCGATTTCTGATAGGTCGCTGGATGGCGCCGCTGGTAGTGGTGGTGGTGCTTCTGCGCCTTCTGCAGCCGGTACTGCAGTCTTCGCGGCCTCAACACTAGCCTGTAGTTCAGCAACCTGGGTTCCAAGCTGCTCGTTAGCCGCCTTCAAATCCGCGATTTCCTTGTCCTTAACCGTTGCCACATCCGCAAGTTCCTTATCCTTAGCGGCAGTCATCTTGGACACGTGGTTGCGGGCACTTGCGGTATAGCTTTCACGTAATCGCCTCTTCTCCTCCTCAAACCTCTGTTTCTCTTCAGAGAGGCGCTGCTCAACAATGGCCTCAGTGTTGACCTCTTCGCTAGCCGGTTGACTAACACTGGTAGCAGCGGCGGCGGCGGCGGCAGCCGCGGCAGCCTTAGCCTCGATCTCCGGCAGTTTTTCAGAGATTCGGCGCTCAACCTCAGCCTCGATTTGCTCTGTAGAAACAGCTGGTGCATCTGTGGAAGGTGGCTGGGCTGCACGAGCGGCTGATAGTTGTGCCTCTAGGGACGAAGCTTGGCTACGGGCCTCCTCTAATCTCACATTGCAATCGGCCTATAGTTGATGTTAGCATCGATGATAATGTAATGGAGCATACTTCAAATGAACATACCAATTCCTGTGTTAGCCGTTGGATTTCCGCTGCCTGCTGTGTTTGATGTGCTTGGAATTGCTGCTGTAGGTTGTTCATTTCTGTTTCTAGGGCGGCACGGGCTTGATTGAGTGCCTCTTCGGAGTTTGCGGATGAAGATGTCGCAGCAGCCTGCGTCTGTTCAAGGGTTTGCTTGAGATCTGTGATCTCTCGCTTCTGCTCCTCAATCAGCTGTCTCCTGGCAGCCAGCTTCTCCTTCGTCTCAGCCACGAGCTTATCGAGTCTTGCCTTCCACTTCACCCCTTCTTTGGCAAGAAGATCAGCTGCCTCTGCACTCTTTGTCTGGATCTCCGTGCCACTAGCCTGGAGTCGGGCCTCAGAAGCAGCCAATTTGGCTTGTGTCTCTTGCAGTTCTTCCTGGACGGACTTAAGCTGGTCCTTTAGACCTTCAAGCTCGGCAGGGTCAATTCTCTGTTGATATTGCGTTAGACCTGACTCTAAAGGTACGAAAACTCAATGATACTCACGTCATATTTCTGTAAAATTTGGTTTGTCCGTGCCTTCCACCTTTCGTTGTCTTCTTGCAGTAACTTCATTTGTCCATCTTTAACTTCGACATCTCCTTCCAACATGGCAATCTTCTCTTCTAATGGCTCCATCTTCGCCTTGAGGTCTGCAGCCTCCTTCCTTAGTTGCTCAACCATACCCGCAAATTTGTCACGCTCGGCGCGGAGAGTAACATTGCTTTCACGAATAACAGTCAGCTCTCCCATTTTTTGCTTGATTTCCTCATTCTGAGCAGCAAGGCGCATTGCTTCTGTCTCCCTTGCCCGCTCCTCGGACAAAGTAACACGGACTTCATCAAGTTGCTTTCGGGTATGATCGAGTTGGACTTTAATCCTCTTGGCTTCCTGGGTTTGGAGCTCGAGTTGTACATCGACGATTTCTTTCTCACGGCGCAAGTAGGTAATGACTGCTCTGAGTTCCTCCAAAGACTGATCGGAGGTAGCAACTGCGAGTTCGCCAATTGCACGTTCGCGGTCCTTTTGGAGGTCTGCAATCTGTTGGCTGACAACCTCGAACTGGTCGTGAACAAGCTTATTCTGTTTGACGAGATCATCGCAGCGTGCCCGGACGTCTTTGAGCTCCTTCTCGTATGTTTCCTTTTGCGTCTCCCAGCTGGTAGCTGATGATTCAAGCATGGATCTTGCAGTTTCTGCTTCCGTTTTGAAGCCATGAACCTGCATCTTCAAGTTCGTGTACTCCGCGCGAATCTTCTGGAGAGCATCGGCTGCCTGGGCGTGTTTCATAAGTTCTTGTTCGTATGATTGCTGGGCTTCTTGGGCGATTTGGGCTTGTCGCTTGAGATCGTCTTGATGCCTCTTGCTTGTAACTATCTGGCTCTGAACCTCTTCTTTGAGACTGGCTATTTCGCTCTCCAGTAGTTTGAGCTGGTCATCCTTGATCCGAACATTCTCAGCTTGTTCTTGACGGAGGTTAGTAAGCTCTTCGTTGGATGTCTGTAGTTCGGCAGTGATTTCTTGCACGCGCTTTTCAAGGTCTTGAATTTTAGCCTGTTATGAAATTATTAGCATTTAATTTTCGGGTCGAAGGACAGCAAATATGGTGACTTACACTCTTTTCCTCGAGCTGCTGTTCGGTGTCCTGAACATATGTCTCATGAGATGCGTTGATACTTTCAAGGGCATCTTCACTACTCTGGCTGATCTCCTTATATTTTTCAACATCGGCTCGAGCGGATTCCAGGTCAGCCCTGGCTAACTCGAGGTTACGCGTAAGCTCACTCATTTCAATCTGGAGATCTTGTTCCCGACTGAGAGCCTCCTCCTCGACATTGTGATTATTCTGGGGTTGCAAGACGCTAATCTTCTCTTCGGCGGCTTTGAGGGAGATCTGTAACTCATCGACCCTGGACTGAAGATGGTCTTGGGTCGTCTTTGCGGCAACCATGCCCTCGCGGGCAGAAGCAAGGGCAGCGTTGACTTCGTCGATCTTCTTTTGGGCTGCGGTGGCTTCGGTATCCCGACGTAACTGGAGCTTCCGGGTTTCTTCAACTTCGTCAGTCAGTCGCTTCTTCGTAGATTCAAGCTCACCCTCGAGCCTTCCAAGTTGACTAGTGAGTCGTCTCTTCGATTCTATCTCTAGCTGTTCCTTCTCAGTCTGCATTGCTTGCAAGCTGTTGATCGTACTCTTTAGCTGGGCGCGTTCAGAGAGAAGAGTATCGTTATCTTTGGCCAAGCGCTCTTCGATATTTTTCCAAAGGTCCTTCTCTGCCTTAAGCTTGACATTGTCATTTCTCACACTATCGAGAATTGAGCGATTCTCCACAAGCTCTTGCTCAATCTGTTGGCTGCGAAGGTCCAATTTGGCATGAAGGTCCGACAGCTCTTGGTTGCGCTTCCGCAATTCACGGTTTTCGCTGTTCATCATTTCAAGATTGCCACCCAACATTTCGTATCGAGAAGCAGCCAATTCAAGCTGTCCGTTGATCCTAGTGAGTTGGATCTGCAATTCGTTCTTCTCATTCTGGACAACATTCGCCTGTTCACGTAGAGTCTTCTGGTCGGTGGAGGCCTCCATTTTGTATTGGTCGAAAGATTGTTGAAGTTCGCGGAGGAGTTGACCATAGTCTGTCTTGTCTGTTGTTTCAGGCTCGGTCCTGGTTGATTGTCGTAGGGCGTTGGTTTCATTGTCGGCTTGCATCTCGGCAGGAAGTTGATTGCGGTGTTGCAGCATTCTTCTAAACATATCACGCTCTCGAACGAATGTTTCGGCTCTCTTCTCAAGACTTCGGATTTCGTCGCGCATTCCGTCCAGAGTTTGCTGCATTTCCTGGAGCTCACGGGTCTTTGCACCTTCGGCCTCCATGCGCATCTGCACCTCGTGGTCTTCCAGCTGCTTGCCGACAGCACGGGCGGCACGTAGGAGTTCCGAATTCTGCTCTTGAAGCTCTTTGATATTCGCAAACACGACAAGACGCTCACTGATAAGTCGATCAGTGTCAGTTTGAGGCAGGCCCATACTAATTCCTTGTATAGCCATCTTTCTGAATCTAGCCTGGTCTGCAGCGGACATCGGGCCCATGCCTTGACTGAGGTGCTGAACTTCTGCAAGTAAGAACTGAATCTGAGATCCAGAATCCCTGATTTCTACATAGTGTTAGTGTTGTTTTCATATATTTAGTGGGACCTATGGACTTACGCTGTTTCAGAGATTCGATCTGTTTAGTATCTTCTTTCAGTTGTTTTTTCAAAGACTTGAGCTCCTTCGTGCCGCGTTCATTATTGTTATTGGCTTCTTGTAACAGCTCACTCAATATTACGATCTCTTCTGCGGCCCTGTCGAGTTCCGCTTTCTGGTTTTCGAATTCGGGTCCTTTGTCCTCCAACTCGTGGATAAGCTCGTCGAAACTTTCCTGGAGTCGCTGGTTACGATTATTGGCGGCCTCAAGTTCACGCTTAACAGCAGCATAATCCGTATAAACCTCTGTAAGTGACATGCCGGATTTCTGGGACATGACGATAGCATGCGCAGCGGGCGACACAAGGTGGCGTTCGGGTGTACCTGTACCTCTTACAGGCGTCATAGCGTTTCTTCCTCGTCTGCTTGCAGCGGGCGACTGGGCGATAGGTTGGATCGCCCCAGAGGCGTACAAACCAAGGTCGGTCTCAAGGCGCTCAATTTGGACTTCTAGTTCCTGAATCTTTTTGTGGAGTACACCTTGTTCTTCCTTGAGGGCTTCGTTGAGAGCCTGAACCCTTCCAACCTCCTCGGCTGTTTGGGACTGTTGCTGCTCTCTCAAGTCTTCAAGTTGTTTGATGCGGTCTCTAGCAGACTTGGTGCTGTTCTCCCAAAGGTCGGCGAGCCGCTTGGCGTTGGATATTTCTGTTCTGAAGTCATCTTCACGAGATGCAAGGTCTTCGGTGAGAGCCTTGATCTTCAATTGAGATTCCTCGACCTTGTGACAGACCTCCTCGTATCTCTTCGTCAGGGAGTTGGCTTTTTGTTCGGCCATGTGGGATTTTGACTGAGCATCCTCTAGGTTTCTCTCGAGCTGACTAACTTGAGCCGAGCGCTCCTTTCGGTATTTGGAATGTTCGGTCTGCTTGATCGACAACTCATTTTCAAGCCATTCGTTGTTCTTTTTAACAATTTCGAGTTCCTGTCTGATAGTCTGTTCACGGAATTTGGCTGAAGTCTGGGCAGACTCAGCTTGCTGGGCCCTGGACTCAACGGTACTGATTTCGCGGCGTAGCTCGAGGATTTTTGTCTGCTGTCGGCTGTATTCAGCTTGAACGTCGTCAATCTCATTGAGTTTCCGAGTGTAGGCTTCCAAGGTCTCTCGTTTCTCAGACTCCAAAGTAGAGATTCGGGCTTTGAGGGTACGGGTTTCTTCGGTAGACGAGGATGTGCTGGTTCGGAGATGGCTTAGGTCGGCTTCGAGGGTACGACACTTGGTTTCTGTACAGTTATGGCTGGTTAGCAACTTCTGAAACGATAAATGTAAAGGAGGATAGAGGGGTATCTGTGGTTACCAAATTCAGCAACCTGCTTTCGCAAATCCTGAGTTTCTGTTTGTGAGGTTTCCATTCTAGCCTTCATATTATTAACCCGGGCATTCGAGGTACGGGTGTTCTGCTCCAATTCCACTTCCAAACGCAGTTTGTCGGCCTTAAGCTCATCGTGAAAGCGAGCCTTCGTTGTAACAGCCTCAAGAATGGCCGTGACGAACGATTCACTGATTCCAGCGAGGGATTCGATGGTCACTTGAGGAAGTTCCAAGAAGGCTGAAATTTTTGGGATGTCATAATTCCCTGGCGTCAGTTGCGACGTTTGTATGGGAGGAACGTCAACCTCCATCATGGCGGTATTCTGAGGACCAGAATCGTATAGATTAGTTGTTATAAGTGTGAAGGACTATGTTCGTAGGTGAGCCAAAAGAGCTGATAGCGGTGTAAGGGTGGTGATGAAATTTCGGGGTTGAGGTTGAGGACGCGCCTGCACGTTTGTGGTTTTGATGTTTGTTGTTTTACCAAGTGAGAAGGAATCAATAACCGGCAAAGCAGGAGAGAAGGAGCGGAAGAAGGTAAGTGAAGTAGTAGCAAGTTAATACTGATGCTAGAATTTTGATTATCCGACGCGAACGGGAGATGATACGCTCGTGGGGATAGGTGATGGCGAGATGATGAGGTTGGAGGTTGGTGGAGGAGGGTTGGAAGACGTGTGTGTGGTGTTTAGTTTGGGTCCATTAATTTCGTTGCTGGCGGGAAACTCAATTGATCGGTTGCAAGGATCCAAAAAAAAACCATAGCCACCACCACCACCACCACCACCACCACCACCATGACGAACGATATCAATATGATACTACAAGACTTCAGGCGCCAAACTAACATCATAAGAGGGCAAGATTAAATTTTACACGGCAAGCAACCAAGTAGGTAGCTGGAAGACCCATTGATTTGATATATTATTGTATATAGACACATCGAAAGAAACGTTTCGAAACCTAAATCATCTTCTTATCTTGACAGATACAACGCCTCTATCTACACCTACGCACCCCAGACCCAATTTAAGTAAAGAACCCATATATACCGGCTTGAAAAGTTCCCAACGAACGCTACAGTTAGGATGAGCATGCTCGATACCGTGTATAAAGCCAAATATCAAAAGGACAAATGTCCCGAGGAGTAAACTAGTACACCGGCTTTTCAATACCATCAACAGGCCAATGCAAAATCGAACAAAAATAAAATAACAAGATGCCAAAAACACAAACCGCCAAAACAATGCTGATGAATACTTCTAAGTTTTTGGGCACCTATAGACGTCATGCTATCATGCGAGGCTAGATATTATGTATGTACAGAAATTACTTTGCCGCAGTTGCTAAAAGATTAATAGTTATTATGATTGCCTCGAACCGCGATATTGTTTTGTCTTGGAAGGATCATTCTTGGGCAAAGCTATGTCGCTGGGAATATTCCGGGCTTGAGAACTCAATTAATCATCTCGTTTCTCTCCGGCATACTTGGCAAACAAAGCGGGGCTCCGGGGGCGCTCAGATATCGGGCTAGAAATACCTAGGGCTGTTGAAGGGGCAAGATTCATTCGCAACGAACCGACTCTCTCAAGCCTCGGCTTCTGCTCCGGAGGAGGGTAGATTGGCTCCGTCGTCGTTTTCTCTAAAGGGACGTATACTGGTTGTTTGGAGTCATCGGTTCTGGAGTAGAGGTAGGTCGCGAAGAGAACGACCATGGAACCAATGAGGAACTGATATTACGAAGGATGGATGTTAGAACCAAGATATATTCTTGCCACACGTGGGGATATTCGCTTACCTGCATGGAAAGTTGAAAATCGAAAAAGTAAATACTGGCGACACAGCTTAATATAATACTGATACTCGTGGCGAAATTCTTCGCGATATTGTCGGCATAGTTGACACACAAGGCGACAACGATACCTCCGAGCGCTTGGAAGCCAATAGCTGTCCATACAACTCCATTGTAGCCATCGAAGAAACCCCGTCTTGCAATTTCAGCTCCATCCTTCCAAGCAACCCCAATAAAGAAAGCCGGAAATAAGGAATAAAAGGACAACTGAATGTTCCGAACCCAAAGAGTCGCCGAATTGCCTTTCAGGACCTTTTCGAAGTAGACACCAGCCAATCCGGAGATAGTACACGCAACGATAACTGCCGATAGACCAAGAGATCGATTCATTTGCGAGGCTGGATCGTTATCCTTGTGAATGCCGTCGTAGGTAGCGGACCTATTCTCGATAAGATCACGAATAGCTTTCAAAGTTGATTTTGCCCCTTCACCAGATGCGTCCGGGCCGGGTGACGGGAGTTGGACGATAGCCACCCCAAGGGTTAACAGGACCAAAGAGACCCATCGCCGAGCAGACAGTTTACGACCAAGCATGCTAACGCTGAACAAGGCTGTGGTAAGGATTTTGAGTTGATATGTCACCTGGAAAGTTGCCGCATCGAGATTGGAGACCGCCACATATTGCAGACTGTTCTGCAAGGTGTACAGTGCCGCCGGGATAGCAAGTTTCCAACTATCGGTTTTGAACACTTCATTGTAAACGGTTGTAGCAGTTGCGAACCAGCTTGTATGCGGACCATCCCGGTTGGACTGATCATGAAGGGCGACAAGAGAACAGATGAGAAATTTGATGACTTCATTCATAAGGACTGCGGTAGAGGTAAGGTATCGGCCACCAGGAGACGAAGGCATAATCCGTGAATAGTGCATGATCTATTTGTAATTCCCAAAGTACGTCAGTCGGCGACTTCCGTCACCCAAAGAAGGAGAGAGCATGTCGTACCAATATCAGCGCCGAATTTTGAAATGTGAGCTACTCCCAAGCCTTGTCAGTCATGACATCCGTAGAAAGGCCAGAACGTATGGGAACCATCGTTACGCACGGTGACAAGGGAGACGTGCTTCATGGGAATCCCCATGAAGTATGCTTTCCTCGCGTTATCAACCATCTTTGCCGTTGGTACAGCCTACGAGGAGGCGGGAAATCCGGGGAACTAAATCCTTCTCCCCTCCCTTCCTTCCTATGAACAGGAATGATCCAGGCCTGTCTACCGGTCGTCAAGGAGAAAAAAGTGGTGTTTCGGTCGAGACGCGATCGTGCGCAAGATATTACGTTTTCCGAGTTTGTTTTTTGCGAGAAAAAAAGGTGGGAAATCGTCGGAAGGCTTCGAGTTTTTGCAGGGACTCGATAAACAGATAGTTGAAGAGATGTGGAAGAGAGAGGATGATCAAGAGAAGTGGTGACAATGGTTACGAGAATTTAGGTGGGAAAAGGAGTGTGTACTTCGGCCAAATACGCACAGCCGCCCCTTGCCAGTGATGTTAACGTTACTTCTGGTCTAAAATGGCCCGTTCAGGAACGCAGGGTCCGTAACAGATTCTATGGACGAGAGGAAACAATATTAATAGCCAGTTGGATTATAACCAAAATTAATAATGGCTGGGAGTGTCCGGATTTCGATTCAATCCATTCAAGCAAGACAAGCTCCGACGACAGCTAGCTGCAAAATAGCAGGTGGGAGTTACACTAGGAGATATGCTTCAACTTTCGCTATTGGACTGCCTGCGGAATTGAGTTAAAATTTAAAAGGCAGCCCACAAACTACCGAGAATGCAAATGCAATTCCAAAAGCTAGTACTTGTACTAGGTACTTTGGACTTACCTGTAATTATACCTGCGTACAGAGTATATACTAAGTACCTGCTTGCTTCACAAACTATCTGGGCAGGCCTTGGCGGTGAGGCTGTCGGACATACATCTATCTAGTAGTACTAAGTAAGTAAGTATCTATGACATAGCTAGTATAGTCCTGTTTGCCTCTATGCATTTGAATTACTTGTAATTCAGTACAATAGCTTCTATGGATCCACCGGTTGGCCTTGTCTTACTAGCCGCCTTGCTTGGTATCCGCATTCCCGGATATATATCTGAAATCTGTCCATCGGTGCTACATAACAGGAGGCAACATGCAACATCGTGAGTAAACCCTGGCTTCGGCTTGCAAGCCTGCACTTGTGCAGCTGTGGCGGTGAAATACCGACATGTCAGTGGCCGTGGCCTCACAGCTGCTAGGTGCCACAAACCACCAAGTCCCTGAAGCTTAGTAGTAGCGTACGTATACCGTACACTAATATTATATATATACATCTCGTATAACATCGTATATCTTGATTTCCAGAAAAGTATAAAAATTTGAATGTAAGAATTAAATTCAACGGGACCTAGTTACCCACCTAGGCCAATATTTGCGGATACCATTCCCATTAATTTGCATTGATGTGTGCAGATACGTATATACGTTTATCATAATCGATAATCCTATCATGATCATGAGGCTGTCTACCAATTATATATAATTAAATTAGCCCAGCTGTTCTGCAGTGTACGGACTAGTTATAGTACTGCAGGGCAAAAATCCAATAGATCGGTGCAGCTAGTACGGGTATACTACAGATGCAGCAGCAGACCAGATCTGGTTTCATTGGTTCAAACTACTATCCTGTGTCAGTTAGTTGATTCCAAAACGACCGTTTTCATATCACATCTTATATAGATGTGCATCGATGCGTTTTATATATATAAATCGATACAACATCCAACATTTTGTCTCGTATGTTAAGTTAAATAGGTATCAAGAGATATATACATACTTGCAATTGGATAGGATGCACGACGCTAGTCACTAAACTGAGGCGACCCCCAGAAATTCCGAGTATTCACGCTTGACGAGAACCTCCCACACACCGATATGGCTTCCGGTGCCGACACATGCAAAGAAAAGGCGTTCCATTGCATCCCGACCACCTCATTATATTATCTCATAGCTTCAAGTATCCCTTTTGTACACTTAGCTAGCGCTGGCCAACGGGAACTGACCGGTACCGGCAGTTAGATTTATTCACCGGTACTGTTGGCAAAAAAAAAAAAACCACCCGCGCTCGCTGCTGAATCGATCAAGCCTAAACTTCGGGGATGCATCATGCATCAATCAACTTATCAAATTATCTAATTCTTTCATTCATTCAGCATACACAGACAGGCTAAGTACCTAGTTCGATGGTGATATCGCCCTTTGTTACCCGACCTGATCGTTTCAATTGAACTGAATCCAATCGAATCCAATTGAAACAGTAACGAAATTGCTCTGACATCAGCCCATCTCATCATATCCCTCGCTTGAAAATTCTTGGATAATCTCTCGCCACAGCCACGATATGCCATGCCACGAACGCAGAAATGGTCAAGGGTGAGGGACCCTCCTGTGTAGAGGAATGCAGTCCACCCGTAACGGAGATAACATCGTCATTTTACCAGGTTCTTTGTGGATCGAAAAGCTTAGTCTCTGTGAAAAACAGAGTTCTCTGGTTCGAAAGCAGCTGAGATGCCTGGTGCATACTTTTAGCTTGTTTCTGTTACTTAGCTGGAGTACTTAAACACTTAATTGACACCAGATTTTGAGGTCATTGTCACCTTTAAAATTTATAACTTTGACGTATTTCACGTATTTCACGTATTTCTCCAGACTGCTCTGCAAACCTTCTCCGACACTAGCACGCCGGGGGGGGATTATTCAATTCTCTTCTCCAATTTAAAGTTAAAAGTACTCTACTCGGGGATTTTACACTAGCACTATTTCTTTTTTTTTCAAATCTTTTCTTTTTTATAGAAGTATACATATCAATTTAATTTTTCGAATCAATCGATCGAGACCACGATTTCTCATCGATTGGTGTCATCAGCAGCATAATATTTATTCGACTACCTACGTTCGCTCTCTCTTTCTTCATTTATTTACTTTCGACTCCCTTCTTCCCCACTATACCGCATACAAACAAAAAAACAATTGTCGAACGATTTCAAACTCTCATTGGAAGTGACCAGCGTATCCGACACTTAACCTCCTTTACCAATTGCCAGCTGTTCATAATTAACCACGCTTAACCTGTACTTAATTGTTGGCCGGAGAGTTGCATAGCCGGTGATACACACACTCCAGTCCTTTGCGGCATATCGACACCGAGTTCGAATTCGCCTTGCCGCAAGCCTTGAACAAACCCCCCAAACGTCGGGCAGTGGACCCATCGACACTTCTACTTATCTTCCTCTCTTACTTCACCGTATCGCCATTAAAAGTCCAGCTCAATGTGTAAGTGAAATTTGATTTCCCCTTCAATTTTTCCAGGAGAATTTCAAGTACAATTTCCTCCTTTATTCTCCCCCGGATCAAGTCATTATTTTTCTCCTTCACAACACGATGGATTTTTCTCGGCTACTTTTGGATACCCGCTGGTAATTAAGTACTTGGCGAGAGACCCAAGATGGCGAGGCAGAGTGAAGGCGCACCGAATCGATTTCCCAGCGTTCCTGAATTCGCTGTCCTTTATTTCGTTTGCTACAGCCCTCCACAACAGCACGTGGGTCCTAATTCATGATCGACTAGGATGAGGAAATATGCTCCGTCGAGGAGATATATCTGTTGCCAGTCGTCTGCATTTTCGCTTTTCGTTGACTTGCATGCACATGTATCTTGTCCTCCCGGCCCTTTACAAACTTTTGTCTGACATTTGTTTGTTGGGTGACTTATGGATGACTTCATGCAGCTGTGATCATACGCCTCAAGCAAGCTCACCGCTCCAGTGATACTTGGGAATGATCCATGCCTGTCAGAACAAGGTTATGCTCTGTTCTCGCACCTAGAGTGTGGGGTCTTTTAGATCTGATTCAAATGGTCTTTTCGATCGGTTATTTGGTTGAAAACAGTTAGCAATAATCCGTCGAAAGAGTGTTTGGACTGGGTCTAGCCATGGGCCAACAGATCGACTCGAGTTAAGCAGGCGCTGGCCTGCTCGTTTGAGCTGTCGTCGGAGTATTAAAGTTTCGTTTGCACAGCCCCTCTCTCCTCTCTCCATGCGCAAGATATATGCTGGCTTTGCTTTGCTTTGCATTCCCCGCGTATGTAAAACAAGGCCTGCAAAGTGACAAAGGGGAAAAACCTTTCGCCTGCCTTGTCTTTGTTTTTTTTTCCTTTTCCTTTTGCGAAACGTGCATGAAGCAGATGGGATAATAAGGGAGCGAGAAACTGCAAGTTTGTTCGTTGTTGGCGTGGTAAGAGTTAGTATTCACTGCTTATCGAACGTTAACAGCCGGCCAAATATAATTGTGTTTGCGCTGGGGCGGCCCTGAGCGATAATAATCTGTCGCTGGCCTTCGCACATCATACTTTTTATTAAGTACCGGACCTACTTCTTCACTGCTACTTACTTTATACCCCCATTCATCCTATCGCAAAACACTTCCCGCTTCTCCCCCACACAATATCAACATCAACCTTGCCTCCCTATGATACACCGAACTCTTAATATCAATAAATATCTAATGAAGTTCTGGGCTGGGTCCCGGAAAGCCTTACAGTCCAACTGAAACGGTCTGCCTCACGCCGTTCATCTTTCGCCTGGCTCTTTGAAGACTCACAACAGCCCGACAATATGGCTCCTCCCCGAGATCCAGAGGCCGGTACCAACGGCATCAACGGTCACACTAACGAACATACACCGTTACTCGGGTCTACCGTCCGAAGCGACGATAACTTTGTCAAGCGACATGCGAAGGAAGGCTGGAATGCGACTATGTCCGTGCTAACTAGCAAGTAAGTGGACTACTATTAAGGCTGTTGTTCCGAACTGCGTTATTGGCTTGGACCCTTGTCTTGCTAACATAAATTTGACTTATAGTTACGTCAATGTTCTGCTTGTCTTTGTGCCAATCGGGATCATTGCTGGTATGTTCGAATGGGCACCCATCACAATCTTCACCCTCAACTTCCTTGCCATCGTTCCCCTTGCCGCCCTCCTCAGTTACGCTACAGAAGAAATCTCCCTTTATGTCGGTCAGACTTTGGGTGGATTACTTAATGCTACATTCGGAAATGCCGTCGAGTTGATTGTAAGTCCGAGACTTTTTGTCCTATTCTTTGGCTACCTCTTGTTAATCTGAATCGTTTCATAGGTCAGCATCGTCGCTCTGCAAAAAAATGAAATCCGTATCGTCCAGGCTAGCATGCTCGGTAGCATCCTTTCCAACATCCTATTGGTCCTCGGATGCTGCTTTTTGTTCGGTGGAATCAAGTACAAGGAACAGACCTTCAACTCTACCGTCGCTTCCACCATGTCTTCTCTTATGGCTGTTGCTGCCGGTTCCCTCATCATCCCCGCCGCTCTTTATAACAGTTTCAACAACAATATCGACCCTATCAAGAACCCGGAACAATATGCATCCCATAATTCCAGCATTCTCCTCCTTTCTCGTGGAGCATCTATCGTTCTACTCATCCTCTACATCCTCTACCTTTTCTTCCAACTCAAGACGCATACCAATTTGTTTGCCGATGAGCAAGACGAAGAGGAAGAAACCGAGACACCTACCCTTTCCGTCTGGAGTGCTGGATTGGTCCTAGTGATTGTCACCTTCATGGTCGCTATCTGTGCCGAGTACCTTGTCGACAGCATCGATAGCATAGTCGCGACAACGAATATTTCGAAGACTTTTATTGGTTTAATTCTTCTGCCGATTGTCGGAAATGCAGCTGAGCATGTAACTGCCGTTGTCGTCGCCACCAAGAACAAGATGGACCTCGCCATCGGTGTTGCTATCGGTAGCAGCTTGCAAATCGCTATTCTCGTGACCCCATTCCTCGTTATTCTTGGCTGGATCATGGGCCGTGAGATGAGCTTGTTCTTCCAAACATTCGAAACAACAGTTTTCTTTGTTTCCGTTCTAATTACTAATTATTTGATCCAAGATGGCAAGTCCAATTACTTGGAGGGAGCTATGCTACTTGGAACGTACGTATCTGATTCTCTTCTACGTGTGAACCGACATAAATGCTGACTTATTACCTTGATAGTTACATCATTATCGGGCTATCTTTTTACGTCTACCCCGATAACGAACAGGGCAAAGGACCTGGTATCCCCATCCCATAAGAGGAGGGAACTGATATAAACCAGAATTACTTTCTTTTGTGAATCCTTATCTTTCTTTTCTTTCTCTCCTTCAAATCTATAGGGTGTCTGGTTCTCTTTTTTCTTTTTTCTTTTTTGTCTTTGGTTTCTATCCTTTGTATCATTAGCTTTTGCTGGGAGTACTCTGAGTAATTTTTTCCTTTATTTTCCTTCTCGCTTCTCCTTTTTTTTTTTATATTTTGCTTACTCGCTTCATTTCAGTATATTTCTCAATTCTTATCTACAAAACTTTGTTGGGTCGGTTCCCTTTGTTTTCTGAGATTGCAAAATCATCTAAGTCCGGGAGATGAGAAGAAAAGCTCGATGACGGTGGCTGGTACAAACTCGAGGACTAACCCTCGTTCAAAATCAGATTTTCAAAAAAAAAACCCCCCCATATTATTGTATAGCGAGCTTAAAAATGACATTTCAAGAAAAGCCCATCCATACGTGCCAGGACGGTTGAATCATCAAGCTTGTGACCTTATCGCATTATCAGATGCGTGGTCCCTGAGCATGCAAGCTCAGGTGGTCAGATACGCCTAACCGTGCCACTTAAATTCAATTCCACATTCTAGCTTAACAAACCCCAGTCTCAGATCGAGGCTACCAATTTTCATCCATCTGATGCCACGAGGGTGGAATTAAGCTTAAGATCCCAAGCGATGTCAAACAGCCACCGCCGAAGCAAACCTTTCCATGTCGGGCTTAGTGTGACGAGGCTCTGGTTGCACAGCTTTGCTGCAGGAGGGCCTGAATTGTATGCAGGATACGGTTATATCACACAACACATCCTATTGAAACTTCAACAATATCGTGATGTGTCGGGCTCAAGGGTAACATTGCGTTAGGAGTATACTCCCATTAGAATATATTTAAGATACACCTCAATCATTTGAGATTATTTTTTTGCGCGGCAAAGGTTTTTTTATAGTAACGTAAGGTAGGTGGCTGGCTTGTTTTATTCTACGCGCAAATAAGTGTCGTAGTTCTTATATTCAACTGGAGCATCACGAAACAGAGGTGCCTCTAGCAAAACATACCATATATATGAAGGGATTTCATAGGAGATTATACTTTACAAATGAATGGTAGCGGAGGCAGATACAGTATCTTAATTCAACACCCATTCGCTGATATGATTTCAAATTTACCTCCTTAGCTCTACAACTTGAAACCGCGGACCATCGAGATACAGTATCACTAACTCCACAATTGCTCTTCCTCTATCATCCATCGACCAGCGCTGGCTGGTTTTGATAATATAATAAAATTATTGAATACAAAAGTTTTTGTGCTTTTTGACTTTCTTCGTTTTTTCTTTCTCTACGTTTCGTGTGCGTATAGAAATACAGATCATCCTAGACGACCTCGACGAAACGACGATGTCTCGCCCTCACATTCGTGATATGGATCGGGAACTTGCAAATTCGGAGCTTGGTACCGAATTCAGACCCTTAGAAGTCCCCTCTACCCGACCAAGACAGTATTACGATATTAGTATGTTCCAAGATGATGCCGACGCAGAGTTTAACTCGGTCGAGATTCCACCAACTTTCGCTGGCTCTCAAAGCTTTACCAATTCGCAGATCACCATTGAAGAGCAATACTCAAGAGATCCTAGTCTTGGTATGGGGTATCGTAAGTTTCAATCTTTTATTTAATCAGTATCCTCCGATAATATGCCGTCTAATAAACCTGCCCTTGGTAGATGCTTCGCGGCCTAGCACAGCTGGTCCATATCAAGCAGCTTTCCTCCCATCTAGAAGGCAAGGCCGCTCTATAGCAAACCCGCATTTGGGACAACAGGCGAGACTTCAAGAACCAATGCGACCACCAAGTCGGCTTACCATAGGACCACGAACTCCTCCAAGGCTCTCAACATCCCAGACGGACTCAACAAGCCATATGAAAGATTCTGGAACGGGCACAACCTCTTCAGTGAACCAACCAGTATCCTTTTTTGGTCTGTTGTCCTCCAAAATGCTGAATTCCTGTTGTATTATTGATATATTGATCTTACTTTTTCTACCCATAGACCGCTTCAAACATCATTCCCAAATAAATGAGCCAAGAACTCCAGTCCGAGTTGCACAGAAGCAGGCACGGCATTCAAGTTCATCTGATGAATTTGAACTTGAATCTAGTCCTACGAGATCTGCCATGCCTCCGCCATCCCGTCAAGGGACAATAAGCTATGATTTCCATAGATCCGGCCGTAGTTTACCTGTCTCTTCACAACATGCCCATCTTCCGCAGTCCCGCCAAGGGACAACGGGTTATGGTTTCAATAAATCCGGCAGTACTTTGCCTGTCCTCCCACAATATGCTCCACTTCGTCCCCCTCCTGTCACGTCACCACGGGAGAATCCGTTGAATACATTGCTCAAGAAGTCAAATCATCATGCCCGCACACAACTTCAACCTATAGAGGACATCGAAGAAACACTCGCACTGACACAGCATGAGCAAACCTATTCACCTCGTCAAGTCTTATCCCTTTCCCATGCCCCAACGATGGCACAAGGAATACAACTAATCCCGATATATTCTCTTCCTAAAAAATACCACACAGTCTTCCCATATAAGCTGTTCAATGCCACCCAGTCAAAATGCTTCGATGCAGTCTTCAACTCGAATACTAACATAGTCCTAAGTTCCCCAACGGGTAGTGGGAAAACAGTAGTAATGGAGCTCGCAATATGTCGTTTGATGGAAACCTTTGAGCCTGGTACCTTTAAAATTATTTATCAAGCACCAACGAAAGCTCTGTGTGCCGAAAGAAAACGGGACTGGGAAAAGAAGTTTGCGTCGCTGGGATTGAAGTGTACCGAGTTGACGGGCGATACACAATTCAACCAGTTAGCGGAAGTGAAAAATGGAGATTTGATCGTTACGACGCCGGAGAAGTGGGATTCCGTGACAAGGAGATGGGCGGATCACAAGAAGCTTTTGGGATTGGTGAGGTTGTTCCTGGTATGTCCCGTTTCAATTTACACCTGATCTAGAAGTGATATATTAAGGATGTGTTAGATCGACGAGGTTCATATCCTCAAAGAAGATCGAGGTGCAACCCTTGAAGTAGTCGTCAGCCGAATGAAGACAATCGGCTCCAGAGTTCGCTTCGTCGCTCTTAGTGCCACTGTCCCAAACTCCAAGGATATAGCAACATGGCTAGGTAAAGATTGCGACAATCCAAGTGTTCCAGCCCATGAGGAGCGTCTCGGCGAGGAATTCCGGCCAGTAAAGCTCGAGAAAGTAGTATACGGCTACCAGGCGAATTCAAACGATTTTGTTTTCGACAAGTTTCTAGACCAGAAGCTGTATGAAGTCATTCAAAAACACTCACAAAGGAAGCCCGTCATGGTATTCTGTGCTACAAGGAATATATGTGTATCGACGGCGAAGATTTTGGCCGAGAAGTGGAGTAGTACGAGTGGGATGGAAAAGCCTTGGCCTGCACCACTCACAAACTTCTCACTGAGAGATAGGGACTTGCAATGTAAGTTTCCACCTTGATTAGCGCCTCTATCGGAACTAATTCGGTTGGTAATATGTAATTTAGTAGCGGGGAGGTCTGGCGTGGCTTTTCATCACGCGGGTCTTGAGGCAACGGATCGAACTCTCATTGAGAAATTGTTTCTAGAGGGTCACCTCTCTGTTATCTGCTGCACCTCGACTCTAGCCGTTGGCGTCAATCTACCGACACATTTAGTCGTTATTAAGAATACTGTTAGCTGGCAAGGCTGTCAAATGCGCGAATATCTCGACCTCGAGGTCATGCAGATGGTAGGCCGGGCTGGACGCCCACAGTTTGATACGACGGGTGTAGCGGTTATTATGACGAGGAAAGACAAGAAAGATAAATATGAGCGTATGATATCTGGAACAGAGAAGTTGGAAAGTTGGTAGGCTAGATGAGCTCTTTTTTCAAAGCCATATGCTTCATTACTAATTCTTAACAGCCTTCATCTCAATCTTATAGAGCATCTGGTATGTCATCTTGTGATTTTGACTCCAATCCTTCCTATAATACTGATATGACGCATAAATATAGAATGCGGAAATAGGCCTTGGAACAATCACGGATATCGAATCAGCAAAGCAATGGCTTAGCTCGACGTTTTTGTATATACGCATGAAATCGAATCCAGCTTACTATAATTTCAAATTCGAAAACATCGAATCTGAAGTCGAAAGCATTATGGAAAGGGACATTGACTCTCTCTCGGAAGCGGGTTTTGTCGAGTGGCAGCAAACGAAACTTAAGTGCCTTGAACCCGGCGATGCTATGGCGAGGTATTACATCAAGTTCAGGACTATGAAGAATATTATGGAATTGAAAGAGAAAGCAAAGGTCTCTGAGATCGTAAGTATATATATCTAGTGATCTCTTCAAATATGTGACTCTCGTTGACATTAAACTCTCAAAGTTGACATGCCTCTCCGAAGCTGAGGAGTTCAAGGAATTTAGGATTCGGTCCGGAGAGAAGGGAGTATTGAAAGAAATCAATGGCTCGCCAAGTATGAAATGGTCTATTAAAGGCGATATTAATAGTCCTGCGCATAAAGCCTATATTTTAATTCAGGTTTGTCTCCCCACCAGTCGCTGGAGTTGGCCGGTTACCTAAAGACTCTTCTAATACTTTCTTCTGTAGTTTGAAATCGGCTGTATGGAATTCCCTACAACTGAAGGCCTTCAAAAGTACCGGGCGACTCTCTTCCAAGATAAATCTCTAATCTTCCAACATCTACACCGTCTCGTAAGAAGCATTTGTGATATCAAGCTTTTTCTTCGAGACTCGATCAGCTGTCGAAATGCTCTAGAGCTATCAAGATGCATCGAAGCAAAAGTCTGGGAGAATTCCCCGTCAATGTTGCTCCAGCTCGAAGGACTTGGCACCGTCGGCGTCAGGAAATTTGTTAATAACGACATCAAAACCATTGATCAACTTGACGCATTGGAAGCCCACAAGATCGAGATGATTGCGAGCCGAAATCCACCATATGGTGCTAAACTTAAGCAAGATATTGCGGGGATACCGAGGTTCAGACTATATACGCAGGTTACAAAGGTGAGTGCTGAAAAGCCCTAGGGGCGTTGGAGGGTTATATTAATAATCTACAGGTCCAAGCAAATCGAAAGGATCCGGTCAAGATCAACTTTAGAGCCGAGATTGGGGTTCTGAATGAGCAGACACCAGCGAAGTGGCACGGGAAGTTGCTTCATTTATATTTTTTGGTTGAAAGGTCCGATGGTTACTTGGTTGACTTTCGTCGAATGCCGTACGTAAATGCATCTCATAAGTTCTCCTTGACGGGACTTGGAGCTAACTTCAACTATAAAGAATCTTGAAACTAGCCTCGAATAAAGACGTCATGGTTCAAGCGGAGCTTACGGAACCTGGACAAGTAATAAATTGCTACATTGCCTGTGAAGAAATTGGTGAGGGCGCTAAATTCGAGAATGAGTGGACAAATGAATGTAAACTGACGAAAGAAATTAAGTGAACACCTCGAAGAGCATCGCAGTGGAGTTTGAGGTCCAGGATTCCCAATTTCCTCCAACTAAGAAAGAAGGCCCTATGTCGGCGTTCCTCAAAAAGAGAGCTACTATGGCCACTCAAAATCAAGAAGTTATCGATCTTACCGAAAAGCAGGGGCCCATCGTCAACAAGTCGTTTAAACCACCCGGTCGAGAACGGAATAGGGCTTCTAAAGATGAGATTGATGAATTTGAAGATGAAGAGTTCGAAAAAGAGTTATTAGAATGTATGGTTCATATTCAAAACATTACGCAATGGTGGAGGCTAACTCATATTTATTATGAAAGTGGATGCTATCAGCGGGAATCTGGGCGCCAATACTAATATACAACGAACTACTACAAGTCAGCCTCCGATAGGCAGCCAACAGAAGCCGAAACCTATGCCGCCACCGTCATGGACGCCGATAAACAACAAGGAACCTCAATCATTCTCAATCAACCATGGCTCCGAAGACGACCTCCAACCGCCTCTGGAAGAAGAGGATCCTGAGGAATCAAATGAACCAAAACAACGACTTGATGGTAAATGGGATTGTAATCATCGATGTGCTGACAAGTCTGTTTGCAGACATCTCTGCTGCAGGGAAGGATTGGATAAAAGGCCGAAGCTAAAAAAGAAAGCAGCTCTGAAAACTAGTAGTGCCACCAAGCCTATAGGCTCAATACAGTCAACTCCTGCAAAGACAAAGGGTACCGAGTCCGGAAGCAAGACCAAGTCTTCTCAGAAACAAATTTCAAAGGAGCTCCCTCAATCGAAAAGTTCTCACTGCCCTCTTCGGAAACGGGTATCTGATCTTGTCAGTGAAGCAACATCGGGTGCCTCGACTGTGTTTATAGATCTTTCGAAGGATGACGATTCGCCCTCTTCTTCATTTAAGGGAAACGGTGCCGATTCTGTACGAAGACTAAACGAACTTCATGCCAAATGTCAAAAAAACAAATCCATCAAGATACCTAAGCTTCCAAACCCGACATCTTTATATAATTCTACAGAGAAGCCACAAGTTCCACAGAAGCGATCAGCGATATCGGATGAACTTGAAGCGCTATTGGAAGATGACGAGGATTTTCCGACAATCTCAGAGCTTATGGAGGAGGTGAGGATGAAAGATGGCTCTATAAATAAGGGGAAAGGGAAAGAAACAATAGAGGATCTAGAAGAGGGGTTCTATGGACTGAATGATGGTTTGTTAGACAGTCTTGATGTCTATGCTGTGGATACGCCAGAGAAGAATTCAAAAATGGAGGATAAAAAAGACGAGAGGTCGATGTTTGATATTCCGGAGCATACTCTACTGAAGGAAGATATGAGAAAGAGGCCCAAAATGACTGCTCCACAGAGTTCGGGTACTGACGGTAAGGCGGTACACGAGATATCCTCTGGTATGTTGGGTACATCGCTTTTTTAACATATGCCCTTGCGAATTCTAGACGCTAATAAAATATGTAGAAACACTACCTTCTTCGCCGCCCCCATCATCTATGAAACGAACTCAAGAGACGTTGGTACCTTCGGGACCGGCTAAACCAGCTAAAAGAGTCAGATTCGACGATGAAGTCCTTCAAGACATTTCAAACAGACCCTCAAGCAAACAAAATTGTAATCCTGTCTTTATCACAACCTCGGAATCTAACTCCGAAGCTGGTCATGAACAGGGAGGCATAGGCGATAAAATGAACAACCCGGAGATGTCAATGCCACCACGACATGAGAGAAATGAAGAGGGATTTAATGAACTCGAGCAAGAGATTATGGACTTTTTGGGGGACTGCGTAGTTTTTGTTTAATATTTTTTCAGAATTTTAGACTGGTTGGTCTCGTTCCCAGGGATTGGTAGAAGAATTGGGCTATTCGAGTGGCCGCTAATGCTGGCCTTACTGTTTTCATTTCGTGCATCGTTCTTTAGAATTGGGGAACATACAGCAAACCGAATTTGCTGAAATCTATGTATATTCACATAAAACCGTCTCCTTGCAGCCGACCTCTATAAGTCGGAAACTCGTAGCGAATGAAAGTTTTGAAATTCTATCCCATTCACGACCTCTTAATTAACATTTGAGGCCTGCGAGGTAAACTCGACAAAAACAGCAGATCAAAAATCCAACATCGTCCGTGTTGCCGACATTTGCAGCATCGACAACGCCAAAACCCTGTTGCATTCTAATTTTCAAGCCTGCTAAATCCTATCAACGACATACATGTCGACGTGCAGAATGAACTCCTCAGCCGCCCAATTACTCCGGCGCTGCCATCGATGCCTTCAATCCCCTACACCATCCAAAATATGTAACTTCTCCACAAAACCATGGCTCTCGTACCCACGGGTCCGCTCTTCAATGCGTGCCTCACCCGAATCAAACGCAGACTTTAGCAACTTTCCCGAGCCCGGCGCTAACTTCTCCCGCGACGAGCTCGACGCTGTGCTTGACGATCTGTTAAGCGATGACCTACCTGAAGAATCACAACGATCCAAAAGGATCAAGAGAGAATCCAAACCCCATCCTATAATCAAACCAATACACAACCAGCCACCTTTAGAAAGTCCCAAATCTATTAACCAAAAATTCAAAGCTTCAAAATCCGATATCGAAGAAGGATTTGAATTTAAACCCCCAGAGCCGACTATGTCTTCCACGGCTTATAGATGGGATATTGAAACACCCAGTGCTGAGCAACTTAGGTACGCGGCTAGGTTTTTTGAACAATACCCAGTACGGTTCTTATGGGGTGCTGAGGAGTTTGCGAGTATTCCCGATGGAGCGGTGCCTGAGGTTGCGTTTTTGGGGAGAAGTAATGTTGGGGTGAGATGATATAATCATATATATATACTTTTCCTTGTTTGGGGAAATGAGGTTGGTGGTAACTGATAGGAACTGTGGATTACTAGAAATCATCAATTTTGAATGCTTTAATGGCTTCGAAGGGCATGGCAAGAACATCTTCAAAACCCGGAAGAACGAAGCAAATGAATGCATTTGGAGTTGGGGGTGCGCGCTTAACCTTGCTGGATATGCCGGGTTATGGACACGGGTCGCGGCATTCCTGGGGGCGAGAGATTATGGAGTACTTGAGGTCAAGAAAGCAGTATGTATAACCCCTCCTCGGGTGCGGAAAAGGAGTTTGTATGGGATAGAGTATTGATTTTGGATCTTGTGCTTGAAGGTTTCGAAGAGCTTTTCTGTTGATTGATCCGATTCACGGATTTAAAGAGGTGGATATGATGATTATGGAGGCATTCGTGGATATGGGGATACCGTATCAATTGGTTTTATCTAAAACAGATAAATTGGAAGAACCGAAAAAGAAGAAAGACAGACTTGCAACGCCCCATATCAATGAAGTATTTATGGATGTCCAAGGGGTTATGAGAGACTATGGAGGACATTCAGGGTTTGGAGAAATCCTGGCGACATCTAGCGAGCCTGTGAAAAAGGGAATCAATGAGTTAAGATGGGCGATATTACGGGCTACTGGGTTAGAACCAAAAAAGAAGAAATTGAGATGATGAGATGATTTAATTTCTTCATGAATTTCATCTATTGCTTTCTCGAACTGTATTAATTACTAGGAATAATTCGTAAAAAAAAGAGAGAGAAAAACGTAATCAGACGTATCTATCCAGACCATCCTTCCTACCGTAGACGCCGAAAAAAATATTCCACGAGAATAATATTGTACAGTTGATTTCCGAGTTGTGGATGAACGCGAGTCTTTATCTCCGAGTTCTCTTGTTCCTTCCAGACCCACCCCCATTCCCATTTAGGCGAGCCTGGGCAGCTAAGAAATCTTCTTCAGATGGTTCTGGCTCTGCGCTGACTCTCTTTCTCCCTTTCTTCGCCGCTGGTTGGCCATACTTGGCTTCTAGATTATCAAAGAAGTCGGTAGCCCGGACTCCCCTGTCCTTTTGACGGCTGCGGATCAGAGCCGCCAATGGGTGGTTGGGATCATCTTCCGGGTTGCCTCCCTTCTTTTTCTTAGTCGTGACGGCCTTCTTCTTCTTCCCACGGGCTGATGGGGCAGGTTCTTCATCATCAACTTCCTCGACATCTGGTTGGTTCTCGTCCTTTCCAAATAATTTGTCGTAAACTCCTAGCTTCTTCGCATAATCCATGGCTTCTTTACTCTCCTTTTCTGCGTTCTTCTTCCTCGCTTGTTTGGTCTTCTTCGTTTCATTGACATACGCGGGGTACCCCTCGACTTCGCCGGCCTTGATAGCGGCATCGATTATTTTGCGGAAACGGTCTTCGTCGGCAAGTGGGTCCGAAAGCATAACGTTTTCAAAGAGTTTATCCATATCACCTTCAACTTCTTCAAAGATTGCGAGTAAATCTTCTCGCTCCTCATCAGATCCTATAATTGACATCCCAAGGTTAGCTCCAGCTGATTCAAAAAAAAAAACCATGACAAAAAAAAACAACATACCCTGATATGTCTTCTTAAACTCAGTCAAAGTATCACCGGTAACAACATCCGCCCACATCTCCTTATAAAAGCTCTCCCAATCAAAGTCCTCATCATCAACGTCATCGCCGTTCAACACCTTCTCGTCGGTCCTGCCTGTACGATCATATCTCGCCCGTCGTTTTTCATCGCTAAGCACCGCATACGCAAACGCGATCTTTTGGAATTCGGCATGAGCGGTAGCTTTGTTTTCCGGCGCAGCCTTGTCAGGATGTGTTTTGAGCGCGAGCTTGCGGTATGCGGTACGGATCTCGGCGTCCGTGGCGGTTTTAGGGACTGAAAGAACTTCGTAGGGGTTTATATCGGTAGGAGGAGCATCGATGGCAATATCTTCCGACGACATTGTTTAAAATGGACTTTTTTGTGGTAATGCTGTTTGGGTAATATGGGTTTATGGTTGGTTGGTGGTTGAAGGAAAGAGCTTCGAAGCTTGTGCTTGAGCTCGAGACCAACATGATTTTGGTGTTGTTGTGGACGTGCGACGCGTTTTCTGGAAGGTTAATTACTTATCCATAAAAGGAAGTGATCGCCGTGGGTTTTGTCAAACGGCAACACATTTCTAGAAACCACGCTCTCAACGCAAACGAGCTCTGTTCTACCACAAGGCTTGAGGTCCAAGACTCGAGTCTATGCATACTCGGCCCATGATATCTGTCCACGATAGTTCTACCTGCACCTACGGGAAGGCTGGATTGAATAAGCAAACCAATCATCTGTGATATGGTATTGCGCCTCAATGCATTACATCTTGTGATTGTCGCATCCGCGATTACCCAGACTTACTCGCAATTCCTTGAGCTCGCGAGTATCCACAACCTACAGTCTTTCGATGACATTTGACTAGCTTCAAAGTCTGGTTCAATTTATTCGGACTTTAAAATCGGATTTTTAACATCATTCATCCCGTTTCGAAATCTGACAAGGGGGGGTTTTTCCAGAAGCTAACGGGTATCTAGACATCTGCACTAAGCTACGGCTTTCACGGATTAAACCTCTCAGACTACCCTTTGTGCTGACCTACACCGGAACACTTGGCAGGTGGCGGAGCAACAAAAAAGTCGGAATGTAGGATACCGACAAAAAAAAGGGCTTCTCTTTCACCTTTCATCTGTGATATGCTTAAAAAGCTTTAGATTTTGTTTTGCTGTAATTGATACCTTTTTTTTGTTTATTGTTCCGACGCATCGATGGCCAATTAAATCCGAAGTTGCCCTGAGGTTCGCCTAAAACATGCAAGAGCATAGCCCGCCGTCCTCATTACTGAATTTCATGAGATATATCGCATATATTGTATTACGCTTGGGGGCTAGATATTGTATATACAAGTGGGGATCAAAAAGAAAATCACGTCACCAGTCTTGCTCCGCCCTCGCGCGAGCTCTAGAGTTGCTTTGATCTTGCAGCTCGCTCTAGCTCTAGGACTAGTATTTGCACTTGAGCCGTGTGGTTGTTGGATTTCAGCAGCCTCGCTCGAGACCAACTGGAAATTCGGCTCGCGGCTTTGTGTAATCGTGTGAAGCTGGGCTTAAGCCAACATGGCCAGCTAATGATGATTCGGTATATAAGCCTTGAACCCAAAGAGTATCCGGATATCTTGCCGAATGCCACCCGTGGTACGATACATATTCAGTATATAACTTCGAAAATTTCCCTTTAATCGAGGTCTTGGAATATTGGCTTAAAGAGGTCTTAAATAAACCAAGCTTTCTACTATAACCTTCACCTTTAATTTCGTAAATAAACTTTTCACAGCTTTCTATTATCTACTTCAAGAATCAATATTCTTTTCCATGTTCGATAGATTCTTTATGAGCCGTCGTGTCGCCCCCAACGCTAATGACGAGGAGGCTGCCACGAATTCCCCTATTCCTCCGCCAACTCCCACCCAAACGGCCCCTCCAGAATACACTACATATACTCCAGGAGGACGATTTGAGTTTCTTAAAGATATAGAGGCATATCAAGCAGCATGTCTGATCAACAAAGTCGTGGATTTCCCAGTCGACGATCCAGCGCCTGCATACGGTACGTTTTTTTTTTATCGATATTCGTGCTAGAATACCTGGGTGCTAGGGTCCTGACTAAATACTCTCATAGACCTAGACGACATTCCAAATGTTATCCCTTCAGAATCTACCGATGATAAACAGATGTTTCGCGCAAAGTTCCAAAAGAAACTCAGCGAACTCAAAGAATTTCTACAACGTCCTTCTAACTTGAGATTTACCAAAACAACTCTCTCCGATAAAGCCATGCTTCTTATTTGTGCGGCGTGAGTATTATCTAAACAGTTATAGTGCATGAAGTACAGAGATTAAAGACTAGTTACTAATACTGATCTTCATTCTTTGTTTAGTATTTTAACTCTCATTGGCGCCTTCGTAGCCGTATGGGCCGCCGTCCTCCACCATATCACACTTATCGTAACTCTTGGTATACTTTGGGTGGCTACTTTGATTAAGTTTTGTTTGACTGGGTGGAGGTATTATACTAAGAGAAAATTGCTAGGTGTGATTAATGTTGCTTTGTTGAAGGTGGATAATTTTGAAAGATTGGATGATCGGACTGTTCGCGGTATCAAAAAAGGAGTTGATCGTGCAGTTCCTTGGAGTTATTGGGTGGATTCTGCTCGTATGGTTAGGATGAATCGGACTAATCGTTAGGTTGGTTCTGTGTATGAAGGTTTCATTGTGGATTCACAGCTGGTTACCCGCTGGTGGAGCCATGGAGGGCCGGATGGCTCTCAAGGCTAGAAGATTGATATGATTGCGATACATCAATGGATTCTTGAGTTATTTGCATATAATTCGAATTTCTCTCGGAGCAGAGCCAAATCGACCAAACTAGTCTTCTGTCAACTGTTCCTGAGTTATAATGTTACTCTATTCTTAATTTGGTTTGAACGAATTAATTTTTCTATTTCTCGACAGAACTCCATCATATTAACACATTCCCTCCGCGTTGTACAGTAAATCAATGCATTGTTCGGCTCTTACAAAACTATCCAGCGCTGGCTAGTCGGCTAGTCGGCTTCGAATCCAAGCATATGAATAAGCGAACTTACCAGGTGAAATATAAGCCCCGCCTTTGAGCGGGTCCTCTTCAAGGATCTGAATTCCATGTTTTCAGACAGTTGTCGACACCTGTTCTAGCTTAGAAAAAGTTAGGACCCTTTTCGAAATCTCTACCCGGCCGCAAGATCCCAAGAGCGCAATTTAATTGTATCCAAATATCACGAATTTGATACAGGCATCATATTTGAATATACTAATATATTCTTTAAATTTTTCTATATCTCGAGCCCACCATGTCTGGATTAGAGCTCGCCGCAAGTCTTGCGGGATTAGTATCTCTTGGAATGGAGCTTTGCAAGGGAATCACTCAGTATTGTATGAGTTACCAAGGAGCACAGAAGGATATCGAGCTTTTGCATGAAGATACAAACGCTTTGATACAGACTTTTGAGGTGAGAATTTTTCGAGGCTCTGTTGGGAACTTGACCTTTGGTCGAGTTCTAATAGAGTAGTTGAAACTGGTCCTTTTGGTTTATCACACCCTGTCCGGGTTCGAGGCGCGCTGACCCCCCGACCCTTATAAAAGAGCCTTCAAAACGCTATGCAAGATAGCACTTTGAAATTACAGCTTGAAGAATCAGTTGCTCATATCTTTTCTGCGTGTAGAGGTTTGTTTATTATTACCGAGACTGATGCGGCGTCGTATCTCTATATATAATTATGTACTTTGCTAATCGGGTTTTCCATAATGCATAGAGCGAGTGGCCAACCTTAGCAAGGAGCTGGAGAAGTACATCGAACCAACGAAAGCCCAATCTAAACGTGGGAGTATCTCTATCAAGGCGCGCATATTTTATCCTTTCCAAGAGAAAGGTGTGCAGAAGTTACGTGATGATATCTCCAGAATCAATGAGATCCTTCAACAAGCTACTGGGTCTGTCCTAATGTAAGTGCATGCAGCCTATAAATTTATATCCACCACTAGGGAAATGTAGTAGTTAATTTATGTTTTATAGCCGCCAGAACAACAAGATCAATGATACCATAGACCGGATTCATGACTCTGGGGAATTGGATAAGATAAAAGATTGGCTGTTGCCACCAGATTTCTCAACGAGTCAAATGATTGCGTCTGATAAAAGGAGCGAGAATACTGGGTCATGGTTTCTCGAAAGTGAAGAGTTTGTGCGGTGGCAGGATTCTCCTTGCTCATTATTATGGGTTTCAGGAGGCGGTATGTTTTCTTCAAGTATATTCCACGAACGTACCTCTACGGAACTAATTACTTCACAATGCATTCTTTAGCTGGACGAGGCAAGACTGTTTTGTGGTAAGCAGTTATTCCTAAGCCCCGAAGCCTGGCTATTCTGATCATAATTGCAGTTCAACAGCTATCGATTATCTCATTGCTGATTCAGAGCATCAACGTTCCTCGGCAGTCGCATACATATACTTCGATCAGACGAATCAGTCAGTGTCTCAAGACCACAACCGATTGTTAAGATCCCTAGTTCATCAACTAGCAGCACAGAATACCACTGGTCCAATACCAGCACCCTTGAAGAGTCTATACTCTCGGAGTCAGAATGGGACAAGGCCGCCAATGACGCATGACCTTACAAACACATTACGGCATCTTATTGAGACATTCTCGCCGTGCTATCTGGTAGCCGATGCATTCGATGAGTGTAAGGAGAAGCAAGCATTTTTGAAACTTGTCAATACGATCATCGGACAATGGAGGATACCTCAAGTGCGGTTTCTTGTGACAAGCCGATCCGAACTTAGTTCCGAGCTGCCAAATCGGAGTTGGAAGGGTTTCACCCTGTCATTGGAGGAAAGCAATAATGGCGACGTTCGATCTTATATTGAAACGACCCTCGAGAGTCCTGGCGAGCCTCTTAATGCCTGGGACCCAGAGCGACGTAAAAGTATTGCTAAATCTCTCATCGCACGCGGCAATGGAAAGTATGCACTGCCGTCAAATCTCTCCAGATCTTTTATTTCATTGGCTAAAATTCATATATTAGTTTTCGGTGGGTGGCATGCCAGCTGGAGAGGCTGCGCGAATGTTCCACCAATAAAGACCTTGATGAAACGCTGGAGGGCTTACCATCAACACTCGAAGAAACTTACGAAAGAACTCTGGCGAAGGTTGAAGAATCGCGGAAGTCTTCAATTTGCCATATCCTTAGGTTTTTATGCTTTTCGGCAAGACCAATGCGCCTTGACGAGATGAGTGAGGTGCCTGCTATCGACTTTGAAGCAGAACCCCGACCCAAATATTGCTCTGAAAAGCGCCTTGTGGTAGGTAAAGCGGCATACTTTAACAAGTATAGCGACTTGTTCTCCATCGCAACAATAAAGGTCGGGGACGAAGAGTATTCTGAGCTGAGACTAGCTCATCTATCTGTCAGAGATTACTTGCTTTCGACGAAGATTCTCACCTCTCCGGTTTCCTACTTTTATATAACGGAGCTGTCTGCTCACCATAGCATTGCTCAAGCTTGCATTGTATACCTACAACAGTTCGGAACCGGTGACCAACTCCCTACCTACGAGGAAGCTATCTTTGAAACTCCTCTTACTCTATATGCTGCCAGATTTTGGTTTCATCATGTGCAAGCGTCAATCAAGGCAGCCAGTCAAGAATCCTCTGTTGCAACTGCATATCCAACTGGGATCGATGCTCAACAAGCGACACTAATAATTCTCATCATCCAATTTCTAACCCAGTTACTTGGTCTTTTGGGTGTAGAGGCACCGGTTTTGATGAAATCCTCCGGTGTTAAAAATCAACTATTGGATCTTAATCAACTTTGCGTCGATTTCCTGGTATCCCAGGGACAAACCCAGATCAGGTTCTTCGATCCGGATACCCCGTGGGTTGAAAAGCCTCGAGCTTCGACTACACCTGGTCACTCTGGCCCTTCACCTCTCTATACTGCAGCACAAGCCGGGTTTTTGGATGTCGTACGGCAACTCGTTTGGCAAGGCATGGATATAAACTCCGTAGGAGGAAGATTTGGAACTCCTCTTCAAGCTGCAGCTTGCAAAGGCTACACCGACATTCTTTTGTTTCTATTAAAAGAAGGCGCGGACCCTAATTTGCGCGGGGGAGATTATGGATGTGCCCTGCAAGGTGCTAGTAGATATGGCCAAGAGGCTTGCGTAAAGATTCTGCTGAAGGCGGGTGTGGATGTTAACGCAACATGTGGCGAATATTATACAGCAGCTCACGCAGCAGCTTTTCATGGACACGCCCATGTACTCAAGCTCCTGGCAGACAACGGAGCAGATATCCACATTCTGAGACCGAGGGACCGCGCCGAACCATTGATCTTAGCCGCTAGTGTGGGCCATCTCGCGGTAGTCGAGTTGTTACTCAGCTTGGGGGCGGATATTCTAACAAGAGACAAGGATGAATGTACAGCGCTAGACCATGCAGCACCCGCGGGCTTCGATGAAGTGGTTAAACTGGTCATAGCACACGATCGAGCTTGTTTAACAACTTCTGATCGACTGGGGAATACAGCTCTACATTATACGGTAGCACAGAATTTCCCATCAGTCGTAGAGCTACTGCTCCAGAACGGCATGGATCCCAACCTAGGGAATCATCAGGGGCGTACTGCGCTGCATAGCGCCATAAGGACAGGGAACATCGAGGTTATCGAAACACTTCTCAGGTACGGCGCTAAAGTTAACAAAAAAGACTTGGAAGGCTTGACTCCTCTCCACCTGGCAGCCTATTTCGACAAACCCGAGGTCGGCCAGATGTTACTCGATACCGATGGAAGTATTATCGACATACCTGGGCCAAATGGGTACACGCCGTTACATATCGCGATCCTAAGAACCAATGTTGAATCTGTCAAGTTCTTGGGAAATCGCGGTGCTGAATTTACTAATTGTCTCCAGGTATTTAATTCCATCGACGGTGCCGTTATGCTTAGAAACTTCCATATAAACTATATATCCCCTATTACCGGTCTTCGTATTGCCGCATCTTATGGCCTGGAAGTGCAACTTAGAGATCTTCTTGAAGGCGAGGCAGATATCAACGGGACTGACGAAGGTGGGCGTAGTGCTCTCTATTACGCGTCAAGAATGGGAAATAACTCCATCGTAAGATTCTTGATTGAAAACGGGGCAGACGTCAATGCAAAGGCAGATGACGACGAATCCTTTATGGACTTCTGGTTGGATCAGAATATAATTGACCTGGCTTATAAACATGGCTATATCGATAGACCTGGGGTTCTTTCAGATGGGGGTGACAGGGCGAAGGAGAAGCTCAAAGTAGATAAACTGTTCGAATATCTTGGGGGGAAACTTCCAGCTGATGAACTCGCTTCTTATCAGTTTCAGTATTCACAAGATTCTTAGATATATCGATAAACAACCGAGCTCGGATGTACATAGATAGGAGGATACGAATGTATTTATTAGATGCTTATAATATACAATAGTACATACGCATGCATACGAATTTCCTGTGCGTCGTCCTTAAAAAGCTTAAAGCGAACCGCCCTCGCATAGTAACTAGGGACTTATTCATATTCCAATGGATTATAATTACGTATTGATGGTTGACCATGATTAGGAATTTCTAACTTGGGATTCGAGTTAGGACCGCTGGTGCGTTAAAAACTTCAGTCATTAATCTAGATAGATATTTGGATGCAAAGAAAATAAAAGATGTATCAGATCTAACATAGTCAGATTGTAATATATATGCGTCTATTAGAATCTAGTTCCCATCTCAAAACGTTAACACCAGCATTAATCTCGACCAGGATTCTCCTAATTTAATGCTCGATTCGATTCGTATATTATTTAGTCTGTGGTATTTTATCCTTGTCCCGGTCAATCTACAGACGTGCCGGAAACCCGCATGCATAACCAAAATGCCATCCAATTGGCTGATTCAACCTAGTTACATCGCATCCGCTAGGACTTATAATATAATTCTTGGAGCCAGGCCGCGCAAGTCATCCTGCTGAGTAGTTCGTCTTAAGCTTTTCAGCGCCGATTTAGAACGATTATCTTTCCCGTATCCTCGTATCCCGCAACCGCGTTGAGCCCGTCATCCCGAGATTCGATTACTAGACCTTTGCAGACTTTGGTGGTTAATGTTGCCTGCATCTTTGAACATTAACATTAAGCTTTAGACCTTTATAAGGATGTTATTTTTATAGAAAAAGTCCAAAGACTAGAGTTATAGATTGGAGATAATATTCAGTCAGCTTCAAGTTCCCTATCGCCTCTAAAACCTCGAGTTCTTAGATCTGGCTCGGTCGAATTTCGAAGGCCTAAAAGGCGAATATGACGACAAGGAACAGTGACGGTACGACGCAGCCCCTCTTGGCCAACACGAACAACACATCTCAGCAATATCTCTCGACTTCAACGTCGAGCTCGAACACTTCCATAATCGAACCCGATGTCCCCGGTAGCAGCGCTTCTAGCGCCAGCGAAAGTGGACTATCGAAAGACCAAGATGATACCGAAAATGAAAACGAAAACATCGGCTGGATGTCCCTCCCTCGTAAAAAACAGTTGATAATCCTCGCCCTCTGCCGTCTTTCCGAACCAATCACTGCAACTTCACTTCTTTCCTACGTATATTACTTTATAAAATCTCTCCCAGGCGCAAATACACCCGAGGAGATATCTCGACGGGCGGGACTTATGGTAGCTGCGTTCTCTGCGTGTCAATTCGTGACTGGAATGATATGGGGTCGATTAAGTGATATATACGGGAGGAAACCGGTTATCATGATGGGATTGTTGGGGACTACAATAGCAAGTTTTGGATTGGCGTTTTCGAAAAGCTTTTACTGGGCTGTTGGGATGCGAATGATGGCTGGGGGTTCTAATGCTACGACTGGGGTTCTGAGAACCGTTGTTGCGGAGCTAATCAAAGAAAAGAAGTATACATAAATCCATTGAAGTTCTGCCGTGGCCCGGTCAGTCCTGAAAATTCGCACGAGGGAATATGGATTGCTAATATATTTTTTGCCTGATGTGTAGGTACCAATCGAGAGCATTTTTGATAATGCCGTAAGTAGCTCTTCTGCCTTATAATAACTGGGCTGTGTTTTTTGTTCTCCTGATATTATATACTGACAGGGGGTTCATAGTATGTGCATGAATATCGGTATTATCATCGGTCCGATATTAGGTGAGTCTATAGAGTTCAAGGCATCTCAATTTGGCTGCTTTCTTCTTCTTGTATGCTAATGCTTTCCGATTCTTATAGGTGGGCTGCTCGCCAACCCCGTCGAGAGCCATCCTGGCATTTTTGGTCCAGGGAGCTGGTTGGGAGGTAAAAATGGAGTCCAGTGGATGAAAGAGTATCCTTATGCCCGTAGGTTCCTTTATTTCTACACTATCTACCTTTTGGATGATACTCTGACATACTTTTCTTCAGTACCAAACATCGTCAGCGCATGTTTCCTCAGTTTCTCATTTCTCCTGGCCACTTTCGGGCTAGAGGAAACAAATCCTTCTGGAGATATCATCGGAAAAATAGTTACAAAGCTCCATAACTTCTGGTTACGAATCACAAGCCCATTCCGCAGCTTCTTCAACCGTTCGCAACAGCAGTATACACCAATATCACAAGAAATCACCGATGATATTGTACAACCTCCACAACCTCCTCCCCGCCCCGCAGGAAGGAAGCCCGTACCTCTAAGAGAAGCATTAACTCCCTCCGTTATCTTTTGCCTCATCTGCTTCATAGCCCTACCCCTCCATAACTCCACCTTCCTACAACTCTATCCAATCTTCCTATCCACCCCTCGCCGTGACAACTCCCACCCTTCAACTCCAATCTCATGGAACGGAGGTCTCGGTCTCCCAGCCTCACAGGTCGGTTACGGCATGGCAATACTAGGTTTTATAGGTATCATCATGCAATTATTCATCTACCCGCCTCTTCAAATGCGACTGGGCACACTACGGAGTTATCGAATGAGCCTACTCCTCTTCCCGATAGCATACACACTCACCCCATTTCTCGCAATCCTACCATCTGAAAACCACGATCTTAAAAAACCGGCATCCGGACGGGTAGTCTGGGCCGGGATTATAGTCACATTGTTTATTCAAGTTACAGCTAGAACCTTTTCAAACCCTGGGAATGTTATTCTGTTGATGAATTCGGTGAATAATAGACGGGCTTTGGGGACGATTAATGGGATAGGAGCGAGTGTGAGTAGTTTGGCGAGGGCGGTGGGTCCTTTGTCTGCTGGTTGGGGGTATAGTTTTGCTTTGGAAATAGGATGTGTGGGGGCTGTATGGTGGGTTATGGCGGGAGTAGCGATGTTTGGCGTCTTTGTGAGTACTTATGTTACTGAAGGGAAGGGGTTTGTGCATAGTGAAGAGGAGGAAGAGGAGGCTGCAAAGGCAGTAGTACAGGACAATCGGGAGGGGACAAGATAAGAGATGAAAACTAAATGTGTGCGTGACTATTTGGTGTATTGGCGATATATGGTCGGGATAGCTTAGACTTAAAATGATCTTATGTTTTTTTTTTTCATCGGAAAGATTGATAATTATAACCAGGTATAGCTATATATTGTGTTCAAAATTGATCTTCGGGGACATGCATTTCGTGATGCCCTACTTTGCGTTCAAAAGAGAGAGCAATTGGGTTATAATAGTATGGGGAAAGAATCATATCAATTTTAGACATTAAATACTAATTAGCAGTACTCAGGCTATTACTATAAAAGTTGCAGTGTCATTATAAAGTGCATGAATGCTAAAATGAAGGTAAAAAAAAAACTTCCACAATCAAAAAGAGCGAAAGAAAGACGTTAGCCGAGAAGACATGATTGCATCCAAAACCCAGTCCACCCTATTTGCTCGAAGTCCGCTATACCACGGTAAAATTACGATTGACGCCTTTGGTTGATTTTAAATATTGGGTGGCAGAGGTACGGTGAAAACCGGACCAGGAGGAGGAGAGACTCTACTTCCTGGATCTTCCATGACCTTATCGATGGCAGTATTAATGGTTGTTATAGCACTAGTACTAGGGTTCGTCGCCGGGACGGCTGGGGCCTCTTCCAGCACTGATTGTACGAGCCTGGTATCTTCAGCCTCTTGCTCCTGACGTTCCTTTTCGAGTCTCACTTCCTTCCCACGTTCTATTTTCTTAGATTAGTACTAATCTTTAGACAGGGGTGTTTATGAATGGGCAGACTTACTCCAACAGTACCAGAAAACGAACAATAGAACTATATATTGTTATGTCAGTTTTATGCTACAACCAGATCGCGATATAGCATAAACAAGGCAACGTACCAAATAATGCCATAGAAATGACTACGTTGGTGCCTAACATAATTCCTGGGAAGCGCAGCTTAATAGCATTGACCACAGTCTTCAGAGTGTCGGCGACCACACCTTTGTAAAACATATTAGCTTGCCAATCGTACTATAGTATATTGCTGGACATGACTTACCCGGCTTCGTAACTAGCTGTTTCAGGGTAGGAATACCGAGGGTAGCAGCCTGTGCGGCTAGGCCTGGTGCCAGATTCTTCGCCTCTTCTTCTGCTACCTTTTCCCCGAGGCCTAAAGCACCAGGTAACTTCTTCGCCAGAGACTTGATGAACCCAGGCATCTCATCGAACATCGTCTCGATCTGTTTTGATTTCGTCTCGAACAGCTTCGTTAGGTCATCGTATGCTGTTGGAACGCCGTTAATCATATCCTTGAGAATCTGAGTGAAGTCCTTTAGGATGCCGCGAGTTTCGGACGAAAGCGAGAATGCCCTGCCATCTTGTGCGGCAAGACTAAGTGCGTCAAGAGCATCATGCAGTTCCTTTTCTTCTGGCGTCAAGTTGGAAAAGTACTCTTCATCTTCTTTGTTTGCTTTGCCCTTCCCTTTCTTATCCTTGGAAGCCTTCTTATCCTTCTTCGTCGGTGATCCAGGTTCCTTCTCTTTGCCCGCACCCTCTGCCTTGGGTTCCCTCTTAAGGAAGGATGGTAGGTGCTCTGCCACCTTCACGTGTTTAGCCTTCTCATAGGTTCCCGTCGCATATCCAGAGACAGTATCCTTCCAGGTCTGTTTTTTAGGTGCAGCACCAGCTTCAGACGCAACTGGGGTTGGTCCACCTGCCGGGGACCCTGAAGGCGAACCAGTAGCTGGGGTCCTAACCGAGTCGTTAAGCGGAACCTCCTGGGCTTCTGGGCTGTTCACGACGCCCTCGAAGTAGTTCTCATCCTTCTGATCGAGAACTTCCTTTGCGCCGGACTCAGCGGCTTCACGGTGTTTCTTAAATTTCCGGTAGGTGAAGTATTCGAGCATATCTTCGGCTTTGGTGGGGGAGGGGAGAAAGTGGGTAGGTTGAGGTGTGTTGGGAGTTGAATGTCAGCTGGATGCTGGATTAGGAGCAGATATTAATATCTGCGAATACCAACCCGACCTGGTCTTGGATTTCTTGGGGATGTTAGTCCCGTGGTAAGCGCGCACGCCCTGCTTAAAGTTTTACCGCTCGATCGATATATTGCTAAACTTCTTTTGTTTTGTTTTGTTTCCTGAAAATATTAAAATATAGATCCGACCGTTGTATTATAGAAGCAGGTTAAGCTGGCTGCAGGTGGAATTCCAATCTAGCAACTGCTCGCTGTCGACAGGCTGAGAAGGTGCTAATATAGCTGGGTCGGACCCACCAAGTAAACTAAGTCCAATACAAGTCTGTAACAGCAATTGCAATTTCAGGAATTCGATTCCAAAAAACTGGATCTCAGAGCCACAAACCGCCACAGCTGTTCGGATGACACTGCGATTTCGTGGTTCTGACGTCGGCGACAGGGGTTTTGCGCCTTTACTAGCCACGTTTTTACTTTGACTCAGAAGGCTTAACGAGTTCGGGCCTAAGTTCATTTCGAGTTCAATGCCTCTCTTGTCTGGCTAGTTAGCGCTATACTAGCGCTTCTCTCCCAGATCTAGACCTATATCGATATATCTATATCTAGATCTAGACCTGAACTTAAGGGTCTAGCAAGCAAAACGAGTGTATTTGAAGCCACCAGTTGACGACCTACCGACGCTGCGAGAGTGCGACCGTTTGCACGTATTAATTTTGCACCCGTAGCTATCGATCTAATTTGAGTTAGTGCAATCGAAATGTATTTAAGTATATACCTACTAGTGTAATATATTTGTGATATTTGATTTTCCCTCATCTTCCAACACTATACTCTTCCTACCTTCGAATTCTAAGTTGCGTATATAATTGGCCCACCAGCCATTATTCTTAATCCCGATATCGCGATAAGAGGTACCGCCAGATTTTTTCGCCCCGGATCGTTATATTAAAACCCATTGAAACAAAAGATTCAATCGAAACGTAACTGCATCCCATGTCCGCTGCCGCACCCTCTACCATTGGGTTTCATCAATTGCAGAGCTTGCTTGCATAGCGCTACTACCCGGCCGATTACGATATACCTGATCACCTGGCCAACTCCCAATACGATTGTAACCACACATCTTATTTGAAGCCAAGGACGGATATATTCGAAGCATCCAATATATATATATATATATATTTAAGTTGGTTTAGAAACTTTCTGCGAACCTAGGGTTGGTGATCAAGGTGGCTGAAACGAACAGCCCTCAAAAAAGACAGAACGGCCTAAACACAATATGTCCGACTTCACTGTGGAGAATGAGGATTACAAACTTACAGCCAAAGAATGCCGATTACCAGCTACTGTAGAAAAATCTCGAACGGCAGCTCGGATAATTGGTTGGGGCAGGGCCTACAACGTGCGCTGGAGAGCGCCTTTCATGGAGGTTGCCCGTCATTATATGGCCCTCTTGGACTCCCCGCGAAGCGAACGGGGTTTCATTGGTGCGGCGGTAAGAACGTTCGTTGAATCTGAAATTGACGGCCTCACGGCGAGGTTTGTCGAAACTTTTCAGATTACCGGGCGCGGTACCCACGATTCGACGGCTAGCGAATCATCACTGGACAAAACTTGGGTAATTGTCGCCGATATAGCAGCACCGGTCGTATGGCCGCAACAAAACTCTGCTATTGAGAGGAGAAAGAGGTCGGATGCGTATTGTCGTTTGATCACCGATGCGTTAAAGGCTTCGGACCTAACGATTACGTCTAGTTTTGGGGCCATGGTATACGTGCTGCTGCTTTCAGACGAGCTAGACCCAGAATCGTTGGATGAGAGTGGAATCAGAATCCTTGACTATCAAGGAGGTTCGAGTATTGAGCTAGAAGGACTGGGGAAAAGTCTTAATCAGATTGGTATAACAATCGATCACGCACTATCGTACTGTAAGCTATCATATCATGATCATAATATCGCTCCTTCCATGGTGTACAGGTGATACTTACATGTTTATTTTCTAGGGCTACAAAGGAAGTGCGCGTCTATTTTACCCCCTACAGATTCTCCATCTCGACTTAGTATGCCCACGGGAATATTTGCCAGTATTTCTGTGGTTACACCACGAAGTACTCACCTAGCAAATCAAGTATGGCAATTAGAAGACGTGGAACGCCGTTACCCACCCATGGCTAACATTTTCTTATAGGCGAGGATTCGCGACAAATATCGGTGTGTTCTCTCGCATCGATATAGCAAAAGCGTACAAGTATGCCATATCGTGGCATACTCCATTGGAAAAAAAGCATCTGGGGAATACAAGGTGAGACTTAACTTAAAGCTCTGGGCTCAGGATCTTGGGTCAAACCTTTTAACGATGATGCCGCTTTCAGTTTGAATTTTGGAATTTCTTGGCCATGTTTGTTGGGAAAGAAGCGATGCGGAAGATACGAGAGTACGTGGTGGGTCCCATAGATGATAGGACATTGATCAACCGCTTGGAGAATACCATTTCGCTATCACCTGGATGCCATTGTGAATTCAATGATGGACTTTTCATTTTGGAGCCACTTACACAAGATGGGTCATCTCTTCTAGCGGTAGACCTCTCAAAATTTGCGGAAGCCGAGATTCCAGCCAAGTATCCAGTAAGATACACAAAACTTCCAGGTCAAATTAAGCCACTCGCAACAAGAGGCGCCGGTCTCCAGGGATTATCTATCGATGATCTCGATCCATATGAACTGGATCAGGATCCTGATGTGGTTAACGCGAGAATCTATAACCAGTCGATGGACAGAGCCCTGAGGGATGGCGAAATCGTCTGGCTTGAGACTGACAACCCCGACTTACGGCCGCTTCCGCATCCCCATCTCCTCTGGTTACATGCTAACATAAGCAGAGTTGTAAGGATGTGTGGCAGAAGTGGTGAATACGTATATGCGCCTGAGTCCGATGAAGAAGAAGAGCCAGGCGCTGATACCAAGGAGGCGGGAGAGGGTATGACTTCCTTTTCACCAGAATACCAGATCGCAGGTGGCAAAGAGGGCGGAATTGAGGGTTTAGGCCTGGCGAGGGAAGAATGGAGTATGGACGATAATGGTTCGGGGGAACAGGAGGCGATTGACCCTACGGTGGTACCGCGCAGAAAACAAGGTGACCTTGGCTAGAAGCTTTTGTCACCCGTTGGTTCTTTGCCTGGCGTTTGATCGTGCGTGGGCGGGTTGAGAAACCCTGCATGGGCGCTGTAGCGTTTTGTGATTATATATTGTAGAAGCGATATTGGGAGCTTAAAATCGGGGGTGTGAGCTATATATACGAGATTAGGGTGGGCTCATTTTGGCTTTCGTAACTAGTTTTTGTGAAACAATGACTGAGATCCGGCGTCGAGGTAGTATCGGGTTGAAGCTAACATACCCTCCTGAGAATTATTAATATTAAGAGGTCTTCTTATCGCCCTTACCACGGCCTCCGCACCAAGCCGCTAGCTTCTGTAATTGTTTTTCACTAAGAAGACAGGTATACTTACTATTCCACCTCCTCACAAATAAAAAATAAGAACCACAAGGAGATACACGGCTAACTGGTACTAGCTTAGCAGTGACTGCGATTTATCTATTGCATTTATAGTTAGCATGCAACAGGCACCTTTGCCCAAACTCCGATGGCTGGCCAGCTGGTCTTGTTTTCATGATTCGACTTTTGTTTCCTAAATTAAGACTCTGTGTTATTCACTGGAAGCATTTCTTCAAGCACAGGTTGCCCAAGGAACCAGAATCTCCATAATATCATACATGTATTGGAACATACCCTGCCAACTAATTGTATGATAATATTAGTTGGTTTTGGATGTTTAAATTTTTATTTACAGAGCTGCATGCGCACGCAGAGGATCGCCAGCTCGGGGTATTTGTTGTTGTGTGTGGTATATTGGCAATATTAGTGTTGGGGTGCGGAATCCGGTCTTGGCACTAAACAAAGACCTTCCAAGCATGGGTACAAGATATGCAAACGCCTCCATATGAACAAACTTCTATGGCCGTACTGTTCAATTCAGCGACTCGGTACTGATTGGATATCGACACGGGATACTGGCCAGTGATTTATCAATGTTAATACATCACGCCACCGCATATCGCAACAATAGCTAGAAAGCACATGCAGCCGGTCCAAGCCTAGACTTCTTGTCCGACTGGAGATCTGTCAACTAAAGCGACTAGGTCAGGTTGACTGCTAGAACTCTTCCTGTGCGGCTGTGGTGGGTGGGTGGTGGTGGTGATAGTTTTGAGAAGGGCACCTAAGCCGGAGATTTTCCAATGCGGGGATGTAGGAAAATCGTGGTGGTGACAGACGCCTCCCGAGGCAGGTTATAATGCACTCCATTGATCTAATGATCCTTTATCCAACGTACTAATAAAAAAAACATATATATTAGGCCTCGGGGATCGAATTGTTCGCGCGATGCTGCATAATACTAGACAGCCTCTAACAATTTACATGACTAATACAAGTCTCAAGAGTGAGAACTATCCCGTCAATTTGAATGACGACCAGGGAACAGTGAAGGCATTAGAAGAGAGTGGATCCGAAATAAGATATGAAGAAGTCGATCCAACATGCTTGAATTCTATCACAGTATTTAGACACCGCCTTCAGATTGCCCACGGAACGAGTCATGGAACGAAACCATTATCGATTCTTGTTAATTCCCCGGCACAGGAATTCGAAAACGCCCAAAAGGCAGCGAAATTGGGGTACTTTGGCCCGAAGAATATGTCTAGCATTCTACTCCCGATCATGAAACGTGATGGAAATAGTAGAATAGTTAATGTGTCGGTTGGCGGTGGAGGGGCGGGTTATTGGATATGGAAGGCGGATCTGGCCGACAGATTCGAACTACGAAATCTCTCAACGGAAGTATTGGATACCTTGGTACGAAAGTATGTACGCGATGCCGCCAATGGGGAGCTTGTTGAACAAGGGTGGGCGAAACGCCTGGATGTCAAAGGTCCCCAAAATCATCTTTATGTCATCCCGAGGATGATATTGGGGGCGTACACCCATCTTCTGGCGAGAGAAAATCCCGACGTCCTGATAAACGCCTCAGGTGGTGATTCATTCAAGTTTTTAAAGCATGTATACGGTGGTGCTATCACACCCACCTTTTTGGCTTTAGGGGACTTAAAGGGTGTCTCTGGACGCTATTGGATTGCTGGAAAACCCGTGGATTGGGAAAGTAATCGATATAAACCCCCGGAAACTGATAAAGTCTTATCTTGGAAGAAACCTAACAAAGTAAAGGTGTCAGAGCTTAGTCCTAGTGAGCTAGAAGCCCCAACCCCTAGGCCCGAGAAACCGTTTACCTGGGTCTCGTTCAAGCCAAAGACCCTTGGACCGGACTCCTAGTTTATTTTTTATATTTATATTTTATTGACTCATCCATTTCCTGCCATAATATATCAATAATATATATTCTCGCGTGGAGAAAATTTAGAGTAAGAACAGATTTTTGTATTTTGCTTGTTAGTGCCGTGGCTATGGTAAATTCACACGCCCTCTTGCGTCTTTAAATTATGGTTCCGCCTGCACTGTATCGATGTAGCGGCAAATACCATAAATCTCAAATAGCTTTCATTATTTATTGGGTCTATGCACAGCTAGTTGTCTCAACAAACTGAAATTGACACTAAGAAATATGGTGGAAGAGGACCTAGGTGGACGTCCAAGTACCTGAAGGAATTGCAGGGATAGAGTGGAAACAGGGGACATGCTGTACTATTGCATCCCACGCCTGGCTTTCTGATAGGCAACCCAATCCGCTACTGAGAATTCCCCATACTCTGGAATGTAGTTTTCCGGTATCACTTCACGGAGCTCTTCTGTAGCGTGTATCACACACCGCGGAAAGCCTGATGCTGTAATAGATGACGGTAAGAGGTTATAAAAATTTGAGTTGGCGAGATTTTTCACTCTGTAGATTCCTTTACGCTGGGCATCAGACACCGGGATTGGGTCGTAAGTCGTCCGTAGTAATGACTGCGCTGAGGTAAACCCATCTTCGGACAAATGCCGCATCAACTGAATGATATCAGCTTTATCGACTTTGTACAATTTTCTGTCCTTATCTGGGTGGACATACACATCGAGCATCTGGGAATAGTTAGTAAATGGAAGTAGTTTAAACCAGGAGAGTTATGAACTACCTCGTTCCCACTTTCTCCCCGATCAAAATGTACAACCCCGGATAAAATTTGTGTTTCTGCCCAGAATCCAACAGTGCACTTCTCAAAAGAAGATGACTGAAGCTTTGCATAACGTGTGAGCTCAGTATAACTGTGGTGATAGAGGGGAGGTATTGTTGGCATAGTAGTAGTACTATGTCTAACATGTTTATATGACTCTCCTGAAATTGCGCGAAGGATTTCGATAAGTACTTCGAACTCCACCAGCACATTTTCCGTTTCATTGATGTATCTGTGCAAGATCTTTTAATTTGGAAGTCAATATAGTATAGTAAAAACGAAAAATACAAAATTCCAAGATTCTTACATCGGCACCAATCTCTGTTCCGATAAGGATAAGCTCAAGCTCCTCCACAAGTTTTCTGTACTCGATACGGCTCTCTTCTGACGGTTCAACTTTTCGATATTGGCGGTTGAAGGGATTCGATGACTGCACGGGGGCATCGTCAAATATCTGGCGAAACGTCCGCTCGGTAACCTCGAGACGGAACAGATTTCGCACAATATTTGAGATTCTCTCAAGATGCATGGGAGGTAAACCTCCGATAGGAACAAGGTTGGTCGTGGCCATGGTATAGGAAATTTGGGCGATGGAAGGCTGGTTGTAAGATCTTGGTTGGGGATTTCGGTAGATTTGCGAGCCGCGTCTCCAGATATATAGTTAACGTGCCTAGTGCTAGCTTAGGAAAGTACTTAATTATAAAGTTGCAATTGATGCGCGGATATCAAACTTAAATTAATCCCTAAGTATACGTATACTACATCTGTAGTATCTGATCTGGCCGATCGATCTTATTTTAGATTTCTGTCGGCGCAGTGCAGTGCAGCAGCAGAACTCTATTAAAAACGAGTTTCAAACGCTCTTATTATCGATATATTTGGTTTTATCTCAAAGTTCTCTGTTACAAATATTAACGCATGTCTATAGATCTACGTACGACTCGAGCTCATATGATCATACTCATAAGCTTAACCAAGCTCATAGAACTTCAAAAGAGTATATGTAGGTGTTTAAACCGTAGATTACGTACTACGCACACCTATAAATTGAAATCGGATACATACATGTGTTTATTTAATTTAATATCAATACTTAAGTCGTTTATATATACTTAAGTATATATAATATACGGTACCTGCCCCATCTCTCCTACAGCCCCAATCAGGACAGCAAAGGGGTGGCTATTTGCGCCCATTTGTCGTTATTGAATATCGCCGGCGTGTCAAGGTTCTGCATTAAAAATTGAGAAGACCTCGAAGTTGGCGTTCAAGGTTTCTATCCAACGTCAACTCAAATGCCAATTAAACATAGGAACAGGACCAGGTTAGATCTATAATTCCGAGGTCTTATGGCGTATTTTATACCCTCAATGTCATAAGACTACCCAATACCTTGGTTTCCGTTCTCTCGGTAGTGAAATTTATGTTCTCCCAAAGCGTCAATCCCACGTTCGGTACCAGGCACAGTACTACTTCATCAGCAGGAACTCGACGGGATTAAGGGACAAAGGGCGATGGTACTACGCCCTTCCACTAGCCCCAGCCCCAAATAAATACTTCTGCTACTTTTTTTCAATTGCAATCCCTTTATTTCGTTCATGTAATAAATCCCAAAAATCCTCGGGCCAGTAGAAGTATGGCCGGCGTGATACAAATTTTCTCAAGTTTTGCATTGCCAACCCTCCAAGAAAAAATTTATAATTCTTGTCCTTTGCTTCATTGGCTTCTTTATCATCTTCTCCTAACCAGCGGGACGGCTCTCTACTGGTTCTTGCTCCGAGATAGGATGCTTTCATCTTCAGTTCCGTTACGTTTACTAGAGGGCATTGTGCGAATTTTCGCCACCATGAAATCGAGACTATTTGCGTCAGACCCAATTTTGTAACACTATCAGGAGGAATAAGAAAGAATGAAGGATGGAAGATCAAGCCCAAAACCTTAAGACATTTAAGGTATTTTAAGTTTGTGACTGCGTTCTGCAGATCTTCTAGCTGGGGAAGCTTGGAGATTGGAAAATCACAATCCATGGCGTGTTTATTCCCCATCAATTCGAGCTGTTTCAGTGATTTGGTCAGTTGTAGTATTTTGACAACCACCTCTATCTCTTCTATAGTATCATGTTCTGTAGTAAGCGATGCACTACTAAGAAATGGGAGTTGTAGATGTGTAAAGCATTCTAATGCGAAAGCATCTATTTGAAGGCAGCGGGCATATGTACACCGGTTACACATGTCGGTGGTTGCGTCGATCGATAATCTATTCGACTTTGAATATTCTTTCAAAACCCGAAGAAAGTTTAGGGCGCTTTCGCTAGCGCATCCTAAATTTTGTCACCGATTAGATATCCATGCACGAAAGGAATAACCAAGTGATCGATCAAATTCAATTGTTGGGTTGTATAAGTCGCTTACCAGCTTCCACCAAGTGTAGTCTCACGCGCCGAAGTGTCATTTCCCCGGATGCAAGCTTATCGGAGAATATATCGAATAGTTCGCCAGGAAAGAACTTGTCATATTGTCTCCTTGCCGCGCACGCAGCCTCACCCACATATAATCGCCGGAGGGATGATCTCATATGACCGGAAAAAAATCTTATTTCTTTGATGTGATTGAAACCCATGGCATTGACACCTTTTTCGTTGGTGATGGTAAGTAATTTTTCGAGATCGCATTCTTTTGCGCCGTCCTGAAATACAGGTTCAAAGGTACGCCAAAAATGTGGGTAGGTTCCGTAGTACATAGTTTTAGAAGTTTGGAGGAGTGAAATCATGTCAGACCTCATGTCGAGGAAGCCGATGATTTCGGATAGAAGTTCGAGTGGGATATTTTCTATGAACGAAGGGCATTGGCCTGTTGGCCCTTTGGATTCGGATTCCATTTTTAATTCGGATATCTAAGTAGCTAGATGTGGCTATAGACGAATGGATTTCTTGTGGGACTAGAATACTCGTTGTGAACGCTTGTTTATTAGTTACTTAGTACTTAGCTAAGGTAAGATTTAATTTGTCGAGGCCTTCAGAGCTATAGCAAGAGCTATGCATGGAGCGCTGCCAGCTGCTAGCCAAGCTACTAGTTAGGTCAGCCGCTGGATCCTTGTCAATTGCTTGTGCATGCACAATGTTGTATTCGTCTCCAAGCTAAGAGCCAAGCTCAGCCAATATGTGGCTGGTGTAATCTACCAGCCGCAAAGTGTGGCTTAACATTCACGACAGGGATTCTCGTGTGACGTCAGGGCTTCCAAGTCGCCCAATCCAACTTCACAGCTGCACGCCGCATAGGCCAGACCAGGCCAAGCTCAAGACAAATCCCGCATTACATTGCACTGGCAATTCCAACCCGTCAAAACATTATGCTTTCATACTTTCTTCTATTTCCTCGATCTCTGTCCTATACCGAGTATAATCGGTATCTTGCAAGGAGCGTTATCTACCTTACAGAATGCGACATTCGATAGTAAGGTCTATGCTCTTGCGCACGCGACACTGTACTCAGAACTTCCAAACGCCTTATCTTGGGTATATAATACACCACCAACCCGGAATCTCCCATGGTCAGCTTTGGAGATCATTTTCTGCCCATGCAAATTTACAGGCTCGTCAACAAGTCCTTCACGGTCTCACGGCAAAACTGACGAGTACTCCGTCCCGTCTCTTCAAACTCATCCTCCCACTGCCAGCAGTTCATGAAGATGGTGATCAAGATCGTTCGCTGAGTCCCAAGGAAACCGAACATTATGAGAAACATCCACCGTCCTCGCTTTCAAAACCATCTACGTCTGTAAACCATCTAGATCAAAAGCCAAAACATTTGGCTCTTTTGATTCATCCGAATCAACCAATCTCGCATCTTGCGCAGTTGATCCAATCTCAATTGCCGACTCTTAAGTCAGGCAGAGTCCCCAGTGTAAATTTCTATAGACCATTGGATACTCCACCTCCAAAATCCGAGGTCATTGCACCTTCTGAAGATGAAGTTGTGAGCTCGGGTGGAGAGGGGGCGCCAAAGTCTGCGCAAGGGAGGGATGTAGATGATGAAGAGGAGAGTCTGGTCCTTTGGTCAGGGAGTACTGAAATTGGTGATTTTGTTAGGGATGCTGCGGTTGGGCATGAAGAGGAGGAGATGGGACTTCAGGGTGGGTTTGTCATTGATATCGAGGGCACCGTAGACAAGAGGTAAGACCTAGCTTCATATACAAATATAAACCAATACGGCAAGTCAATGATGTAGGAAGACTAATCGTGGTATAGTGGAGTCTGGGTTTCCGTCCCAAGTTTTAACGATAGAACTGTCTTTCTGAGGAAGAGATATAAATCGATTACGAAAGAGATCGAAGGACTAGTTGAGTTAAAAGAGGTAAAGAATTTTCAGTGCCCCCATAACGATACCGAATATCTCTAATAGAACCTTCGATTAGAAATGCGATAAACTAGCTCAGAAAACTGCCCAACATATGGCTCTCGGTGGTTTTGGAGCAATGATCGGTTGGTGGGGCTTGGTATATTTTCTCACATTCAATACGTAGGTTATAATATACTCGTATCGATATATTGCAGAATGAAAGGCTAACCTAAAGCAACTCAAAGGTCTCTTGGATGGGGTATGTACTATTTTCTTGATGAAAGTTTAACTGCTTGGAATACTTGAATCTAACCTGCCCTGCCTACAACTAGATACTATGGAGCCAGTAACGTACCTCGCCGGCCTTTCAGGTATTATGGCGGGTTATCTTTGGTTTCTATACCATAACCGTGAAGTCTCATATCGTTCTGTACTGCACGCTACAATCTCGCGGCGTCAGCTAGCGTTGTACGATCAACATGGGTTTGACATGGATAGATGGCAAGAGCTACTCGATGAAGGTCGGTCGTTGAGACGAGAGATTAAAATAGTCGCAGAAGAGTATGGTGTTCGGTGGGATGGAAAAGCGGACTCTGAATCTTCGGGCGATTTCGGGGTTGTGAGCCGAGAAAGGAAGAAGCGGGCAGCCAAAGTAGAGGAGGTATTAAAGAAGGAGGAAGAGAAAACGGAGAACGGGAAGCATTCATCAAAGAAAGAAGATGGAGATGATCATTAAGCCTTAGAAGTACATGTTTTCTACTAGAATAGACGGTGTCTGATTCCCCAGATACGAGGCTAAATAAATCCTAGACCAGAAGGGTTTCTTTCTAATTATTTGTTTATATTCCTGTACGCTTAGCAAGCGAGTTATATAATTCGAATTGCTTATTCTCTAATACATTCGCCTCTAATAAAACCCCATTTCTATCTAACAAAGAATTTTAATTCCGTTTATCGAGTTCTATAAAAGCGCCTTGACATCCTCTTTTTCGGCCTCTTTCGCAAAATCTGGTCTCGGCAGTTCGGCACCAGCAGTCGTCCTTCCGTACATGATCCCACCTAACCGACTAATTGGCTTCAACTTCCCAATATCCACAATTGAACCTTCACTCCCCTCCGCCCACATATCTTCCCTAACATGGAAGTTAAGGCCTTGCGCAAATATCGTAACTCCAGTAGTCTTCCCAGTCGCCGGCGAGACCCACGGATGATGCGAGACAAGCTTTGCTTCAATGCTAAATGCCGATTCGGCAACATGTGGAGGCTTAACTTTTGAAGAAGGGGCAGGAGTTAAACCTGACAAATCGAATTCAGAAACACCGGGAGGGGCATTTATGGAGGTGTAGTTCGCAGCTCTAAGTAGGATTTAGCGTATGATCCCTATACAATATAGTTGAAACGAGCTATGGAGGGACCGACTCTAAAAACCACTCGGAAATGACATTTATGACAAGCTCTCCCGTATCAAGAATATTTTGCAATGTGTCTTTTTTACTTTCCATACTACTCGAGAAACCGATAACCCTATAAATTGCTAAGTTAATTGCATACTCTGGTGGGAAAGAGCAACAAAATGAACCTACATCATTGGTGGGTCATGAGCAACCATCGTCGTATATGAGAATGGTGCAAGGTTTGTTGTTTTCCCATCTTTAGATATCGTTGATACGAAGCCAATCTTTCAACAACCAAAAGGCGTGTAAATTCAGTTGGATGAAGCCTTTGAAATAGATTTCGGTACCATCAGAACTTACAAATCTGGGTGTGATGGCAGATATCATAAGCTTATAGTTATCACCCACTCGTCTACCTTCAGCATAAGGATCAATCTCAACCTTCTTTAACGATTTCCAAGAGTCGTCCGTTGCGCCAGTTCCTACGCGCCCATAGATCGAAGTCAATTGGCCGAAACAATCGATTTTGAGGCACCGAGACCTTAAGAGGATAAAGCTATATTTCTCACCAACTTTCCACTCTGGATTGACTGTCTTATTTAGGTGCCATTCAATCGTCTCCCAATCCTCCCGTGTAGCCTCAACGGTCTTAAAATCCGGATGTCGTGACATTGTTCGTAATTGTCGGTGCGGAATCGAAGCAGCGGGCGTGTTGACGGTGTTGTAAATTTAAAGGCTTCCAAGCGAGTCGACGGAAAAGCTTGGATGAGGTCAAAATGTATCTCTTCATGAGAGAGATTTATACCCTTTTTTTATCGATAAAAAAAGGCAAAGTTTCAAAGGGTTTTGTAATATCGCCTATCTTTATTCTACTCGAATTCGTTATTCTAATTGTCGTGCGCTTGAATCGGTATTCGGGATTACAAATCACGCAGTTCATGCAGAGGTAAACAACTTAAAACAACTTTCCTGGGAGGCTTACTAAGATTAGTAGATTCGTGCAATCCTTGTAGACGTATACGCGTAAGTCCCGAGGGCGCCCGAGTGTATAAAACGTTAACGTGGGGGCAGACCCAAGGCCCTTCCTGGTTCGAATCACAATGCATGCATGTACCTTCTACATTTCAGAACTCGACCACCTGTTCTTTTAACAAGGATATTTTATTTTTATAAACTTAGGTTAATTGATTCGATTTTACCGATAAGTGACTGGGAATAGCTATAGTAATAATAGAGCGGTGCGAACATTTCGAAATTTCTATCGATTAAATTATAAACATTTGATATTTATATTTGCCGCTACATATTCATATTCGAAAGCAGAGAAATCTAAGGAGCGGTTTTTCACTGTCTGAATTCTATCAAAAAGGGTTTAATTCGAGACCATGAGACAATCTGAGCTCCTAGGTGCTGATTTAGTAGCTACTGATTCGGATATCCTGATTACTGATATCTGCGGTGACAAATGAGGAATAGGTTGGTAGATCTATAGAACTAACATGAAAGAATTAATACGTAACCGGTAGTCCCGCGAAACCCATTTCTCAAGTATGCAGTTCTGGGATTGGCTCGTTCATCCAGTACTGCAGTATGCATGGGGTGTCTTCGGTGAACAGGGTGCAACATCGCCATTGACGGGAGCTTGCTGCCACCCCGAGCTTCGGGAAGGTCTGGGAGATCTAGCTAGAAACACATATGTGCGGGAGCATGGGTCGGCGGAACTTTACGGGCAGGTGTATAAGTCGGTAGATAAGTGATATCTTAGTCAAGTCTAGAAACATTTGGACTGGCTTTATACTTCACATATCAATTTCTAAGATATATCCCTGGCTGAGTACGAACTTTTCACTCGGATGCCTCATAAGCTTCACGATTTCAAATAACCGCTAATTCGTCTCTTTCATCCACTCTTATACGTACAAATGCAGCAACATCTCATCGTATATTTGCCCGCAAGAAACGAAATTCAATAATAATAACAAAACTCTTTGCCAAAGGGGGATATGCTTAGGTTTCAAGGTGCGAGGAACTGCAAAGAGATCATCCCAGAACCGGCCAAGCGATGTTATTAGAAAAACTCAAGAGCAACCAAACAAGGTATATTATAAAACAATGAGGCTCCAAGAACGCCAGATGGTATAAAATTCCCCGAAAGTGTTGTAGATATTTGTGCAAGTGGTGGGGATTTTGAAAGGGTGAAAATTCTGGGAAATGCCATGAGATAGGAGAATACAGAGAACGCCCGGTATCACTTTTGACGTCGTGGTGCCATCCTAAAAAACAGAAAGGAAATTCAAAGATTAGGAGAAATATTTGGGGTTTGGTAAAAAGTTGGAGGAGTCAGGTAATTGGTAGATGGTTGAAACCTAGTCAAGACTTTAATTTCCGGGCCCTGGTGGGTTGCCCATGAACATATCAAGACTGTTCCCATCCTCGCGGGTCGCCATTTCTGAAAGTAGTGTCATCAACGGGTCGGGCTCGAGCTCGGTAGGAAGCGCATCCTTTTCTTGTACAGCACTGGGATCTGCGGAAAAGACAGCGGGGTCCATTCCAAAGTCAAAAAAGTTGTTGTAGGGGGTTGAAGAGAAGAAAGAATAGTTTCCAGAGGGCGAGAAAGTATATTTATTCATATCATAGGAATAGGCGGAGTTAGGCATAACGGGAGAAGTAAAGTCGAAGGGGTTGTTTTCAGGAATTGAAGTGGCGGAAGCGCTTCGTTGGGGGCCCATTGGTGGTGGCTGTCCTGGGTAGTGGAAGCCAGGGTGACTATTTTGTAGTCTTTCGCGTGTTCGCATGCGATACTGGTCTTGGGGAGAATGTTGGCTGTTTAGGGGCGTTGACCCATCGGAGACAGAAGAGTGTCGATGTATTTTCGGGCGCTTATTATGGCGATGATGACCATATTCGTCGACATGGGTTATCGATGATGCAGAGCCGCCGTCTGTGGTGTTCGAAGGTGACGCATTTGGGATTTGTGGGGTTCCAACAGATGGGACGGGGGAATGGAATATTTCTGATAGGGTGGGGTCGGCGAAAAGGTCATCAGGACTCGAAAGGCTAATTGCAATGTTAGTGTTCTAGTCCCATAAAAAAGGATTATCGCGAGTTTAGGGGATGAAAGCTTACTTTTCGACTGAGAAGTCATTGAGAAACTCAAAGGGAATAAAGGCGGTATCGAAAGTAACATCATCATATCGATCAAAGAAGTCGTCAAGGTATTTAATATCAGCTGGTGAACCCTTGGACAGACGAATATGATTCATGTATATCCGGCGTATTGTTGAGCACTGATTTTAAGTCAGTAAAGGCCTCTCGGTCCGTGTGAGCAAGTTTAGTTTCCTTACCTGATGATTGATAATTGCCCACTGCCGCCGCATTCGGATAAGGAACTTGATAACCCTTAACAAGCTTTCCCTGCTACCTTCGGACAAGGAATGTCCTGTGTATTGGGTGCCGTGCAAATGAACCGTTGCAGCAGATGTTAAGCAATACGACATGAAAGCAGGCCATTCTATTGAAGGTGTATTTGCTGCTTGGTAAGCGAGGTCTGTTAGAGCCTTTGCATGCTGTAAACACATGCTTGTAGCTTCTTGCTGCCATGCTTGTTGGGTGCCTGTGCCATTGATTTCTTTGATATCGATTGGGAGGAAGGTCCGATACATCAAACAATGTATCAAGTGATAAACAGCCTTGCTCAAGTAAAATACTGTAGCCTCGCTACCGGACGGAAATGATGCCTTTTCTTGGGCTTTGTTTTCAAAATAACCGGCCCATACTTTCAGTTCGTTTCTGATCATCGATAGGTTTGAAGAAGAGTGCCACGGGAAATGGGAGTCGCCTTTTACACCACCCTGCTGGATGTATAGAACTGTCTTTCCTAAGATCCGAACAATCTCAACTAACATAGCGTTGGTATTTCGCGACAGAGGCATGCTGCCGAACTGTTGCCCAAACCCATCTTCTGAGAACAGTGATTCTTCGCTTGGTTTGCCGCTTCGAAAATGCGATTCGGAACATGGGAGGCGTAATTTGATTGTACAGTCGCTGATTAAAGGAGGGCGGTTCGAACCACAGACTGCAAAGCGATCCATCAAATAACAAGTCCAGAAGCATCTCCGTCGTACTTCACGCTCAACTGGAGTCGCCGGCGAGTTTGGCGGCAGCTCTCTATGTAGCTCTAGGGCAAGAGCCATACGGATTGCTGATCCCAACTGCATAAAAGATTTCTTTCCATGTCCCAAAGCAAAATAAACATCGGAGAGTAGTATTAATGTTAGCAAATTATCGACTGATGGTTCGTCTGCATCAACTTGGTTTCTGGCCAAACTGGCGAACCGTTCAGCGCATTCCGCTAGTGTTTTCCCTGTAGGAGGCAAGGTATAACTTTCATATTATTAGCTGCTTTATTCAGAATATCAATCACCGTCTAAATTTGGCTTTCTTGACTCACCGAATACTAGTTGCGCAGATTGCATTGAGAAGGTGCTGTGGAACACTGCCATCGTGTATCCTGCCTCTGAATGTTTCCTCATGGATATAGGAATGCGGTTTTTTGTTCACACGGGTAAAATATACATCCACCAGGTGGGGAACATAGTTGGCATCCATATCGACGCTATAATGTCGCCAGAGGCATATAGTGTTAGCTCAAAACCTTCTCGCAAATCGGAACTTTTATAAATGTACCTTATAGGGGTAGGAGCCAGCTCTGGGAGTTCCTGATCCATGATCACATTTTCTTCTTCGTGCTTTAGCCCCGGCTCCTCTCTTGTAGGATGCGAAGCTGTCGCAGAAGGCGGGGTGACTAAAGCAGCTGTATGACCATTCGCCTCGGCTTGAGCCAGTTCATCCGAGGTTTTATCTTCTTCACCCGAGCCTTTTCCATCTTCTAGCCGTTTTTCTCTATTCAACCAGGGTTAATATCACTTTCTACTTTGCCTAAGTATTCTCTTGCAAGCTCTGAAACTCACAAATGACCAATGCGCCGTAGTAAGTCCTCGAGAAGCTCGGTTTTCGGGCCACTAGATTTTTTGGTTGTGTTGTTAGCCGAGCGGGCTTGACAGGGTGACAAACGCCAGCCAGATTTTATCGCGCATACCGTTTGCGGGGAACAGCATCTGAACGAAATGCGGAGGAGAATGTCAGCTCCAAACCAGAAGAAAATATCTTTAATCTGAGAAGTATTGTAAATAGAAAGGCTTACCGTAGATGCATTCACAGTGAAATACTTCACATGAATTGCATTTTGGCCGTGTTCTACTGCATTTTATCTGGAAAAGAAAATGGCTTGAGTGTCAGATAAAACGTGCGCCGTTTGACAAAAAACCCACATGGCTGCTGCACCCAGACTTTGGGCTGCAGAGCAGCGCTGGGGGCTGTTAATTGTACGTTTGGAAGCCAACGAACCTTTCGTTTCCGACAGGATTTGCAGTTCATGGCCTCCTTCTCTTCGCTCGCCGACTTGCGGCTTGGGAGCTTCGTGATAGCGTAGACATTTCCGTTTCCATTCCCATTTCCATTCGCAGGGCGAGACATTGCGACCGAACCATCGGCAATGACGCCCTCGTAGCTGCCGGCTATCGACTCCAGTTTTGTGCCTGCTTCTGAATCCAATTTGCAATTTTTGAGGTTTCGAGGACGCTGTTTGTGCGATCCTCTTCTTCTGTAAATACTCTGAGTGGGTTCTGGTCTCTGATGCTCAATAAATTCGTATGAGACGTAAAATCGTTACTCTGTTGATTTCTAAGCTGCTGCTGGCAGCTGGTGGGGGCGTCGCAGGTTTGTAGTAGCAATCGATAAGACGCGTGAGAATGCAATATCGACGGTTCAATCGTGAATTTCGCTCCAGAGCTTCAATCGCTTTTGTCGACGTTGATTATCACCATCTGCGAATCTATTGTTTACTCTTGAGAGGGGACTCCAAAGTTTTCTGACCAAGCTATCGCAGTGAAACTGTTAAAGAAAGCAGTGAAAGCGACGCCTAGATTTCGGATTGACAAGCCCGGCCAGAAAATGCGCAACCGCAAAGGGGGAAAGAACAATGTGACTTCTGAACCCTTGATGCCGAATATATTGCTTGGGGGACCCAGATCCTAGAGATCAACGACCAAAAAGGGTCACGTCGAGATTCCTGCTCCCACGGCTATATGGGGAACCAACGGCAAGGGCTCCGACGTTTGTTACAGTTTCCAGCCCAAGAAAACGAGTGGACGCGGACAGGCCAAGCGCAAACGAAAAAGAAAAGAACCAGGGCGTACCAAACGGATGTCCAACTCGAGAGGAGGCCGGGAATATGTCTGGTTCTGTATGTAGGTATGACGATTTCGCCTAAAGTGACTGTTGGGATCCCAAATTCACCTCCGTTGGTATTGTTATGAGAATGAGGGAGACTTCACTCGTCAGGAGGTTTTTCGGGGATGTATATTTCTTGGAGGAGGTTACAACGAACAGACTTTGGCTTCGCTCGTTCAATTCAGGCCTCCGCGAGATGATAGTGCACTAAAGTTAAGTTTCTTTTTATGGTTTTTCGAGGCAACGATGGAGAGCAACCACCAGACTTATTTCAGTAACATGTACTGGAACGACCATGGGGTTGCAGCTCGTCTCCCCGGATCTCTCGATTTTCGCTGTTTGCTGGGCTGCGGCGTGATGGTGTGGAGCAAAAAGCCATCTCCTAAGCCGTCCATGGGCAGGGACCTTGGAAGAAATTTTGGACAGGACCATCAGGTGGAGCCGGTGCTTTATAACGGAACAGGGATCTTAATGATGCTGCACGGTCCGGGGTCAGCATCGAATCTAGCTCATGCATTTGCATTCCTCCTCCTCCTCTTCTCGATGTGTGCGGTGCGTAACTTGACTAACCACATCTCAGCAGGACACTATGTATAAACATCCTTCTCGACAAGAGTGCATGGACGCCCACCTTAGGATTAACCGGACTGTAACATTTGCCGATGCCATGTATTAATATTGGGATATATATACAAACCATCATACATGAGAGATGGACACAACCGGCCAGCTGAAGCCGGCCGCGGGCCAAAAGTTATAGAATGTCGATAACACGATAATATTGGCAGCATGTGCCTATACAATCGTCGGGGTATTTTGCTATATGCTTGGCCTGACCGCCGATTTTACGACCCCGAAGTCGCACGAGGAACGAAGCGTAGAACATTCATTAGCAATCCGGGGACTCCACCTTTGGATGCACGGATTCAAACTTTGGTTCTTGGCGGGTTGGCATGGAGGGTTGGACTTCTCATCTCTACATGTTTAAAGTTTCTGGATATCTCTCCCAACCTATTTCAGGACTATGAGATCGCACCGATATCTTCTGCAAATGGATACCGCTACGCTACTAGAGGCTGTCTCAAATTTGCAATCTTGGGATCTCTCGCTAACCGGGTTCGGCAGGCTAGCATGCTGTTCTGTAGATCATACTCGACAGAGGCCTTATGACAAACGAAACGGATATTGCCATTCACCATAGATACTTAAGTATATACTTACATATGTGCCTATTGTCATTGTAGTAGTATTCGGCGGAAAAGGTATCGAGCCCTTGTCTTTCTTGAACTAATTGTTGTATTTTGAACCCCTCGTCTCGAGTCGCGGACGGAGGGGTTCTCGATTCGCGCCGGCTAACACACGTCTATATTTTGCAAGGCATGACCCCTCAACGTTCTTTGATAGCTATATGTCTCAATTCATAAAGGCGGGGAGTGCGGAGCCCCGGCTTGGGGATGTGGAGATGGTATGATGTCTCAACGAGCATAAGATGATCGGTTGTGGACTCAACAGCAGATGTAAGTATGCACATGTATCTAACGAGCGCTATTTGTCGACGGAACATACCCCAGCCCTCATGTATGAGGCTTTCCTTTGGACAGCTGCATGCAGGGACCTAGCCCGCAATAACGGTTAAAGGCTATGATAAACCTGGCCGTAGTGTAGCCGATGCGTGGAGGGGTGCATGATGAGCTTTGTGGTGGAGCTGGGGATCAGGAGAGGTTAAAGGGAATCCCGGCCCGTGGTTCATCCACCAATAGGAGCTATAAGTATTTTTATTCATCTTTGAGATGAATATAAAATTTTTCTTTTCTTCTCGTGCTGCTCCACCAAAGATCAGATGTATCGATAGTCACGACGACAGATTTGAGACCCGCCACCCCGAGGAAAACCTGTACGCGCGCGTGCTACTAAGAGTGGTGATAGTGCATTTACATTTGTTTCGACGATACCCATCGTACTGATTATCTATACGGACATGTCACAGCTCGGATGATAGATGATGTAGTAATGGTAAATTGAGCAGGCAGTTTCTAGCCGGGTTTCAGAACAAGACCGTCTTTGCTGTTAATATATCAAAGCGCACACTAAGTCGACTGTTTTTGTATGTATACACCCGCATATCTGAAAAAAAATGGTGTTAAAATTTTTTTATCATTCCTCGAGAACAGTTGGAGGGATTCTTACAATCTTGAAAGACCAACGAAGTTCCCAAAATTGTAAAATACCTCAAACATTGCGAACCTTGCGCAAAACCATTGGCGGATATCAAGCTTTCAGCCTAGAAGTCCCATATCAAGCCATAAAAATCTTGTTCTACTGCCTTGGCCTGGTTGTGGCATACCAAGACACCCACGTATTGGCAGTAGGCATGGAATAAGAAATCAGACGAATCTGTGACGTCTGTATCTTTTTCTGGGTACATAGAAGTTGTGATCCCCATACATTACTTAGCCAGCACTCACATCAAAACAAATGCATGCAAGTTCGAGAGCGGAATAAAACATACCTTTTGAAGCCCTATTACATTGGAACCTTGGTTCTCGTTGCCGGGGTTGGCTCGGAGACATGCTGAGCAACTTGTGGGGTCGGCTAAAGACGCTGTTCCTTGTATAATTGGGATGGCCTTATTGGTGGGAAATTAAGAGCATCAGCGCCGGAACCAGCGGATTCTACCCCGGACTCGCCCAGCTCACCCAAAGAGGCTATCGATAGTGCAAACCGGACAGCGCTGGCCTGTCGCCGGACTGGGGTTCGCCACGACCCCAAAACTTTGGTCGCGAGTGAGAGCCTTCGAGTTTCAACGTGATTCCTTTGTCGACGGTTTGCATTTGATCGCAAGTAATAATAGCAATCGGTATGTTTCCTCGCTTCTTTCGACTATCCCGCCCGTTCTAATCCGTATCCCCGCATGTTAGAGTCCGGATTTTATTTGCTGTGCGACGGTTCAGGCGCTCGGTCCAGCCCTGTTAACCTCAATATCGGAACTCCGGCTGGCTTGTCCCTTAGTTGAGGGCACGATTTTCCAGAACACCATCCTGAACTGCTTGGCTCTCTTCCATAACCACGTTTCTTGTATATCGATTGCAGAAGTTCTGCCGGCATGCCCTGCGACTGCTCCCAGCTGTAGACGTTAGCAAGCTGGCTCTTTTGTATCAGGGTCAACTCTCCCGGCTATTGAATATTGATATTGCGGTAATTCGTAGCCCAAGGTCCGCCTTGGTCGTCAAAGGGCTCATCTTTATTCCGGAGTACCTATCCCTATCAAAATACCGAAGCTATTCGATTCTCGAAAACCCCCGTCATTCATCTTAGTACTTCGTCAAGGACGACAGGCCCACAATGGCGTCGGTAAACACCTCCAGTATGGCGAGCATTCGTGCGAATCTGCCACATGAAAATAGTATCGCAACCTTCTGCTTGTCTGGTCCTTTAGTCGATAAGTTGAAGGCAATCGCAGAAGCCGGGTTTCGAAGTGTCGATATATTCGAAGATGATTTATTACAATATCCAGGTCGTCCGAGCGAGATTGGTACTCTATGCAAAGAATTGGGGTTAAAGATCTCCATGTATCAGACATTTCGAGATTTCGAGGGCACTGCTGCTCCCGAGGCATTTGAAAAAAACATGCGAAGGTACGTTAATAATATATACCACGTCCATCCGTATCGGTTTTTCCGCCGTGTTACCTATTAACTCTGAACTTGCCTTAGACTTCAACAAAAGTTCAACTTTATGGACCAAGTCGGGGCCGAGCTTCTTCTAATCTGCTCCTCTTGTTCTCCCACGTCCGTGAGTATATGCTACCCATTGATCTGTAGCTACAATTAAAGTATAATACCAACATTGTCCATAGTTAGCTAACCTAGAGAGGGGTAGATTGGTGACCGTACCAGAATTGTTCATGATTTGAGACTTGCTGCAGAACAAGCAAAATTACAAAATAAAAGGATCGGATACGAAGCTTTATCTTGGGCAGAACATATTGATACGTGGCAGAAATCTTGGGAGGTGGTTCAAGAGGTTAACCATGTAAGTTCTTTGTCAATTCATCATCTATCGGGATACCCTGTTAGTACGCGGGAGACCCACCACAGATAATTCCCTCTGCAGATACGATGATGCCACTACCATTGGACAAAATACCCCCATCCAAACTATCCGGCGAAATTCAGTGGCCCGCCTATCTGACAATCTGAGTAGCCTAATCTAGGTTTGATTCTTGATACTTTTCACATATTTTCTTCTGGAGGCGACTATACTGGTCTGTCATCTGTCCCTGGTGATAAAATCTTTATGGTTCAGGTGGCAGATGCTCCAGTTCTTAACATTAGTGTTCTTGATTACTCTAGACATTGTCGTACTTTTCCTGGTCAAGGATCTTTCCCGATAGTTCCCTTCATCAGGGCCGTCGCCCAAACAGGATATCGGGGCCCACTTTCTCTCGAGATCTTGAACGACGATTTCCGTGCAGCATCTGCGAAAGTTGTGGCCGCGGATTGTATGAGGAGTATGACGTTAATGCAAGGAGACATCTTTGGAGAACACCTCCTTCCTCCACTCCCAAAACTCTTTGGTGTCGAATTCATTGAATTTGCCATCACTGAGAGTCATCTTTCTGAGTTGGAAGAGTACTTGCAGGATCTAGGGTTTCAGAAGTTTGCAAAGCATAGATCGAAGAATGTTCTGTTATATCGCAGTGGCAACGTTTCCATCGTTCTAAACTATGAACCGGAGTCACACGCCTCCTCGTTCACACTGCTACATGGGGATTCGGTCTGTGCGATGGCTCTCCGCGTGGATAATGTTATGAGGACACTGCACAGGGCCGAGATTTTGGGGCTTTCTATTGTTCAGCCGTTGAAGCTTGGCCCTGGGGAAGCAGCCATACCAGCTGTGCGGACGCCGGACGACACACTTTTTTATCTGGTGGAAAACGACAGCTTCTGGGCACAGGATTTCTTACCATGTCAGCCAAGTAGTAATGGTGCCGCTACGCATTTTGCCGGTTACGTTCCAACTTTTGATGGCATCGACCATGTCTCCCAATTCCTTGATCGGCTATCCATTGATCAAATGGTTTTATTTTTGAGGTCCACGTTTGGGCTAATCAACCACGAAATCTTCCAACCTGAAGACCCTTTTGGTGCACCAGCTACAAGAGCTTTAGTATCTGGCTCAGGCTCAGGCTCAGGCTCCGCTCGTTTCCTCCTTCGCGCCCTAGACGAGAAGAACTTTAATGTTAGTAAATTAGCACGAGGTTCCCCGGGATGCGTCGTCAATCATATTGCCTTCTCCACCAGCGACATATTCGAAACTGTCGATAGAATCCGACGGACCGGCCATACAAGTCACTTCCTCCGCGTTCCTTCTCACTACTACGACGAACTTCATCAACGATATGACCTTTCTCGGGATTTTATCAAGAAACTCCGGATTCACAACGTTCTCTACGACCGTGATGAAAAGGGAGAGTATCTCCATCTCTCCACCGACCAATTCCATGACCGTTTCTTTTTTGAAATCGTGCAAAGAATCAATGGATATGATCATTTCGGGGCTGTCAACTCGAGTCTCAGGATGGTGGTGCAGTCTGAGAGGAGAATGCTAAATCAGACCGTTCGCTCTCGCGTCAACTCCCCAGCGCCTTCGAGGTCTGCCTCTCACGAAGGAGCCCTACAGATTCGCTATCGAGTCATATTGGTTCTGTTCAATACTGGCTGCGAAGAAATCGTAGATGTTGTTGCAGATGTCTTAGGCAAGCCGAAGGTCATTGTGACTACCGCTAGTGAGCTTAGCCAACTCGACGGCCATCCAGTCGTTGGCATACCCGCCTCCCTCGCAAATGGTCCTCTCCGGAACGAAATTCTCCAGAGAGATCGAAGCCAAGTGCTCCTCATCAATACCTATGCTGTTGATGCGAAGGACGACGGAAATTTACAGATGTCTGATGACGCGGATTTCGAGTACTTGTACCCATCTCGGCGCATTTCGAGGCGAGATTTGACACGATTTATATCATTCATCTTGGGCCAGTCAAACAAGCATGCTGAGATTTGTAAAAAGTCGCGAAGCGTCTGTTTAGCCCTTACATTCTCTGATGTTAGAATTGCACTCGCGAATCTTGATATCTTAACGGTTGGATCGGATAGTATTGAATTCCGGGCGGATTTGTTGAAGGAACCTGTTGGAGGTGGGAAATATTCAGACATACCGAGTATCAAGTACGTTGGAGAGCAGTTGATGGCCCTGAGACAGGCTACTGAGCTGCCAATTGTTTTTACCTCTAGATCTTCACGAGAGGGCGGAAGGTGAGTTCTTCTGTCGACAATTTAACATTCTAATCATATAATGCTCACTCAATGCGTTTCAATAGCCTTCCTCTGGACTCCGATTACGCTGGATTCCACTTTTATAAGAAAGCTATCCAATGGGGTTGTGAATATATCGATGTTGAGGTGCGAAATGACGAGGAGATCCGCTCCGACCTTGCTACCCGGAAAGGAAATACCAAGATGATCGTTTCCTACCATGATCACAGTGGCCGTTTCAAGTGGACAGGCAGCGAGATTCACAGACGCTATCACGAAGCCCGAAGACACGCAGATATTGTCAAGTTTGTAGGTTTCGCTAATAGTCTTTCTGACAACTATGACCTTGAGCATTTCCGCTCCAGTGTCGAAGCTTCTTACAACCATCCCTTAATTACTCTCAATGCCGGCCAAGTTGGTCAGCTCTCTCGTCTTTTCAATACCTTCCTAACTACCGCGACACATCCACTTCTTCCTATTGCAGGTGCACCCGGCCAGTTGAGCGCAGCCGAGATCAATGGTGCACTGCATATCATCGGTCAGCTCCCAAAGAAGCACATATACAGCATCGGTACCCCTCGCGCTGTCCCAATGACGCAGTTCTTCGAAAAGTGCTTCAAGGAGCTTGGCCTACCACATAACTACTCTTGTTTGGAAAGGATATCAGAGCACTCGATCTATTCTTTCAGTCAGCAACCTTATTTCGGTGGAGCTATCCTTGACCCTCCTCTTTTGTCAAAGCCTAGCTATATTCATGAATATACTAGCGCAGCTCGCGGAACTGGTATCATCGATACAATCTTCGTCCAACGAGAAGGGAACCAACAGACTCTCGTTGGCGACAATGCATCCGCTAAAGGTATCAAACTCGCTTTGACTCGTGAGTTTGCACCAGCAGCTTTCGACGAGAAACCGGTCCTTGTCGTCTCCAATAGCTTCGAGGAAGCCGCTGCCGCCATCTATGCCCTTAGAGAACTCGGTTGCGGAACACTCTACACCGTTGGCTTCAAAATTCCTCAAACCAACGAGGCGGCTGCAAACGCTGAGTATTGTAATTCTCAGCAGATGGTGGAAAGACTTGCACATCCGTTCGTAATGGTCTCGGCGGTCTCGGCGGAGCATGCTTATGTTATCCACCCACTACTCCGTATTATCAACAGTCACAGTCAACCGATCCAAGGCGGGAAGATATTCTTGGACTTAAGTAACGGTCCTAAGCGCGGTGATCCCCTTGGCGTGGCAGCTGCTACCGGGTGGACTACTTTCGGAATTGCGGATGTGGCTGCATGGACTACTGTCAGACAATTGCAAAACTTGGTCGGTCAGAGTGTTCCGTATGATTTCGTGAGAATGGCAAGTGGTCGTGGTTTGTTCTAGGTGGTAACTGTATTCCTTTCTCTTTTCCTCGGGCATTTCTTTTTTAATGGGGGGATCCTTTATCCGGATGATGGATGGTATATGTGATGTAAGATATTGGAATATTTCATTTCTTGTCGTTAAAATTATTTTTGTGGCTTCTTAATATTCTATACCCTCCTTTGCAGCAGCTTCGCGCCAGCCATATTGCAAGAGCCTTTTAGTACCCATTTTGATGTTGATCAACTTTCTTTTTGTATACCCTTGAAACATACTCCTCTAATTCTGTTCAGTTCAATCTCAATTACTTTGCGATTGCCGAGTCCGATATTGTGATACGACTATCAAATCTGTGTAACCTAGCGCTGTTAAATTTTTTATTTTTTATTGGTAAATCATTTGATTAATAGTATCCGTGGAGTATTAAGTATTTCTATTATAAGAAGTTAAGTACTGGAGCGTAGTTATGGTACAAAGGGATAGAGTGATTGTTGTGACCAAGATCTAGCATAAAATCCGACATCAATTAATTAACCAACGTCTTTCTAGACATTCGGCCAGTCCTGTGTATGATTTAGTTTAATTGCCAAGTCATTGGAGCTTCAAAAAGAGAAAAAAAGAAAAAGGAAAAGAAATGCTTTTTTGTTGCGAAGGATAAAATGCACAACCTTTCTATCAACCGTGGAAATAACGCCTGTCTAGGAAGATCTAACCTTACCACGCCCCAAAACACGCATTGCAATATCAAACCATTGCAAGTCCTCAGGGGATATCCCAACGTCGATATTTTTCCATTTTTGAGCCGTCAGGGAGCGGATTTGATTCCGAAGTATACGGATAGCAACCATTCCCTTCCAGCTTTCAAATACAAAACGGATACGATTACCGTCAATGATCATAGCACCAGCGTAGAGCTATAATTGATGGTAAAATATCAGTATAAAAAATTTCCCCAAAATAGATGCATGATAGTATGAGAGAGAAAAAAACTTACCTTAAATTCGGCATCACCACATAGCAATGCTAACACGATATCATTCACCCGACTTGTTTCATACGCATCGTAATATTTGCTGCTTGATTGAAAGATATTGTAATACGATAGCCAATCGATGCGATTGTTCTTCCGATTCACCGAAGTAACCGCAACGTTAAGACTTTGATTGTTCGCGATGTTCTTCCACCCCTTGCCATCTCTTGAAATAATCTTTGGGTAGAACCCAGCGGCAATGGTAGAACAAACAACGTCGTCGTTTTTACTGTTAAAATCATATCGATCAGGCGCGGTGAAGAATTGGGTCTTCCCACGGCGCAAGTATCTGGCTCTGTTGAGACGAACACGTTCCTCGGGTTCCAGTCGCATGATACCGCTGTCCGCGAGGGCCACGAAGAGCTGGGTCTTCATTTCTTCGATTGCGGCTAAGTTTCGGAAACTCAAGTAGTTTTTGTTACAAAATTCAAACTCGTTTACGCCTTTCGTTTCGACAGCTCGGCGCCAACCACTGTAGGCAGAGTAAGTAGTGAGAAGATCGGAATCCCCTGTTTTCCAGGTAAGTCTAATGGCTTCAGCCTGCTCACGCTTGCCAAATGGTTGGACCCATGGAGATTTCGAGGAAAGGATAGCTGCAATTGTTACGCAGACATCCACGCAGCCGTAGAGAGAGCTTAGTAGGAGAAGCTTGCCGAGGTAAACATCGAGAGGGAGTTGAGCTAGGTGTCTTCCCAACGGCGTTAAATCCTCATTTGGTGTCAATGCTTTAACCTATAGGTTGTTAAGGAGTAAGCAACAGTCCTCTTCGAAGTTGCGTTCCGAATATACATACCTCCAACAGAGAATCTATTGCTCGGGAGACATTCTTGGGTGTGGGAGGGTCAAGAGCTGATGACAAAGTTTCTTCAATCCCTCCTAGATTACATATCTTGATTCGTAAAACAAGGTCTTGGAGTGAAAGCCGAAGCATTTCTGGGACTTGCTGTTCTGGGAACTGTATTTTGCGTTAGATAAATATATACTGTAATATCTGATAAGGGCACTTACATAGCTATTAAACCTCTCTTGCGTCACAAGATGGAAGCACAGCCCTTCCTGTACTCTACCAGCTCTACCCCGTCTTTGTTTCGCATTGGCTTTTGAGATGAAGGTTTCAATCAGTCTTGACAATTGTTTCTTTTCGTCGAATCTCATTTCCTTGGATTTGCAAGTATCAATGACACATGTGATATCTGGAATTGTGATACCCGTTTCTGCAATATTGGTGGCAAGGACAACCTTTCTGATGCCCAGTTCGGGTAGCAGGAAAGCCTGTTCCTGTTCTTCTGTAGCGATCGTGGAGTGTAGTGCATGAACCACCCAGCCGTTTTGAAAGTTGGGGTCCCCTAGCAAAGTACTGTGAAGTTTTCTTATCTCGCTGAGACCCGGCAAGAAGATCAAAATAGCCCTGCTGAAAGGAACATAGCCAGGGTTCGTGGCAATGCTAGCCAAGAGTTGTACAATAAGATCATAGTTGATAGTCCACTCATCAAATCGAGCCATCGTTTTGCGTGTTTGCGTGCTGTAACCTTCATAGCTAGACGCCGATGCCGGTCCGGTTTCTTCACCCGCATCCAAATCAAAGTCGTCAACTTGGCGGCGGTTGCGGCGAACAGAATCATCTGAGAGGATGAACCCAGAAAGCTCGACCGCATCCTCCAAATAGAAGGTTTGGACTGGGAATGTTCTCCCTGGGATCTGGAAAACCGGGGCGTTGTCTAGGTAGTCTGAGAATTTTTTGGCATCGACAGTTGCAGACATTAGGATTACTTTGAGGTCCTGTCGCACAGCAAGCAACTTTTTGAGGACAAGAAGCAGGAAATCGCTTTCAATTGACCTTTCGTGGACTTCATCGAGAATCAAATGTGTAATTTCTCGAAGATTATTACCACGCTCTAGCATGCGCATAACAATACCAGTCGTAGCATAGATCAAGCGTGTTTTCGAAGTGAACTTTCCTTCGAGCCGAATAGAGTACCCAACAAGGGAGCGATTGGTACCTAGATCCGTTCCCATTTCTCCCAGCTCCTCGCACACTCTCTTTGCCAGAGATATAGCCGAAATACGTCTTGGTTCCGTAACAAATATGCGACACGACTCTCCGGCAGCAAGGCAGCTCTCGAGAATATACGCAGGCAGCTGAGTGCTCTTTCCGCACCCAGTCTCACCACAAACAATAGTGACCTGGTTTTCACTAATTGCTTGGAGAAGCTGCTCTCTATAAGCCCAGATAGGAAGTCCCATCCTCCCTTGGAGCATGTAGTGATACATCGGATTCGTGATCTTCGCTTCGTATGTGCTTCGTATTTGCTGCATCGTCATGAATTCCAAAGATTCGTAAAATATTTTCTTTCCATCCCCAACTTCAGCTTCTAGGTTGATTCTACCCTTATCTTCTGGAGGGCTTGCATCTAGCATGATATCCTCCGTCGCACTTCGTACCCACTTCAGCAATTTTTTCTCATTTTTGTCAGCCTCCAGTTTTGCTTCTGCTAGCAACTCCTGCCAGTACCCTCTCCAAACGCTATTTAGACGCAAGTAGAGCTTTTCTTCAGGAAACAGTTGATAAAGAACAACGGTAGCCAAGAAAAAATCGGCTTGTATTTTCGTAGGACACGAGATATTAACCATCCTAAATCGTGTTGTAATAGATCTTCCATCATGAGATTTGAGTGTATGAATTGAGTAGTATACGTCCTTTCTTTCTTGTCCCTCTTCGTCGGTCTCGCTGATTTCCGATGGAAATACTGTAGGCAAGTTTCCCGACAACGGCCATGTAACGTAAATCTCAGACTGGAAATTCGCACTATTGCTAATATCCCTGGTGCTAACCTTAGCGCCTGCGTAACGGCCGCTCACTGCTTCCTCAAGAATCTTCTTCGAAGATGGATTTATCTCCGAGGGTTTCCCAAAATCTCTGACAAAAGAAGTGGTATTAGTTGACGGCTTAGGATCTTCGCTCCCTGGTTCCGCGTTGAAAATGGTGCCGAAAGCCCCGCCATCTGTACTGGAAGCGCTAGCTCTACTAGATGCCCTGCTTCTGTTGCGTCCAAGCTTAATACCTCCAAACCCAGTCACTATTGCTTCGTCACCCGAGTCTCCATTAACACTACCTGCACCGCTTCTAGAATTGCTTCCGGTTCGCTTATTTTCACCGGTGGCGGCTTTCCTCGTCCTTGAGCGGGCCATGGCTGTTGATCTTTGTTTCTCTTCTTCGACCTCTCTTTCCCAGAGCTCAGCAGCCTGCTGTTGGTCGAATAATGGATCCGTTTTGAGCCTCTCTAACTTGGATATTAAGATCGATAGTTGCTGAGAACGCTCCTTTGTCAGGGGCACAGATTGAGAGATAGAGACCCCGGCATTCCCTTTCTTCTTAGACTTTTTGGAGAACTCTGCGATCCAAATTCCTGTAATGCGACTTGTTTTTCGCATATATCTAAGATACTGCGATACCAGTATGGCAGGATCTAGGTTGTCTTCCTCGTATTCGCTCTCTGACGAAATATCATCTTCTAGCTTTTCAACAGGTTCCTTTGATAGAGTACCAGTGGGGGCCTCCGAAGATACATCGGCAGGTAGTGTATCCAGAAGCTCTCTACCTCCAGCTTTAGTAGGCGCGTCGCCAGTGGCGACTTGAAAAAGTTGTTGTCCATTTTTAGGAGGCCTAGAATTTGGGTTATTAAAGCTTGGGAGCTGATTTTCCGGGTAGAATAGAATCAAGTATTCGATGGCATCTTCTGGGGCTGAGATCCCCAGCGTGATGACCTCTTTGATATGTGACTCTCTAAACCCAAGGTCTGATAGAGTATGGTAAAGCTTCCAGACTTCGAGGGAGTATGCTGTCTCATCAGACGCCGTGACCGTATGCTTTGCTCCCTCACTCTCTCGGTGCATCTGAAGAATTTGTTCGACATCTTGCTCGTCTAACCAGTCCGAAACGTTGAAAGAAGTACACCCGGTGTTCCCAGTAGCTCTCAGAGTCCGTCTCTCTCCTTCGTATTTGGTGACCACTCTCCTTGCTTCCCGAGATACCTTATCACCATTTTTCTCAAGAAATTCCTGAAGCTCATTATCTTCAAGTTGTGCAGCGTAATCCTCCGGACTAAGAAATTTTCCATTTTCCGCTTCCGAAGTCTTTGCCGCAGCCAATCGCGCAGCCTCCTCCTCGGCCGCGGCAGCAGCAGCTTTTTTCTCTTCTTCTTCAGCCGCTAATCGTGCCTTCTCTTCCTCCGCTTGTTGTAGTTTGGCCTTCGATGGCAATGACGTTGTCATGGGCGCCCTTGCGGGGTTCGCAGGCGTCTTCCTCTTTGATCCCTTTTTTGGTGGCATCGTGAACTGATTTTGGCACCAGTCGGCCGTTACCACTACCTTATCACTAGTCGATACTCCGGGCGATAATAGCAGCTAGCTAGTAGCCAAAAAATGATCTCAAAATAAGTAATATAGACCCGTCGCGTAAAAATTATGATTGTTAACAATTGTTAACGTTGATAAAAAAAAATTCTGATGTAGTTAGGATGGAAATTTCGAAAGAAAAAAAAAGGTCTATGGTTTCCTTTTCAACCTGTCTTTCAGGTTATAAATATCAGAGATTGATCCACGAGGTGTCTGAGAAATGTTTGCCATCGCTTCCTTGTCAACCGCTGCAATGATGAGTCTTTTGGGGGAACTATTTGATGTCTTGATTCAGGCAAGCTATGCAACTGAGCTTATGCGCATCCCTGTCGGTCAGTTGGAGGTTCATTCAATTTTGTGAGTCAGGCTGCGTTGCCAGCTGCTTTGTGGAGGTTGATTAACGATGCAACGCATAGCTGTTCAGAATGCAACAAAAGGACAGATATCGGGATATTTTGATATCGAAGGTTCACTAAATTTAGTGAATAATACTCTATAGATTAGTCTCGTTCCCAGTGATTTTATTTTCATGTTCGAAGCTCTTCGATTCTAAATTTTCAGAATACAAGTATTGTATTCATTTTTATTAAACTTCTGAAATTAGTCCTCAATGGCAATTAGGATTATACTGCCATGCTATGGGGATTAATATTAGTCTTTATAAGCAAGTCGGCGCCCTTGAACTCCACTATCTATTCAAATATCACAAACTTCTACGCTTCTATCACTGATAATCTCAAATATGTCTGTGTATACATATCCTCCATAAAACTACCAACCATTTTCTTCCTTAATCCTTTTTAATCTGATCATCATCCAGCTCCTCGTCCTCCTTAAGAACGCACAGCTTCCTCTTCGTCCCCAAAGACGCCTTAAACCCCTCCAACTCCACTTTCTTACCTTCAATCGCAGTCCCAACACTCCCCACAAGCTCCTTCATAAAAGCCCTCAGACATTGATTATGAGGGACCCTTACAGACCTAATTTCATCCCAATAATGTCCTATCTCAATGGCTTTAATCCGTTCGCTAAGTTCGTATAATGATAATGCATCACTTTTTTCTTTGACTGGGAAGATCCCTTTGTAGTGTAAACGACGGATGAATGAGCCGTATAGTGCGATATCACAGATCGTGCAGTCGTTGAATTTTTTGCATCGGCTTGGGTTGCTGTAGACGAGACCGAAGGTGTAGCCTTTGATTCGGTCGTTGACGGATTTGACCAGACCTGTACGTTTTTCTTCCCATTCGGCCATGAAGTGGACTATCCAGAATTTACCTGATTAGATTTCATAAACTGGTTTGTGGTGTTCGAGGGTGGATGGTTTATCTTACTATATAATCGATCCGGAAGACAAGTTGGCCCTTCAACGACCTCATCGTCATCTTTAGACTTCACTTTCGGCTTCCAGATCATCAAATAAGTCCGATAAGCCCGTGGAAAAACCTTCTTAAGGTTAAACACAAACGAAACATAAAGTAACATCTTCGCAATAGCCGGTTTATCACCACCATGAAGTCCATTCCCACTCTCTTCCTCTTCCTCTCCAACATCTTCCTCATTCTCAGGTTGATATTCAAACGAATACTGATAAAACCCATTCCAAAAAGCTTGACTTTCAGCTTCCTTAAGATCAACCGCAAATTCATTGATCAGGGGCTTCGCAACATCGACACAGTCGTATTTATCACATACGAGAGCTAAATGAAATATCTTCTTCAGTCCCAGACGTTTCGGAATACGCTCCTTTTGGAAATGCATAAGTCTGAATAAAATCTCTAACGCTTCTGGATCATCGTCGTGTAAGAGAATGGTAAGGTTACCGTGTTCATCGTTGTCCTTTTTCCAGGGTGAAGAAGGATCAACCATTCTGGCTAGAACGGATGATGCATGACGTAGTGTAGACTCAGACACACGGAAGATATGTCGTTTGGTACCAGAAGAGCTGTTAGCTGCTGATAAGGAAACCTGACAGGTGTGGCTTTTGTCGATATCATAGAACTTGGTGGAGTCGACTACCCCTGCACCGATATCTGAGCGCTCGTTTAGTGCTCTTCGCATCCTTTTGGTTGCCATGTGCACTGAAAATAGTAAGGCCTTCGAACGAGACGCCGAGTTTTTGCAGATTAATTTTGGGCAGATTTAAAAAGACTTTCGTGAATCTAGGTTTATTTGCAGCCTGTAGTGTTTCTGTGGAAGAGGGTGGTTTCTAAAAACAACTATTATATATATATCCTAACTAGGCCACTGTACTATCTATGTATTTAGATGTATACAATTAAATAAACGTATGGAATCATTTATGACAGTGCTAGAATCGAATGGGGGTATGTTATATACAGACCAACAGGGTTCTAGAAGTTATATATTGTAGCTAACTCTAGTACTAGTTCAATAGCATATGATAACTAGCTACATATACCTATATATATATATACAACTTTGTAAGCAATCTCGCTCGAGGCCAGTCTCGAAGGTTATAGTAACAGCGGAACTAATTGGTACCAACGATGGTTTACTAGAATATTCACCAAGTATATGTGTGTGGATAGAAGTCAAATTGGATACTGTAGTACACTGCAGGCTATGCACAGGAGATATCAAGAAGACATGAAAGTGGCGATCTCATAATACTAGTACATATTGCAACATTGGAAACTTCAAAAAAAAAATTTAAAAAAGACTGCCAAAACCTGACAAAAGAGATTCATATCATAAGTTCGTATCGTAATTTCGTAATCGTCAGAAACAAAAAACCCCAAACCTCAATACTAAAAAAGAAAAGAAAAGAGAGAAAAAAAGAAGGGGAAATAAACTTCAACCATAATATCACAATAGGCAACCACCAACAAACATATAAAAATATGGAAGAAACCCCAAAACCTACAAGCTGATAGTCTCACCACGATAACTTCCTCCCGAGTTCCTCCTCTTCATAACCGCTCCTCTTCCTCGCCCAGTAATAGCACCGCCTCTAGCGCCAGTAATCACCCCTCTCTTAGTAATCTTCGTTGGCGCCATACTAAAATCCACCTCCTTCCCCTTCAACCTCGGCGAAGTACTCGCACTCTCACTCTTAACACTCTTGAAACCCATCATCATCCCAATACCAATCGGTGGAGGCTTCCCCTTGACCATCTGAGTACTAGTCTGCGTCCTAGTCGACCTAGTAGTCCTGATACTCACCGAACTCAAACTCCTAGCCAACTCCTCCAACAACTCCCTCTGTTTCCTCTCCTCCTCCTCTTCATTTATCTCCCCAGCCTCCAACTGCTTCAAACTATTCCTCCTACTCTTCGAAGTAGAAACAATAATATCTGCCGAACTAGGCCGTAGGTGTACAGGAATACTCAACACCGGCGAACTAGGAAAATACGCAGTGATCTTCGTCGGAATATACCTCTTGGCAGGTTTGATAACCTCCTCTATCCTTTCGATCTGAATCGTCGTCATCTCCAACTGCTTCCTTCCTTCTTCAACCTGCGCATCAATCGTATTCCTCCACTCTTGCTGCTCAGATGGTGTAACAACCGTCTGAGTTGTGGTGGTCGTGGTAGTGGTCAACGTAGACATCATAATATCGTGATGCGATACATCAATATCAACATCCATATCCATCACCATATCCATATCCACATCCACATCACCGTCATCAATATCGACAATAACGGGCTCAGACGGGAAAGTAGCGCCGACATCTTTCTGCCATTCTGTAGCGGGTTCAAAGGTGGTCGTCGAGCTGGTCCATAAGTGAGACTCGGCTCCGGGTATCGATGTAGACGTCGGGGTCGTGGGCGATTGTGTAGCGGAGACTACTGTAGTGGTGGTTGTAGTGGTGGCGGTGATGGGTTCATTCGAAACAGATAACGACGGAGAACTAGAAATGCTTTTGCGACTGTGCGGATTTTCGAGAATATATATAATATAATGACACCCCCCGGGTCGGGGGGGAAGTCATTGCGGAAGAAAAAAAATATAAGGATATTATTCTTTTTAACACCAAAAATTGCGGACTTTCATGCATGTATCATCTTTTCTTTCTTTCCTTTTCTTTCTTTTCTTTTCTTTCTTATGTCGTCATGGCGGGGTATGTGGATATATACAGACATGCTTAACAGGGGTTTATTTCTGCTAGTTCAGAAGCAAAAACCATATGGCAAGCTGTAGATACCATGATAATGACAATCACGATAACAAATTTAAGGGAATGAATTCAAAAGAGAAAGAAAATGAATGAAATAAAGAAATAAAATATTATAATCCCTTACCTTGCAACGAAATCATCCCAGCCGCTCTCCTCGGCATCAAGAGCGAAAGCTGCCCAGCACATCCTCATTCTATGTGGTAATTCTAACGGTGGTCTGCGGATGGGTTGTCTGTGAACGTAGTGCTTCGGAGCGTGTATATAGAACATGAAACAACAGTTCGGGAAAACTGCTGGTTGAATTCGAAAGTGGCAAGAAATATGAAAATATGATGTATAGATATGGATTCTTTGTTTTTTTTTAATCTTTCTGTCTGTCTGTCTGTCTGTCTTTTCTCTGTAACTACAGCTACTTTTTTAAGTTAATGCGAAAAAAAAAAAAAGGAAGCTTGACGATGATGAGATAGATAGATACAAGTTCCAGTATCCTGAGAAGAGAAAGAGAGAAAAACTGCTCTGGCTTTGTTAATGTCCCAACAGAAAAGCCGTCGTCCAAGTGGTCTGCAGCCCGAGTATTTAAGTGTACTATGGACCCGGTCTCGTGGTTCGAAATCCCGAAATTCTGACGTGGTCACCCACCAAAGCCGAAGGGAAAAGAAAAGAAAAGAAGAAAAAAAAAGAATAAAATGTTCTTATGCAGGTTTCATCACACTAAAAAATAAAAAAAACCAAAGACTAAAAGACAACCCCGACAAAAAAGGTCTGGGGGCGGAGAGAAGAAGAGGGGCAATTTTGGGGCAACATTATGATATGCTGCAAAGTGTGAAGGAAATGAAACAAAAAGAGTCCAATGACCATCGGGCAAAGCTGGATCTCAAACGTGATTGATCAATGGTGACTCCATAGATCTGTCATTGTCTGCCCTTTCATCATTCTATCTTCGAATCCCGGCCGGAACATCCAGAAAAGCAAGTCCAATTCTTTGAGATGTAAGTAAGTAGTATGTCAGTACTTTGATCCCCACAAGCTAAAAAAGCCCCCCATTTCTTAGCCTCTCGTGATGATGCATGATGCATACATACTAGTACTTCTGATACATAAAGTCTAGTCAACTGCGCCCGAACAGAATCGAAAGGAACAAGCAGAAGAAGAAGAAATAAGTCTTCTTCGAACCTATAACCTTAAAAAAAAAAGTGCGCAGATGGTCACGGGGGTCACAATTCAAAATTGCAAATCCTCTTGCCAGCAAATACAAGATATCCAATCTTACGATATGCACCTGTACCGTCCTGCACTGTACTGCAAATGCAAAGGCAAAGGACTCTGAGCGGAAAAATAAAAAAAATAAAAACTATAAAAAAATAAAATAAATAAAAAAAAACAATAAAAAAAAAGAATGGGGGTGTGCATGAACAGCTGGCGGGACTGCTGTACCCAATGCCATCATCTCACAAGGTCAAATTCCCTGCCGCACTTGCATGAACAAGCTAATGTTGACCTGCAGTCCCCAATCCACACAACGCATTTTCTACCACACAGCACCGCTCCGAGCCACACAGAGCCTGCATATAAAGGCATGGATCAAGGCCCGTTCCTTCATGTAGCACCGTTAACTTTACTTCTTTCCTTAACGTAATTTAACTCTCTCTCTCTCTCTCGACGTATCTAAGAAGCTATTATAACAGGTCCAATTGCATGGCATATTAGATCTTGTTCTCTTTCTCCGTCCTTGACCAAAGCTTATTAATTAATTCGAAGCATAAGATAATGCAATGCAATAGCAGGCGACGTAAGCGCCCTGAGACCATGGCAGTTACCCCATATTACTTAGGTATTCAGTAGGTACTCCCCCACTCCCCATGCCGGCCGTATAGTTAAACTACCTAAGCTAGGTCGGTACTTATGTACATACGAATTGGATTCAATTAAAACCTTAAGCTTCTGCAACGATGCACCCAATCAATAAACCAGGAATACACAAAACTCAAAATGAGGTCCACCTTAATCAATTACTAGCTTAGCTAACGCCCCAGGGCGTGCCAAAAAACCCTAATTAAAGCATTAGAAACCGAATCCCATGATCTCCTATCCCTCCACCCTGCAAATTTGAGCTTCTTCGTGTCCGCGACCGAAATTTACCTCTACTTGAACCCCCAGATCCAATCCTCGGATTCTTCAGAAGCGAGTAGTCGTACAGCCGATCCGCGGCGTCCGGACGCCTCACGGTACTCTGCTCTACCCCCGGCCCTGGTAAACCAGGCGGTCTACTTTCAGCAGGAACTAATGGACAATCTTCCGGTTGAGGTGCCTGGAACCCTCCACAGGTATACCAACAACCCTCCTTAACATTGTTCCTGCAGTGACATTCGTTTACTGGATCATATGTCTCCTTCCTGCAATTATAACTGGCGACGCAACGATCATAGGTACCGCCGATACATTCTTGATTCTGCGAAGAGTCGAGAGGTCCTTTTGGATAACCGGTTGGAAAATAGGGAGTTGCAGGGAATGTTTCTATTGGGGAAGGCTCTGCAGGCCACCCCAATGGCGAACTAGCAGTAGAAGTAGGACTAGAAGTAGGACTAGCAGTAGCAGTGGTCTGTGAACTCGAACAGGACGCTGCAGAAGGCGTGGAAGGCAGAGGAGGCGAACCTGCAGTCTGTTTGGGGGTGGGGGCAGGCGAGGATGAGGCTGATCCTGCAGGAGCATGAATCGATCCCGCAGAAGTCACGGTAGCCATAGAAACAGTAGAACCAGAGTAAGGCTGTTGTGGCGGCCCAGTGGACGCCCTAGCCATACCGTCGTCGTCGTCTTCTTCTTCCTCGTGCGGGCGAGTCTGGGCATGCGGGTGAACAATTACCACAACAGATGCTCCACGAGTAACAGTTTCGGTCCATGAGGTAGCATAGTAGTCATCCACAGACTGGTCCCTTTTTCGGTCCGGGGAATCCCTGTCAGGCGCCTCGTGGGCGAATGAGCAGGAAGAAGCGAGCCCCAGCGCCAGCACAGCGACCTGCAAGAGCCTCATTATTGCAGCTCAGCTAAGGATCGGTAAATGCTTGTCGCGATATCGGATTGGTGGGTCTTTTGGTATATGAATGTAGGTATACTTAAGCAAGCATGTATAAGTATGCACCGACGTTGAAGTCCCAGTGCATTAAAGTACACTGAAGGTAAAGTGTACTGAAGTGAATTGAAGTGAAGTGATTAATAGGATATGACATGACATGACTGGCGACACACAACTTGACTGGTTGGCCTTATGCATCCAAGGCACGCCTAATGACACGGTGCTGTCGCAGTAAGTGACAGCAAAATGTCGGATTAATCAGGGTCGCTCTGGCAGCTGGAATAATGTCTTAGTCGCAACTGTCCGCTGCCCGTATTTGTCAATCTCCACGTGCGATCGATCCACGTAACTCGTGGCAGATGTGTACATCTTCCTGTCAATTGGCACGTTTAATCAACGTGTGTCCATTGAACGTCCTTCCATAATGTTATACCTGAGTATTATGGTCATATGGTAGAGGACTATAAAAAAAGTGCGTGAGAGAGTAGAACGAATTGATAAATTTAATATTCAATCAGAATGATAATTCTACCGGCGTCGGTAACCAGCTATAGATAAGATACAATAATCCAAAATGCCCCAGCCAAAATGCAACATGCAGCACAAAAGCAACTCCACATCAGAATCCCTTTGCCTCCAAATTCTATGAATATGATATGATAAGAGAGAAAGAGAAAGAGACAACCGAGGCAATGCAATGCAATGCACTAGGGAGGATTAGACCACGAATAAAAAATGCATATATACAGACGAAAAAAAAAAGAGGAGGGTATTAATAGTCAAATAATATTACTCTAGAAGTTCTGTTCTTGTCGGCCGTTATGCGTATGAACGAATAAAACAAAAAGCGCGTAAGTGATATATCATGCTTGTGATAAATCAATTGATCAATCAAAATCGACCTTATACCTCTCACGGATCCTTTCACCATATCTAGAAATTGCCCCGATTGATTAGTTAAGTTCAACGTTGACCAGGCACTTAACCAAGAGAGAGAGGGAGGGTGGTGGCCAGTATACTCACTTTTGGAAAAAGAATGGAATCGGAATCATCAAAATCGCAATTCCACCTAGCAAACTATTTCCCGGTCCGACTCCGAGAGCATCGTACATAGGAACACCTGCCAAAGGCAGCAATGCACCGAGCGTAGATCTCAAAATGGTATTGGCGCCAATAGCGCTGGCAGCATAGAACGAGAATGCATCGACGAGGTAACTCTGGATGGGCATAAATGCCGCCAACATTCCGAGACCGACAAAGCTAGTACCAATAATCGGCGCAATCCAGTGAACTCGCTTCTCCGCCGTCCAGCCGTATCTGTAAAGAATATAAAATGATTAGTCAGAGAAATTTAAAAAACGAAAATCGCATATATGTCAAATAGGCATAATGCATGGTGACTTATGTGAGACCCACATGAACATTCCAACCGGAATAAGCCAGGACGAGTATGTAAGCATAGGTAGACGATATTCCGGTTCTACACAAATCGGATGTCAGTAATCTCTCCGGAAAAATAAATGCTAGAACCTGAAAGAAGAAATTCGGAATACTTACTGTCGCCACCGTTCTTCTCCCTGAGTCGGACGTACACCTTATCGTTCAAGACGCCGAAGATGATCAATCCCAAGAAAGAACCAACACCAATCCCCAAATACGACAAGCCCACGGACCCAGTCGAGAACCCATAGAAACCTTGAAAGACGATATAAAACGTGGTGAACAATAGATAAAGGTACCCATAGACAACAGACATGTATAGCGAAAGCAGCAAGATAATTGGTGAAAACACCAACATCTTGAGCGGACGCCAGATAGCCCGGGTGAACACCTCCTTCGTTGGTAAGTCGCTATGGTACATGGACTTGTACTTGTCGGTATTGTTATCTTGATTCAGCTGTCTCGCCTTGTGCCTCAACAATGTCGGGTGATGGGTCTCGTCCAAGACAAATGTAGAAACGATCGAAATGACTCCGAGAGCGATAGCGAGTACGTAAAAGATCCATCGCCAGCCAGCATCAGCTCCCAGGTAACCGCCGGCGATAGGACCAATGATAGGTCCCATAAGCGGTCCCATACCGTATATCGCCATAAACTTTCCACGTTGTTCAAAAGGAATCATATCGGCAATCGATCCACCACCCAGAGTGAGCGGTGCACAACCAGCAGCTCCAGCCAAGAGACGGAAGGCAATCAACATGCCAATCGATGTCGACCGTCCACAAGCAATTGTGAAAACCGTGAAAAGGTAGTTGCAGCCGATATATACCCATCTACGTCCGTATAATTCCGACAATGGTGCAATGATGATAGGACCGACCGCAAATCCAAGTAGGTAGACAGAAACAATGAAAGAACTCAACGTCGTACTCCGATTCTGGAAATCCCTCATAACCTCTGGAATTGCGGGCGCAAACATAGATGAAGCAAGCGGAGTAATCAAAGTGATCAACGAGATGACTCCCATATTCTTCCACTTCCTACTCATCGGCCAGTTCATCGGACTTTCAGGGTCGTCATTACCATGCCATTTAACGACATAAGGATCGTTTTCTGCAAGAGTATCTGCATTCGACATAGAACTCCCAGGGACATCCTGTTCATTCTTTTCCAGATCGGTGCCTCTATTCGTTCGACTCTGGCTCCGTGTAAGGTTCTGAGTATCTTGATCGACCAGCCGTGTTTCTGCTTCCTCCAGCTTTCGATTTTCTGCTTCTAATGATTTCTCCGTGTCCGTCTGTTTGTGATTTTTCTGGCTCCGAGTGGACATATGGGATACCACCCGGTCTAGTTCTGGTAAGGGCTCCATAGTGAATGTTTAAATTCCTCCTTGCCGTTCTATAATGTATTTCTGTTTCAAAACGTCGACTATATAAAAAAGGAGTGTCTATATTTTGGGTTGTCAGTGTTGGGAAACCTCAAAGGGGCAGGGATGTCTCCTCGAGCTCGTACGAAGGTAGAAAGACACAAAGCCCATGATTCGATATCCAAAGACATCGACATCGAGACAAAAACGTTTAAACCAACCATAGAAAAAAAAAAAAAAAAAAAAAAAAAAAACTTAACATTTTCTGTGCAACAATCACTTAAGTAAGTTCTTATGTAATTGCAAACTAAGAAGTACAGATACAAAATAAAAATCCAAAATCTGAACTCCGACTTTTAGTTCCAGAGTGAATGTCGAAAAGGAATAATAGTAAAAACGAATCGAGAATAGAACGTTCCTCGGGAACATCTCCGAAATATATACTACCCTTCATCATGCATCACAAAGAAAAAGAATTAATTAAAATCCGCAAAGTCCACCTATGTGGCCCCAAAAAACCCGTATTCTAACCAACCCGGAGAAATTATATTATATTATCACCAGCAAGTTTCTATCCTTTGCGCGCGCACCCTCAAAGGACCCACTATCGTGTATCAAACCCCCCTAGCTATTTCCAAAAAAAAAGCATGATTTATGATTTATATACACTCAGGTACGAACTAATTGGGATTATTCCCCGTTTAGGCGATGTCAATACCCCTTCCGGTAATCTTCACCGGAACTTCAACGTTCCGGCCAGGCACAACCTCCGTCCACCGATCCTCTCGGATATATCCCTTTCCTCAAAAAAAAACATAAAATATCGTTTTGGGCCATATGAACCCAAACGACTGGTTTCCTATTGATGCCAATGCTTAGGTGATCTAATTTCATGGCAATGACCCCATTTCGTGGCGACCTTGCAGCGCATCCTTCTTCTTTTTTACCAACCAGAGCTTGTTAACCGTTGGGGCCAAGGTGGACGAGGGAAAGCTTATATCACCCTCCTTTCATTTTAAGCTCGTTAGTCAGAAAAGTCGGGCAGTCGGAGCTTCGGATCTTTTGAGATCTGTAGGAGCCGGTGCAGCTCTAACTATCTGAGTAACTATAGATTAGAGATCCAGATCTAACTCGGGTTTAGTAACATTTTAATATATTTATTGATTTCAATTTTACGAAGCTCTCTATCGGGGCGACAAGATATATCGGTCATGAACGAGTCGAGTTTAACCAAAAATGCGTAAAATACCTCGACCGGACATTAGCATTTTTCTAAACTATAACTTACAGTATATAATTATAAAACCACACTTGTCTCCGCGCCGACATGCATCTTCCAAGACCTTCTTCTCCCAAAATATTTCCTTGACCGTTTAAAATCTTTTCAAAAGATTTCCCGCATTTTAACATATCGGCCCCTCGGCCTACCCACACTACTCCTAACATCCGACATATAATATACCAGCACAGGTCTACACCCACCAATTAACAAACTGCGGGGTCCGGCATCGAAGTTGCAATACATACTTACATACGGACATAACATATGCATCGCCAAACCCCCTCCAAAGCTACCCTCGTATTAAACGCATATAAGCCCATGACGAAGTATGTACTTACATTAAGCAGCAAAAAAAAAAAAAAAGACGGTATAAGAATCACACGATATGCCGGACTGCCGTACTCCCGTGCCAGAAAAAAAAAAAAAGGTTTATGTCACACCGCCTCATCGATATACTTGTCACACGTCGTACAATTATCATATCATCTCATATATATATCATCTCTCCAAGGACGAGGCTAACTAGGCTGCAGAAACTTGGTTGCCGGTTCTACCCCCTCCCCCCGGATCCGATTGGAAATCGGTAAGTTTTCGGTAAGGTAGCACAGGAGGTTTTCTACATTTTTTAAACAAGGAAAACAAAAAAGAAAGACTACCAATCGCGAGAATTTTTGTTTAAGTTGAAATTGGCGCTTAGATTCCTATAGGGCGTTTGATTTTATCAATGTATCTATCTACCTAGGTACTAGCTACATAGAGACGTAAGTAACCCTATAGTCATATATTGCAACCGTATATCTAGGATATAAAAAAGTCGTGGGTAAACCTCACACGCATCGATATCATGAGGACCAGCCTCGATGTTTATCATATCACAATATACTAGCCCAATATCTGATGTATTTGTACCAAAAAAAAAAATTTGGGTTTAAAAACATCTAAACCTATATCCTCAATCAGATTCCAGCATTATAAAACCTAGGCTCTACAATCAATCTCAGCATATCAACAATCACCAGGATCATCGAGTATACAACCAATTCCTCAAGTAAGACTTAATCCTCCAAATAAACCAAAGATTCAACATCAACCATCATATAGAAAACCCCCCAAAAAAGCCCGTTCAAGAAAGACAGACAGACAGACAAAATAATGTCAACCAATAAAAGTAAATCAATTGGCAAAAAAATAAAAATATCAGAAAATGTATCTTAGAAAATCAAATGAAATGAAGTTAAAAAAAAAAAAAACTATCCACATCCAACGATCTGGTATCTAACATCCACTGCAAAAGTTGATATCCCCCTTATAAAAGACACCTCATGAAAAAAAAAAGTTCCCCTTAACATCGTAAAACTATCATAGCGCAGCCACACAGACAACTCTACTGTCCATTGCCGCTTCCATGCCATATCCCCTGACCCCCAGAGTATGCACCATACCCTCCTGCTCCACCACCACCGCCGCCACCATTACCTCCTCCTCCACCACCGCTTGACGAACCCTGCGAAAGTCCATAATTATGTCCCCCCTAATGAAAATTCTATTAGCACTCAATATCCCAGTAAAAACTCGAAATTTCTTTTCAAGATTGAAATCCATTACTTACAGCCCTCAAGTTCCCAAGCATAGTCCTCAACGCCGGAACACCCCCTGGTTGAACTCCCTGCTGTCCCCCCTGATGACCACCTATATGTCCACCCATCTGCGACCCTCTTTGTTGCGGCTGCTGCTGCTGCAAATATCCACCCCCCAACCCTTGTCCTCCCAAATGACCACCCTGCTGTTGAACCAACGAATGCAATCCGCTAGGTAGACCACCTAACCCTCCATGATGCCCACCAAGTCCCTGCTGCTGCTGCTGCGTCACATGTTGACTATGCATCTGCGACTGATGGTGCAACAACCCCGGCTGTTGCTGTTGTTGTTGCTGCTGCTGTTGTTGCTGGTGCGATTGCGATGCATGTAGCCCATGACCTCCGTGCCCTATTTGATGTCCCGTCAACCCTCCAAGGCCAGATAATGACCCAGCACTCCATCTATTCTCATTATACATCCCATTCCCACCCTGATGGTTCGAAGCATCCAATTCAGCAGGACCCTGCCAACTCTGCGAATGATGATGTCCATGTGATGACTGTTGCTGCTGGACCTGCTGCTGGACCTGAGACTGTTGTTGTGGCTGTGGAGGCGCCGGCGCATAATGCTGGCTTGAATGTTGACTTGCGTGCTGGTTCGAATGTTGTTGTCCCGAGGCAAGGGAGCTAGGTAATCTAGGATCCTTCTCGAACGCCGAAACCATCGCATTCAACCGTCTAAGGATATCGATCAGATCCTCTTGTATGCCCGCCAACTTTGCGTTCTGCTCCTCGCGCAACCTCTTCAGCTCCGGTGGCCACACTTTTCCAAGCCCAGCCGAACAAGCATTACTCGTCTGAGACGGCGAAGTAACTCCAGCTGTCTGTGCATGTTCCTCCGCCACCTGCAGAGAACATTTGGCTTCACACATCTTGATCTGTGGTTTATTTTGGAACTCCATCGCCAACTTCATCAGCCCGAGCAGATCACTCATATTCTGCGTTCCATCCCTTAGTAACTCGATGATCGGTTTGGGGACTACAAAGTCGGCTTCGGAATGGTGAGCAGGCGGTAAATTCCTATTCTTGTCAAACTCGAAGAACCGTCTGAACAAATCCGGAATAACCGATTGTGGGAACTGGAAGATCACGTTATTGATTCCATCAACAACCTCTTCGTACTTCCGCTTGAGCCCACGGATTACATCTGTAACAACCATCTCAATAGTGGTAGAATGCTCCTTGGCCCGCTTGAGCGAATCCTTCTTAGCGATTAGCTGTCGTTCCTGCTCGTCCGCCCAGAATCTACGCTCCGCATCCTGCGCACGAACTGTATCACCAAACTGTAGTAGTGGCGCAATCGAAACGTGAAGATAACGTCCGTTTCTCTCTGACACCAAGTTCTGTAGCACATGTTCATGTTGCTCCATTGTCTCGAAGAACTTGTTGAGGAGGTCGATACACTCAAGAATGAGGTGGTAATCCAAAGCCGTTGTTGTCTTCGCTGAAGCAGCGGCACCGATCAACCATATCCTGACTTCTTCATACCACTTTCCACCCAAAATCTCAAGCTGGCGCTTAACATCCTTATAACAGACCTCAACATACTCGTTTTCGAAAAGAAGGTATGCTTTCTTCTCCATCTCGAGTTTAATCTTTGCCTCACTCTTTTCGAACTCAATATTGGCGCTCTGAAGTTCGTCAGGTGTGTATCGACGGGTGCTGTAGTACATATTCGTCTGTTGTTGATGAAGTTGGCGACGGGATACAGCTTCCGACTCAGCATCTCGAGCGAGGTTGATAGTCTTCTGTTCAAGACCGCGACGGGCGTCGTTGAGGTATGTTTCGAGCGATGGACTATTTGTTGCCGTTTCTAGAGCTGCATAAGCTGCATGAAGCAGTGGCGGGATATCTTGCGAAGGTGATGTCGGGCCGGAAACAAGGCCGCTGTGGCGGGTTGCATTCCCACGATTGAATGTTGTAAGCAATGTCGCAAGAGCCTTTGGATCAATGGGTCTGTAATTCCCGTTCGATGGAACAGCATATTGACTATAGGATCCAAAGTCCGCGGCGTCGCCCATCTCGCTGTCAGCCACAGTGGACATTTCATCATCCTGTCGCCTATTACTGGGATCCAATTTCATGGTCGGAACTGTGACAATTGGTCGTGGCATCTGCAAGACGAGATCCACCTTTGGCGCCTTTGCAACTTGGATGTATGTCGGTGTCGGGGAAGGCGAAAGAAGGTTCTCTGGTGGTGAAATCGGTCGTTTCTCGTCCTCTTCGACCTCGAGGTGCTTGTGACCAATGACCTCTGACTTCTTAGAGTGAACTGGAGATGCAAGAGCTATTGAAAAATGAAAATTAGTTCCCAATCAGCGATACAATGTAGACAGATGGAAGCGCATACCCTCTTTTCTAGCCATTGCTTCTTCATCCGTAGGAGTATCATCGCGATCATTATAAGTAGTTCCCGTAAGCGCTAGTTACTGTTAGTACATCTCAATACCATCACCTTTACAAAGATCATATACTCACATCCATTACCCTTCGGATTTTCATTGACAATCTTCTGTAACCCAGCTCCGGCCTGCTTCTTCCTCTCCACTTCCTCTTGGTCAATCCACTCGATCCACTTCTTCATTCTTGCATCGGTAATCTTCCTCAGCTTCTCCTGCGCATCCAAAACCTCTTCGTTATCCTCATAGCTAGAGTAGTTCTGCGATGACCTATTATTAGCCCTCAAGAACTCCCTCAGTTTGTCAACCGAATCACCGGCCATGGCATCGTCGCAAAGGAAGAGAGCGAATTTATGGAGCGATCGGAGATGGTCGGTTGGTAATGTCGGGTATAACGAGGATAGCGAGTCGAAATAATCGTCTTCCGTATCCTTTTGGTCCATACTCTCTGTCCGTCGAAGCGAAGGGTGAGAGAGGATAGGAAGTTCCGGTGTAGGGCCCACGCTCGGGTTAGTATGTTGATATACATCCGGCGACATGGGATTGGCAGGCGGTGAGGTTAGAATATGTCGTGGAAGACTGTTCTGGTGCGTGCTAGCCTGCGAATGCGACTGCTGAGGTGTCTGCTGCTGATGTGCACCGCCTAGTCTGCTGCCATGGAACGAGGATCCAGACCCAGCACTACTGCTCGTCGGCCAATTATGACTTTGTTGTGGCGGTGGCGGCACTTGCTGTTGTTGCTGTTGCTGTTGCTGTTGAGAGTACTGCTGCTGCTGCTGCTGCTGTTGCTGCTGTTGCTGACCCCTCTCCGTTGCCGCATGCATTTGTGAGTGAAGATGTTGGAGGAAGTGGCCAGGCCGTGGTCCAGACTGTGGGTCGTAAGTCTGCGACAGGCGATGTTCTCTCTGTGCATGTGTGGGTAGAGGAGGGGATTGATATTCTCCAACGTAATTTCTAGCCTCTCCGAGTCCGCTGGCAGAGGAGCTTAATCCCGACTGAGACTGATCTCGTGGTCGAGAGTGGTCGCGCGGTTCATCCTGTCGCTGGTAGGAATGATCGTCGTAGACTTGGTTTTTTAAATGGGACGAAGAAGCAGAAGCATCCCCGCTACTGTTGCGTTGGCGTGCAGCGGGGATGGAAGTCGCCCCGGTGGAGCCCCAGTGACCACGCATTACGCTCTCTTTTGTGCTACCAGCGAGCGATCCGCTACCCAAAGATGGCATGGGCGGGGAGGTGTAGTCCCTTGAGCTGCTTTGCGCAGGTATGCTCCCAAGCCCCTGGGTCCGCACGGGGCTCTCGCCGAGGATACCTCGTCCGATATGGGAAGGTTGGCCGGTACTATAATTACTCGCTCCGGAACCAGGTTTCTCGGGAAGTCGTCCTAATCGGCCGTCAATTGACTCTTGGTCTGCGCTTTGAATTCTCTTGTTGGGACGATATTCCGCTGGGATCGGGTCCTCTTCGAATATACTTGGAGGGCGGGGTAATTCGAGTGACGAGGTGGGTATTTTGACCCCACCGACGATATAGGTACCACCGTTAGTACCACCTAGATGTCCTCCAATGCCACTAAATCCCTTGCCTCCGTTCGCAGAGCCCAGTTGAACACCACCAATGCTACCGGTCAATTTGGGACTATTTTTAGGTGGGGCGCCGTGAGATTGTGTCTTCGGATATCCACCAGAGAGTCTATTCGGATTCAATGAACTGCTACCAGCGCTCATAACATTCCCAGGCTTTGTTGGACTGAAGTGAGTCTGAGTAGGATACTCCTCTCTAGAAGAGTCCTTAACAGCGTTAAAAGCCTGGGCAACACCAGGTGGCATCTGATACCTCTCAGTTGGAGGTGGAGCAGACGGGGCAGGTGGAGGTACATTATGAAGCATTGGAAGAGGGGAATTTCCATATGACGTCCCGCTTCCAGCCGGTGACGGCGCCTCTGGCTTGCCGCCTTGAAACCTGCCACCACCCCCGGGCGCTGCAGCTGTTGATGATGTGGCAGAAGATTGTGTGCCAATAGCTTGAGGGGTAAACGGATAAGATGATAACTGCGACGACGGTGATAAGATACCCGACCCAGACGAGTGATGGGCAGTAGGTTTTGAGCCCTGGCTAGGATGTTGAATTGGTAGCTGCTGCTGCTGCTGCTGCTGGATGGGACGGCTCTGAAAAGCTGGTCCAAACGAATTATGGTCCTTCAATTGCCCCTCACCATGCATAACCCCCTGCTGGTGATGATGATGGTGCGTCGAAATTCCTTGTCGCTGCTGCTCCTGCTGCACATGCTTAGGAGGAATCACACTGGGTGGAGCATATCCACCAGATTGCCCATCTTTCGCAGCACTTCCAGTCGTACTAGGCGGCGTCGGTCTAGCAATGACCCCAGCACTTCCCGATTCTTTCGCACTAGCAAGCGTGGCCATTAAACTCTCGCTGCCACGTGCGCTTACAGGACTCGTGCTACTACCAAAACTTGCATGCCGCATCCCAGTGCTTCCACCAATCCGAGCGCTGCCCCACGGCCCATTCTGCTGCTGCTGCTGCTGCTGCTGTTGTTGTTGTTGCTGCTGCTGTTGCTCCTCGCGACTATCAAGCGAAACACCGCCTTCATGCGACTGACTCGTCGTCCTACTAAAATTAGGGAAATCTGGCCTCGGCTGCCCCACCGAATATGTCGATTCATAAGACGAAGGAGCAAAAGCATTGGCATCCCTCTGCGGCTCTGCCCCACGTCCAATAATCATTTGCGAATGTATTCCCGATGAAAAAGAAGTTCTAGGCTGTCTGTTTTGATGCATAAAAATCTCTGGCGAACTCGACTGCAGTAGCGAAGAAACAGATCCCGCTGGGGATGGTGCTGTATCTCTGTAGCTGTGCGTGGGAGCTTGGCTATGTGCTTGGCTATGCGCCTGACTATGCGCCTGACTGTGCGCCTGACTATGCTGCGATGTCTGTGATCTTGGAGACATATCGTGTTCTAGCTGCTGTGCAACTTGTTGCGATTGTATCGCGTCTACTTCAAGTTCTGGCTGTTCACGTCTTTGCTGCAGCTGGACGACTTGCTGTTGGACCATCGGTGACGGGATGCTTATAAATTTAGGCTCGACGAATTCAGAGGGTAAAAAATCCGTCTGTTGCTGTTCTACGTCACCTTGCTGTTGTTGCTGTTGCTGTTGCTGCTGCTGTTGTGGGCTCTGCTGGATATGTTGCACATGCGGTGGAGCAGATAATCCACTTTGTGAAGGAACCGGTGTCTGGTTCTGATCTGGATCCGGATGGCTATGCATCTCCGTATTCGAAACATGTGAAGAAGTAGCAGAAGTAGCAGGAGCAACAGCAGGAGGCGGAGAAGGCGCAATGGGCAATCTATCCTCTTTAACAATTTCCTGCACTTCCTCACCACCATGGCCTGCCGATCCAAAGGAACTCCTGGACGGTTTCTGGTAATGCCCTCTCGACGGCTCCTCTCGGATGGGTTCCTGGGAATAATCCGCGGAAAAGTCTGTAGAAAATTCTTGGTGGAAATCCTGCGCCGAGTACGTCTCTCGAGAATTCCTATCGCCGTATTCAGATGATGCGGAATTTTCGTTTATAATTCCGCCGCCTACCGACGAGCCTTCTGCCGGTGAGTTGAGGTTATCCCCGGCGGCTTCGATGCCAGGCGATCTTCGGGATTCCTCATCTTCCAGGGGTCCTAGGTTTCCATGCATGGTGTCCTTCACTGACGGGTGGTATAACGGTGAATCGAAGAACGAGTAAGAGGATGATGATGTCTGGGCCATTTTCGAAAGATTGAAGGTCAAAAAGTAGAAAAGAAAAGAATTGTAGACCTTGACCAGAGGGAGGTAACAAGAACGACTCCGAGTAGGTCCGAATAGCTAAGCTATAAAACTGCAAATAATCAATCAAATTTAGTCATCCCGCTGATATAACTGACGATTCAAACAAAAAAAGGTATAGTAATAGTAGGTAGGTAGTAATAGCTGCTAATAATACGTGGTCGGCAAGTCCACATATAAAAGACCCTTAGAAGGGGAAAAATAAGAATCGGGAGGAATATCCCCACGCCACTTTTAGCTCGTTACACCGATAATGCGAAATGTGCACCCCCCCGCAAGACGCAGATTACGACACCATGAGCAACCCACAATTGACTAAAACCACTAGCCTCCGTTCTTCCTCCCCCTCCAAAAACAAATTTAAGCTATCATGTTGGACGATAACTCAAAAAATTCGCGTGGTGGAGTGAGAATCGAAGGGAACTCATCTACCTAATCCGAAAAGCTTGACAATCATGTCATGAGGCCTTCCCCCCCATCACAAGATACCATCCTACAGCACGCCTGATTGGAGATATTCTATATCTCATCCCAACAACAGGGGGGTGAAGGACGCTAAAGAGAGTCTGTGTAAAGGCAGTCCCTCCCATCTCTTCCACACATAAAAAAATATCAAACAAAACACAGGCGAAAAAGAAAAGAGTACTACATACCCGCTATATTTTTCCCTCGAGGGAGTGGTCGTGCGGGAAACGGTTCAGCCCGCAATTGGCCTTTGTGCGTTGTCGGTACCTGATTGGGTCACTCAAGCCGGATGCAGTAGCTTGCAGCGAAGAAAAAAATTCAGTGGAGTGGATGGGAATGCCGCAAGATGGCCTGCAGAGTGCTGCTTGCTGCAAGCTGGTGCAGAAGGTGACAAGAAATGTCCTTGAAGTAAGGAGGGGCTCCTTCCCGTCAGTGTTTGTCGATATCGATAGGCCCAGAGTTAATGTTTATAAAAAGTGGTGGGCTGGGCGTAATTTCGATGTCTTTCGAGATATAATTTTTTATAGTTGAAAATATTTTTTTCGTCCGGGTTTTTATATTTATATATATCTTGCAATTTTTTGAACAAAATGATCCAAAAAAGAGAGATTGAGGTGTGGAATATAAATAAAAAAAAGGATTATAGATTCCGTCAGAGGAAATGGACAGTTGGTCGTTAGGTTCGTCGCTTCGATTGGCTAGCCGTTCGTATGTAGGGATGTATATGCAATTGGAGCTTGATTATGTCGAAAAGCACAATTATACGTCGTTATATGCAGCTATACGAAACCTGTCAGCGATGGGCATCTCGAAGGATCTAGACGTCGGACGCATAACATCTGCCACACACTAAATCGATAGCCAATTCAGACTAAGAGAGGGGAAAAAAAAAACTTACCTTGGTCGTTAAGGATAGGAATTGTTTTTCTTTCGCACTATGTCTATAGGTCGTTAAGCTTTGACGACCGAATTATCTTCCCGAGCTCTTGAAGAATGGCCAGTTTATACAGCTCTGTTGTCGCGCTGGTCGAGAATTCGGAGAAGAAGGAAAAACTATCTTGGGTATCCTGCAAAGCGATGCGAAAATTGAAGATACGAACGACTTCGAGTCAAAAAAATTAGGACGGATGGTCAAGCCGGCGGGATTTAGTGATTATTTTGGAGGGGAGAGAAAAAAAACAATCGAAGACCACAGAAGGATCGAAGAAATGAATGAAAAAAAAGAGGGAAATGGAAATGGAATGTAAATGAATATCGTTAAAAGAGAAATAGACGGCCGTAAAAAAAGTTGATCGAAACTGGCGCGATAGCTCCAGGGCCGGGCGGCTCTTCGAATTCAGCTTTCGTATGTAAATTTGGTGACCCAGACAGAAAACTACAATCGAATCCTTGTGAAACTAGAATTCGAAAGAGCGAGACCGTTAAGTTCCAGGAACCTCTAGGAACTGGTATGGTGGGATTTTAAGAGACGCGGTCGGCAATATCGTCCGTGAGCTCCTTATCTATGTCCTCCTGCCAAGTAGATTCTAGATTCTTGCGGATAAGTCAGCTAAACAAGATCTAGACTAGCTAAGCGGAGCAGAATAATACAAATAAAGCGGAAGCCGCCAGAAGAAAAATAAAAGAGAGAGACGAGACGAGAAGAGACAAGATGAGAATGAGAAAATGTAGGAACAACGGCATCAATGGTATATAAACAAAGTATATCGAGAAGTGCCTTACCTTAATAGAACCTATCGCGGGAAAGATATCGTCGTCGTCGTCGTCGTCGTTGTCGGTGGGTCGACACGATAACTCTGGAATCGGAATCACAGGTGGATAGATTCGCAAGCAGTAGAACCCTGGATATTACCGTCGATCAGGGTTCCCGCTGAGGGAGAAAAACAAGAAGACAACGGGCGGTGAATCGAAAGGGAAGGACAGGCTGGGAGACAAAAAAAAGATGAAAAGTCTTCGGCTGGTCAGCTGTCGAAGAGCTTACTTTTGCTATCCTCCCTATTTGATGGCTTTTCCCCCGTTCAGGAGCACGACCGTGTGTGAGGAAAAGGTGGAGATGAAATGAGAGGTGGTGGTTGGGCGAGTAGCGCCTGTGGGAGAGAGGTGAGTGATAAAAATCACCAGTGCACCAGCAGCAGCTCCATAAACTGACTAACTTACTAACCAGCTAGCTGTCGAACAACAGAAAAGAAACGTTAACGGCCCTGGGTCTTGTTAACTTAGCAGTTATTAATATTTTGACTAAGAGCTAGCTACTTCGGGGAAACCTCACTCGTCGCTGCTTGAGTGGCCGGATGGCTTTGGAAAATGCCCCGAATCCCAAGGAAGGGATCCCTCTCGCACCAAAAAAAAAACAGTACTCTGTACAGTATTACAAAAATTACAAAAAAAAAAAGACAGATACTAAACTAATACGGACCAGGAATAATCGATAGATACAGATTAGAGCGGGCGTCGACTTACTTCCCTCTCGCCTGTCAAGCCCCCGCTGTCTGCGTGCGACTTAACCGCCTCGAGACCCAATTGGCTGAATGCGGGAAGCGGAATATCAATCAGATCAAAAAAAGTGAATCGATGAGAAGGGAAAGAAGAGCAGCAGGAAAGAAAGACTATCCATGCGTACATACTGACATAAACATCCTGCGGCATGGAAGTTTCCCAAGGCTACATGTACATGTAAGTACATACATACATAGTGCTTATGTACTGTACGTATGTATGTATGTATGTATGTATGTATGTATGTATGTATGTATGTATGTATGTATCTGAATCATGCCTGTACATGGACACCCGCTGCGATGATATGACCGGACTTACAGATACACTACATACATACATACATACAGAGGGGAAGAATCGAAGGAAGGAAGGGTATGTATGGTATGAGCTGGCTGGTGCCAAGGGTGCTTCGAGTGTGTACAGTCAACCGCATCGAAAGCTGTTCCTCGAGAGTCAATTGCATATCCAAAAAAACTCCGCTTGGACTATACCCCTCGCAGACTAGATTGGCGCCGGGCAAACAGCTAACAATGCTCGTTTCATGTTTTCGAAGGGAAGCCTCTCGAAACATGGAACCTCTACAATGTACTTTACCTAGCTTGCTTGCCAATGCGATATCACGGCGCTCTTCTTAAGCTTGAACTTGTTTTTTTGTTTTTTCTTTTTTATGCATTGGAATGGAATGGAATGATACGATATGATGGAGGTTGAGGGTACCTGTTGCTCCTCGTTCCCATCATGCGTGTTGGATGTATAATATACCTCATACAAAAGACCATGCATCCATCATAACATGACAGGGGGGGTCGTTGATGCCACGTGAAGATGCCCGTCGGACAATATTTCTATGGTCGGTCGATTAAGCTAGTATTTCTCGCAGAGGCCGAAAGGTAAGACGGATAGCTTCTGGAAGAAGTATACATGTAATTCAATATATCGCAGACACGACCGAACATGTCAGCCCTACTATAGAACTCGAGTAATACAATAAAAATCAATCTGAAACCCGTTAACTTCCAATTGATAGCTAAGCTAAGCTATCTGACCTCCACATTATAGCTCTACAGCCCTATATATACCTACATAAGAACCAATCCCAATTCCTCAGATCGATATTATACCAGGCAGCATAGACATAAACACCCAAGCTGACCCCATCATGCATATATGACCGCAGATCCAAGAATCAATGAAAGATCACAAAGTAAGGGTGTCACGGCAGACTAATACGAAATGTCAGCTAGCTTATATATAGGTAGCCAGGAAATGTCATAACTGGACAGATCGACCTTCGAGAATGCAATGCTAACTACTTAATTAAAACATCCCATACGTTCGGATGGGTTCTTCCCCGACTACGATCGATCTACGGTGTCCCCCCCTGGCTAAGTACTTAGTTGGTTGGTTGGTTAATTTAACATAATCAATCCATCGGTTGCGACATGGCATTGCATGTATCTAAGTATGTATTAGGCACCTAGGTACATACCGCGGATACCGATCCAATTGGAAGGAGGTAATCCAGCCAGCCGGTAGATATAAAATATCAATGCGACATCGACGCATTGACATCTATATACACCTTCCAACATTTTAACTTCCACAAACATCGAAGGTCTCGGCTTATAATACTTAGTTTTATGAAGGGACCTACTAACTTATATACAACGGTACCTATCACATCGGGTTGAAATGCAAGAAAAGCATGTGTATATATATAGACAGTTTTTGACAGTATTAATTTCATTTAAAACCCGATATAATGAGGCTTATAACTTAAGCCTTCTGTAATTAACCTCCATAGCCAACCATCTTCAACATACAGGTAGCTAGCTTATACTGGAGAAAGAATCGACGAACGCAAAGTTGACTATAAAGGTAGGTCTTGAAAAAAATATATTAATATATGACGAAGCTAAATCAGAATATCCTGATCGCTCGAAGACCACCTATCCCTCCCCTCCTTCCACCTTCCATAAACCCTTCACACTTAAAAAAACAAAATAAAACGCAGGTATGAACAGGTTCCAGTATCAAAGAAGGTAGAGAAGGGGAAAGGGAAGTTAGGTAAGTAGTTATATTAGGTTACTCCGTGAATAGCGCACCCATTGAAGAGGAGAAACATAAAACAAAAGGGCCGCATGATTCACTCATTTCCAGAGCTTCCTTTTTTTTAGAAATTCTTTTAAGAATTTATTTCATTATTTTTTCTTCTCCGGTCATAAAAAAACCACTGCCACTATCAATTATCTATTCCGTTGTAATAGTAGTAGTAAGAGAGACAAAAAGAAATCCCATCATCCTTTCACAAACCAGTAAAAGTAAACCCATTAATTATTTGAGAGAGAGAAAAACAAAACAAAAAAAACATAGTGCCATTCGCAATCGTATATCTTCGCATCGTCCGAAGGGAAAAGGAAGAAAGGCATCGCTTATACGGCAGAGTGGGCACGTTCAGCACGTTTCTTGGTAACGGCCTTGTGGATATAGATCGAGGCGACAAGAAGGGCAATGGTGCCAATGAGGGCGAAGACGACGATTGGGCCGGGTGGGAGCATTTTGGAGGATAACTAAGTAATAAAAAGGTCGAAGGAGCTCTTGATTCTTCTGGTGGAGAAACAAAAGGGGAAAAAATGTTAGTCAAGTTATCAAAGTTATTAGTCATTTGTGACTTAATCGCAATACGAGAGAAATGATTCAATTGAAACTGGAAGTTTTGCGACTGTTTCCGAGTGGGGATTTTCAACACTTTTGCGCCTCGTTTCCCGTTCGGTTCCGGAGGGCGGATGTTTCTGTTTTCTGGTTTCTGGTTTCTCCAGGTCGGACCGGATAGGAAATCGGCTGATAGGCTTTTTCGGTTTCGATAAGCCCGTCAACGGCGAACCGTACGAGGATGTCGCATGCAATTGGATTGGGCGAATCCTTAAAGGCCTTTGAAGAAATGGAGAAAATCGAAAAATGAAAATGAAAACGAAAACGAAAAGTAGAAAGGGGAATTTAGAGGTTTGGGAATTTGAATTGTTCGAGAGAAGTCCTAGGACGTCAACGGTACTGGCGATGGAATGCGACGGGTAGAAAGGGTTCTCCAGGTTCGCCGGTTATGCACGATGACCAGGTAACACACCACCCATACATACATGCACCCATGACCATACCGAATAGCGAGAACGAATCGGCGGTAACAAGATAAAATAAAATAAAAAGGAAATAGAAATAACAATAAAAAAAGAAGACTTACGGTGAGAATTGGAGGTCTTTTGTTTTTGACTCAAAAGTACTTCTTGACTTTGTAACAAAGGAAGCAGAGGTATGTACCTATGTATGTAAGTACCGAGGGGGGGTTTCGAGGCTCAATCGAACAAATAGAGTTGACTGCACGAGAGCAAAGAGACCAATTTACTTTGTAAAGAGTAATTGATTGGAATTGAGATGGATAGTAGGGAGTAGTAGTAGATGAAGGATGAGAATATTCGAACGAGGAAAGGAAGAAGAAGAAGAAGAGGTTCAGAATGGATCGAGTCGGGGAAGAAGAAGAGTTAAAAGGGAAAGAAAACAAGATGGCGGGCACGGAAGTTACAAGATTTTAAAGTCTTTTTTCTTTCAATCGACCCCCATGAATATTGCAAGCGGCTTGAAGAATAGCGGTCAATTACTTCAGACAGACAGACAGACAGACAGGGAAGACAGAAACAGGCTTGACAGTGATTCACGGGTTCTCACGGCCGGTCCTCGTCCGCAGCAGCATGTTCAGAGAGGAGCGCAGTACAGTAACCGGTTAGTCAGGAAATCTAAGTAAGTAAATGGGCCCATAAAGAACAGTTGACTGATTGGCATTACACATCGGTTTTGCGTGAAATTGTCAGTCTGTCAGTCTGTCGGTCTGCAGGTGCAGCAGTTGCAGCAGTTGCAGCAGTTGCAGTGCAGCTGGGCACGAGACCTCACTCGCTATATGCACCCATTGTATGATACTTCATATTATCCACATCTCGACCTTCCCTCCAAACAATCCCTCATCTTAATCATCAAAATCCCTTTCATTCACCTTCTACAATAAAATCTTATCGTATTAAAACCAAAAAGCACAGCCGCCCTGTCAAGATCCCACAAGATACTCGGCAGAAGCTCGTCAATGACGCCCTGTCTTGGCTGAATTGTCGTTCTTTGGCTAAGCTTTCCGTTCAGCCTGGGCATTTCTGCACCCCACGCGCTAACTCGTTCTTTTTTGATATGAGCGACTTTGCGTCCTTCCCCGTCCGGACTTCGGCTTTTTTGCCTCGAATTTAAAGCCCTTTCTTTCTTTTGAGGGTACTAGAGCTCTTCGGGTCGGTTACGTAGATCGGTAATTTTCTTGTAATTAATCAATTGATTCGAAGATTATCCGATTATACATTAGTTTTGTAAATATAAAACAACGAAAATAAATGATGAAACGAACTCCAAAACACCAGATCAATGATCGCGATCTTCATATGCAGATGCAGTGCTTCTAAAAGCAACAAAAAAAAATAATAATCTTAACCCCGCAAGCTGCAATGGTATATCGTGATACCACCAATGGTAAATGACAAAAGGGAGAAAAGGTCATAAAAAGGGTTCTATGGCGGTGCCGGTGCCGCCTTATATGGTTCAAACCCATCCCCGCAACAGCTTCCCCATCGAATCTGTTCAGCCAATATCAACCCCAGCGGCACAATCAACATCGCATCCAATACTTTCTTCCCTTCCTCTCCCACGGCCCACGGTAATCCATCCACAACCTGTCTCCTACGGTTCGCACAGACCGTCAACTCGGAACATGATCCAAACCTTGTCATATCCGTCAAAATTATAGGATACCCTTCTCCGACCATATTTCTGGCCGTGACGTCTGTATTCTCCAGTAATTTCGCATCAGGGCCCCAGGAACAGCTATCTGCCGTACTTGCAACAGCCCTCCACGACCTTTTCACATCTGGTATCAACCCCATTTCGTCCAACCGTAAACCCGACTGGTCTTCTAGGTACGGGAACCTCCCGTCGATCGTCTCATTCCTCCCAGTCTCGGGATACGTAAGAATAGCCGTATAATTCCCTCCGGTCTCCCTCTTCACATCCGGCAAACTTCTCCACCCGGATTTCTCCCACTCCGTCTGCAGATACGGAAACCTATAAGTCACCTCACTCACATATACCGCCTCTTCCTCCCACGGGATCGAGGCCCTTCTCAATACGACCTTCTCTTCTGTCCTCAACCAAGTCGCATTCACATAATCCTCCGTCATGTAAACCGTATACCTTCCGGTCTTCTCTCCTTTCATCTCCCTAATCATCACCACTCCTCTCGTCAAATTCTTTGGTTGAAACCTCCCGTTCAAAATGACCCTAAAATCCCACCCACCTTCTTCACACCGTTTCGGATACCGATCAACCCTCAACCTCGGCGCAGGGATCGTACTCGCCAGAATCGGCCATAATATCATTGCCAGAAAGTAAATTCCGAATATCGATACAAAGCAAGATTCAATTTTCGGTTTGCCTGTGCTTTTGGCTCGTATCGGCGGCCTACCACCAGTCTTGAACGAACTGGACATCCATCGTATACCCTGTTTTATCCAGTTGACGATGACAGTAGGTCCCATGATTATCAGGTACGCGCCTCCGAGATTCCACATTCCGAGCATGATTGCTATCCATATTTCGAGGGATGTAAAGGCCGTCCAAGCACTCAATGAATTTGTTACCAATCGTCTGAGTCGCCAGGTATGTGGATCGAGATATACATGAACGTGAACCCAAACCCAAAGTGCGAATCCACCGTTCAACGCCAGTGTGAACAGAAATCCGTACATGATCATCATATCCTTGCTAAAGAGCCATTGAAAAAACTTTCCAACCCTGCTGGGCTTTTCAGGGCCTTGCGCACCTGTAGTAGCCGGTATTGTAGCTGGAGCAGGAAGTGTCTGCGGTTTTGGTGGAGGAGAGAAGAGCCGTCTTTTGCCGCGGACGATGTTTTCGGGTAGGTTCCAAAGGATTATTAACGTCCGATATATGAAGACTTTGGCGGTGTAAGGTACGGTGTTGAAGGATTCGGTGATTTTGTTCCACGTGCTTGGTTCGTATGGGTTTCGTTCTATCCTTTCAGGACGCAATTGTTCGATGTTAAGGTCCGACGGAGAGGTATTCGATCCATCTTTGGGGAACGGACCACGTTCGATTGCGGCGATATAATCGGCATTCCTCGTCGGAGCAGCAGCAGACGACGCAGCGGTATCGGGTTTTATCACCGCTGGTCGAGGTACCGATATACCGTTATCATCGCTACCACCGGCGCCATCTGCATTTACTGCAGCTCTCTGAGAGAGAGCTAGACCGAGATCTGAGGATAATCCTTGTTGGTCTAGGAAGGAACGGGAAAGGTGCTGGATCGGGAAGGCGGCTCTTTCGGGGAGTGGGTCTGGGTCTGTAGATGGTTGGGACATGCGATGTGAAGCAACGCGGTCGCTAAATTTTGATTTGATTGAGGTTAATACCAACGACTAGACTCCGTAACGGCCTTTTGAGACAAGGGGGCGGTTCTTACTAGTGATGTCTGAGAGGTCTGAATGAAGGATTATCGATTGGATGGTTATTAACTTTTGATCCTTTGGGGGGGGGGTTTATTGTAGTGATGGTTTGTTGATTGACTGACTGATTGATTGATCGATTGATTGATTGTAGAGGTGATAAGATTATTGGTGTCCGTCGTGCGGGTTAATTATAATTACACTGTGTAGTGTCGCGAGGAGCCAGAGCAGGTTATCGCCACGTTCCGATCTTCGAATCCTAACTACCAATATTAATCCTAGCTATCGCATCTGCGCAAGTTTTTTCGATATAGTATATAAAAAAAAAGGTAAAAAGATGTTTCAGAAGTCGTCGACCAGAAACTTCATAGACTTAAGTTGAGTATAAGACTTCGACTTATGACGGCCGGATGGTTGTCCGAATATATATACTTAGTACTACTACTAAATATGAGGTAGTTACCTAGTTAATTAACCAGCTGCGCAAGCTGCTGTCATGCATGTCGAACGAAGGGGTTTGACAAAAGATCAGAAAAAGAGAGAAACGGCTAAACAGGTGAGGTCTGCAGCAGCAGCCTTGGTGGGGCGGTTTTTGGGGATTTAATCCTGGTATGATATGTATTAGTAGAACCGAATTATATAGCGGGTGCTTGATCCTTCGAAAATGCGAACTGCAAGTGTATGTAACTAGCAATGCGGGCCCGAATGTACCGAGCTAGCTTTGATCATGAATCGATCAACCTTAGCTAGGTAGCAGGTATATACACTAGATTAGGATCTTTTTCTGGGTTCAGGCAGACGTCTATACTTCCTTGACATCTCCACTCGTAAAACCGCCCCCTTGAGAAAGCTAATCCGTTACTATTGTTGATAACGTTACGTTATTATTCACAATCGAATGCCGCCTTGTCAACGTTTCTGTTCAGCCTCATCTTTTAACCTCGGCTTGGCATACGCTCACAACGCACATTTCCAACAATCCCCCAAATATTAAATCCCTCTGATTTTAACTTCATGATCTTGCCGCGGATATCCCGGCATTGAAATACAAAATACAAAATGGACCGCTCACACTTCACAACTTCCAAAGATATAGTCCACGATCTCTGGTCAACCCTCTCCCTCCCTTCATCCGCCCTCTCCGACGAGACTCTCGAAATAACAGGACCGGAACATACCCTTCCCTCCAGTTATCGTCTATCACTCGTCCCACCTGCTGCGATAGCTACATCTACTTTAGCAGCATCACTCATCTACTCCCTCAGATACCCCTCAAATACTAGTAATGATAATAACGATAATAATAACGGTAGTACTATCAAACTCCCAAAGGTAAAAATAAACACCCTCCACGCAACCACAGAATACAAATCCGAATCCCACATCCAACTCCTCCTCAACAATCCAACCGACGACCCCTCATCACCATCATCATCAAAATTAAAAGAAATATGGAGTCCCGTATCAGGATCCTACAAAACCTCTGATGGCGGTGTAATCGGCATCCACGCGAATTTTCCAAACCACGCGGTATCAGCATTAGAAATCTTGGGATTACCAACAAACTGTACCGATAAATCCATAATATCAGATGCAGTCAAACGTCACAAAGCGATAGATTTAGAAAATATAGCACATAGGAGTGGGGCGGTGATGTATTCCCTCCGATCCCCTCTCCAATGGAAATTAGAACCACAATCTTCTCATCTCCCAAAATTTCCTATAATAATTCGAAAAATCGGAGAAGCCCCCTCTGGTCTTCCTCCGAACCTTCGACCCTCTTATAACAAAAACAACTCCGCAAAATCATGTCTATCCGGTCTCAGAGTCGCAGAAATATCAAGAGTGCTGGCAGGTCCGATTTGTGGTCGAACACTTGCCGCTCATGGTGCTGATGTTCTTTGGATTCATGGTCCTCATTTACCATCACTACCTGGTCTTGACATCGATACTTCACGGGGGAAAAGATCTACATTCCTCGATCTTAGAGAAGAAAACGGGGAAGGAGAAAAAGAAGAAGGAAGAAATAAACTTCAGGAGTTATTATCATCAGCGGATGTATTCATACAATCTTTCCGTCCTGGAGCTTTGGCCGCAAAAGGGTTTTCACCGGAAGAAGTAGCGTTATTGAATCCGAATGGGATTATTTATGCATCATTAAATGCGTTCGGAGAGTCCGGACCTTGGAAGGATAGAAGGGGGTTTGATAGTATGGTACAATTATGTTCTGGGGTTAATGTTAGTGAAGCCGAGTATTTCAATCTTGATACTAGCGAAAACGAGAAGAAGAAGAAGGAGGAGTTTATGAAATGGCCGTGTCAGGCGTTAGATCATACTGCTGGTTATTTCCTCGCTATTGGGATTTTAGCGGCGTTGTATAGAAGGATTGTGGAAGGGGGTAGTTGGGAAGTTCATGTGAGTTTGGCGGGGGTGATGGAGTATATTACTTCATTGGGAAGGATAAATGGAAAGGAAGGCTTTGAAGTTCCTGGATTTGGGAAACAGGGTTTACTAATGGAGGAATTCATGGAGACGAAGGAAAGTATGTTGGGTTTGGTGAAGGGGGTTAAACATGCTGGGAGGATCGAAGGGGTGGAAGTTGGGTATCGATATATGCCGACTAAACTTGGCTATTACGAAGCGGCTTGGGTTGATTGATATTGATATTGATATTGATATTGATATTGATAATTGATATTGATGCTTAATAAGGAGGATAAAGGTATGATATCATACACCAGGCTTCTGTCTCACAAAGCCATGCGGATGTGGGTTAAGCGTTTTAAAGACAAGCGAGTGGGTGGTTCGCGGTCCTTGTGAATATAAACTCTTTGAAGATCGAGTCTCCCCTTTTTCCAATTTAAAATTTATGATTTCAACAGGGTTACACATGGCGTGCGTGTGCGTATATCATCCACGCAATCGATTGATAAATATAGAAAGTATGTAACTTATATTCTAGTTTGTGAATTATATTATCTATTTCTCCCAACTTGCATTTAATACTTCAGCCTCAAATACTCCGAGTACTCCTCATTTTCTTTGCAGAATAAAGATATGCATGCAATTCTCGTTTTCGCGAGAATTCTTCATCAGTTGCGCACAACGTTTGTCAAAGGATCGCAAACAGAGAAGAGGAGGAGAAAAAAGCCAAGCGACGAGCCGTCCGCGCACATCCTGGTTGGAACGTCTAGCCGAAACAGCTCAGCTATATTAAGGGATGCCCACCCGCTTGATATGCTCCGTTACGAGCAGCAAGTAGTAGCAGCCCACCCATGAGGTGGGTGTGGTATATGAGCAGGCGCAGCATTTTGAAAGTTTGCTGACTGTCAGATGGTAATGGTATTTTTTTCGTTGTGTGTGTGTGTGTGTGTGTGTCGTTATGTCTTCCCAAGCTCCTGTGCCGTTGATTTTCTTAAATAGATAAATCCGTAGCTTTGTCTCCTTTTCCTTTTTTTCCCTCGTTTTTTTTTAAGAGAAACCCTTTTAAAAAGAAGGTTGATGTCGCATTTAATTTGGAGATTTTGTTAACATTCTGTTCATTCGTTTTTGGACTTAAGCTTCTTAATCTTCTTGGAGGGGAGCTTAGTACTTACCTGGGTGTTATTTCTTCTATCTATCATTTAATTCATTTCTTTTCAGATTCCGTCGATAGTTGACATTCTTCCTGCGACTCTTTATTTTTTTTCTCAGAAAAGATATTTCCAGCCTTTCGTTTCATGTATCAAAATCCCATTTCGTGGACCTTTTTTATCAACTCCGATTCCGATACAATTCAAATAAACAGAAGCGATTCGATTCAGACTTTTCTTTCCAAAAAAAAAAAACGACTGGCCATTAACTCTTTGACGAAACAACATCCCTACCGAAATCCACCTTACCTCAAAGCTCACCAAAAAAGTTATCGCGACATCATATTTATATAAAAATATCAACAAAAATGATCGATACTTCCAGTTTAAACTTCAACCTTGGCGTTGCCCTTGGTGCTTTGGTCCTCGTTATCATTATTCTGGCGCTCATTCTTTGGATCCTCAAGAAGCGAAGGTCGAGCGGCGGAACGGCTTTTGCTCCTTTGGTGTAAGATCTGAACTGGAAAATGGAACTCGAACTTCCTTTACAAATTACTACGAAAAAAATCCCATATTCTCTATCGATATATCCATCTCCACCGCACAAGAGCCCGTCGAATCGGTTACTTCATCGGTTTCTTCCATATTGTTGAGGAATGAAGACAATCAGGGGAACCCTTTTCCTGCGACAATTGCAAGGCCTACACCGGTACATACATACACAGTACATACACACGAATTCGCGAACAAGCAAAAAAACACGCATACACGCAAACACGCAAGGCTCGACCTTATCAGCTTCCACGCCCCCCTGAAAAGTCTCGAAATTACAGTCCGTCTTCAGCCTTAAAAATTCTTAAACATATTTCAAAAATCCATCAAAGAAAAAAAAAGGGAATCTGCATACGACGACCTCTCAATAACTAACAGCAACAAGATGGTACAGGGCTATTAATAGCACCTTTTTTCATATTTATTTTTACTTTCGACGTTGCAATTACAATGCACCGCCTGCAACTCCTGCGAATACTACTTTCTTCGATATATTGATTATATCAAACCTTCCCCCCCTTCGAATCGAAATATCCATCGAAATTTTGGCTTAATGGATGGATCGGATCTGAATCCCTGTAGTTCCACAACAGCTAGCTCGACGCTATATAATGCAGATAATCTCAGAAGCACACAACCTGGAACTTCGAAACCGGCCATTTATCTGCTGCTGCATCAAGGCCTTTTCCTTCAATTGTAAATATTTTATTCGGTTTTTATGTAGATATGATGTTTGGGAATCTAGTTTTTATTCTTTTTTTTTTTCGATTCAGTTTTTGTTAGTGTTTTTTATGAGGATAGGTTATTTTGGAAACAAAGGAGTTTAGTTTGGTTAATTATGATTTGCTTAATCAATATATATCGAATTTTTGGTTATTTCTATTCTATCAAAATTTCAACTTTTTCTTAGAAGGTACAGGCTATAGCAGGCCGTGAACACAATTTGAGAAATCTAAGAACGTCATGTATACCCAAGTAAGTACTTATGTACTAAAAGGTATGCATGAGAGTATATCAAGTCGAGTACCATCGAGTATTCAAGACCAACCAAATAGTACTAACCCGGACGAGGGGAGAAAAAAAACCACAGCTACAACACATGTGCACAACAACAAGTGATCTATAAAACGAATTCGCGAACCTTAAACTAAGAATACGATTCTAATATTCTAAAAAGAAAAGGTGCGTTAATGCCTATACCATGATACAACTATATTATTCTCAATTAATACCCATCAAATACTCATCTATCATGTCGTCTTCTCAGTATCATCGGAGTACACGGCGGTACACCCCTAGATGGGCAAACCATGCAGGAAGGCTGCATCCTGAAGTTATCAGTACAAGCTCCCAAAAATGCTTTCTTGGTCTTTTATACTTCCTAACTTGGAAACTCTGTACTTGTCACTGTTCGAGCGGGGTTGGGATTGCTTTGGTATGATAGACTTCAGGCATCTTTTGTCCAAGATTTGAATGTGGGGTAGCTTTAGAAATTCGGGTAGGATGCTCCTCCCTCTAGATTATCTTAAAGTAAGACAGGATTATTTCACTATAAAGTATATTAATATATCAAGTCAGTATATTACCAATAATTTCACTAGCAATCTCTCTCTCCTAAAAGAATCTTTTCGAACCAACACCCCTTCCTTGCTTGAATATAGAATTAACTATATGTCTCCTTCAGGCTAAACCATAACTTTTTTTCAATCAACACTTTGTCACATTGGTCATTCAGCATCTGATAAGCTTAATTTACTCAAAAAAATATCAGTACTTTCGTGTCGGAAAATATGGAAGAACCAGAGGACAAGGTTCAATGTGCAAAGTGCGACCGGCCACTAGATATACCCGTGGATTGTTTGTACAAGGCAGTTTTTTGCGAAGGATGCTTCATCAAGCATTTAGAGCAAAAACGGAAGCTGAAAGAGCCTGAGGGAGGACACGGGCGGCCGCCACCGCCTCCGCCACCATCTCAGGAAGATATTATTTGGGGACAAGCCGCGGCAACGTATCCTGGAGCAGATCCTTCCCATCTTTTCCTTGAAGACGAGCAGACAAAATGGTTTGGATTCCGGAACCAGTCACAGATCTCTGGCGACGCCACAGAGCCCGGTTTTACTGAACCCGGTTCTACCGGACCACAATATCTCATAGAGACACCAAGACTAAAAAATCTTATAGCGTAATCTCTTACTTTCGAAGAAAATAGCCCTTCAATATAATTTCCAAGTTTCATATCGTTCGTCGGCAGCACGGGTTGCGGGAAGTCACTACTTAATTAAGCATCCTAGCTGCCCCCTTATCCTATAGGTCTAATTAACCTTTCATTGTGTATATATTATCAAAATTGCTAACTACTTATCAAATTACAAATATCCTACTAGTTTGGTACTTGATTTATCTTGGCGGACAAGAAAATGAAACAGCATTAGACAGGATCCAAAAACCCGTCTTTGGAGACCCATCAAATCTGCAACCAATAACAGGAGAAGTTAATTTATATACAAACCCATCCACATTCAAAACAACCACCCTCATATTTTTGGTTGATTGTGAAGGATTGGAGTATTTTACATCTGTGGCCAACATGTATCAAAAAAAATGGTATAGGCCTCAAGTGTTTAGCCGTAAGGTATTTGAGCTCATACGTTTAAAGCCGTTAAATAAAAAAGAAGTTATCAGGAATTTTTATCCTCGCCTACTTTATATCTTCAGCGATGTAGTTTGTTACCTCACACGCGATATCTCTTGGTCCACTATCATAAATCGACTTATGCTTTGGAGTACCACTGGTGCACAGCATGCGATTAACCAGGCCGCTCTCCCTGCATTGGTTTTGGTTTTAAACCGGGCGGAAGGGCGAGAAGAATGGACTTCTGAAGATGGGCAAGACATTCTTACCAAACACTTTTTCAATACTGTAAAAGACCAAATTATTGGAAACAAGGAATTAGAAGAAATGGCCCATAAGGTTAGTGCTCTGTTTAATCTACCAGGCATTTTTTACGGTGCCCTCCCCCACCCCCCACCCCCCGGGCCCCGAAGTCACTTACCTAAAATACGGATTTCAATGATAGTACGGTATCCCTATCGATGGTTCAAACTCTACGGACGAAAATTTCAACCCCATGAAAGAGCTTCTCCTTAAGAGTTATAGTAGTGTGCATGTTCACTTTATCCCACAGATGGGCCTCGGAAAACTCGGAACTACTGCTGTGGTATTTCATCAGATGAAACGTCTGCAAACGCTCATCAAAGTGCAATCCCAGAGCGTTCAGAGAATACGGGAAAAATCACAGACGAAATTTAACAACAAGCAGCTTATATCAATAGCAAGCTACGCGTTTTCTCATGTCAGCGAAAACGATGAGGCGCCATTCGATTTTGGGTTATGCCGCCAGTTTGCGTCAGCTACGACAAATACACAATCAATCGAAACCTATGTGGTTGATTTTTTGAAAATTTGCTTCGACCGAGCCATTAAAAAAAACACTAGTATTGACTGCAGCCAAGCCGTTGAAGAAAAGGAAAGTATTGATACGGTGTTCGAAGCTACGACCTCCTTTCTAGCATCGGCTATTGTGAAGCGGGCGCGGTCCTCTAAAAACCAAGGTCTGTATCAATCCGAGAGTCGCACCAACCTACAAAAGAGAACTAAGTTCCTTGTAGCTAATCTTGCTCCACATATATAGTTGTCATTGAGGTCCATATGTTTCAACAAGACATGAAGGCCGTATTCAAGACTGCTATGCATAAATTTCTTGAGGATTGGGTACTCTGCAGCTATGTCGATGATATGGGTTGGAAATGTTCGAATAGCAAGAGTGGGCACTCGAAAGGCCACCAGACCAAATTATCAAGAGACTGTTTTGCCGGTGGAGATTTCGAAAGCGGACTCTTTGATACCTATAACGAGGATCAACTTACGGAGTCAATTGGGTCAAAAGTTTATGAATTAACTAGGAAAGCTGGGGGAGAGGCGGGCTCGGATCCTCGACGCTGGCACGAAATTGTGGAAGCAGAGCATGTGGAAAATGTGAAAAAGCTTCGGGAGCTCAAAGCCTACCCCCAAAAGTTAAGGTCGATAGCACGAGTTCGATACTAGATACCATACTAAATCCCATCAAAGCCCTTCGCAAAAATTTGTATGAAGCTCTTGAACTGTACCAGTTCATTAGTCTGAAGTTCTGTTTTGGATGTCTTTTTGGAAAATCCGAATACCGTCTTCCATGCCAGCATTTGATTTGCACAAATTGTTTGAAAGAAAACTCCACCCCTAATTCTGGAGTAGAACCCGAGGCCATGCTTATCTTGGAAGAATGTATTTTCTGCGGCGACAAAGACGAAGAAAAGGGCTGGCCGTTCATCGTTCAGATACCAATGAAGCTCACCAGCCCGCGAATCTTGTCCCTCGATGGGGCTGGTGTCGGTGCAATAACACAGCTAGTCTTATTAGTGCGACTAGAGAAGGTTATTGGACTAGGATTACCAATCGGACGGTTTTTCGATTTGATCGTTGGGTCTTCTACTGGTAAGTGGATGATGCTCCTAAAATTTCAGTCTCTGTTAAACGTTTATCAAACAACCCAAAATGTGTCTGTCTCCCGTTTCGTAATGCGCATTTGAGTTCTTCACAAATTATATATGAATAGATACGCCGGTACATAAGCACTAACTAGAATTTATTTTAGGTGGCGTTGTCGCTATCGGCATTGGTTCTCGAGGATTCAGTGCAACCGAATGCCTGAAAAAATTCAAAATAATCTGTGAGAAGGGCTTCGTCTCAAATCTGGGTACAAAAACTCCTGGACTACAATCAATAACGAGGTGGTTTTACAAATCAGTTTATGATAAGTATAAGTATATAAAGGCTTTGGAGCAGCAGTATGGGGGTGATAATTCGTTGGTTATGTTCGGGTTACGAAACCACTGTCACGTGGCTGTGACAACTACAGTCGAACTGGATAGCTACCTGATCGCAAATTACCATATTGGGGATGGCAAAAAGTATATTGACTCAATAGCCACTCCCTGGAAAGTGTAAGGGCCCTAATCTTAGCAAAAAAAAAAAAAAAATCACCTGTAAAGCTGGCGAACATGGACCCGACCCCCGGAAAATATCTAGATACTGACACACCTTGACTACATCTCTAGGGCTCAGTGCACCTCAGCGGCACCATTATACTTTCCGCCAGTACCACATGGGGAAGTAGAATGCCGAGATGGAGGACTCATGGCTAATAATCCGATCAAGTTAGCCATCGATGAAGCAGAACGTCTATGGGATGGAGCTCGCCCTGGTATTGTGCTTTCAATTGGTACAGGGCGGTCAGATAGTCGGCAACCTGAGCCAATTGGCTTGAACACCGTGGATGAGAAACTACTATCTCCCTTTAAAACATGGTTAACAACCATGAACGGCGAGCAGGGTTGGAGTGACTTTTGCGATTCAAAAACGAATGATCCTGACCTGCTGGCAAGATGCAACCGCTTGAATGTTAAGCTAAAAAATGAAGTTGAGCCGGCATTCGATAGTTTCCAGGAAATGACATCGATGGAATCAGCTGCGAAGGAATACGATGATAGATACAGGGTAAATTTGGACACACCATACACACCGATATTAGGAGCATGTGAAGACTCTATCTTGAAGGTACAAGCTGAAATATTAAGAGCAAGTCAGTTTTTCTTCCAAGTTAGCAAGATATCGTGGATAATTCAGGGCCCGCAGAGGAACCTTTTAAAGGTTACTGGATATCTAAAATGCCGACTGGGGGCTAAGGAGAGGGGGCCCTTTCGGAGTCTCTTGAACTTGACATCATATTTCGCGGTCAATGGACAAAAATATTTTGATATGGACGCCGCATCAAGGTCTCGAGATCTTAAACTTTTCGATCGATATCTGGAATTTACACATATCACAACATCCGGACCAATCCGAATAGATGTGAATTTCGGAGGGTCATACTCAGTTGCAATAAGTGGTTTCCCGCTGGATGTTCAGGCAAGTAAATACTCTATGAATAAATTATTGCATATAATTTTTTTTTAAAACGAGGTGAGCGCTAATGTTGGATAACAAGGCTCTGAGAGATCATTGTGCAAAAAATGGAATCGAGGAAAATGAGATTGGAGAGGGGGGGTGGGAAGAGGCTACTTCTTCTATGGCCGACGCTGAGGGAGAGGTGAATCCGGATACCAGTGGTTCCAAAGATACCCTCGGGTAAAAAGCAGTGCCCGAGCCCTCAGATAACGGTGATTCGAATCGTGGGGACCAAACTGGTCTCGTAAGACCAGATTAAACCGAGAATGGCCTTGTTTAATTAGAAGAGTGTTAAGACTGCGAGATTGTTACTCGGCTGAGAGTGTGGTCCTGAGTTATAACGTTAATATAAGATGATCTTAAACTTGATGCCGAGCAAATGGTTATATGTTCATGTAAGCATACTGCCGTACAGCAATAGTTGATCATTAGTATAGAGGCGTTACAAAAGGCACATGTGGGAGAAAATTTTGGGGGTATGAATTATTCGAAATCCGAAACTCCTATCGATAGCTGGTGCTATACATCATTCCGGGTTACATGAGGGCCAATTTTGCGCTCCATGCATGGGTCCAGCATAGACCAGCTTCCCTTCGTTTTATATATCTATATATATATACTTTACTTATTCTGCTCAAAAATTGTAATATCCATTGTAACAGCGGTGTCTTTTTGGGCTCAACGTTCAGGAAAGCGAGCGTAACGGACGCATGATCTGACTACATAGTCACATGCATAATATAAACTATTAAATATTGCAGTTATAATTACCTTCTACTATTTTATTATTCAGATTCGTGGTTTATCGGGGTATACTAATACCCAATAAACTAAGAACGTAAGTCAAGAAGTAACTAATATAGGAAATATTAGTCTCAAATATAGGTACTAATCCTAGATATCCCACGCCTACCTTTCATCGTGACATCTGGGAATGCGAATGCGAACAGGACTGCTTCATGGTTAGAGATTCATGACTAAAATGGAAAAACCACATAGACAACACAGATGTATGTACAGACAGTGCATGTGCACCATAATTACTACAATTGGTAGCAAGCCAAATAAACTATGATGGCTCGTGGAAACAAGAAGGCAGTGGTAAAAATTCCCCAGACTATATCTATAAAAAATACTGATAAGAATTCCCAGATTAAGCTGGGTGCGGTGCACAGACTAGTGAGCTTTAATAGGACTGTGTGGTGCATAACAATGGTACATTCCTATGGGGTAAGTTGAGCTGTGCTGCATGGCCAACCGCATTAGTTAGCTCTCAGCTTAAATTTCCTGCCACGCGCGACGTCACATTCATTCCCATTCGACATGCGGAGTTACACATGTTTGGTGGTGCGCCCAACTTCAGGCATCTTTTGGATTCCCCTAAGCTAAGGTCGGTCGAAGGATTCGAGCTACCGCGTAATTTAGGTGCTCCTGTAATTATACTTATATTTTGCAATTAATACTTGTTAAAGTTCGTTATTGAGTCGAAATTCTTGATATTTACACAGCCTTTTTATCTTGTAGCCAAACCTAGAAGCCGGTCTTCAATAAAATATTTTATTTCAGCTATCTACATATAAGTTTATCCCCTTGGAGTTTCTCAACTAGTAGCCAGCCACAGCCAGCCATGGGAGAGCCATGCGAAGAAACGGAATGCGACACCTGCGAGGAACATATATTGGGATCTCCAATGGAATGCCTTTGCTCGGCAGTCTACTGCGGAGACTGTTTCCATAAACATATCAGAAAAATGGAAATAAACGGACGTGGAGATGAACACAGACAAGCAGAGACCTGGGAACCATCCGTGGCAGATATGATCTGGGGAAAGGTCACGAAGGCCATTGCAGAAATAGACCTTTCCACGCTATTTATCGAAGATGAGAAGGCGAAATGGTTCGGACACTGGTCGCAAATGTCCGAACAAGATGACGAGACAAATTCAATCGAGACTCAATATATTGTGGAGACATCAAGGTTGAGAGATCTTATGGCACAATCTTTGAATTTCGGGCCGGACAGCCCTTCGACTCAGTTTCCGAGTATAGTATCATTTGTCGGCGCCTCTGGGGCTGGGAAGTCTTTACTGGGTTGAGTATCCCACGGAATTCCTAATTATAGGCGTCAAGTCCTCCATCCAACCCAGACAATATACTGACTTTTTGAATTATTCCTACCAGTTCGATACTTAATTCGTCTCGGCGAAACAGACACTACATATAAAAATATGCAAAGCCCCATTACTGGAGGGAGCCTTTGTGCCACTACGGGCGAGGTTAATCTTTACGCAGACCCTTCAACTATAGGGACCTCTACACCTCTGTTTCTGGCCGATTGTGAGGGAATAGGCGGCGATGTTGCATCAGTTGCCAGTTCATACCAAACGAAATGGTATGGTCTGGACGGAAAGTCTAACCAGAAAGTATATTATTTTGGAGACCAGATTGATCGAAAACAAGTTATCAAAGATATATACCCACGTCTGTTATATATATTCAGCGACGTTATTTGCTATGTTGTAGGCGAGAAGGCTTGGTCCAAAACCATCACTCGACTATTGAACTGGAGCACCACCGGAGCCCAGCATGCAATTAATCAAGCTGCGCTTCCAGCTTTGATTCTGATCATAAACTTTTCAATGGAAGGCAAAGAAGAATGGGTCTCGGAAGAAGGTGGTGATATATTTACTCGACATGTTCTAGAGATTATGAATGTAGAAGCTGCTACTAATAAAAGGCTGAAAGATATGACTCAAAAGGTTTTAAAAGAATTCCTTCAATAAATAGCTTTCCCTTTCAAGACCGCGTGGATTATTGTTTTAAAATTACTGACAAATTTGTCAACCTAAACAGTACAATATATCACCAGATAGCTCTGGTTCAGGAGGAAAGGGGCAAACCCTTCTAGAAAGCCTTCTCCTAAAGAGCTACAGCAGCGTACATGCTCACTTCATACCTAGGGTAGGCCTAGGGAAAAGTTTGCAATCCGATGTAATGCTCAAGCAGGTGATTCGTCTCCAGCAGCTTATAAAACTCGAATCTGGGCGCGTGCAAGAAATGCGGGCGAAATCCTTGACAAAATTTAACACCAACCAGCTAGAAGCGATTACAGATTACGCTTTCTCTCATATTGTGGAAAATCCCAAGGTACCCTTCGACTTTGGGTTCTGTCGCCTGTCGATGACGAAGTCGATTGAAACCCATATAGCCAAATTTCTAAAGATATGCCTCGAAAGATCTAACCAAGCGAATATTTCGGCTGTATTCGAAGCTGCAATTAATTTTATAGCATCGGCTATAGTGAAGAAGGCGCAGTCATCAAGGAATCAAGGTGCGTAGAGTTAAAATCTTTTCAGACATATTTGACATGGAAAGGATTTGTGAACTAAATAGATTCCGTTAGCTGTTATTGAGCTGCACATATTCCATCCTGGGATGAAAAGGCTCTGTAAGGAAGCTATACACGAGTTCGTCGGAAGATATATGTCCTGCAGCTATGTCAACGAAAACGCAGACTGGGAATGCGTGAACACAAAGAATGGTCATGTCAAAGGCCACCAAAGTGAATTTGGAGATTATTTCGCGGATGGAGAGTTCGAAGAAGCTGAGTCACCCAACGAGGACAGCCTTGTGACAGCAATCGAAACCAAAATTCATGAAATAGTAGCAAAAGCGCGGAATATTGCGGGTTCGAGTCCTCAAAAATGGTACTCGTTTGTGAGCGTGAATCACAAGCAGTGTATGGAAGAACTCAGGAAGCTTGGGGTCTATCCCAGGAGAAAAAATTACAGGAGGATACTAAGCCGATTTCTTCCCCTCTGGTTTGAGGGCAATTTCTTTACAAATTCCCAATTCTGCACTTTGTGCCTTTTTGGGAAGTCTGAATACCGGCTCCCATGTCAGCACATGATATGCGGTACCTGCTTGAAAGAAAACTCATCCAACCGCATACAAGAGCCCGATGCTATGGCTGTATTGGAGAAATGCGTTCTTTGTGACGATAATGGCCGATCTCACGGGTGGCCCTTCACCGTCCAGATGCTACCAGCGCTCGCCAATCCACGAATCTTGGCTTTGGATGGGGCGGGTGTTCGAGGAGTAACACAGCTTGTCCTGTTGGAAAGACTTGAAGAGTCTATCGGGCTTGGTCTGCCAATTGGGTATTTTTTTGACCTCGTTGTTGGTTCATCCATGGGTAAGTTTCTAGTGGTTCATTTCGTTATTCATTCTTCCTTGGTACGGGTGTATATCCATATCCGCACATTCATTGTTACGAAAACTGCATTCTCACTAAATATGGCTTAGGTGGCATCGTTGCACTAGGACTTGGGGTCGAGGGCCTTCCCGCAAGTGAATGTCTAGAAAGATTCAAGGCAATTAGCTCCGAAGGCTTTGACAACAAGTTGGGTACAAAAACACCAGGATTAAAATTGATCTCGAGACGAATTCGTGGGTCGATCTACCTTCAAGACAGCTATAGTCGCGCTATAGAGGAGTACTTTGACAATCGTAAGGGGAATATTACATACGGATTGCGAAACCATTGTCGCGTGGCCGTCACAACCACTGTTGGGAGCGATGCCCGTCTCATAGCGAATTATCACGCCGGAGATGATGAAAAGTATATTAACTCTAAGATGACAATATCAGATGCGTAGGTAACACCCCAATGAACCTAAACTCCCTACGTCAATGAGACATAAAGCCGCGCTAGTAGGCAATCCGATTTCAAGAGTTTCTGATAACCTGTATTTGGTACTTATAGGGCCAAGTGTTCATCCATGGCACCGCTATATTTCGAACCTATGCTCGTAAATGGAATGGAATTTTGGGACGGTGGTCTCACAGCGAATAACCCGGTTCAGCTAGCTCTCGACGAATCAAACCTTCTCTGGGGTAAACCCCGTCCCGATTTGGTGCTCTCTATTGGCACTGGACATTCATCTGCACTACAAGATGAGCCGGTGGGTTTGAAGAATTTGGATGAGAAACTAAAAGAACTAATGATCCTATGGTTACGGACGATGAATGGACAACAAGATTGGAAAAATTTCTGTAACTCGAAAAGGAACGACCCTGACACGCTAGCACGATGCCATCGCCTGAGTGTCTCCTCTGTTTTTGGACGCGAAGCCGCTTTCGATGAAGCCGATAGGATTATAAGCATGGAAATGAAAGCTCAAGGATACAATGAGAGGTATAAAAAGTCATACAGCTTATATGAGCCGGTTTCCGGAGAGTGTAGAGATGACATTATAGAGGTACAAGCAAACATACTGAGAGCAAGCCAATACTATTTCAAGGTGGCTCGCATACTTAAGGGAGGAAATGAGAAATTTTTTATCTATGGAAGTTTGAGATGTAGGCTCAACCTTATTCACGGGGAGCCTTTCCTTTACCTCTTGAAATTCACAAATTATTTTACAATCAACCGACTGAAGGTTTTTGATGTCGACGAGCCCATCCGGCGGAGTCAGTTCTTCGATATGCCAGTTCGGTTTGAACACTCTTCTGCATCCGGGCCCATCAGGATCGCTGTGAATTTCAATGAGGATACCTATTCGGTTGCAATAAGTGGATTTCCAATGGATATCCAGGTAAGTAACCTGCAAAATATTCGTGGAATGGTATATTCATAGATCTAACTTTTAAAACAAATGAAGGTTTTGAGGGATTATTGTGCGGAAACTGGGATTGAGGAGGAAGAACTAGACGTCAATTTTAATTTCGAGGATGATGATAAGGAGCAAACGATAGTTTCCGAAGATGGTAGTTCGAACAGTGACCCGATCGAAAGGGTCATGACCCCATCTACAACTGCGAGCGACTTTCTTTAGAGCTATTAGGACCATTAGTTAACATCTATGTTGCATTAGCTTAGGGGGAGTCGTTTAATATTTTGTCAAACGAAGAAAACATCTACAGATCCTGTTCCCTAATTTGTAGGTATTATATACGACTTTATAGCCTGCTAAGTACCTAGCGCGCATAGAGTTTTATTTACTGTTCCACAAAACTGTAGCCGTTATTAATAATATATATTATCCTATCAATCCTTTATCCAGGATCCTTTAGATTATTCCATATGTATGTACCATAATCCCATATACCAATCCCAATATTCCCCAAAACCCAAGAATTCAGAACGCTAGACTCAAAACCCCCAATCCGCGGCCGTATATTATATCCAAAAGAAAATAACCCATTACATACCCAAAGTTAAACAAAAAACTAAAACCCGGCTTCAATGCCCTTAGGAGTACTTTCATCCCTCTTCTCCGGCGCTCCATCGCTACCTACTCCTTCAATAGACTCATGGTCTTGTAAATTATCATCATCTTCTTCATAAATCATACTATCCAATAACGACCTCGTATCCGGGAATAACTTCGATAGAGCCCAATAAACTGCCGCAGTGGTAAAGTAGCCGTATAGCCATGATATGCTGAACATATACTTGACGTTCTTATTCCCAATGGCAGGGTTTATGTTGTGCAAAAACCCTGGGAAGCAAGGTATGCACCCGACGAACATCGCGGCCACTATGGTAGTTTCTGTTAGTTAGGCTCGACCAAGGGAGGGGGGGAAAGATATTTGACGAGGAATTAAGGGAAGACATACAAGCCCTCCAGTTGATACCATGCCAATAACTATATATCGACTTTGGTCTATACATAGCCGGCACGCTAACCTTTCTCTTTTTAACCAAATAGAAATCGGAAGTCATAACTCCTGCAATCGGTGCCAAAAACACCGTATACCCGCCTGCAAACCCCAAGAATCTGGGAGCGCTCGCAAGAATATACCAGGGCACTAAAACCCATCCGCCAATAAATGCGCATAGAATACTACCTCGTTTGATGTTAAGGTATCTTGGTAGTAAAGCATTGAAATCATTTCCAGCAGAAATAGAATTCGCGGCGATATTGGTACCTAATGTTGCGAGAGTGAAAGAAAAGGCACACCAGAAACGAGCAGCACGTTCACCGGGTGAGTTCCCCCATAAAGCAATGATCTGAAGGGGATCCCAGTGGTATTCTCCGTATATTATTTTGGAGGCAGAGGTGACGGAAATTCCCATGAAGGCGATGAAAGTGAAGGCAAGAGGGATGACGAAAGGTTGCACATATTGTTCGCGTGGACTTCTAGCATAACGGGTGAAATCACCGATGTTGATAGCCAAGGTTGCTAGACAATAGTACATTAGCCAATTTACTAGAATATGATGTTCTGCTGGAAAACTTACACCATTGCCCAAGGACAGAGTTTAAGCCAGTGAGCCATTGCCATGCCGCGGCGCTACCGGTCAGCGTGGCTGGGTTCGAAAAGATAGGACCTCCGCCCGTTTTATGGAAAGCCCATGCCATCAAACTTATACCACATGCTGGTGTCAAGATCGACTTGAGAATAAATAGATATCTAATCTTAGACGGATGCACAAGAACTAGAGATATCCATTAGTTTGATTACTTCAACCTTTCGGTAGCATATATTTGCTAGTAGCCGTGAAACTTACGGAACGGAAACTGAATGACCCAATATATGAAATAACACAGCATCGATTGGCTTGTCGCTCCTGAACTAGCGGGGAGATGATTTGGAAATGATGCAAAGCTTGGCCATATCGCCTTGATCATTTCACGGACGCAGTTCCCACCCGTGGTAGTTTGGATTCCGAACCTATCATAGTCTCGTTTAGTAAAGACATCTTCTACTATGCTAGTGAAATATAGAAAAATCGAAAATGACCATACGTACCAGAAGCACGCGAGAACTACTCTCGACACGATTGCAAAGTACGAAAAGTAGAACCCAAAACTAGATCTCGCCAGCACTGGGAACGGTATATGTAACTTTGCTCCAATATACCCGTGAAGCGTCATAGGTATTGAGATGAATAACTACAATATTATAACAGCCAGTTAGCATCTCATCCCATATACGCTATTCTCCATTAATCGAGTCAAAGGAATATATTCTTCACATACCTGTCCAACCACGATAGCACTATAATAACCAGCCGACCAAAGTTAGCCTCATGATTGTGTTGCTTTACCCAAAAAGTCATTACGTAAAAATTAAAGAAAATGAAGTCATACGCAATTGAAGCTTTGAAGCCCAGACCAACCGCTATCATGGCAGATGCTAATTGCCATGTTGGACTAAATTAATTACCAAAAAACTCTTGTCAGTCTGCAATTCTGCCGAATTTAAGGAGGAAAAAGGAGGGAATAGATTCCGTACACATTGAAAGCATCAGAAATCTAACGTATAGACAACCAGTTAGTTTTTCCTGTATGTTTCCTCATGATGTTCGAAGTGAACGGAGGTGTAAAACCAAATCGTACCCAATATGCTATAATCCCACATTTCACACAAAATTAGAACTGGCCGCATAATTTAAAATACATAGCACAACGGTGTGTTTTCGTCTACATACCCACAATATGCCACCATCTCCATGTCCGCATGTCCAAAGGGACAGGGTCCATATCTATTACCATTCGGTTAGTCATAACCTCCCTATTTTTTGCCTGCCATTTCACCCCCAAACCCTTGACAGAACTTTAACTAGTGGGGATTCGGACCTTTATTCGACCATTTATTCGACGGGGCATAAGTCGCCGGCAACGGGTCCAACTGTAGATTAAACTTCCTTAACCGCATCTCGACGACTAATTATACTGACGGACGTAAATGTCGATTTTGAGGATGGTAAAAAAAGAAGATAGGTAGTTGAATTAAAAATAGTGGATATGGGGAAACTTGTCCCTGCGTGAGTTTAACGTTTTGACTAGAAACTTTTTTTTCCCTTCGGTGCGCAGCGCGGGGACCCCTTCGCTTCAAATGCAAATGCAGAACAAGGCCTGGCCTAGGATATTGTAGTTTGGACGGGTTCAGAAAGTAAAAAAACTCCCTTGCGGCTGAATTGGTGCAGCTTGAGAAATAGCAAAAAACCCAAAAATGGGTCCGATTAGTTAGCGAAAGTGTCGTTCGACCATAAAATATGTGAATGTGAAAAGAAACCTCTTACTAGTACTAACTTTTGATTGACTAAGAAATAAATCAAATGACGGGAATGTGAAATGGAAGATCTTACTGTATATGATTATATCCAGGAGTGAGTTCTTTTGGTCTCCTGAGCCGTTAATTGTGATATAGAACCCGCGCGGGCTAACGTTCCAATCGACCAGGCTTGACAGGAAGTCACTTGAACGTTTAAATTCTGTGTCCCGAAGAAAGAAAAAAAAATAGAAAAACTAAGAAAAACTCCGGAATGGGGTTTCTTTAACGAAAAATTTGTGAATCAAAACCCCACGCGGGATGGGGGGAAAGGGTCTAGAGTTCTTGAGCTTATAAATAAATTATTATACAGATAAGTTCCTTAGAATTCGTTCTGCTAGTTGTCTTTCAATCCATGTCCATGGACTTTGGTTTATCATGATACCCTCTGGAGAGGTGCCACGAAAGATCAATGGGTGTGAGATTAAACATGGGTCTCCTGTCTTGTAGAATAGTATCCATTCCTTCGATATCGATTTCGCTGTTGATAGGGTAGATTAATGCATATCGGAAGCTGGAGAACCCTGCCGTCCGGGGCCTCCTCTCTCGAGATACGTAAGTTCAATATTTCAGTAAAATTATACTAAAATGCAAGTTGATATGATGGTGTCCACCATGTCGCAGAAGTTGAAAGTTGAAAGTTGGGAGAAGTTTCAAATTCCCAGATACATGTCACAGTAGCGAGGGCCCCTGCTTGCGGAAAGTCAAATATGTGCGCACTGCACTGGGCTGCACATACATAAGCTACTTACTTTAAGTACTAGGTATGTCTCTGAAGTACATGGACTTTTAGAGTTCATGTATCACAACAGCAAACAAGAAAGCCCTTTGGCCAAGAGTTTGTATCGTCGACACATAGCAGCTTGTGCAAAAGTAGTGGTCGCCGTTGTTCCACAGACCCTGCTTCTAAAGCCATTCACTGCAGTGTGGTTAAAAGAGGTGGGGCGTACGGAGACGAAACGAGGGTCATCAACCGAAGGCAACCATCAATTTTCCGGAATTCAGGAACCGAGATAAGTTGGCATTCCTCAAGAAGGAAAGGTTTCCCTGTGATTTTACATTTTAATCTGTGGGGTTTCTAGCTCCAAGATTGTCGGGTCGTTAATCCCCTCAATTCGATCAAGCTTCGGTTCGAGACCTCAAATTCGAAAGATAAGAGTTGGGTCAAGCAAGAAAAGTTATCTTGATCAAGACGCATTTCGTTATGCACGTCACATTGAATCCGGCTTTTCAATTCATGAAGCCTCGATTGGAAACATAATTGCGATCTAGCCAGGATGCAACCGGAAGACTGCACGGTGTAACGGAAGACTAACTCGCCGACATGCGACAGTGTGGCGAGGTCTGTCCTATCATGATGAAGCGGCAGACACTTTCTACTTCCGCTGCTTAGGGATAAATACTTAAATATCAATCAAGGGCTGTAGACGCTTAATATCTCACGATATACTTCGCGGTGCTGCATGGACTCGCGTTTTTTATATCACATCATCAGCTTATAAGCTTATGCCCAGCTAGTCGCTTGGTCTTGTGATTCGCGAATTCCTGAGCCGAAAAACCTTTTGCATTCCAAAACTTAACAACTGGTGGAGGTAAATGCTTCTATGCATCATAAATTGATATATCACAGTCTACATGGTATTATTGCATTCGATTGCTTTATTGTGGTAGCATCCACGGAAAAAGCATTGGTCCCAAATATGCAGATCTTGATACGTGAGAGGCATAGTTGACATGGGACGTTGGCGCACGGCGATAAGAAAGCCTCCGCTTCATGCATTCCACTTGCCCCACGGCAGACAGACGCGCAAGCCCAACCGCCCATCCACATTGTCAAACTCGCATATGCATCACATAGCTGAAGCTAGGATAGCACATATGCTATTAGCTGTCTCAGGCCAGGAATGCAGATCTCAGTCACACTATTCACGAGAAGTTCTTAGAGAGATATAGCATTATCATTTTTCATGTAACTGGGGTAACAAAGAAAAGTCGTTGACGGGTTTATGTGCTTTTCCAAAACCTTTGTACATCGAAAAAAATAAAAGCAGGAAGAGGGATATAAAAGATTTAGAGGGTAAAGAGCACAAAGGAAAGAGTATGCTAAACTCCAAAAAAGCTGACCAGCACAAAAAAAGTAAATAAAAAAAAAGAGAGAAGACAAAGGGTTGGGCACATATGAAGTTTTCCAACTGCATCAACCTAATAACTACCTCGACGCATCTTTGCCACCCCTCTACCTATTAGCTATGACTCTGAATGCATCTTCATTAAGTCACCGTTAGGCATCTCGTATCCATGCCACTGTACCGCTTATCCCACGCCGACTGGTTCGACCCTGTTTAAGCACTTTGAACCATCATCATCTTGATCTTTGCGATTGCCAAACCGGGGTTCAGGCCCTTAGGGCAAGTACGAGCGCAGTTCATGATGGTGTGGCATCTATATAGTGACATGCTGTTTTCAAGCATGTCCTTCCTCTGACCGCTCTTTCCGTCACGCGAGTCCGCGAGCCATCTATAATACGCAATGATATACATTAATATCTCATATGTTTTCCCAAACGTTTCGTATATCAGGTCTATATCCTTACCTATAAGCCTGCATCAACACGGCGGGTCCCAAGTATTCTTCCTGGTTCCACCAGTAGCTTGGACACGAGGTGCTGCAGCAAGCGCACAAAATGCACTCATAAAGACCATCCAACTTCTTTCTATCTTCCTTGGTTTGAAGGAATTCCTTGCCCTCTGGTGCCGGCTCCTTGCTCTGCAAGTATGGTTGGATAGATTTATATTGCTTGTAAAAGTTGGTAAGATCCGGCACGAGGTCCTTGACGACGTACATGTGCGGAAGAGGGTATATTCTGGTAGTTGAGCTAGCATCCCTGTTTATACGGCCTATTGGATTGGATGCTGCATTAGCAATTGATGTTCGGACGGCTAAAACAACAATATTGTATAACCGGGGATATATAATCGGCATGTGATCACATACTCAAACAAGCCAATGTATTTGTTCCCTCGATATTCATTGCACAGCTACCACAGATACCTTCTCTGCAACTTCTTCTGAAGGTCAGAGTAGGATCCATTTCGTTCTTGATTTTAATTAAAGCATCAAGAACCATAGGTCCGCACTCGTTCAGGTCGAGCGAGTACTCTTGCATCTGCGGCTTCTTTGTCGGCTCATCGGGTGACCATCTGTAAATTGAGAACTTCTTGACCAAAGGTTCCTTCTTTGTTACAATTTCTTCTTTGGCAAGGGTAGCTAGGCATCTTGTGCTGTTGATGATTGTCGGGGAGAATCGTCGGATATTCGACGAAGCCAGTAGCCGGAGGGTGGGTTGGCGAAGAGATGCCATTGTGGAGTGATACGAGAGAAGTCGCAGATGGGGAAGGCAGGGAACGATGACAGGGAAATAAACAGAGACCAGTGATTTCGTGTCGACGAAATGAAGATGCAGGCGTCGAGGTGATAAAAAGAGACAGAGATTGTGAACAGTGGTGGCGTGAGGCAATAGAATGTTGGTTATTTTCTCATCGGAACAATGTCGAGGGATTTGGTGGTGTTGACCTCGGCCTTCGGATGGCCACACCAAAATTTTCTGACCTCATTGCCTGTGGCCCCTTCGCCCATGTGTTTGCTACGAACCCTGGCCAATCACATCCGCCCAAATTGTAATAGCCAAGAACAGGTTCTGTCTCGGAAAGCTCCACCTGGAATTTACATTTTCATTGGCTGTGAAGATTGGCTTCGGGATCGGGTAACCTGTCGGTTATCTACGCATTGTTGTGAATGTTGGTAAGAATGGAACGATGGACGGGTATAGAAAATACTTAAAATTTGAATCTAATGTACAGGAAGCGATTGTGATTAATTATGAAAAAAGAATAAAGTATAATAGAACAAGAAACGAATGATCTCGTGAACCTAGTCCGTGGCAGTCTGATCCGAATCTACAGTACACAGTGCAGTACAGCGTCAAAGTAAAAAAAAAAAAATCCCTGAAATCGAGTCCCATAAAGCCCGCCTAACACCGTTGTTCCGCTAAATAATAATGCATGCCCAGGACCATCCTGGGAAATAAACCTAAACCCATCAACGGTACTCCCCATCTTCCTCCCGAAGATTCGTTCTATCGTTCATTCCGTCGTAAAAGTGTTCAATCATAAACGTAGTTGTCGCGTGACAAGGAATAAAACTTCAATCAAGCGACGAAGTTTATCTTACATAACTTTCCATCCTAAACGTCCTCATGCTCTTCCTTGCAACATCCAAATCCCCTAAGAAGGTCATCTCAGGTGTGATCTCGTGGTGATGTTCGTCGGCTCCGAAGATGCTACGTCCGACGGCTCGTAAATCCCCAAGCAATTCGGCAGCAGTTCGATCCCACTTAGCAATCTTGATGAGAGGGTAAAGTTCCGCTTCACGTAATCCCTTCAATGTGGTCCCAAGCACTCTAGAGTCGCAGTCCCGGGGGCTCTGCTTCCTATAGTAGAACGATTGAATTCCAACATCGCAAACCGGGTCAACAAACTTATCGATGAAGGCTTGCGTGCACTCGTAGAGGCTAGAAATGCAGGCTGTTCGCGTTTCAATCAGGTCGCCTATTCAATTCATCTCAATCATGTCAGCGCTGTATAAAAGGCTCAAGCAATGAAGATTAAAAACTTACGCTGAAGGGACTCGGGAAGTCTCTGGAAGAACTCATCGTCTTCCTGCTCTCCTTCGCATAGCTTCCAGGACAAGGCGTTGGCGCAATTCTCAAAAACAGCGGTATCCTTGAAAGCCCAGGCAATGAAAAGCCATTTCGACAATAGATCCTTTTCCTTAGTAATCATCAAGCTGATGGCATTGAGAGCAGCATCATCAGTTCCCCTGGTGCCGTCTGCTTCGAGCTCAACCTTAGAGGCACCACCCGACATCCACAATCTAGTCCAAGCCCAAGCTGCATCAACACAATCATACTTGTCAAGAACAATGGCGACCTCGGCAAGTTGATCTCCGGTCAAGACCGCAGGGATCTTTCGGCTCTGAAGGTGGAGGATGTTGCAAACGGTTATTACTGCGGCTGGATCTTCTTCAAACATCAACAATTCAATGTGTTTGTGTTCCTGGAAAACGATGCCCTCGCTGAAACGGTTCGGGGCAAGCAAAGCACGGAAATAAGGACTAGCGATCGTGAGGATGGTGGATGATGCGAGGACCTTGCGTCGGTCCGGAGAGTGAGGCGAACCAACGAGGAGAGCGACATCGGAATTCGGAACGATAGCCACCGGTTCGCAGTTTTGGAAATCTGGGTGAGGGGCAGGAGCTGGAGGAGGCATGACTCTGTTTACTGGCTTCCTAAGGGTCGGAGGTGTGGAAAAAAGGTCTTCGCAGATGCTGTGCTTACGAGCTGTGGGAGTTACCTAATTGAAGTTCGCGAACAGTGAGCCCCTGACTAGTGCTGGAAGTGGCGTACAAGGATAAAGGGGGAAACATACGGGTCTCGACAAGGAGACGGACGAGGCTCGGCTGCTGAAGGCGTCCTCGAGGGATGGTCTGTGAGAGATGCTACGGGAGTTAAGGTAGATGGTGCTGGCAGCGCTGGCGATTGAGTCGGCTCGGCGGCGAGTGATAATGTCGGAGACCTCTGAAATCTGGCCGCCACCGGATAGAACCAACGAGTTGACTCCGCTCGTCACCGTCAAGTTGCCACTACTGCTACTCCCGCTACTACTACCGATAGGCATGATGAATGGATCCGGGTCTGCTAATGGGACCGACAAGTCTATTTCGAGTTCGGATGACGGCTCAAGTTCAGGTGAAGGTTCAAGCTCGGGTTCAGAATGGGGAGGAGCAGATTCAGGCTCGGGGATTTCGTTTGAAGGTTGCATTATGACTGGGACGGAATGGGTCATGATTAATTCTCCGTTCCTGAGCGTTCAAACCCAAATTTTTGTGGGAGATAAAATTGGTAAACGGCGAGAGATATCGATGAGATGGTGATACAATGCAAGGAGAAGAAAGGTCGAATTCTAGAATGGAGAGAACCCTGGAAATCTGGAGCTCACACGAACAGCGACCGAAATGGGAGCGAACCGGCTCCATTTGCCTGCTTCAAAGCCCATCATGACTTGCAGCATCATCTGCCACCAGCGGCGAAGTACCCCAGTCAAAGGCCTTCTGGACCGGATCGCTGTTCATCGTGGTGACCTATCATTGGCCGTGGTTGCGGTGTTTTAGCCAATCAAAAGAAAGAATGTGACATCCTTGTCCTTCGGTCGGCCTGAGAATGCCAGGAACGGGCTGAAAAAGATAATCCAACAGCAGGCCCTAATGAACTAGCCGAAACATTCAAAACTGTTGGGATGATGTTCTAACCCAGCCACTGGATAAATCAAACTTATTGACTCTCTAATTGAAGGCTTTGGTGCAGTGTAATCCTCGAGATTTTGTGTCAGCCGATGTTAAAAATTACCAAAAGGAGATATTTCTATTTAAAGTTGGCTACAGAACCATTATCTCTGTTGTCAGGGAAGTATGATATATTGCCGCATCGAGGCTAGAATTGAAACGTCCCCGATTTCATTCACATGCAAGACAGGTACATATCATGAATCCTCTTCAAAATAATGGTATAGATAAATTAATTCTGTGAAGGTAGTATTGATAAGGTAATTGTATCATTACGAAGAATAATAAATAGATGCGCCCGGGCGAACTTGTTCATTGTCACAGCTACAATTCAAAGTTAGATTTGGTTCATATGACTATCCTAATTCTCGCTTTTAACTTAATTCCACGTTTAAATTAACTCACATTTAAATGATAGTGTATTACATGGCCTAAAGTCTATATATATCGACATGTTGGGAATAGAGAGGCAGTCCTCAAAATTCAGTTGTATCGAATATTGCACCAAGCAAGCACCAAAAAAGTATTATACGTACTTTCAATTCAATTACATTTGTTTTAAAAATACAATAACCCCTTTTATAAATAATTTAGAATCCGCGCATGAGGTATACTTGGAAAGCGTAGCTATCAATATTTAGTTTCAAGTCCATAGAGCGCTTTATATTAACGCGGTAACGTTAACGCGCGGTATACTATTCGCTACTTTAACGTATTCTAGCGGCTCGATACTCAATATTGGAATTGCTTGGTAGTTTATATATAAATTGAACTTGGCTTGTAACATGACTTCTAAACATTCCAAGGTTAATAAAAGTAACGTGGCGATACAAATTAGTCTCGTTCCGAGGAGTCACATGTACAGATATTATATTCTGGAAACATATATATTTTAAACGATAGACTCATAGACTGAACCTATCTCCGAAAACACAAAGAAGGGTATTTATAATGAATATAACACATCAATATTTATTATACCGCTCGCTTGGGAAAAGTTTGGGGCAGCATAGTCGACAGCTCTACGGTCCGTATTGCATCTGAATTTAATAGCTATCGATATATCATATAAGCCGATATATCTAAACGGAATGACATCGACTCGTTGCAACATTCTATAGGCAATTATGAATACTTAACATTTGGGTCCACTAGCATTTTTATACCCATGGATATAGATATATGAACTAATCCATGAGCGATCAGTATATAGTATTGTAGTTTTTTGGTGGGGCTGGGTACGAGACAAATATCGTATCCAGAAATTCGAATAATCGAATCAAGAAGTTTAAAGATGTTACACTACAATCAATATGTTTGCCATGGCTTCCCCGCCAATATATATATCCTTGGCTTTAATTACCCCGCATCTGGAGCTCCTCGATAGTGCAAGTTTGTACTTTGGGCGAAAGCCGTAGTGGGATTTCTAGTTTAGTAGATAGATAATCATCATCGCGAACTCAGCTTCTTCCACGAGAAACTACATAATCATTAGTTGTACTGTCCCATATATAATATAATTAGAGTATTCAGCATATCTATAAGCTCGAAAGATTATTATGAGATGAGTAGATAAAGTTAATGAGATCCTCGAGAGAACGCCGGACGACGATACATATATGCGTATACCAGTCTAAGCACGAACCTACTTTCTAGATATCTCTTATCCGTGTTCGCACCATCAATATGCCCATAAAGATATCCTAGGTCGACTTGGGTATGTCCCAGATACCCATCGGAAACGTATTCCGATGCCAAAAGACGCCCATGTCTGTAGACTTCAAGCCCATAGTACTTACTGTACCGAAAAGTCCCCAGAAATTTAGGCATCGATGCCTATGCGTATATATTATCAATATCCCCAAGATCTAGAAGCCACCTGGCATTATCACGGGGCTATGCGCGGGGGCGGCACTAGACTATATCTATGTAGCTATCAGTTTCCAACCCTGCAATGATGTCAACCCTCGTTACCAAAGTAGCCCGATTTATAATAGGTATAGTAAATCCTAACTTAACATCGCTTCACATAAACTTGCCATGGCGGCCATGGCGCCAGAGACTTCCGGTAACATTTCTCAGATATAAAATTTTAAAACTTTGACCATCCGGATTCATGACTCAAGTCTAGATAGTGCATGTGTATGAAGTTGAGTTCTCTTGGAAAATTATATATGAGGCCAGGTTTCTTGGGGGTAAGGCCGTGCGGGGTTGGGAGTCTCCAGGCGACCATACTCTTACAAAGCTTTCTTTTAAATCTACGCCCGGAATCGAACATTCTACGGGTCGATCTAGATCTAGAATTAATAAATTCCCGACATTATCCAAATTGTTGCAGCGGATTGAGAGAACGGCAACTTTCATCCGAGTTACTCTATCAGCTACAACCGTCGGTATCGCGACATTGTATAGATATTCGGATATATAATATATATTCGTCTGCATAAACTTGCTCACCGGCTGAATATAAAGCCTGTACTTGGTACCTGAATTAACAGGTAGGACCTTGTTGAATCGGTTCGAACGCCTTCGGGCTTCGCTGCGCGACATGGCATTGCTTACTTTCTAGATTAACTAGATGTGTAGTTTTAAGCGGGATACAAGAGTAATGTATGGGATGAAGGGTTGAACGAATTTGGAGTTTAGCCGTTTTATCCGCTCGTCGTTTCCCAGGGTATAGTCTTAGTTTCGAAGATATAACCTGGCCCTTGTGAAGACCGTCGACGTGATCAGATGTCTGGCCATGGCATGACATAATAGTTGCAGCTCATGAGCACTAGAAAACTTAGACACTTAAATAAGTGGCTTGTATTAGACGCTGATTACACATCGAACTGTCTAGCTGTGGCATCGAATCATTTGTGGCATGAGGCGCGGCACTGCTTGACATTTTTCTCCTGCAATTTTAATTAATCTTTATAGATGATCCAGGAGTTAAGGGAGCGCCTTGATCAAGGGCTTATGTGGAGATCTCAAATAAAAAATTTGTATACTTCGTTAGAGTTTTGTGGATTCGAGCCTCCTTTTGTGGATTGCATAGAAGAATTCGAATCTTGGAATACCTGGGTTTTCATGTTCGAGACGAACTAGAGAAGCATTTTTCTTCTTTATGGGCAATCAAAACCGAGACACATCTTGGTCAAAGCTCCGCTAATATTATCAGATCAAAGATATAGGTTATATTTGGGCCCTTAAGATCATACCACTGACAGATTTGAGGCTTTCGATCTTTAAGGTTGTGGTATCGAGTTGACGCCCACACCCAAAATGTCTGAATTGGGTAGAAGCGCAGGGATTAAGACGCTGGTTCGCCCCTGCCCAGCGGTTTCAACACCAAAACCCCAACAGGCCATCGGGATAAATTCGAATGGATCCGAAAGCACTGGGCACGCAGGGGTCTGGAATAACGGCCAACCTTACCGACGTTGTGGGCCCGTTCACTCAGATTTCGAAACAATCGAACATTAGGAAGGCGCTCATAGAAACTATCCACCTGCGCATCTCGTAACGTAAGATACCTGGTCAATTCTGTCTTTTTACTACCACCAAAGCGTTTTGATCACACGGTTAGCCAGCTGCCTGGCCCGCCTAGACATGCCAGTGTCCTTGCCGAATCAGCGTGGTAATCAAGCACTCATCCTTGGGTCTTGAGAAGTCTTGTCCACGGCACGATGGTCAGCATACGTATGACCATATGGAATTGAGTGCTCCATGGACTGGGGCATGTTACATCTTGCAACCTCGATGTTGCCCCGGATTACTCTCGAGCTCTAGCCATGGGGCCATAGACAATCCGAACTTGAGAAGTATATAGAGGGGCAGAATGCCCTCTAGATTTACACACCATCTTCCTTCTCTCATCAGCACCCAAGTGGTAGTCAAAAGTTTTATTTAATATCTTTGCATTACTTTGATAGTAGTTTAACCAAACTTCAAGAATTGATTTCAAAATGAAGGTTTCCGGAATCCTCGCCAGTGGCGCTTTCCTCTTGCAGACTGCGTCTGCCCATTGTAAGGAAAACACTCAATATCAACATATAGTTGATGATATATATCGAACCTCGATACTAACTTACACTCATCAAAGACATCTTCCAAACTGTCAATGGCGGCCCCGCATACCAGTACTTCCGTACAAACACCAACTACAACTCTCCAGTTGTTGACGTCACCAGCAGTGATATGAGATGCAATGTTGGTGCTCTTACTGGTGGCTCGACACAAACTTTGACAGTTTCTGCCGGTAGCAAGCTTACTCTTGGACTTGACACCGCTGTTTACCACAACGGCCCAATCCTGTTCTACCTCGGACGAGCCAGTGGCTCTGCCCAATCCTGGGATGGTAGCGGTGCTAACTGGGTAGGTTAAAATCAGAATGTCAGGACACAAATATAGTACAATTATCTAACAAGATGGCGAAAAATAGTTCAAGTTCGAGCAGCGAGGACCATCGTTCTCTGGTGGCTCCGTCACATGGCCAATGAGCGGTAAGCTTTAACTCTAGCCCTTCTTTCGAGTTATCAAGAGGAAGAGAAATACTAAACGTACCGTAGTCTCCTACGATGTCACAATCCCATCTGGTGTTCCATCGGGCCAGTGGCTCCTCCGTGCCGAGCAAATCGGCATCCACAACCCCTACCCAGCTGGTGACCCACAGTTCTACATTGGCTGTGCTCAACTCCAGATCACCAACGGTGGCAGCTGCTCACCAAACTACTTCTCCATCCCTGGACACATTTCGGCCACTGACCCTGGTATCACCGTCAACATCTACTCCAACTTCAACAGCTATACCTTCCCTGGTCCAGCTGCCCAGGCCTGCAACGGTGGCGGTGGTGGAAACCCAACTACCACCGCTGCTCGCACTACCACTGCTGCTCAAACCACCCTTGTGACTCGAACCACCACTGCGGCTACCACCGCCCGCACCACTACTACCGCTGCCCGCACCACCACTACTCCTGCCGGTAGCACTGGAGGTTCTCCACTTTACGGACAGTGTGGAGGTATTGGCTGGACTGGCCCAACTTCTTGCTCTCAAGGCACTTGCAAGGAGCTTAACGCCTACTACAGCCAGTGCGTCAATTAAATTTTCAATGGCTGAGGTGTTTAGTTGAGAGGTTGTAGATATTTCTCTGGGTTTGTTTTCTGGGTTGCATTTACTTTCTTAGACATGTATATATTACTACCATATAACATAATATACTGTGCATAGCGATTTGAAATTGCTTTTTTTTAATTCATTTCTTCTACTTTGGCAAATTTTCCGTGGTATCTTAATATTGTAACCCTATAGCCCCTTGGGCTTAATGCTGCGTGTCGCCAAACCCTCAAGTCTATAGTATGCATATGGTGGGGGTCATCAAAAGGATATGACTGGATCACCATTAAGTTTATAAGTAGAATTAGGGTTTGTAAATTCCCTATGTACCTATTTAACCCTCCAGTTATCTTAATCGTACAGAATTAGAGACGAAGACAACTAGACTAGAAACGAAGCAAAATTAAACATGCTAATAGCAAACAATATCACAGTTTCGTTGTGAGATTGAAACGATATAATACCGTCCCTGTAGTAGGCTGCTGGATTTTCCAAAAAAATGTTGCGCAACCGAATCCACTCCCAGAATCTCTACGGAAATATAACCCCGAAGTATGTTGCATCTCGAGGATTTGCAGCACATGATTAAAAACCCTATAGCCGCTCACATCCGTTCAGAATATAAATCCTCCTGCTATCAGACTTGGCCCCGGAGTCATGTTCTCCAGATTCCTTGGTAACTCATTTCAGGCTAAGTGTCGACAAGAGGCTAGTCTACTATAGTTATTAACTCGCGAAAGAAAATTGTCGAAAGCGAGCTCGGCTATGCAAGTAAGAAATCGAGTGGCGTATTCGATATGTAATAGATACGTTGAAGGGTCGCAAAATCCGGGTTTGCACACCGTCGGAGTCCGTTCCCGAAAAGCTTTCTTGATATCGATACCTGACTCGACATCGATACTGACCACGTGCCATAAGGCAGGTAGTCTCCCGTACTCTGTTTTAAACGGGATTAATAAGAATTAATAATCGGAGCATTCAAATGAGGGGCCTTGAGAGTCTATTCATGAATTCAGCTGCATGGCGAAACCCTGAAGTTACGATTCTGACATAAGGTCATGGATGTCCTGTGTAAATTCAGACATCGAAGCACACACTGTTGACTATTGGCGGTTTCTTAGTGGGCTATTTGCTTCAAACATCCCCAACTCCCTGAAACGGAAAACAGGGCCTTATCATCTAGGCTTAAGAAATGTGCTTAGCTTAGGTCCGGTATATAATCTGTCCATTCTCGATATGATTTTCGAATATTTTGAATCTACTTTAACACTGGGTTATAATGACGATTGAAACTTATTTCTACAATGTGTCAATGCCGTTTCGACAGTTGTTTAAACGTGGAATGTTTGTCTCGACATCCTGAAAGTTACTTTCAGATACATTCCCGTTTGAGACCTATAACGTCAAAGATAGAGTCGTCTATAGCAAATTCAAACAATCTCACGTTGCACAGGGCCTTGTCACAACACACTTTCCTGTGTTACACTTCCACGTTTGTCGACAATTACCCAATTAGGCTAGCCAGGAACCAATCGTCTTGGCGCTAACTGCTCTCCAGCAAATGAGGAGCAAGAGCCGACATGCTGACCCTTGTCGGCAGGTCCATCCCCCTTATCTCACTGCAATTTCCCCAATCATCCGCTGGCCACCATGCATTGAAGTGTCCAACCAGGCGCCAGAAGGGCTTATTTTGCCATGACAGATTGCCCTCTTTTCCCATCTTTCGACTTTTGTTTGCAAGTTTGCTTACGACTACAATTTGCTCCCATTTCGTCACTGGCGACGTCGATCTGAGGGGAACAAGTATCGAATTCAAGGATTGCATCGATTGCAGTTTGCGCAGTTTTATAATTCAATCTTTATAAAAGGTTGTAGAATGGTCTAGCGGGCGCATTTCTCCGAAAAGCAATATTCTTCCGTCACAATCACTCCGAATCAAGAAAGGCTAAGAATCAAGCCATGGCGACACCAAAGCGAGACCTCGAGTCACTTCCGCTTCCCGACGATAATTTCAAGCGTTTGGAATCGGAAAACTCATCAATAACAGACCTTACAACTTTACCCCCAGCTTACACGGCTCCGATTTATACTTCGGCTTCGAGGAAATGGTACCAGCTGCCATCTGCGAAGGAGGTAGGGTCGTTCAAGTTGAAGCCGTATGAGAAGGAAACACTTTCCGAGCCAGCTCGGATTTTTGGGATTCGAAGACTATATTTCCTAGCAGGAACTGGGATTTTGTTCCTGATTATCTTAATTATTGCGCTGGCGGCTGGACTGTCAGGCAAGAAAAAGCTTGAGTATGTGTACTACTATTGTTTGGTTTACTCCGTAGATGAACTACACTAACAACACCCGGAAAACGCAGTGTCTTCTTACCCCTACCTACTTCAGCACAAACATTTAAAGGTGATGCAACATATTACGACACTGGGCTTGGTGCCTGTGGCTTCGATAATGCTGGCACAGAGCATGTTATCGCTGTTTCTCATTTCCTTTGGGACTCCCAAAACGTCGGCACGAACCCGAATGCAAACCCATTATGTGGTCTTATGATCCGTGCGACGAGGTACCGACCAAATAACGAGGCGTTCTTGATCGGGGCACCCGGAGCGAAGGATACACCGGGAGGAAAGAATGTTAGTGTTGATGTTAAGATCGTGGATCGATGTGTTGGGTGTGCGGCGACGGATTTGGACTTTTCGAGAGCGGCATTTGATATATTGGCGGATCAGGCGATGGGGAGAGTTTTGATGGATTGGGCATGGTTGTAACATGGATCTGGCCTAGACTGTCAGGTTCTTGATTTATCGATAGCGGGTTTAATTTTTAATGCATTTAATGTATGATGCAAGCGGCATGGCGTTGAATTTGTTTGGCATATTCATTTCTCTGTATGATACCACATCATTTCTATTTGCTATTGATTGATTATTTTACCGGATTGCTCCATTCTTCTCTGGGAAAATACCTACGTATTCTCGATGTTGAAAGCTATTGAGAGGGTGGTAACTCGTTTTAGGTCTAGATTGTCTCGCCGCTATAAACATACCATGCATGCATGGGTCCAGGGCTCCAGGACTTTCAGGCCTGGATACGAGACAAGGTCTAGAACTGTATCGCTGGTTCAACAAAACTATAGGCTCTATAGACAATATAGACTATCGGTTGAGATTTTGGTGGATCGTTGTGTCCGTGCACACGTAATGGTTGGGAAGCTGGCTGAGCAATGGACTTTCGAACCTTTGGTATTTAGTGATGTCACCAAATATTGTCTTCTCTAACAGTACCACTACCACTAACGTGGCAACCTAGCTAGCTAGGCTAACCCCGCCATCATAATTCTTGTATCATAACTACATGTAGCTGTATATAGAAGAATTCCTACGGAATAGCGATTAGTTCGTCATATAAGACACGAAGTTTCGCCAGCGGGTAAAATAGGACTAATGAAAAGCTAATTTTAGATTTCCATCTCTTATAAGTCGAATGATATTAGAGATACATACCTAGGTCAGTGCTTCCTTTCTACTATGAAGTTAAATTGAAAATGAATATTGTGTCGTGGGATCAGTGTAGAACTAAGTACTCAAGCGAGTATAAGTACGAAACTATCAAAGCTGTATATAATATCTCATGGGTCAAATTAACAATATTTAAGGCAATACTGTTCTGCATGGCGCCAGGGTGAAATACTGTATACTAATAATCTATACCTTATGTATAATGTACTTTCTAGAATTCTCTCAAAGGTTTGATTAATGGTTACAAGAGTAAAGATCATAAGAACACAACGCGAAAAATGCAACAGGAGATACAATTCAGGAACGTTGTTTCGCCAGATCGGGAGGAGACCACTGTTTCAGGTTCGACTGGCCAACTCATCCCACCCACACTTGCATAAGCTGCATCGATGCACAGTCGACCTATAGATGCTTTTAAAACTATTAATACTTGTTTTCATTTTTAATCGGGAACTTAAAAGACCTCGCTGTTGAACTCGAGTCTCTCAACATTGCACTACAATATATTTGTATCACTCAACCCCTCCTCTCTCTCTCGTTTCCAGTATATTAGTCCGTTCGTTCGCCTCCCGTAATGGGAAATCACTAACTAACAGGCACAGCTCAGAGCTTAGAGGAGGCTATGCAGGCCTGATCCTGAAGGCGTCTTGGACGTGTTCTGTTCAACCTTGCAACTTGACCTAGAATTTTCCTCATTTGTATTTCCAAATACCTCGCCTTCCCTGGCACGTACTTTCGGTCATTCGATTCTCAGTCGGATATTCCCCCCCTGACTGTCTTTCTGTGCTTTTTCGTTTCCTTTCTATTCTCGTGTTCATCTTTGATCCTTTCTGTTCCTCTGTCATGGTCATACTCGCCAAGTAGCTATACCAAAGGTGCAAGCTGCTCTGCTCCGTTTCTTTTTTTATTATTATTGTGGGCCACCCCACAGGGAGGGAGAAAAAAACACGGATAGTCGGATAGTTCTCGAGAGTTTATCCCGAATCTGCAGGACCCCGAAAGCCTCCCGCGTCAACGAGATATACACACCGGTGTAGTAAATTCGTGGCATGCGTTTTCCTGGGCCAGATGATTCATACAGAACCGGAACGGGTGTCAAGCTGAGATTGGGCGTCTACCGACTGATATAATTCGGGTTAGTATGCTGTCATCGTTCTTCTTCGGTGGCGGTGGATCTGGAGGGGCAGTTGGTCATCAGCATCGTCATGGAGGGGCTATAAGGGACGAGAAGGCAGGCCGGCGAGGCAGTAGCAATAGCCCTACCTCTTCTCCAAACACCAACGGTGGCACTGCCAATACAAATAGCCGAAGCTGGACGTCACTTTTCCTCAGGAGAGACAAGAATAACTCAACGCCGGATAGTGATTATAGTAGTCGAAGTGCGAATAGGAATAGCCATGATGTTATCAAGAAAAGTCGAAAGTCGCCGGATGCAATAACTGCCTCCTCGAGATCAACTTCGACGCTGTCGCTGCTCGAGCTCGAACTTGCCCGCCCCGCACAAACTCAGGTTCCTGTTCAAGGTCAGGTTCCTGGTCGGGTTCCTGTTCAAGATCAGACAGGGTCCTCGCCCTCCAACAGATCCGCCTTAACCCCAAAACCTCACCGCCGTCATTCCTCAGCCCAGCACACCAGTGCCGCTCCCACCACCGCTGCTACTGCCAAACCCAAGGCTTCTTCAAAACTTCAGCGGCAATCTGCCCCAGTATCTTCAAAGAAAATTTCTAACCATCCTCAGCCGTCTCCGGATTTGTTGGACTCGAAACGAGGGAATTCTGCACCTAACAATATCGTCGTCGGGCAGCCGACAGGGGGCTACTTGTCCAGCAAACCGAACCAGGCTGAACCCCGAATCCCACCGTCTTTTCGACATTCCGCCTTTGGACCTGCATTGCTTGCCCAAAAACCTCTTTTCCCCAAACCTGCAGCCTACCTTTACACTGTCCGGAGTGCTCTCTCGTATGTATTTCTTATACACCACCAGATATCATATCCTTCTCAACAAAAAAAAAACAAAAGCATATTCATCTAGAATATTTTAGAGTCTGAGTATGTGTTGTTGCTGACCCTGATTACCCACTACGTCAACACTAGATCGACGATGTCCGCAAGTTCGCCGTCCCCTCCGCCCTTAGACCCACCGAAAAGGCACATCAAAAGGGACCGCACCCCTTCTCCTACAAGACGTCACTCTACCACTCGGAAGGTTAAAACTCCTACTTCTCGCGACGTCGAACACCCCGATATTACCTGTCCCGAACTTCCTACACCTCCCGACTCCCGGAGAGCTACTCCAGCTCACTCTCATCGACCTAGGGAATCGTCTAGGAATCTGACGACAATCAAGGAAGATGCCCCGGAAAGAAGTAGAGAACGGGCGAAGAAGCATCGTCGGCATAGGACACAGGAGGAGAGGGAGGAGAAAGAGAGAGAGAGGAGAAAACGAAGGGCTCGAGAAGCTGAAGAAGATAGACTTGAAGACATTCGACGGCACCGTGATAGAACTCCAGTTAGCCTGACTCCGGAACAACCTACCCGTACTCCACCACCGCCTCCGGCTGGTGAACCAATACCGCCACCAAGATATACGACACCAGTGATACCAAGGAGGGAGTCGTCTACACCAGGCGCCCAATCAATGCTACGAGCGAGTGCTACGACGATCTTCCAGGCCATAAAAACAGTGGGGTCAAAATCTTCGAGAGATCAATTGAGTAATCCATCGCCTAAATCTAGTGGCACCCGTGTGGTCTTACAGCAAACGGAGCAATCCATCAAAGTCAAAGTTGATAGCCCCAACCGTCCCAGACATATTCACCGTGACGAAGGCGACTCAACAGACTCTGATGAACTTGAACAACCCCATACCCCTGAAGGAGCAGAGTTCCCAATAGCGAAGAATCAGGAACGGAAAGGTTCAGTGCAAGTTTCGCCCAATGTCAAAATTGTAGGGGAGGATGTATCGGAAGATTTGATAAACGAAAGGGAGACTATTGACTTTCTGCTACCTTACGGTGGGCTACGAGAGCAATTCGATTCGGGCTATGAGATTGAGCAGGAAATGCCTGAAGACGAGCTTGATGAAGAAGATTCAGAAGGAGACGATGAGACCGTACATGCGCCCGGCGCACAGCCAGTGAAGAAGAAGTCACATCATACCCTTGCGAACTCGGCCGTCAACATCGACCCACTAAGTCAACAGCTACCGGTTTTACTTAGCCTGATTGATAATACGGTGACCGCTTACGAAACTATATTAGAAACACAAGGATCGTTCGCCGTTGGAATCGGTGGATATCAACCTGTTGCCCGCCGCCTTCTAGAAAAGGTTGGGAAGATATTTTCGAGGGAGCTACCTCCAGATGCTGCCACTTGGGGTGAAACATTGGAGTATATCAGCGGCAGGAAAGCTTACCCTGAGCTTTGTGATGTTGACTTCAATGACGATGAGGCAATTTCGGAGTTCTTTGAGCATGATGGTGAGAAGATGTTTATCTTCAATGCTTGCCTAGAAGAACCTGAAGTCCTTGACCCAGCCGTTATTGGCCTCAGAAGATTAATGGAAGAAGACGTCACTCCGGAAGAAACAGCGATCTACCTCACTAGCTACCCGCATATTCGACCTCTGTTGCTCGCCTGTAGGCACATGACTGACGATGAATTGGACATTCTTTACAGCAAAAGGGCTACTGCATTCCTAGATGTCGACGTTGCCGTACGGTCTGACAAGCAGCGTGAGGTAACCGAATGCGCTGAACTCAGTAAGGGCATCGACGAAACAGTCAAACAGCTCGAAGCCACTATTGCACGCATGAAAACCGTTCAAACCAATATCCTCAAGCGGAAAAAAGGGATTGAAGCCCATCTTTCAATTCACGCCCCGAATGATGATGAAATACCAAGCCTGCCTGCTGAAATTCAAACCGCGATTGACGAAATACAAAACGAGGATATAATTAGAATGGAGGAGCGTAAACGCAGAAGGAAGGAGTTGAGGGAGGAGGCGGAGGAGGAAGATGATGGGGATACGCTGCTTCCGGATGATAGTATCAGCCAGATTAATCCGTACAGGGCGAGGTATATTCCGCAGAGTGTTACCAGGGCATATCAAGAGGCACAAACGAGGGCAGCAGCATCGGTAGCACAGGTACCCGCTAGTGTGGCGTCAACTAAAACTTCAACCTCGATCTTGCAAGAATACCTCACAGCGCGAGCGCCTCCAAGGCAAACGCAGCTGGGAGTCCATGGTAACAGTCATATTGCGCACTCTGCAGGTTACGACCCTAGCAACCCAACTGGAATGGGTCATCTAAGTGTTCCCAAGAAGCCCAACGCCTATCTGAGGATGGCTCTTCCCTCCAAAGTTTACGGTACATTTGTGAATGATATCAAAGATGCAGTGCGAAGGCTCCCAATACACAATTTAAATAGAAACCTGGAGGTTATCCCGGAGAGAGGGGAGACGCCAGAGGTTGGTAGAAGTGGGACCCCTGACACGCACCAACATTTGCAAACCTCGTCTCCCCATGATGATGCTCTCTATAGAAGCAACTCAAGGGGCTCAACTAAGACCCCTGTGAGGAATGCGAGCGGTGCTTCCAGTAAGAAGAGCGGGTTGTTCAGCAAGAAGCCGATAGATGATACAGATAGAAGTTGCACGCCTGTCATTGTACATAGTGGCGTTGGAGGGTATGGGAGTTCGAAACCAGTAGTCGTAACAAACGATGCAGGTGTGAACATCAAGAAAGATAAGGAGAAAAGCGATAGGGAGAGGGAGAGGCGAAAGCGAGAGAAAGGGAAAAGCGGAAGTAGTAGTCGTCGGCGAGAGAGTTACGCTGAGAAGCCGAGAAGATAAAAAAGTTGTTACCTTCAATGAGTTCGTTGGGGACATGATAAAATGATCTGCATGGTTAATTCGGCGTCGTTACCAAGGTTTGAGTTCTGCTATCTTTCTTCTATTTTGCACTCCATCTGTGGTAGCTGTAGTACGGCTTGCCATATTTTGTTCTTGCATCCTGCATATTCGCGCGAGCAAGTCTCATCTTTCATTTCTGCTTAGCGTTCCTGGATTTTCCTTTGGTTTTAATGTTTTTGCTTATGGATTTAGCGGGAGTTGAGATTTTGATTTTACACCATCTTTGCAAGACGTTTAAGCCTTCATCGCTTTGTCATTTATCGATTTATCGATCTCAAAAATCGATTTATTGACTCCTAGAACGTTCCGAGTTTAAGTTTGGGGCGAGGCATTTTGGATGTATTTTGTACAACAATAAGCAAAAGCAAATTTTATGGGTTAAACAAATAATCTAGCATCTGAAACCCCGCTGTCGTACAATATTGATTTCCGGCGAAGTCAAGCTGGAAGATATGATGTTCAACATTTTACGATCACAGTGCAGACCTGTTGTAGATTTAGTGTTGTCGCTTGGCCCGGTTGCGGGTCGCCGATGCTGGGCCAGCTAATAGGATCGCAGCCCGGTCTAGAAGTTGTGACCCCTTTCCAAATTACCTAATTCTTACCCAGATAGTCAACGGATTGACCATGGATTCAACAACCAACCTTATAGATCGAACTGATGGCTACAGACCAGAAATTAACTACCTGGTAGCCGGTGCCAGCGGGTGCGGGAAAACCACATTCCTCGAGTGAGTCTATGCACATCTTCAGCTATTCTAGCTATCCTTCGATATCATAATGGTCTCTAATATGTAACTCTGAAGACGGATTACGATAGGCAAGATTGGTGGTGTATGTAACTACAATACCCTATTTCCTCACCGATTGTAGACGGTGCCATTTTTGCGCGATAGTACTTCGGAATTTATGACTAAACCTTGCATTTCCAACCTTTCTTAACATCTAGGATGACTTCCGAGTCCCCAACAAACCATTCGTGCTCACCAATTCCGCACAAGAGAATTCGCCGCTTCTGAATTTTCACGAGAGTGAGTGTGTAGATCTAGAGCAGAAGAAAGTGCGACCAGAGGTCCTCGTACTATGCTATGATATCGGCAATCCAGCTTCGTTAGAGGAGTTAGACCCTATCGTCAGTCTTCCCGGTTTATAAATCTACAAATATTTTCCTGTGGGTGTGTATAACCGACATATTAATACCTACGATATATAGAACCGGGAGGTAGCTAGGATCTACGGCGCCGATATTGCAGTTGTGGTTATCGGCCTCAAGAGGGATTTACGACATGAAAAGCAGGAAGGGGAGTTCATTGACCCGTTGGTAGTAAGTAAACAGCCACCTACCAAAGCCTTTCCCATTTCCCGCTGCCTCGTGATCGTCACACCCTGCATTTTGAATCCCATTTTATCCGACAATCATTGTTACCTGGTTCTGCAATTTGACCCTCGACAAGGGGCGCTTGTCCTGGCAAAAGCTTGCATTAAACTCCCCAGCAAAAACCTGGTCAAACTCGTCCCTTCCATGATAGTATATAAATGCCGATAACTATATGCTGACATGGATTTGGGTTTTCCGTCTTACCTTTTACTAGGGATATAAAACAGCACAGGCCTTGGAGGGTGCTATGTACTTGGAATGCAGCGCGACAACTGAGGAACTTATTCCTGCTGTTGTTGAGGATTTGGTGAAGAAGGGATTGGATGTTAAGACAGGGAAGGCGTATCAGGCGTCGGGGATAGGGAACTGTATTGTTTGTTAAGAACACTTTTTTTTTCGAAGTCTGGTTTGAGACAAGTTGCATTGTGAGTTATTGAGTAATTATACTTACTAAGTATTCATGCCTGGAAATTCTTCCGGAGCATAGGCTATCGCTTCGTGACTCCTATAGTTTGCTATTTCGACCTCCCCATTTATGGAGGTCCCTTATTTTTCCAATGAATATATTGGGAGTGCCTATAGTTTAGTTGTTTTTTCACAGCATTTCAAATTTAACTTTAGTACCAAACTTATTCAATAATATAAAAGTTACCATGTGGGGAACTATTGAATTGAGGAGATCTAGATCTGAGGGCCTGCCCCTATAGTTCTTTGACTGAATTAGGAACTGCTAGCTTGCTTCTAGAATCCTTGCTTTTCTTAGTATATAGGAGGAAATTCAGGAGAAAAATGAGATGATGTGTCTCTTGTATATAATTGGGGATTGGCTACTATAGGAGGAGAGAGGATAAGAGCCATTCCTATATATATTTTGTTGATATTGGTGGAATTGGGCGGCTTAGGGCAAAGTGTGGACCGCGTCTGCAATACGAGACTAGGCTTAAGATTCTCTGATTTACTTGATTTTGATGGGATTTTCCTTTCATGAAAATAATCAGATGATCGGTTGGGGTGGGCAGTGGTTTTTATAAAGTGCATGCAAAGATGGAAGAAAGTCGTATCAATTGATCAATGCAATGCGTATGGCTCACCATGTGGAGCACTTGGTAGATATGTTCATGTATATAGCGGGGACAATGGATACCAAGATGATGTTCACGATCGAAAATGGACCTACTTAATTAACATAACGGTCAAAAAAATATTGGGATTCTTCTTGGAATAGCCACCCGGATGGTACATTGCGACTGGTTATTTGACATAATATTCGACAATGGGAAGTTGATACTATGGAAAAGTTCCAAGTAGAGATATGTAGCGGCTGCAACGACTAAGGCAGAATACACCACAATGAGCGGCGCTAGTGCACGTACGCTAAGGAGATGACTTGGCTGGAGCTGCTGATAAAGGAGATATTGCCGATGGGGAAGACGAGACTTATATTTATAGATGCAAAGGATTCATGTATACATGAATCCTTAGCTCTACTAACTTGGAAAATTCTTGAGTCATTCCTAGAACGTTTAGTCCTGACCCCGCAGGGCGATCTATTCGTTTGTTTATATGTTCTGAGTATGCCTTTTGGCCTACCAATTATTTATCTATATGTCAAGACTAAGATGGTTCGACAGAGAGTGGGTGAGATGGCGTATTATATAACGGATAGGCTTGTAATATGCAAGCTGGTTTGTAATTGTAATAAGTAGTAAGCTTCATGTGGGGAAGACCTATAGGCGGGTTTGGGTAGGCAGGCCGCCGAGCTAGGAAAAAGTCGAAAAGCTTCAACATAATTAATACATACTTAGAGGAGGATGGTGGAGTCTTTCAGACAGCAATGCTCATCTTCAGATTAAAGCGAGGCCCTTCCTATTACGCCCATCTACGCGCGCTTTACGAAATAAAGTTTAAAATATAATGTCGAATTCCACAACGAACTATTAAGTGAACCGCAAGGAGTAAGTCCTGGAGACTCTGATCTCAAGCTAAGGAAAGGAAAGGATTATAGCCACGCCTTTAAAGCCTAGACGGACACTGTGAGATGATAATGTAGGGCCATCGGAAAGCCGGAACTATCCCAGCTGTTGTCATTATACATATATGTAACTTTTATGTCTGGTACACATTGCTTTTGGGAGCAAACGTACAGCGAAGATGTTAAATTTAAAATGCAACAGACAACCCCAAGATTCACATGACATCCGCTCCAGCCGGCTCAAAAACATTCCCAACCTAATCAAAACCCCTTTCCCTGATCTAGTAGGTACTCACTTACCATCATGCACCCTTATCTTTTATTTTTCTTTTTTTATATTTTTCTTTTTGAACAAGAAGAGACAGAACTCAAGGAGAAAATAAAAAACAAAAATTAAAAAGAAGCCAGCGAGGTTTCGATATCACAATTCGTCCCCAGTTACCTATTTGAGGCCGAATTAACCATCATTACCATTCTTTTTCAACAACCTTCCCTAGTTAGAAGTCTCTAAATAAGCATTTTGAGCTTTGTACCAACTTGGCTGATTGAGCGTTAAGCCTTAGTATTAGACTTCAGGCTCTAGGTCAGTACCTATTAGCTAAAGCTAAGTATTTGGGTTGAGAACAGAGTATTGTCATTGTATTACCTTGTTGTGGGATACGGAAGGGCGATGCGCTAGAGCTCAGGTCCGGAGCTCAAGTGTTTCCAGTTGAGCCCATCAAGCTGTGGTGGATGTTGATCTTGCATAAAGCCTGAGAAGCCGTCGCATTGTCGGGCATGACCCTAAGACCCAGGTTACGTACCGACTTGCTGGATTTGCCGCATATGCACCAGAAGGTGTTTCTTTTACAATCCGGCATCCGATGGCTGATCATGATTGGGACATGTAGCTATAGATGGCTCAGGAGAATTGTCGACAGCGCTCAGATGAATTGAGATCGACCTCAACGTTAACTCGCGCAAGATACTTTAAATTTACTTGAAAGAGGGACGGAATACCTAATAGTGCTGAAGCAGTGGCACAAAAGCTAGTCTTGATCAGAATTTACTGGCCGAGCCGGGGAGCTAGTCGGATGCCCACATCGTCGCGTATCCGGGTAACGGATGATCGGTAGTACAGAATTTACTAGGTTACTTAAACGGTTGCGTAAATATTGATGCTTTGTTCGGGTAGGTATGGGACTTTTGTAAGCATTGATTGAGCAGATTAATATTAAGTTCGAAGCTAATTGGGAACTATCAAGTAGACCCGAAGACTCGTTAAAGCTTCTAGACTTTCGCCTATCAAAAACGGAACTTGAGACGATCAAAATCCTAGGAATGACCAAACGTACATTATGCATATGCACAAGTACGCCAAATCAATGTGTGATAATATTATGCCAATTTTATTGAATAATTCCTTTTTGGATTTTTAGAGGGGCTAAATTAGGGCTGGCGCTAATAGAAAGCCCCACTAAATAAGGTTCTTCTAACCAAATGTATATCTGAACGTTCTAATATAGAAGCAATGCTATGCGTACCAGAGCAGATGATCTGATCGTTAGCCTTCGCTAAGCTTAGCCCTGCATGCTTGTGGCTAGGCATTATTTGAGGGAAACCAGATTACCCATTCTGGTAATAATTAGCAGTTCGCGAACAGTAGATTTCTTCTTTCCTCCCTCGATCTAACTCTTGCGTATGAACTCTATATGGTGGACCTCCTCAGATAGTCGTATTGTGCAATATCATGAGTTATAATATAGGTAAGTGGCTAATAGTTGTGGTTTTCTGGCTTCTATTTTTGCTTTTCTGGCTCGTGCTGACGGAGCTAAGCGAAACGCTAAAATGGGTTAGGTAATATAAAAACTTTTGGCCAGACTATTAGGCGAAGGGTCAATCTCGACTACTGACGGGTAATCGAGCTACTGGGTCTGTTACTATAGGTCCACTTCGCTCTTTTGAAATAACCTCGTGTAACATTACAACACTGTGTCACCAAGTTATATACTAGAAACCTATTGTTGAATTTGCAATTGCCCGTGCAGAGTCACCATCTTAGATGAAGGCAAAAGTCAATACAAAAGTATATTAGGAAAAGGGAATGTAAATCTACCATTAGAAAAGCAAGTTTGCATGTTGTAGTATAAAAATAATACTAATCGTGGCTAGTGGGGTGAAGGATAAGGTAGTGGGGGATAACGTATAACCACAATGTAGAATCTTAAACTTTAAACTATCTAAAATTTCTTTTGCTGATACAGCTTTCTAAAGCCGCACAAATCACTTATCGTTTTCCGAAATGGACGTAGATGATGCGAGTTTTAGCCTACGAAGCCGAAAAGCAGTTGTGAGCCTAGATATACTGATCCTGGCTTGAGAAGTTTTGATATCGCATCGCGATTGCCTCTCTAGATCTCTATAGATCTGGCGCAACCAAATAATTCATTCTCTACAAAGTGTTCTATAGACGTAAGTCGATCGATCTCGACAGTGATATAATGCACGATTACTTCCCTTTCGAATTGATTCTTTCCTCCCTATCCACCACTCATTGGACTCCCAGTCTATTGGATCCATCCATTCATTCTTTTTTTGTTGTCTTTCCTCACATTCCTTTGACAGATAAAGAAATTCTCTGAACCCCATTTTATTTCTATTGCTTTTGGGCAGGATATTTCTTTATCCAGATCGGCGCTACTCACACGATGCGCGTGATCTATTGGGCCGCCGTCACGGCACTCGGTTTTGCTACTTCATCACTAGCCGCCGCTGTTGATCGCAGGGCTAACTACGGTTATGATGACGAGCCTGTCATTAGCACCCGCAAGCCTGGGGGGAAGGGAGGACGCCCCACCGTTACCGTTATTAAATACGTAACCGGTGGTAAACTAGGTTATTCTACCAAGACCGGCGCTAAGACCGACACCGTTTACATTATCACCACTTCCAGGAAGGGGGGGAAGCCAGCTGCCACCGTCACTGAAATCGAAGAAGATGAGGATGGCGACACTGTTACTGTCACCAATACTAAGACGAAGAACCCCAAACCTACCGTCTATATCACTACATACGTAACTGGTGGTAAACTGGGTCCTTCTACCAAGTCCGGCGCTAAGACCGTCACCGTTTTCATTGTCACTACCACCAAGAAGGTGAAGCCAACTGCCACCGTCACTGAAACCGAAGAAGAACCAGAGGAACCAGAAGAAGAAGTAGATGAAGATGGCGAGACTGTTACCGTCACCAATACCAAGACGAAGCCAAAAGTTACCGTCACTGCCACTACGTTCGTAACCGGTGGTAGCCTTGGTCTTTCTACCAAGACTGGCGCTAAGACCGATACCGTTTTCGTTGTCACCACTAGCAAGTCGAGGCAAACCGCCACCGTCACTAAAACCGAAGAACCAGAAGATGACGAAGATGACGCGACCGTTACCGTCACCAATACCAAGACGAATCCAAAAGTTACCGTTACTGCCACTACATACGTAACTGGTGGTAGCCTTGGTCTTTCTACCGCGACCGGCGGTAAGACCGATACCGTTTTCATTGTCACCACTAGCGACGCTCCAAGGCCTTCATCAAAACCTGATACTTCATGCGGCAATGCCGGACTGGAGGTTGCAATCTTCAACAATCCGTTCCTCAATCAGCAAGAAGTACCCAACAAAGGATTTAATGTGAATTATTTCACAAGCGCGATACCATACGACGATACAGCGGCAGACTATATTGGCTGGAATGGAGCCCTCAGCGCTACAAAATACTCACATTTGTATACAAAAAATCCACCACATGGCTTCACTGCAAAACAGACACATATGGATGGTCCGACATTCGCATTGATATACCGCGGTTACTTTTATGCGCCGAGAACTCAAGAATATACCTTTTTCACGTACGATGTCGATGATAAATTTTATTATTGGCTAGGCGATAATGCATTCGACTGGAGCGAGGCAAACCATAACTATAGGAACAACCGCGTTAATGTCCGTATCGAAGGCGGAACATATTACCCTATTAGAATCCTTTATGGCAACGGTGGCGGTGGAGGAGAATTCCATCTCGATATTACTGGCGCTGACGGAGTTGACTATGTAAAAGCCACAAGGCCTTCAGATTATCTGATTTCGCGCTCGTGTGATGGAAAAGCCAAACGTTTTCCATCGTGGGATACCTCTGAATATGGTAGCGGCGTCACCGGGGCAAAACGCCCAGACATCAGTTGCGGCAACGTCGCGGGTATGCTCTTCGTAGCCTTTGAGAATATTTGGCCCAACCAGCACAGCAACAACCGTATTCCCGGATTCAATCCCAACTATTATAAAACGTGCAAGAAAGCTTTTGCGCAAGGAACCACGAGGATGATCGGGATGAAGGGTACCAGTGGTCTGAACCCGTATGGGTTGTGGGCTCCGCAGAACGTACCATCCGTTCCACTTATGGTCATGCACAGAGGATTCTTTTACGTGCCAAGGGACGGCCACTACACTTTCCACATTGCTGGGATCAAAGACGGCGGCTGGATGTGGTTTGGGCAGAAAGCATATACAGCATGGACTGCTTCAAACTACGACTGTCGGTATCTACTAAAAACAGGCATAGGTGGATACAATGAAGACGCACACACTGTGCATTTAACTGCCGGAACATACTTCCCATTCAGAATCATGATTGCTGATGGTGGTGAAGGTGGAACATTTAACTTGGAAATTTTCGACAATAAGGGTAACTTTTATCTCCAGAAGTTTGTTCCAGGTGATTTCTTGGTGCATACACCCTGTGACAAGTCCGCTGCGTTCACAAGGGACTGGGGCAATGAAAGTTAAAGTCTGGATTTATCCGCCACACCTCCTTCCATAGCCTCTATTTATGGATCTGCCATTTTAACACCACCTGCTTGTTTGTCGAATCTGTCTTGATATTGGGGTTTGGCAAACTTGAAAACTGGCCTTTGAGAATGTTTTCTATAGAGCCCGGAGTTCCGAGTTCTATCTACTTTTCTTCGATAGTTAGTTTACGTCGTTTTTCTTATCGAAGACTTAGGAACGAGATTATGTTTGATGGGAGTATGTATATATTTAAAGAATGAAGTTGCTTGGTTACGAATAAGATTGAATAGGTCCTTGATAGTAATTCAAACCTCCTAGGCTAGTGTGACGAGTATTTCTCTGATATCTGAAGGTAGGGAGCTGTTCAACCAGCTTTGAATTGTGTTGGTGTTGGGTGGAATACCAAAGAATCCAACAAGAGCCCCGATCCAACACGCCATTCCCGATTAAGAGTACGTTGTAGAAAGGCCGCAGGTCTTCTATACATAGTCGACCGATACTGATATATTTACGAGACCAAGTTAGCATATAAAGTATTCATGAAATTTAAGCATCTACAAATCGCTGCTGGCGCCGAATTTCCATTCTAGTAGCTAGTAGACTTTAATTCCATATGTGAACTGGCACCCTGGTCTCGGTCTCAAAGCTCCCTTCAGCTAGGCGTATGCATATGCAGGTATCCCCAAAGGTTCACGCGCGCACCAGAGTACAAGTATCCACAAGCTACACAATGCACAGGAATCCTGCCGACTTTAGCCACTTTCTCCATCGCCCTGTGGAGTTTTGATATTCCAGCTCGAAGCTCGGAAAAATAGCGGCTTCATTGGTACTAATTGGTTATTCCGGCTGCAGCTTTAAGTTCATCCACCAATCACCAGCAACTCCGCCTAAAGCTTAGCTTGGGAACTTGCCGAAACAGCTCGCCACACCATGCACCCCTCGTCATACCCCATAGCTGTCCCACTTTTTATCTGGATAAAGTAAATAAATAGCTGAGGAGTCGGATTCTAGGAATATTTAAGCAGATATTACGGACCTCTATTTTTCCCTTTTCTCAAGTTTTATTCTCTTGATCAACTGCAATTGATATTTCGAAAACTCCCCCGAATTAAATCTTAAAAGCATCGAGTAAAAAATTGCAACATCTCCCAACACACATAATCAAAATGGTTACTATCACCGGCTACATCTCCCGCGATGTCCGCTTTCCTGTAAGTGTGGACTAACACCCACTGCCCGCTCGATTGGCTGTCCGGTTTCTGAAACTCTCGAATGGCCAATTGCTAGGTATTTCGGAAGAATGATTGAGTTTTCTTACTACAGATACACTATGGGATACCCTGAGATTAGACCTCGCTGGATAAAACCGGCTCGGATGCTATGAATGCTGCTGGAGATTACTCTGCCGCTTATTGTATTCTTTCGACGGAGACGGATCTTAAGGGACATGGAATGGCGAGTAGCCCTGTACCTTAACTAGTGTACCGGAATATAATTTCTAATTAACGACCGTATTATAGACCTTCACAATTGGTCGTGGAAACGACATCGTCTGCCGCGCAATTGAAGCTTTCGCCGACAGAATAAAAGGCCGAACCCTCGAGTCACTTATCTCAAACATGGGCCAAACCTGGCGCTACCTAGTCAACGACTCCCAATACCGTTGGATCGGACCTGAAAAGGGAGTTACACACCTAGCTCTCGGTGCTGTTGTCAATGCCATCTGGGATCTTTGGGCAAAGTCAGTGGGGAAGCCAGTGTGGAGACTTGTTGCCGACTTTACACCGGAGGAGTATGTGAGGTGTATTGATTTTAGGTATATCACTGATGCTATTACGCCTGAAGAGGCGGTAGCTATGTTGAAGGAGACTGAGGAAGGAAAGGCGGAGAGAATCAAGACTGCGGAGAAGAATAGAGCGGTGCCGGCTTATACTACTTCTGCTGGGTGGCTGGGGTATGGGGAGGAGAAGATGAAGGCTTTGTTGAGAGAAACGATTGCACAGGGTTATAGACATTTCAAGTTGAAGGTTGGAGGAAATCTGGAAGAGGATAAGAGGAGGTTGAGGATTGCTAGAGATGCGATTGGATACGATAAGGGAAATGTCCTGATGGTTGATGCTAACCAGGTATGTTTTTTCTCCCCTTAGCGAGATACAGGATGATCGCTTGGATACTAAGAATCTTTAGATCTGGTCTGTTCCTGAAGCCATCGAATGGATGAAAGAACTCGCCGAGTTTAAGCCATGGTTCATTGAGGAACCAACCTCTCCAGATGATATTCTCGGCCACAAAGCTGTCCGTGATGCTCTCAAGCCCTACGGAATCGGTGTCGCCACCGGCGAAATGGTCCAGAACCGTGTTATCTTCAAACAGCTCCTCCAATCCGGCGCCATTGACGTCTGCCAGATCGATGCTTGCAGAATCGGTGGTGTCAACGAGGTTATGGCTGTTTTACTCATGGCCAAGAAGTTCGGCGTTCCAATTGTTCCACATTCTGGCGGTGTCGGTCTTCCAGAGTACACACAGCATTTGTCGACGATCGACTATGTCGTCGTTTCTGGCAAGTTGTCGGTTCTGGAGTATGTTGACCATCTCCACGAGCATTTCTTCTATCCTTCGGTTATTCAGGATGGATACTACACTACTCCCACGGCGCCTGGGTACTCTGTTGAGATGAAGCCGGAGAGTATGGAGGCCTATGGCTTCCCCAACGGTAGCTGGTGGAAGAGTGACGAGGCTAAAGTTATCACAGAAGTCAAGGAGAAGATCTAGATTGGAATTACTTCCTGAAGTTCAGAGTGTGCATAACCTCATCCTTGTCTAGTAACTAAAAGCATACCCGTATATATTCTAAATCGAGAACAAAAAAAAACCATCCAACTTACCTAGGTTGTTCCAAGAACCTAGAAGCAACCAAGTACTTCTGCGTGTCTACTTCTACTCCTTCAATTTCTTCTGCTCTTCTAAAAATGCAGCATCAGGCGAGTCCCAGGTATAATCCACCCATTCCCCAAGTATATCCCTTACCCCCTTAAACAAAGCTTCGTCAGCCTTGTACCTCTCCTCATCCAACTTCGTATACCCTCTCAAATCCCCATCCCCATCCCCTCCTTCCCTCTTCAAAATCTTCTTCACTGTCTCCACATTCTCATCAATTTCCCCAATACTCCCTCCCCCCAAAATCGTAACCCCAAACCCCTTCTCATCCACCCTCGCAAACTCTCCAACCGCAAACCTCAGCGACAAAGACGCCATACTACTCCCAATCCCCTGGTTCTCAACCCACTCCGCCGCCTCCGCAGCTTTCTCCCTTAACCCCCTAGGCGCCGGATGAAAATCCCCAAGTTCACCTATAGGTGCCCCTCCTCTTCTCAAAAGCCCCATACACAAAGGACTAGCATTAAGCACAACCCCAACCCCACCATCCCCATAAAATCTCCCCAAACTCTCCTTCAAACTCGTATTTTGGATATTCATATGACAATAAGTTTGCACCACATCCACCGCCCTCCCAAACTTCTCTTTAACTTCAACCGCAATATCAGCCAGAACCGCAGGCGGGTACCCGGATATCCCCACATGTCTAATCAACCCTTCCTCCTTCATCTCAAATAACGTCTTAATCGCTCCAAACGCTTCTTCGCGAGATACGAATTCTACATCGTGGGTAAACACCACGTCGAGATAATTTGTTGAAAATCTGTCGAGGGAGCGTAAGACAGATGCACGTATCGCTGGCGGTGAGTAGTCGAATTTATTGGATGTTATACGGCCGCATTTTGTCATTAGAAGAAGACCGGATCGTGGGTAGAGTGTTGTAAGTGCTGGATCGGAGAATGCGGCGCCCAGGAGGATTTCGGATGGGTCGTAGTATGGAGAGGTATCGAAGGCTCGGATGCCGAGTGATAAAGCGTGAAGAATGGTTTCGAGGACGGGTTTGGAAGTTGGATCGGTTACTATCTAGATACCATTTGATCAAATTATTAGTATAGACGAAGAATGTTTTTTTGTGGAGGAAATGGCCTACGAACCTGTCGACTCCAACCCGCACCACCGAGTACCACTCTTCCGGTTTTGTTATTGAATGGATTCATCGTGAACCTTTTCAAGACTTTTAGCAAAACATCGATTTGAAGTTTTTTTTTTAGTAATTGTTTGTAATGTAACTGCGAGCTACATCTCGATCTGAGCTCCTAGCTATATACTAAGCTAGGATACTAGCCCACTAAGCTAACCCGACCCACTTGCGGGGCTAATGTTGTATCCTTTTACCCACTATACCCGGCCGTCGTGTAACTCAAAAGAAAATCCGGAAAAATTAGGCTTCAATGGGCGAGCCGTGGTTCATGTGGAATGCTGGCATAGCGTTCCCTTCGGATGGTATGATACCGATGTCACATTATTGATTACCGCGAGCACCAAAGTGGAGAAATTTAATTCTTGGTTATGGGGTCAATTAATTTTTTTTTTTACTAGAGAAATCTAGCCTATAGGTACTTAGTCAACAAGTTCACTCTATTTTAATCTAGGGTACCATACAGTGGTGTAGTTGTGTACATTGTGCAATTGTGCGATTGTCCGAAGCTAATGAGACGGATCCGGACGTCTCTCAAGCGCAACAATGCACGGGAAGGCCATCGGGGTCATTGCGGGGAAGGTGAGAAAAGAAAGGAAAAGAAAGGACGGAGGCTAAGGTGAAAGAAGAAAGCATGTATCAAAACCGTGGACTTAATAATACATGGGGACTCAAACCCGATTTCATCATATCCTTGTTGCATTTTCTCGTTAAAAAGTGTTGTTGCTTCGATTGGCCTCGACACTAATATAACCGGCATGTTCTAGTTTCGAGACTGATAACCAGCTTCGCGGTATAGTATAAATGGGGTGCTAATCCAAGGGGTCAAACGTATCCTTACATTAATTTCCCTGAAATAGACAGGTAAAAAGAAGGTCTTTCATTCTGGTTGGTGGGTGCGACAGGCAGATGCTTTCGCCTAGTCCGAATTATATTAGAGGTCTATCAGGTGGAGTTCTTGAGAGCCAGCGGATTTGATATAACCCTACCTCGAGCCTTTCAATGCGAGCTTGATAGAGAGCAGCCCTCAGTCCATCGACATATAAACCACAGGCTTTCATATTGGACAAGCTTTCCTCGTTAATGTCGTATCGCTGGCCATTAAGCTCCATGTAGCCACGACGGGCGGCTTCCATGTCGTTGTCTGAAAATAAATTAGCAGTGTCCTGAGTTTTTGGCGGCGAAACCTCTTCGGCTGGGGGGACGAAGCTTCCTCCGTTCGGGGCGTCTAGGGCAGGCTATTCACCAGAATATATCACATGTTGGAACCAGTTGTCAACGTATGAAGACAAAGGTACTGACCCTGGGTTTACAACCCATTCCCTCGACTTTTCAACGACCCATCGATGAAATTCTCCATCACTCATTTTGAATAATTCCTCCCTAGTTGGTTCTTTTTCTGGAGAAGTCAGTGGCGATGGCGTGGGTGGAGGCGGAGTGGCGGTGAGCGGCGAGGGAGTCGGTGCTGGCGGAGTGGACGGAATTGCTTTCCTCCTTACTACCGGCTTAACTACCCCCTCTGTGCTATTCTGTGGCTTACTCTTTATTTTACTCTGGTGTCCCAGATGACGGCGCCTCTTGGTCTTTAGCTTCTCGACCATTTGTAAAAGTTCTTCCTTCCGTATTCCGTCTAGGTCTGGAAGTTCTCCCTGCCATAGGAATAATACACTTAGCACTTATCACCCTATGTTCTAAAATGCCGTAGTATCATCTAAAACTATTATCATTATACTACTCACACTAAAAGACGGCGATTCGCCTGACGGCCCTGGACCTTTTAAACCATGAGGTGTTTGGTTGGGTATCTGAAGGTCTTTCGTATTAACTGTTCTGGGTGGCGGTTCGGCGACAGTTCTCTGAGCTGCTCTGAGCCCGCTGGCCTTAAACACCTTCCGAGCGTTTAAAGCCATAGTGATTTTGCTTGATGCAGATCGAAACGAGTAGATTATATTGTTGATGGATAAGAGGTAAAGAGAGGTCGTAAGGCAGTACTAAGTAAGATCCGAGGTATGTACTAGATAGTACATGTAGCTTAAATTACGCATACAGTTATCGTCATCATGAGAGTTTGACGAATTCGCGAGGGAATATCAATCGAGTGGAAGAGCAGTTATAGTGCGATAGCTGGAGGAGATGATGGTGATATTGCTAATTCAGGATTCTTGGGGCAACTGCAGAAAGGTGGGTTTGTTATATGTCGCAAATTTCAAAGGGCTGCTGGATGATCTTGGTGTGATCTACGACTTATTCCAGTTAAAATACATCGATTTATACAGTTAATCTACAACAGATCTCCAGATCTCCAGATTTAAGGTAGCATAACTCTAAATAAGCTAAATTTGAAATCATGTACTCAATAGCAACTGGGCATCTTCCCTGTCGCTCTGTATAACTAGGAAAAACCACAGGTACCTAGCCTAAGTAGATTTGATAATATTAGGCATACCAATCCCGAGGCTCAAGGAAATCTTGACAAAACATAGTAGCCTGGGGATCGATTGAATGTTGATACTTATGATACTAGTTTTTATTGTTTTAGTGTGTAATAAGCGGATAAACACTATTATATTACGAGTTCTTGCGTGTACTAGGTTGTGGTATCTTTCAATACAGAAAATTAAAAATCCGATTCTTATATAGGATACAGAATAAATTCGGGGAAAATAGATGAAAGTAAGAATCGGGGCAAGAGAAAGCCGGGGTACAAGAAGAAGGAAACCCAGAAAAGAAAGACAGAAAATTAAACGAATATCGAAAGAAGAAAACATTTTTAAGAAAGAATAAAGGCATAGAAGACAAAGAAGTAGAAGTTTCGAATGTTGATCGCCTGTGTCCTGTGAATTGAACATAGTCGGGTAAATAATCAACCAGATGCAACTTATGAAGCATATGCATGTCAGCTGGTTCTTTGTAGTCTCGAGGCCAGTGATTTGTACTTGTATGGTACATATGTACATATACTCACAATAATTTGGCTAAATATTAGTTACAGCTAGACCTTTTAAACCGTCACATCTGCATTGGGAATAAGGCCCATCGTATGTGTACACACGTACCAATATTATCATGATGTCTCCGGGTTAGAGCCATCCGGTGTAATCCGTTGTTCAGCCTCTACAGCATTAATATCGTTGGGGTTGGCAACGGAGGGAACGCGGATAGTGGCTGGGGATTCTTGAATTCCGCTAGTAGATCCACTGCCGGGACGAGTAGTTTCCTCCAAAAGAATGATATCAATATTCCCCTCCCAGCCCTGTGATTGTGGATTGCTAGTGGAAGGGGCTTCTAGAGTTATTTGTGCAAGGTCCTCTGAGAGCCGACGTACTGCGGGGCCGGTATCGATATCATTGCTCCAACTCGATTGATTTGCCTGGTCCTCAGCTGCAGGGTTAGCATCACCGCTCGCCTCATCTCCCGACCACCCTTCTACATAATCAGCTTCAAACCCTTCGACCATCCAATGTGGTTGATCATTTCCTTCACCATCTTCTGGATCTGGTGGTGGTGTCGACGAATTGTGGAGTCTTCCCTCATAGGAATTCATGGGCGTGGTGTTCCCCCAGGCATTGAAGGACTGGCTCCAACTTCTGGGGTCCACGTAAAGGGAATCCTCCGTTTCGTCTTGGAATTCGGATCCGACGCTTTGCCAAATACGCCGACTGGAACTAATTGGATCTATAGCTTCGTAGCCCTCTACCCTTAATTCAGCAAGGAGGCCGACTACTTCATCGAGGGAGATGGTGTAGTAATCATTGGCAGTTATATCTAGTCCCATATCGGATTCGTCATCGCTATCATATAGCTCTATTTGCGGCGTAAATATTCTTTCGCGGTAGACGCTGGTTCTGTATTCCGGCCCTGTCGGTGTAATCATATTTTCTACCTCACTAGGTGGGACGCTTAGCGACCAAGGACCATGCGTATCCCTCCAGAACTCATCACTTGAGAAGGCTCCTTGGCGGTCGAGTATGGATCCAAAAATCTCTGGATGCTCGAGGAAATAATTTGCCATAGGCATTTGTTGCGACCTTACAATTCTAATGAAGTAACCGTGCCCAGGCTCAAATCCGGCTGCGAATGAAGGGGGTCGACTACGTCGACCGGCTTCTCTCGCGAGCCTTCGGAGGTCCCGATAGGTTAGTGTGTCGATGTGATCATTCTCTTGAATTTCTACTTGGCCGGTAAAGAGATTACCGTCATCGTCGTAGACCAGTGGATCCGGGATGTTGAGGTAGATATTTTCAATAATGCTGTCCCGACTTGTTTGAAAGGATTGCGTGTCATCGAAGTAGCTATGCGGGGGACGGGATCCCCAGGCGGTGCGAATTGTTCTAGACATTTTTGTATAGTCTTCTACTGCTACACTCTTGTACAATACGCCCGTAGACGTATTTATATATTCTCCGAAGATGTAAAATGCCGTAGATTGTGGTTTTTGTGATTGAGACCTTTACTAGATTCTAGAACCTTCAAATTCGTGAGAAGCCCAGATCTAGGATGTCGAGTCGGGATATTGACAAGGATGTGTCAGTAAATTAAATTATCAAAGAAAACCTTCCAGTATCGAGCCCGAGCCCGAGCCCGAGCACGGTATCGAAACAAAAGAATGCAGTAGATGAGAGACTTCAAGACTTTCTACTATGGGTAGCGGATTCTCGCAGCGTGGCTTTGCAGATGCAGAGCAGCTGTTCCGGGGATGTGTGGAGGAGGATGCGGAATGAAGGTGCATAGCGTTTTTTTTTTTCCCTCTAGAAGAGGGGAAAGCAGGGAAAGGAAAAATAAAGGTAGCCTAAGATGATCGCCGACACATCAGGCGTGAGTATTCTAAAGTTGGGCCTTGATGTAAGTGCTCAATTGCAAATCTCCTCATGGTTAACTCAGCGTCCTAATTTAGCACTACCACGAGTTGTTGTTGTTGCATTTCTTATCGTGGCATTGTTCCTGTTATCTAATCTAGATCTAGATCTCAACCGGGCTCTTACGTAGCTTACATAACTGTGCATGTGCATGTATCAGCAACTACAATACAACCGCAAATTCTGAATATAAGTGATTTGAATAAAATTATGAATATTAAAGTTATGAGACATGTTATACTAGAGTACTATGTAATTACAGTGATGCTATGCTGCTGGGGAATAAAGTAAAGGAAACAAATTGAATGAACGCCGTATGTTCACCTGCCGCTCTATGATATAGTCATACCCGTGCCCCTTCATACCGGTGTGATTTTTTTTATACATAAACTAAGATCTTGCTCTGGTACCCGTTCTGCTGGTGTGCATTATGCATTCTGCAACTGAATTAATCGAGAAGATGTGGAATATCCTCGACACTAGCTTCACGAATAAGAATTTCTGTGGTGAAGCTGGTTAGTATTATCTTGAATAGAAAGCTTTCCAAAGAGATTACGCAGTAGGGGAAAAACTTACTATGAACAGCAGTCATCAAAGGAAAATCCTTCTCTTTTCCTCTAGCCTTCAAAAACTCATTGACTTCCATAGCTGTCAATGTACCCTGTAGCTTTTGGCCGTTGAGGACCTCTGCTTCAATCTCTTCGATAGGTCTTCCCTGCTCCACAGAGAGCTTGGCACACTTGTGATTTCTGCCCCCAGCACAACTGGTAATCAAGTCGGCAACACCACAGCTCTCCTCTGTAAACGTTTCGCTCTTGCAAGAGTCAAAGAACATCAATCCGAATTTTCGCATCTCTAGAATACCGACTCGCATGATTGCCGCCTTGGCATTATCACCCCAGCCCATACCGTCGACGAAACCGGCACCAATGGCAATAATATTCTTCAAAGCTCCACCTAGTGAGGTTCCGGCGACATCGTGAATCATGCTGACGTGGAAGTAGGGTCTGTGGAATAGATGCTTCCATAGCGAGTGGTCGATAACAGGGAACTCCTCTGGGCATGGAGTTAGGGTTCCTGGTGGATCATAAGCAATGGTTGTTTCACAGAATTTCTCCTCTGCGACTTCGTTTGCGATGTTAGCTCCAGAGAGGGCACCACAGTAGATACCGAGTTTCCTGCCAATGACATCAGAGAACAATGAGATGCCATCGGATGAAACATCAACACCCTTGATACAGGAGACAGCCCTGGCGTATGGTACGATATGGCCGTGGATCTGATCACAGATCTTCGATACGAATTGATGAGGAACGTTGAAGATTAATAGGGAAGCGTCCTTGACGGCGGAGAGGATGGATGGATCGGCGACAATATTGGGAGGGAGAGCAATATTTGGTAGATATTTGACATTTTCATGGAGTTCGTTAATTAGGGAAGATAGTTTTCGGGGTTGAGAGTGTTTTGAAGGATCATAGCCCTTATGCGAGGACGGAAGCTGGTAGTCTTCTTCGAAGACCCACATGCGAACCTCGGATTCAAAGAGGTGAGGATGTGCCGTAGTGTTCTCAGCGAGGATTTTAGCTATTGCCGAACCCCTATGAATTGAAGCCGAAGAGAGTGGCGTGTTGATTAGCTGGTGACTTCTTGCGTAACACAAACCGTAGCAATCTGAACGTTAACTGGAAATGAACTTACCAATTGCCAGAGCCAATGATGGCGACCTTGTGCTTTCTAGTTGGAGCCATTCTTCTTGCTGTCGACGAAGTTGATGAAGATGTTGTTGTTGAGGGAGATGATGCAGATGCAGATATATGTCCAGCTACCCGGGCTAATCTAGCTGCAGCGCGAGAAGACATGTGGGAATCGACAACTGAGCAGGTGAGGCCTTTGAGGGTTTTATATAAAAAAGAGGAATAATAAGAAGCTGAACAGGAACAGGAACAAATAAGAGCTAGTTTTTTCTTCTTTTCCTTTTTTTGAATTATAATTGACAGCAATTGCAAAGGCCAGCGAGGACAAAGAGAGACCGTATGGTATGTATAGTAGTATGCTATGCAATTATCTGACGACACTTCTTTACGTAAACGGCCGTAGCGCAAGCCTGGAACACTGAATTGGGAACTGATGGATAGTCTGAGATAGGTTAAGTAGATGTCTGCAGTGTCTGTACAGTAAAGTCTTTCTTTCTGTTGGTGCGCGACGTAATTGTTGAGGAAAGTCAGGCCTAGTTATAAATTGGTGGGCCGGTCATCCAATGCAGCTTTCACACGACCCTTTTTTATTTTTTTCATTTTTTTCATATTTATTTTTATAAAAATTTCTAGAACCAGCTGCATTGCAGGCTAATGACATAAATTATGCGTATGCCCGGTACCCTGGCTGCGAAATGCAGTGCTACAATCAAATTTTCTGGTACGGGGAAGACTCAACTTTGGCTTGTGAAAGGTACACCCGTTGAGGCTGCGCAAATCAGGCAGGTGCTCACCACCGAGACATGGCTCACATTTCCTACCACAGAAAACACTCCGAGGCCTGGAATGACAAGAAAAAAACCGGCCGAACGTGGGCAAACCGCTGGTTTGGGCTGGATGCATTGCGCGGAGTATCGGTGGGGTCGGATGACCGGCCTTCCCGACTTTTCTTTAGCTAAGGGAATTTCTAGAATGGCATTGCTAATCGCATTGCACTAACATCGTGCGTACCACTCGTGTGCTCGTATTCTAGCTCAGTTCAGTCCAGTCCAGTTCAGTTCAGCTTGCGTGTGGGGGCCGTTTGAATTTAATGCCGGACGTATGGCTCCATATGCCATGCGACCGCTTTTTTTTTTTTAAGATTCTAAGACAGGCATCTGACATTCGCCATACCTATGGATCTTTGTCTCTGTGTCTCGAATCTCGAATCTCCTTTTTTCTTTCTTTCTTTTTTCTGCATAGATATTTGGTACTTTACCTAGCTATCCGTCGGAAGACCATAACCAGGCCGAGGTTCTAGGTAGCTACCGGTAGTGTAAATTAATGGGATGGGATAAGGATAAGGAGATTCGGCGTGCATATATCAAGTACTCATATCGGGTACATTAATTAGCATTCATATCGATCTCGTGACAGCATGATCCTCAAACACTATGTACACATTTAGACCTCGTTCCGACGGCCATGCGATCGAGATCCAAGGGGCATGCCATCAGAAGCGAAAAGCTTGGCCTTTACATAGCATCTCTGGTAGGTACTAGGTAGATAGCCATACGCAACGGATACACTATAATCCTGTCGCCGATGTCGACGCAATAATGGTCCCACTCACGAGGCTACCCCGCCTCCGCTTCCGCTCGCGCGACCGTTATTCATATGATATTATTTTCCCTAGCGGAATACCGTGACCTGAAGTGGTCTTCCTCCGGTCTATTTTCGAGACCCTAGGTTCGTTTTGAGGTAATATACCCCTCCCTCTCCTCCCCGCCTCCAAGCTTCCCACGTTCTACTTATCAGTTTGCAGTTTCATGTGTATTAGCTTTCTCCCCTGTTGGATTGACCTTATCTATCAATCCCATTCCTAAACGATTGCCGAGTATTTTACCTCTTGAGAAGGATCTTTCTTTTGTAACCGCGAATCTCGCTTGGTTTATCTCGTGCCTGTTAAAGAAGTCTTGAGGTGTAAATGTGCAGCTGTCGCCTTTAGATTTGTGAAAATTCCCGTAGCCTATCTGAACAAATAGTTCCGGTTTACAGCCACTGGGTGCCAACCCGTAGAAGTTGAGGAGAACATCAAGCACTTTCCGATTGGCTTCTTTATCCCAGGCATCTGGTACTATAACATTGACGAGGTGCATTTCAGGAGGCACTCTTGGGACGTTCATGACTGTAGCCTTGACAGCGTGTGCAAAGGTCCGGCTAAGCTCTCCAGCAATAATGGATCTCGAGAGCTCAGTAAAGACTTTGTCGACACGCTGGGTGGAGACTGGAACGAACCAAGCTCCGCATGTGTAGTTGTGTTTAACGGCCAAGTCCCTTAATTCTCCAGCAGCAGATTTGAAGACCTTTTCAAGAAGATATCCGCGAGTCGTAACCCCGTCGGTTTCATACGACTGAAGTCGCGTGATGGTGTCGTCGATGACTGCCTTTGCTTTCTCCGCACACGCAAAATTGTCGGGTTTCGACAATGGATAACCGGGGTTTGTATTGTTTCGCTTTACAAAAACCCAGGATCCGGCGATCGACTGATGTGTGGTCGTAGACGGTGGGTATTTTTTCAGAAATTCGTTTAGATGGATTGGATTCGATGGTCCTTCAAAGACTGGAAGGGTAAGACCTTTGATACTAGGTATGTTGAGACCAGTAAGGGCACCAGCCGGTCTGGCAGGCGTTTGATCCACCCTTACAGATCGCATCCTAAGTCCACTGTTATCGCCGCCGCCGCCGCCTGTAGTAAGATCGATTCTGGGCCTTCCTTGGTTGACGGTGGTGATCGTAATTCTTGGAGTGTTTCCAATGGTTTCGACGTTGGATGGAGATGGAGTCTTAGAAAAGTTGGGAGTACCGGTTGATTCATTTCCCTAGAATATTGTAGATGAGTCAATTGATTCTGAAAGATCAATCTCAGATAGTGCCATTGTTTGTGAGGCTACAAACCGATATTTTGAAGTGATAGTTAAAGTGGTCTATGACTAACTCACGCTTTGTGAGATATCGAACCAACGGCCTTCCATCATTTTTGCTAGCAGTCCCAGATGTAGACGACGAGGTGAACCGTATAGATTGAAATCGAAATTTCCGCGGTCGCAAGTGAGTTATCGGAATACGGATAGTCATATTTGCGGGGGAGGGGTATCGAGGTGTACAATAATAGCTTGTTGCGAGGTTGAAGAATGGTGTTGAGACATCTGGAAAATTAAAAGGTTCGCTTGTTCGGATTTGGAGCCCTTCAAACGCGTCTTCAGCACGATTCTTCAAACACTACAATCATCTAACAATTGAAATGTCGGCGGCAATAGCAGCAGGCACGAAGAGGATCAGGGAGGAACAAGGAGAGGGGGAAACTCCGAATAAACGGGCGGCATCGGCTGTACCTGAAGACGACGACGGTAAACCTCACGGATGCCGGCGCACAAGACACAGCATAGCTAACAGGTGGTCATTCATACAGACAGCTCCTCGGATGATGGTGTCGGTCCTTCCCTTCCATCTGCAGCTAATACTACGAAAAAGAGGAGAACTTTGAAGCATGAAGCTTTATACCTTTCGAACCTGCCGAGCCAAACCCGGTACTACCGTTCTCTCATGCACCGCGATAATGTCGCTTTTGCAAACTGGACACCTTTCACCGATTTTCTAATTACAACTTCAACGGACGGCGTCATCAAGTTTTGGAAGAAACAAGATGTGGGAATCGAATTTGTCAAGATGTTTAAACCCCATGCTGGAGATATCGTGGGTGTGTCGGTCAGTGCAGACGGAAGAAGCTTTGCAAGCTGTGGAGTCGATAAGACTGTTAGGATATTCGATGTGGTTACATTTGGTATGGTGAGCTTCGTTTCCAGGTCATAGAGGTGGGCATTCTAGGGACGTTCTAACTAGTGATACGCAGACCTCATCGCCATGTTGACGCTAAAACATACACCGACATCTATCTGCTGGGTTCACAAGAGGGGTGCATCGTTACCGATCCTCGCTGTAGCGAACGAGTTGAACCAAATCCAGATATTTGATGGGAGAGGGGAGAACACGCAACCAATACACGAATTAAATAAACTACACCGAAAGCCAGTTAATGCTATGGCATTCAATAACGTTTTTGACTGTGTAGTATCATCGGATGTTGGTGGAATGGTGGAATATTGGCAACCGCGCGATGACTACGACAAGCCGAGTAGTGTTTTTGAGTATAAGGCCGAAACCAATCTTTTCGACTTCAAGAAAACAAAGTCCGCCCCAACATCTTTAACGATATCACCCACTGGATTGCAATTTGCGACATTCTCATTACCGGATAGGCAAATTAGAGTATTTGACTTCGCTAGTGCTAAACTTGTGAGGAGCTATGATGAATCAATTGAAACGATAACGACGATGCAGCAGGCAGGGACAGCGGTGCAGAAAGTGGAAGATGTTGATTTTGGAAGACGACTGGCTGTCGAGAAGGAGATTGAAGCAGAGTCGGTTCGAAGCAAGATCAATGTCATCTTTGATGAAAGTGGGCATTTTATTCTCTATGGGTCGATACTCGGCATTAAAGTTGTGAATACTGTTACGAACCGAGTTTCGAGGCTGTTGGCAAAAGACGAGACGGGAATGGGGAGGGCTGTCAATTTGGCACTTTACCAAGGCGCACCAAAGAAGAAGCAGGTGGTTACGTTGGACATGGCAGCATCTTCGAATCCACTTCTACAAGAAGCCGGGCTTCGAGATCCAATGCTCGTTTCCACGGCTCATAATAAACAGCGCTTCTACATGTTCAATTCAGATGGCGATGTCAATAAGTCAGAACGAGATATCTACAACGAAAAGCCAACTACGACGGCTAAGGGATCAGCCAAGATTGAGACGAAAGCGAAGGAGTCTGGCACGGCAGCAATCCTCCATACAACCTTTGGCGATATTCATATCCGGCTGTTCCCGGAGGCCGCGCCCAAGTCCGTCGAGAATTTTGTTACACACGCGAAGAATGGATATTATAATGGCCTAATATTTCATCGTGTTATACCCAAATTCATGATCCAGGTGAGTGGTAGTATTGGGCCGCACCGCCTAGCCAGAACACTGCTAACGGGGGGGAAACCTTTAGACCGGAGACCCATTCGGAGACGGCACTGGCGGTGAAAGTATCTGGGGTAGAGAGTTTGAAGATGAGTTCTCAACATTAAGACATGACAAACCATACACTGTCTCGTAAGTGCCCTAAACCATAAATACTAGTAGTTATGTCGCATCAGATTACTGATCTAGTTCGTTATTCGTAGGATGGCAAATGCTGGCCCGAACACAAACGCTTCCCAGTTTTTCATCACAGTGGAGAAAACTCCCTGGCTCGATAACAAGCACACCATCTTTGGGCGAGCGGTGCAAGGTTTGGACGTAGTTACGAAGATATCACAAGTCCGGACACACAAAGACAAACCGCTCCAGGACATCCAAATCATCAACATTGAAATAGTTTAAGGCGACATTGACATAGAATGGATACCCGGAAATGTATTATATCTCACGAACGTTAACATGCATGATATGAAGTCGAATATGCACTAGACCCTACTAGACTGCACTAGCGCACTCAGACACCGTTACCTGATAAACTTGGCATTACATCATTGCGCCGCCCGCCATGCTGGACTGCGCGACCACGGCAGAGTTGAAAGCTAAAAACGTGGAGCCTTTGATTGAGCAATTGAGTATTCTGTTTTGTACCTGAAAGATCAGCCAGACACTAATCGTCCGCGTCCCGCAACCATATTTGGGCTGTATATTGGCCCATATTGAATATTGGGCAATTATACTGGACAGAACCCCTCCAACGTTATGCGGGCCCATTGGCCGTGCAGCGAATACACGTCGTAGCATTTCTCCCCGCTTTAGCTCCTCTTTTTTTCCTCTGCCTTCTTTCCCCTCTTCCTTCCTTCCTTTCTCTGTTTCTTTCTCTCTCCTCAGCATTGCTCTCTATCCATTAATCAATCAATCTATCTATCGAGTCCTTTCCTTTAAAATTCTGCATTCTGTAGCATTGCCATCCTCATTCACTTCACGTCTTATCATACACAGTATTCCATTCGCTAGAGTTCACGACGTTAGGAACCTACCAGACGACTACAACTTTAACCGTTACTGACCCTTAGTGAATTCACCATCCTGCAACAAATTCAGGTTTCGCAGTACTCGTGTTTTGTAACTGACACGGGTGTGAAAGCCCCTCAGTCCTCAAAAGCAACTTCTGAACCAGCAAGAGCTAAGTTAATAGCTTCTCGGACTGGGACTACTGTCTGACATCCTGCTGTCAACAAGACGTTCTCCGGAACTTGCATTTCCGATCATCCATCCCAAGGCCCTTCGTCAGGCTCTTGAAGCGGGCCAGACAGATCGAATGGCTGGAGAAAAGGTCCATCTTCTCGTCCTCGACGATGCCGGTGTCCCAGACGTCAATGGCACATATATTCGCCTCCCACCTCCAGTAGAGCCATACACCCTCCGATTCCAGATCGAGGGTACTTCATCCATCACCAGACAAGGTAGCCTTTGGCTCAATATACCTGAGAAGGGGAAGGAATTTCACCGAGAAAACTACCGAGAGTTCAAGTAGGCTTTTTACACCATTGAGTGATTTTATTGACATTAAGCTAATTATCCGTGTGTTGCGTAGACTCACGCCAGACTTCTCACGAGCATTGACGATTGATGTTCCGATTCATATTGCTGGATCATTTGGCTACTACGTCACTTACTCCAAATTACCGGAATGGGATCCCCTCTCCAAGACCAAGCCCAGCGGGGACGGTACTGCCCAAACCAGGACGCCAATATATCACATATGCGTTTCTCCAAACCTCAACATCAACGGCAGCCCATTGAAGCTCGATAGTTTGGCTCTCATTTCGGCTGTTTCGAAATGGATGGGACCTCTATCGAACTGGGAGCCTCAATTGGCCCGTATCAGTGATAGAGGGTACAATATGGTCCATTTCACCCCAATGATGTGGCGTGGTGAATCAAACTCACCATACAGTATCTATTCCCAGCTTGAATTCGACCCTGAAATCTTCGGGAAGGGCAATGATGGCATCCAGACAGTCTCTAAAATTGTCACTTCGATGGAGAAAAAGCACAAGATCTTATCTCTTACTGATGTCGTCTGGAACCATACCGCGAATAATACCCTCTGGCTTGAGGAGCATCCCGAAGCAGGGTACAATTGCAAGACGGCGCCTTGGCTTGAACCTGCCTACGAGTTGGATACTGCATTGCTGGCTTTTAGCAAAAACCTTCGCAAGCTCGGATTGCCAACAGACTTGAAGACTACTAGTGATTTGCTTGAAGTCATGGAAGGTATCAAGACTCACTGTATCGGCGCTACTCGCTTGTGGGAATACTATGTTACGGATACCGAACGCGATACTGATGCAGGTATCCTTGCCTGGGGCGCAAAGAAATGGAAGACGCTCGATGTTGACCCCAGCTGGCCATTCCAGCAACAGGCCCGCTACCTCGCCGAAAATGGTCTGGTTGGAAATGACAGATTTGGTGAAAGGTTCCGAAGAAAGATTGACCCTGAGGTTGCAGCTGGTCTCCTTCACGCACTGTTTGGTGAACCTTCAGCGAATGAGGATGAATTTGAACAACAAGAAGCTAAACTCCGAAAGGAACTTGCCAAGTTCCTTGACGAAATCAACTTGCCTTTATACAAAGAATACGATGAAGACACCGAAGAGATTCTTGAACAGCTTTTCAACCGTATTAAATATGTTCGAATCGATGACCACGGCCCAAAGCAAGGTCCAGTTTCAGATGCATCCCCCCTCATCGAAACATACTTCACGAGATTACCCTCCAACAAGAGAACCTCCAAGTTCGAAAAGAAAGAGCTCGCCTTGGCCAATAACGGATGGATCTGGAATGCTGATCCAATGGTTGATTTCGCTGGTCCTACCAGCCGTGCTTATTTGCGTCGTGAAGTTATCGTGTGGGGTGATTGTGTCAAGCTACGATATGGCAAAGGTCCGCAGGACAGCCCGTACCTCTGGGATCATATGAAGCAATACACCGAACTTATGGCCACGATGTTCCATGGCTTCCGTATCGATAATTGCCATTCCACCCCCATCCATGTAGCGGAGTATCTTTTAGATGCTGCTCGTCTCAAGAGGTCTGATCTTTACGTTGCCGCTGAGCTCTTCTCCGGTAGCGAGGCAAAGGATTATATCTTCATCCAAAGACTTGGAATTAATTCGCTTATCAGAGAAGCCATGCAAGCTTGGGGACCAGGGGAGCTCTCAAGGCTTGTTCACAAGCATGGCGGAAAGCCAGTTGGAAGCTTTGAGCAGGACCACGTCAAGAACGAAGGGGACGGTGAAACTCGCAGAATCACAGCAAGCACAATTCATGCCCTCTTCGCAGATTGCACCCATGACAACGAAACCCCGGCCCAGAAGCGCGTTCCTGAGGATACTCTTCCAACTAGTGCTTTGGTATCTATGTGTGCGTGTGCGACTGGCAGCGTTATTGGTTTCGACGATATCAATCCCAAACTTTTGGATGTCGTTAATGAGAAGCGTGTCTATAACACAGATGATGTAGCTCTACGAGAAGGCGGCATCGGTTGGGTCAAGAAAATCTTGAATAACATTCATACTGATATGGGAAACAAGGGATATGATGAGACACATGTGCATCATGAAGGAGAATACATCACCGTCCACAGAGTTCATCCACAAACCCATGAAGGGTACTTCCTCATCGCCCATACTGCTTTTAGTGGAGGCTCTCATAGAGGCGATTTTAACCCTGTGTATTTGACTGATACCAAGGTAGAAACAATATTGAGCGTCAAGCTCACAGTCTCAAATGGTGATGATGATCGCGCCAGCGTCTTTAGCGATCCGAACCTTATCAGGGGACTTCCTTCCAAGGTCGTCAACCTGTCCCTACCCAATATTCGGGACGAAGGTAACAACACCGTGGTTACTATTCCAGACGAGTTCCCGCCTGGTTCGATCGCTCTCTTTAAAACTTGGATCCCAACGATTGACCGGTCGGTTGACCTTGACAAACTTGCGGTCTCCGATGCTACGGAGGCTTTCAAGAACGTTAGCCTAACAGACCTCAACTTCATTCTTTATCGTTGCGACTCGGAAGAACGCGATCAAAGTGATGGCAAAATTGGCGTTTATGACATTCCCGGCTCAGGGCCTTTGGTCTATGCAGGTTTACAAGGCTGGTGGTCAGTCCTAAGGGACATCATTCGAAACAACGACCTAGGACACCCTCTTTGTCAGCATTTGAGAAACGGCACCTGGGCATTGGATTACACCGTATTCCGCCTTGAAACTCTCGCTGACCAAGGATTTGACAGCCTTCGTGCTCCCGCTGCCTGGCTAAAGGAAAGATTTGACCATATCAAGAAATTACCGAACTTCTTGGTTCCTCGATACTTTGCTCTCGTTATCCAGACAGCTTACGATGCCGCCTATGACAGAGCTATCGAGCTTTTCAGTCCGAATATCAAGAATGGTCACGAATTCGTCAAATCTCTTGCACTGGTATCGATTCAGATGACTGGGTTTATGAAGAGCGCTTCACTAAGCCCCTCCGAGCAAACTCCATCCATGGCCGCCGGCTTGCCCCACTTCTCGAGCTCCTATATGCGATGCTGGGGCCGTGATATATTTATTTCACTTCGCGGTCTACTCCTCGCTACTGGTCGTTACGACGATGCCAAAGCACACATTTTGGCATTTGCTTCGGTTGTCAAGCACGGTATGATTCCCAACTTGTTGGCATCAGGTACAAACCCAAGATACAACTCTCGCGATTCTGTGTGGTTCTTCCTTCAAAATATTCAAGACTACACCCAGCTAGCACCAAACGGAATATCTATCCTTGACGAAAAGGTCAAACGCCGTTTCCTTCCATTCGATGATACTTGGTTCCCCCTGGATGATCCGCGGGCGTTTAGCAAGGAAAGCACGATCGGAGAAATTGTTTTCGAGTGTCTCCAGCGCCATGCTAGCGGCATGAGCTTCCGAGAAGCGAATGCTGGATCAAATTTGGATTCACAGATGAAGGAAGCTGGGTTCCAAATTGATATACATACCGATTGGAAGACTGGTATCATTTTCGGAGGAAACCAGTGGAACTGTGGTACCTGGATGGACAAGATGGGTGAAAGTGAACGTGCTGGCAACAAGGGTGTTCCTGGAACTCCTCGAGACGGTGCGCCTATTGAAATTACAGGTCTACTTTTCAGTACTCTACGATGGGTCGGCGAACTCTCTAAACAAGGCAAATTTAAATGGAATGGTGTCGATATCGTTCGAAGCAAGAGTGTTACTTGGGAGGAATGGCAAGAGAAACTCAAGTCAAGCTTCGAAAAGTGCTATTACGTTCCGATAGATGCAGGTGACGATAGCTGGTATGATGTCAACCCCGCTGTCGTCAACCGCCGTGGTATCTACAAGGACTTGTACAAGACTGGTAAAGAATACGAGGACTACCAGCTCCGACCTAACTTCCCAATCGCCATGACAGTTGCCCCTGAACTATTTGACCCGGAGCACGCCCTCGGTGCCCTGAAGATTGCTGACGACGCCATCCGTGGCCCGACTGGAATGGCGACCCTTGAGTAAGTCTTATTTCTATCGAAACCTAAGAGCTACTACTGACAATAAATTAGTCCTATTGATAGTAATTATCGTCCTTACTATATCAACTGGGATGACAATGAGGACTTTCTTACTTCCAAGGGTAGGAATTACCATCAAGGCCCGGAGTGGCTCTGGCCTACTGGTTTCTTCCTCCGAGCTTTCCTTCACTTTGACCTACTTAGAAAGAAGACCCTCCCTGAGAAGATTGAGACCTTCCAACAAATCCATCGTCGCATTCAGTTGTGCAAGAAAATGATCAGTGAGACTCCATGGGCGGGTTTGACGGAGCTGACCCAGAAGAACGGCGAATTCTGCGGAGATTCTGTAAGTATATCCCCCCCCCCCGTAAAGGGCTTGCTGAAGCCATATAAAAGCGGAAATACTAATAAGAATAAATAGTGTCCTACACAAGCTTGGTCATCTAGCTGTATGATCGATCTTTTCCAGGACGCCTCCGTTATTGTTTCAGACCCCGCCTAGCAAGCGGGTAAGAACATAGGATTCGGGAAGTTCAAACGCGGGTTCAACAAAGCTACAAAGTCATTCCGAGGCTCTCAATCACAAGACGTCGATGGAGCAAATGATTCTAGCTCTGAATAAACGTTTGGCTATCACAACTGAATGATAATGATTGGTCTTGGCTTTGGGTTTTGGTTATAGTTTTTCAGGATTCTTGTTCACCCGCGCTTATGATTGATTGCAAGGCATACCACATAAATAGGTAGTATTATAGACCGGGCTGCCTATGGTTGTATGATACTGGTCTTCTCTTTTGGTTTTTTTTTGGGTTTGATGATTCGTCATGGTTTTTGGTTTTTTATTTCTCTTTGGGTCAGCGATCGGTGCTTCTACAAAATGATGCATTATGCTCAATGGATAGTAGACGTCAATGAACAGAAATGGCATGAGCCCTCTTTTTGGGTATTTAATCTTTAATCAATATTAAAGGGTTTAAGTTGACGATGTTTGACATCGAAGCGGGTTCTACACATCTAACATTTTCACCCGTGTAATAGCCCTTTCGGATCATAACGTCGACTTTGACCCTAGTATTCTATCAACCTCCCCTACATCCGCAGGTACCCCCTTATATTCCTTCCGCATGTTCTCGAAATCAAGCATCACTACTTTTTCGCTGCCTCTGTCCCACAGGATATTCCATGGTGCCGGATCTCCGTGTCTAGCACCAATTGAACGCAAAACTGAGACGGCCGATATTACTTCCTGGCGAATTAAATCTCTTTCTTCCTGTGACATTGTCTCTATCATATGATAATCCAATGGGATTCCTTTCTCCTTGGTAAGAATGATGATGTGACCCCGCCCTAGCTCTGCAGAAACTATTACATCTCCGAAAGCTAGCATTTTAGGGAAGTGTCGAGAGAACGGAAGGTATCGATAGTTGTTTCGTTCATCAGTATATCTGTATATATGTTTAAGCTTTAAGCGTACACAAAAGCGCTAGCGACGATGGAGGCTTGTCTATAAGCACCTTTCGACATCTTCCGCTGGGAAGTACTTGGCAATACATTCGGTGCCGTTGAAAAGTCCAATGAAGACCCGTTTCTTTTTGTCGGGGTTCCGCTGTACGGCATTCTGTATTTGGAACAGGTGCTTGGATATCCCACCCTTACCGAAGAAAACTGAATGTATGGTGACGTCTTTAACTTGATATGTTTCCGAGGGTTGTTCTTTCAGAGAGGACGGTGGCTCCGTAACTAAGTCCGCCTTCTCCAGGGCTTGATTCTGAGGTGTTTTTCCTGATCGGTCCTTCCTGTTATTTCGAAATGCTGTCTTAATATTCAAGTCAAATGCAGGGAAGCTGCTTTCAGCCTCGACCTCCAACTCCTTGGGAAGAAAAGCCTTTCTAGGATTGGCCCTGTCTGTCGTTAAGGTACCTATTTCCGAGGGCCCCATGGTAGCCGCCCTCGTCCGTGGTTTTTTGCTAGGGCCAGCTTCAATCCTTTCTTCGTCAACGTCATCGTCTTCATCCTCAGTGGCATCTCTCTTCTTCCTGCGAAGGTTTCGAGAGCTGGAGGAAATATCTTCTTCTTTACCCTCTTCACCATCGTACTTCCCTGATCTTAACTGCCGTTAGAGGAGAGTTAGTATCTGGATCTTTAACAAGCAAATTTAAAGTAATGCAAAGACGTACCACCTGGAGGGTTCTCTCGGGGTCACGATCGATATACAAGTAATCATCGCTCGCTCCGAGTATACCCATATGAAAGAAACATTGACGAATCGTAGGGTTGGTATTGCTGAATATAATGGGGTCCGTAATTTCGAATCTTGCACGACCTGCGCGTTTCACGAATATGGTGTGTTCGTAAGTTGAGAAGAAACCGTATTTCACGTTTCTGTGAACCATGTATCGCGTTAACTGGCCTAAGCAAATGTGATATTATAGGTTAATAGATAGTTTCCGATTGTACATAATTGCGGGTGTTAAAGGGCATAATACCGAGGATCGGTTCTAAACAGTCTAAGCCTAGGGAGGCCCTTCCCATGGCGTCGGCTACCGGGTCATCCGTTTCAGGTATCCGCGATGGCTTCGCGAATTTAATATCTGGCTCAGTCCAAAAAGGTTTCATCTCTCCAACGACCCGACAAGTGATGCCGTCGGATTCAGAGAGGGGGTGCATCATAACCAGAACGTCAGCTTCATCGCCGTCATCGTTGGATACAACATAAGAGTCTCCAAAACGAAGGCGATTTATCTGGTTATCAGTCGAGATGGTAAAGGCTCTCCCAAGGAGAGCCCCAACGTTTTCCTGGAAGCCGGAAGCGCCCTGTAAGACCATTTTCGGTACCAACGAGGATTAATTCGCCCTCTGGAGGATCGGCGAAGTTAAGCTCGCCGGTCAAGTCTGATTTTTCTAACGACTGTATCACATCTAGTTCGAAGTCTCTCCAGTGGTAGATAAAATTTCTATCGATGAAATCCTTCTGCGAGCTTGCACTGTAGCGGGCCCCATATGCATATCGGTGTAGTATTTTTGGTAAAGTCAGAGCCAATGCTTCCTCAACTGTCGTCATGGCTATAGTAGTGCTTTGAGGGATGAGGTGATGAAATGGTGCGGAGGGGGATATGCGATAATAGACTTGAACTATAAATTGAATTATGATTGTCAGATTTAGATTCGACAATCTGCACACATACTAGGTACCTATCACATACCGGTTTTAACGTGGCCATCATAGCCATGGCCTCGCGTGGTTGCTCTCTTGCTTGTGCTAAGTTTATAGACCGCCATTCGTCACCGCAGTATATGCATACGAGATTTAAGATTGGTAATCACAACAACCAATGACCGGCCTCACCTGCCTGGTTGCAGGAGTTTCCTGCATTCTGCTGCGGAGCCATGCAGGTGCAGACCCTCGCTTCGTCGGATATCTAGCTGTCGGTCGTATTCGTTTGCCATATAATTTTACTATAATCTGTGAGTATAATGGATATGATCCTTCAGAATTCAGCCGTAGATCTAGACCTCCCGCTAATCAACCTTCCCCATAATCATGAGTCATGGTAACGTCAAGTTGCTCGGCCAGGCCAAATCAGATCCTTCCATCAGTATCTATCATCGATATATAATTATATCGGTCCGACCTAGCTATAGAACCCCCCGGCTATACCAAGAACTCTAAGCAAACATACTACAAGAATCTCTAAATCTAGAGCCAGACAACGCAAGATCTACAACAAGACCACCCATGATGTCCGACGAGAAGAGAGATGCTGCTGAAAATGAGGCTCCAATTCCAGCAACTTCAACGACGCTGGAGGATCTGGAGGCTGTAGAGCCTATTAGTACAGGAGAAAATCTACCTAGTGGTGGTGGTGGTGTAATTATGGTACACGGGGACATATTCGCTGCACCGACGAATTCAGTGCTCATTCGTAAGTCATTATATATATTTCGGCCTATCTTGAATAGTTTCTCGGATTATCATGAACACGTTAACGTTTGAGATATATTAGATGCATGTAATTGTCAAGGATCATGGGGTGCTGGTATTGCACTTGCTTTTAAGCAGTTGGTATGGTTATATATACATCTTCTACAATCCAGATCCCCCCAGATGGGCTAATATAGTCGTATCCTGCATAATGTGAAAATATATAGTACCCAGCAGCCTACAGAATCTATCATAACCACTGTATCAACGTCTCAAACCCTTCTTCACTGTTGGGTACCACGCTTTTAATCCCACCTCAGCCTACGGATCGGAAAACCCACTGGATCGCTTGTATGTTCACATCAGTGTACTACGGCCGAAGAGTCGATACTCCGGATAAGATACTGGAGAGTACAACGTCGGCTTTTGAACATTTTTTGAATCTTGTGGCGAATGAAGAGACGGCCGGGAGGAGGGTTGTGGGGGAGTTGCATGCTTGTAAGATTAATAGTGGGAGGTTTGGGGTTGAGTGGGAGAGGAGTAGGAAGATTTTGGAGGATGGATTGGAGGATGGTGGGAAGGGGAGGGTGGTTTTCGCTTATGAATTTGAGGAGGAAAGTGGTGGTGCTGGTGGTGCTGGGGGCTCTAGTGGGGGGAGAGGGGCTCGAAGTGGGAGGGCGCGAGGGAGCTCGAGGGGAGGGTTGGGGAGAGGACAACAGACTTTGAGGTTTTGATTATCGTGATGTTGGTTACAGGATTGACTATTACTATGAACTGGATTTAGAACACGCCTTCGGTATAATCCACCAGCAGCCATGCTTTTCTTCTACTAACTTACGAGAATGCTTCTATTTGATATTCCAAGTTCCCATGAACTCAAGACATACTTTGAGTTCGCGAATTCGACATTCCCATGCCCACCGCTTCAATATCCAAAGGTTCAGGTATGAAAGGAAACTCTTGACTCCTCAAACCTAAAAGAAATCCTCTTAACGTCAACCCATCTCTAATCTTCCCAACCTCCAAATCGAACGCAAACGATGCCATATCGATCTCAACCCAAGGGTGATACGGAAGACAATTACAATTCTGCCTTCTAGCACATATCCCTTGTGCTAAACTAGCCCCGTTAGATATAGGACGACTCCTGTAGCATTCCTGGCAAAAGTCGGCGAGTGGACACATTATACAATGGTAGAATTTACTTTCTATCCGCGAGGAGCAAGAACCACAGCGTATTATCGAATAACCGTGTCTCTTCCGCAATGCATAGAGGTATAATGCATAGAGAGTTATACCGTTTTCTATACAGCCTATGGATAGCAGTGCCTTCAAATCCTTTGTACGCCCGGCTTTGATGAGGGGTATTCGTTCGGTGCTGTTGAAGTAATGTTGTGATAGTTGGCAGAGTAAGATTGGGTCGGATAGAAGGTTGGTATGGTGTTTTTCTAGTAGGTACCGTCTAGACTTTTCGACTACAGTCTTAGTGTATGAGGGAACATTTATGGATAAATCGAAAGTTAATGCAACCGTTTTAACTGGGCGTTCGGTTGGTTTATCTCTCTTTGTTACTTCGGTCACCGCCCCGGTGCAAAATTTGATCCAATTCTTTGTGTCTAACCCGCAGAGTTCCAGTCGATTTTGGTTCGGATGGAGGTATAACAGAGTTTGTGCACATTCCAGATGACCTCGAGTGACAGCCAGGAAGAAAGGTGTTCCATGTCTAGATCCCTTGTTGACCACATCTCGCATTCGAACGCGAGATTTGAATCTCCGTACAAATTCTTGGATATTGTCCCGTCTTCCGTTGGCAGCTGCTTGCGCCATCGCAGTGAGGCCGTATATATTGTTATGATTGAGGAGTTCGTCGAGTACTTTTGCAGATGCGGATTCAATAACATTAAAACAGAGATTTGCACGGGGCATATCTATGTCCATTGCTATATGGAGGATGGTATTTCCGTCTTCGGTCCTCAGTCCCCAGAACCCGGGATCATTTGTGCTGAGAGCGAGAAATCTTTTCAAAATGTCCGGCGGTGAGTGTAGTAGCTCCTTAAAGGCAAATTTATCCGCTATCCTGAAGCCGAACGGATTACGATGGTCCGGTGTAATTTCGGTCACAATACTCCAGTGGCTGTTGACCATAGCGAGGGCAAGTGCAGAATAGCCGTATTTATCTTTGATGTATATGTTCTGTTGTGTCATTGCGGACACAATTATTTCGACCATTTCTCGATTTCCTGTCTCCACTGCGATATGTAATGGGATGGACCCTCTGCTATTTTCGCGAGTTAAGGAATAAGTGAGATTTGAGATGGTTTGGAGCAATTCTTTGACCCTCTTACGGTCACCGGAACGGGTAGCTACTTGTAGCCTGGTTTCGTCTTGCGGGTCGGCGAAGTCTTTGCGGAATTGTTCTCTTTTCGAGGTCAGCCAGGGCCCGGACGATGAAGCTTGAGAGATTGTTAAGGAATCCCATTCCATCATTCCCGTTTGAAACTCTTGGAAAGTAATCGGTGCTTCGCAAGGATTGTACGAAATGCTCTTTGTGATAGGCTGACGGTCCAAATATTTATGAAGAGCATCTATCGTGGCTTCTGACAGGCCGCCTTGTCTAATAGCCTCATTTGTTAAGAGTGAGAACCGGTAGTAGAGTCCTTCAATAATCTTTTGGCCATGGAGAATGTCCAAGTCTCTTTGGATCATTTCTTTTCTCAAGTTTCTTAAAAACCAAGTCTGAAACTCTCTGGATAGAACTCTCCGTTCCTCTTGATATCGTTGGATCTCATCCCGCATTATTTCTATTTCCGCCGCGATGTCTCTCGAGAGTTCCGGATAAAAGCCCTGTTCTAGACTCAGGTTCCGCGCCAATGACTCTTTCCAGCTTGCTATCTGTAAATAATTCCTCGCAGTACTGTTTTTGAAGAATAAATCAAGTTCCGCACCGGCACGTGTTTCGTGGAGCGCAGTAAAATTGGAAGTAAGTTCCACTTGGAGGTGTATCGGATCCGGAGGTCTAGAACTCTCTGGTTGAAAATCCTTAAACCGATCCAACAGCTCCATAGCCGACTTTTTCGTATTTTTAGAGTGACGATAATACTCATGTTGACCGTTCTTACCAATTATCTCTCTCCAATACTTTACTTTCCCACTATTCTCGATCTCCTCAGGGCTTTGAACCAGAGCCAACGGTGCCTTTTCAAGATCCTCCCACTTCGTAGTGATGAGAGTCGCATTCTTGTATGCCTGATCTCCGCACATACTATTCAAAACATCCATGTACTCCACAGTGTTAAGTGTATAGTCATTGTCCGTTATTGACTGGAAATAGAAAATCCCGTGGATGGGGAGGGACCAATGCGCCTTTACTAGAAAATCGGCGATCTCATGGAGGGTTTCTGCGTCCTTTCTAGTTACGTGGCCGAAGCCTGGGGTATCGATTAAGTAGATATTGGTGGAGAGGTTGAGTTCGCAGCGGTAGACTCTTACGTCATCGGTGCCTGCACGGGAAAGATTACGATTGTTAGTATGATAGACATAGTTACTTGTATATATATAATTTAGTACTAGGTACTATGTTATGGGAGGCTCTTGCTTTTAAATTTAGTGGGCTTGTTTTCATCTGCCTTGGAGAAGGAGGAAGGCAAGAAAGCGCTAGTGCTCCTAACGCTGGTGAGGTCTTGATTGTCTGTACAATGCGAGATGAAAGTACTACAGAGTATATAATATATATTTATGATCAATATTAGCCCACTGTATCATAAAGTCTCGATTAGGATACAAGTCATATCATATACTTATATGCCACAGAATTTTAAAAGAGAAGATTCGGAAATATCAAAGGCGTCAAAAGAAAATACTGAAATAGATATAGAGTACATACGTTTTCCCAGCTCCCGACGGTCCAATCAAGAGGATAACGATATCCGAATCGCGAGGAGCAAGCCCATCTCTAAAATCTTCCGGGAGGAAACAAGGCTCTCCAGGCGCATCTTCCGTTGTCGTATATCCATGGTATCCAGATTCAGAATCCATGTTGACATCCGTAAGCACCAAACAAGCGCTAATTGTTGAATTCAGTAATCTTTTCTAGAAAAAATAATAATATAATCTGCCGAGAGAAGTTCGAAGTGGAGTGATCATTTATAAATTTATAGAGGTATATGCGGGGTTAGCTGTTGGAACGTTGACAATCTAGCCGGATCCTTATATAGGCAGCTTATTATACTATCATCGATCAGGAGTATGAGATTTAAAAGCCCATCAATCGAAATCCTGAGGTCCTAGCGTAGGCGCGCAAACAGAATTGGATCCTGTGCCACGCCTATCTGGGTAGTTGATACGTATGATGACTGATGATTGGTTCCGGCTTTGTGCACTCGCGGTCAGCCCAAGACGATGACTCCGACTGTGGTAAGCTTGGCATGCATAGATCACATTTACAATAATCCACCTCAACGTCCGTTGGAAAATACTCCTCGAAGTGGTGAAAATAAATCTTTGACGATCCTTATAAGACCTTTTCTCTGCAGTAAACCCTAAGCTAAGTGGGTTAAGGATTAATTAGTGACCGCTGGAATCTTTCATTATCTGCGTTGGTCCTGTGGTATTCTGAACCAGGCCATTTTTAGAGGAGCGACTCTCGCGGTTCGGAACCGAGCCAAAATTTTGTACTCAGACTTTTTTTCAACCCAGCCCACCATCTCTTCTCCACCAGCTCTGTCAATAGCATCACACCTTCGAGGCTTCTTGAACCGAGATATTAACTCTATCGCTGATAGAAGGGGACCTTAATCCGTCATGGTACGAAATCGTCTATCCAAGAATCAATCAATCAGTCAATATAGTCAGCGACAGCTAACATAAACCCCCCCAAACTTCAAATAGGCACCCACCAAAAAACGCACATCAATCCGCGCCAAAATCGCCTCCCGCTCCAAACCTAACACTGATGTCTCCCTCTCTGAAGGCGCAGATACTCCATCGGATATTACAACCGGAACAGTAGACCTAAACCGAAGTTACCAACCTACCAAACGAGCGAAACAACAAGCAAAGCATACTTCATTCCTCTACCGTGTCGCCTCAACGGGTCTTACGAACTCCTCTGGGGTTAAAAAGAAGCTAAAACGTGGTCGTGGGAAGGAGGCCAAAACTCGTGGGAAGCTCGTTACCTCGTTATCGAGTCTCGCGGACGCATTACCGGATTTCGAGGGCTTTGGAGGTGGTAATGATGGCGATGATTATGACGGCGAAGCTGGAGAGAGAAATGGTGTTTCAGCTGGAAATAAGATGATTGGAATACCTGGATTGAGTGATGTCAATTTTACGATTGCGAGAACTCGAAGTGGAAACATTGCACAGGAAGGGCTGCCGAAGAAGATGACGAGTTTGGGAACTAAACGCGGGATGGGGAAGAAGAAGGAGAGGTTGGAGATCGCTGAGAGGGATAGGTTTCAGAAGAATGTGGCGGTAATGATGGGAGATCAGACCTTTGGGTTTGGGACTGCTAGTAATACATCGACTCAAGCGGCTTCGGCTGCTAGTGGGGAAGGCAGTTCTACTGGTGGTGCTGCCTCCGGATTACAGGCCTTGAGAGCCTTTATCAACCGGAATATGGCCATTCAAAAGGCCTTATAGAGTTAGAGACGCTCCCCTGAACGGAAGGAGGACTCCTCTGTATGATGATTGTCTATTTAGCGGATCTTTTGGAGTTTAGGTGTATTTGAATAGATATAAAATTCGATGCCATTTTCAATTGATTGAATCGAATCTGTCTGCCTGGTTCCTCCTCCTCCTCCTCCTCCTCCTCCTCCTCCTCCTCCTCCGTCCTCAAGGAAACAAATTTGTATTCTACACTACATTAGTTATAACAAGGGGTATCACTACTATTTTTTCAACCCAAAAACCCGTCGAACCCCGTCGTATCCCGATCATTATACAAGGGAGAACCCCGAACAGAAGAACCCATAAACTCCTCCATTGAAGGAAAAACAAAGAAGGAAAGAACTGGAAAGAAAACATCTTTCATGCGACTTTTGTATGCCCCCCGCAAAAACCTCTTCATGGCCCAGGCGGTATGATACCAGCCGTATAGCTGTCGTGCGTTAATCCGTCTCCATCGGGACCCTCAATTCAACTCTCTGCTTCTCTCCTTCTCCTCCTCGTCCAGCCTGGCCCTTCCCCATCATCTTCCTCCTCAGAATAAACCACTCCTTGGAAACCCAACTAGTCTCCTTCCCAATCCCACCGTTCTCAGCCGGGTCCCTAACCAGCCAAAACTCTTCTCCATCTTCAGACCACATTACTTCAACTTCCCCTTCCAATCTCTCATCTTCATCTTCATCTTCATCCCCATCCTCATCCTTCCCTCCTTTCACATTATTACGATTACGATTATCATTATTATTTTCTTCATCTCCCAAAACCACACACCCACCCATCTCCACATCCACATCAACCATTTCCTCAGGATACAGTCCAGCACCTCTAAAACTCCTCCTCTTGATAACCACAAACCTCTGAGCTTCGCCCTCTGCACTTCCAACAGGTCCATTCCTCACCAGCGTTCTAAACTTATTCCCATTCCCGGATCCGGGGAGCTGGTATACCGCCGGTGATTTATACGGTAAATTCGTCAATTCGTCGGGGTCCTGATAAGAATCCGAATCGAAATCATCGTAACCATCATCGTCGTCGTCTTCAAGTCCTTCTTCGTCGTCAGCCGCATCATCCGAGGAATCATGCGCTAGGTGTAACTGCGTATTCGCCCAGAATTGTTCTACTAGCAATGAATTCCTAGCAGACCGTGCTGATTCGGTGATTTCTTCGTAGTGGTCTTTCTCGTCTTCGTTTTCATCGTCTTTCTCGTCTTCGTCTTCGTCTTCGTGGTGACGGTCATGTAGCGAACCTCGACTGCTGTGTAGACTAGATCCGTTGGACTTTGAAACAATCTTGGGTGTATCGTTGTTGCTGTTTTCTTTGTTCTTCCTGTTATCCGTTGTATTTGAGAATAGTTCGGACTTTTGGAGATAGGCGATTAAGTAGGAAGGCTGCTTTAATTTGGGAGCCTGTGTGGAGTGGGAGTGTGAAGATTGTGGGGCGGCCATCGCTGTGTCCGTCATGGCGAAATCGTCGGGCATCATCGTGTATGTTGGTAGTGGGCTAAGCTGGCTAAGCTATAGCTAGTAATTAAAGTAATTAAATATAAATTATAAAAGCCGAATCGAAAAGGTGAAGTTGAAATGATATAGCAAATCCTGACAGTCAGAAGCCGAAAGGCTAGAAATATGAGCAGAAAAAAAAGGAAGCCGATAGAAGCCAATCCTCGAGGTAGAAGAGAGGGTATCGACGATCAGATAGATTGATGTGGGAGGTAAAAAAAATGGGTAAACCGGCTCGCCGTTCAGGAAAATTCACGGATGGATTTCACCTGTTTTTAACGTTTTTCTTGGGGCGGCGGCAGGTTAACGGTTGGAAGGTCACTGAAACGAGAAAGAAAAGAAGAAAAAAACACGAAAGAAAAAGAGCTCGCCCGGCCGACTCTCCAGCTAGCTCTCCCTCTCTTTGCGTAGGAAAAAAGGGCCGACAGTTTTCGATCTAAGCTACCTAAGTAACTTAGAACTGTAATTATAACTAGTACTTACGTGATCCATTTGGAAATGGATCATGCTATTAGCTATTGGAAATTAATAGGAGCTCAAGCAGTCGTCCCGATAGGGAAGAAGAGGTGGGGGAATATCGAAGTCTTCAAGCTAGTTTTCAAGGGCGTGTCAAGATAATTCTTTTTACATGTCGATGACATTGTGCATTTAGTCTCGAGTACCTAAGGAAGGAAGGAAGTAGTTATACAAGTCGGGTCGTTTATCGTGACAATTCTTGTAAAACCGACGTAGGACAGGCAAGACATGGAAGGAGAGGCTTGCATCGATATCATATCATGTTTACATTGCGAAAAGGCTAGTCACATCACATCCAACAGGAACAAGTAGAGTCATTCTAAACTGACCCGTTCCGACTATCCCGTACCTTCCTATGTAATCCGCATGTGCTCATGTTTGCATGTACCTATGTTCATGTATGTATGTTCATGTATGTATGATTTGCTTTTTTAATTCCTTTCGGCGGGTAGGAGGTGCTATTCACAATGCCTTTACTCAGGAGAGTGGTTATTTTGATTTCAACAAAAAAAGAAAAAAGGAAAAAAAAGTAGGTGTGATTTGAACAGGGCGGGCTTGTTAATATAAGTATATGACAGTTAAAAAAGGAGGAGCCATGAAAGGAGGAACGGGGACAAAGAAGTTTCTAATATTCACAATGTTTCTTTTGGAGATCGCATCTAACGAGAGAGTATCGAAATCCCGAAAACCGTCTAATGGAGATCCTTTGGTGGGCTGTAGACCTGTTGTTTCATGTACTATTAATATCCAATTCCAAATGCTATTATTCTCGCATGATGTTGAACTTACAATCTTCCTGGTCTTCAGTGGTGCCCACTTGTACTTCTTAACCCAGATGCTGAGTGCCAACATAACGGTCGTGATAGCCAAAACCTTCATTCCCATCTTCTTTCGCTCGTCCATCTCTGGCTCAGCAGCCCAGTTCAAGAACTCAACGACGTCCTTGGCCATCTGCGATGTGGTCGCCGGGGTACCATCATCGTACTCAACAATGCCGTCGTAAAGGACACGGGCCATGGCGATACCTACGACAAAAAAAAAAAAAAAGGAACACGTTAGCACAATCCCGATAATTCAATTAGTCCAATGAGAATTATTGTATCATACCGGTTCCAGGGAAGTAGGGGTTGAAGTTCAAGCCGTCTGGAACGGGTGCACCGGCTGGGGGCTCATCTGGATAACCGGTCAAGAGCGAGAAGATGTAATCGCAGCCGCCGTGACGACCCTTAACAATCAAGCTCAGATCTGGTGGCAAGGCACCCTGGTTGGCAGCACGGGCAGCCTCGTCGTTCGCATAAGGTGCAGGAATGTAGTCCGACAGTTTACCAGGGCGCTTTTCAATGTCGCCATTGTCGTTTGGTTCATCGTCATACTCGCATTCCTCAGCCATGGCCTTGGCTTCGTCAACAGTGTGGGAGACACCGACGAGAGTGCGCCATGGGACAAGAGAGAGGGAGTGGCAGGAAGCGCAGACTTCACGGTAGACTTGGAAGCCACGGCGGAGACTGGCCGAGGGTGTTAAATTTAGCAATTGGTCGCGAAGACGATAAGATCTGGGAGAATACTCACGCCTGATGATCGAATGTGGTAAGGAGACCGGTATGGGCCCATGGGTACTTGGTAGGATGAAGACTATATCGAACCCGAAGCGATATTAGCACATGAGAATTTATATACCACGGGTATCCGGCCAATGTCGGCCACAACTCCGCGGTTTTCAATCGTAACGTCGTCAAAGTTCAGAATTGGCATCGTACCCTTCTTCGGCCGGTGACAGGGCATGTACTGTCGGTCCGTATTGATAGAAATACCATCCCGAGGAAGCAACAGCCGCAGCGGTCGCAGCATATGCCGCCGCCGTTAGACCGGACTGAGAAGCTTCAGAGCCGGCTTTCGAAGCATCGGTGGCATTTCTCTACAAAGCCAATGTTAGCCAATTGGAGCTGCGATGTATCGATATCCGGAGGCAATAGCCCCTCGGAGGGCAGCACAGGGTGGGTGTATATATACCCGTATGGTCTGTCGGATGGGAAGGGATTTCGAGAACCGCGAGGCCTGACGGAGGCAGTTTCGCGAGAACATTGTGACTGACGGTAAGGGCAAGGAAAGGAAGCCGGAGATCGAAGAGGTCGGAAAGGGAGTCGGCCGCAGCCTGGATTGGAGGAAGGCGACGGGGAGGCCGAAGTAGAAGTGGGATGGGAGATATCTCTGCTGGAGGTGGGCTTTCCAATTGGGTGTTGACGTTCTTTGGGTATGAAGTCAGTCCACACTGTTTTCGCCCTGCAAAATTCACTCGGCCAGGTTTTGGGCTTGGAGGGGTCAACTTTAGCCGACCCAGTTACAAATCGGCGCTTCTGATTGGCTGGTCGTGCCGATGGGCCTATCATATTGTATTTAAGTGTATCTTATATGAAATATTCGAAATGCTTCAATACTTTTTTTTAAATTATATCATGCTATCTATCTGAGCACCTATTTTGATGATTGGTGTGAATGTCGATATTGATATCGACATCTGGCACCCCTTTTTTGTATCGAAAGAAAGGAAAAAAGCTGAAAAAGAACATGAAAGGTATAGACTAAATCACTGTCCGTTCGTCTGTTTGCTGAGCAGTTCTCTCCTCTCCTTGACAGAGTTCGCCAAAACATCCAGGACGGCCACGGTATCATCCCATCCCAAACAGCTATCTGTAATGCTCACACCATACTTCAATCCCGATCTTCCTTCGGCAGGTACCTTCTGGTTACCTATTGATATATCAATTCCTGTTAGTGATTGTTCATGATATCGATACTCGTTTATAAAACCAAAAACTTGGTCGTGGAATCGAATCCTCATAGAGATATAAGTAGATACCTTCGTTGATATTGCTCTCAATCATAACACCCACGATGGCAGTCTCACCGACAGCCAACTGCTCCGCAATAGCATTAGCAACCTTGGGCTGATTCCTGAAGTTCTTCTCAGAGTTTCCTATTCTTTAATTTAGCACAGTTTATTCATTCCTCCATCAATCAATAATGCATATCTTACCGTGGCTGCAATCAACCATCAAGTTGCCTTGTGTATTGGTTTTCGCCAATCTCTCCTTCACCGTAGCGATACTCTTCGCATCGTAGTTGGTTCCAGTCTTACCTCCTCTCAGGATTACAAAGCAATCTTCATTCCCAGTGGTACCGACGATAGCTACAACGCCAGGTTTTGTGACTGAAAGGAAGTGATGTTCTCCTCTCGCTCTGTAATAGAAATTAGCGCATTATCCACCAGTCCAGGAAGTCTATATACCGAATTATAAAACGGGTACATACGCTCCAATAGCATCAATGGCAATGTCCAAGCTTCCATCGGTTCCATTCTTGAATCCGACCGGGAAACTCAAACCACTTGCCAACTCTCTATGCAACTGACTCTCCGTCGTTCTGGCTCCAATAGCACCGACACTCAACAAGTCGGCCAGAAATTGTGGGCTGATGGTATCCAGCATCTCAGAAGCAATCGGCATTCCTTTCTCTGTCAATCTGACGAACAAGTCTCTCGATATTCTCAATCCCTTGTTAATTTGGAAACTACCATCGATATCCGGATCGTTGATCAGTCCCTTCCAGCCGACTGTTGTTCGCGGCTTCTCGAGATAGGCACGCATAACAATGAGGAGCTCATTCTTATGTTTCTCTTTCTCTTTGAGAAGACGATCGCAGTAGGCCAGAGCAGCCTCTGGGTCATGAATGGAACACGGGCCGACGACTACTAGAAGACGCTTTTGTGGGTCTCTACCGTGGAGAATCTGGACGGCCTCTTCGCGGCCTTGTATAACGGTAGTTTTCGAGGCTGGGGTCTGACAACATTCGTGAGACCATTAGCTGCTTTGGCTTGCATAGAATGGGCCGTCCCCCCCTTCTGAGATTTAATTATAACGTACTTGAGGAACCTCATGTTGTAGCAAATCCGGCGGTGTCAATGGATTGTCTTGAAGTAAGAACCAGTCAGCACCTACGCCCCGCCTAGTGCAAATACACCCGATCCAGGCATTTGGACAGGGACTTGGAGTGATTTTCGGCCTGTGATATCGCTCCGGAAGACGTACATCCTCGAACTATTTACCCAAACACCGAGTATCTAGATTAGTAAATTTCCCCAACCTTTATAATTTATAGAATTACTAGACTTTAAACAGAAGGAGGTAGAATATAATCTAAGAAAGCACACTTACTTCTCCAGTCTTCAGAGTTGGTCTTGTCTCCAACATGCTTGTTTTCAATGTAGAACTAGTTATACAGATATCGAATTTAGCATGTTAGTTTGGGCCTCTCAACTTCTAGAATTAATCTTTCTATGTATCAACATTTAAAGCGTAGCAATCTGGCCGTTTAATTGATGCAGATGCTAAGTTATATAAGGTATAGATATTGATATAGAGTTTTTAACCGTGTTGCGCGATGAGATGGAAGGAAATGCAATGGACAGGAAAGGGAAGGACGTATTCATACGGTAGCCATTATGCCTACTTGCTCAGATCTGGAATCGGCCCGCGAGTGTATACTCGAGTAAGGAAGGAAGGAAAGGGACGGTTGAAGACGTAAAATGACTGTGGGCCGGCGAAGAACTTGGATTCGATACAACTGGTTCGCAATCCAATATAGTGCCAAACTTTGAACCGAATCGAATGAAATGTTGTAAGCGGTTTGCAAATTTGGTAATCGAACAATCGAACAACCGAATAATATACCTTGTGACGAGTTAAAATTTAAAAGTTCGAAGCCTGCAACTTCGAGCAAGAATGATAAATGTAAATGTATGATAGCACCAGTTAAAATTAAAAACCCGAGCGTGGTTGCGCAGAATCTATATTTCTCGCAACGATGGTCTGGTACTACCGCTACAAATTAATGTGCTACGAAATTCATTATGCAATGACTCGAACTCGTCGAAAGAGAAAAAAACTTTCGTTTTAGCCTCCAGCTCCCCGAGACCCCCGAGCTAGGGCCAATGGATCATATCCTATGACCTCAAATAACCAATAGCGGATAGCTTATACGTAGTATACTGGTAATTATGGCCAATGCAGACGAACCAACCAACAAACGTGGGGCCAAACGGCCGGATCCTCCACTTTTGAACTTTCCGCTCCTAAGTTTCGATTCGGAGAGACCCTTGCACAGAACTCCCCGCCGGTATCGCAGGGGTATGTACATAGAATGCAGCAAACTATCCGAGTTACACGGATTGAGGGTGATTGGAAGCGTCCTCCCCGCGACTGTTACCAGCTTGAATGCGTATTTTGGAGATATCTATTGGGATATTCGAATCTATTGTTCCTGGTACACATGGGAATTGGTATGCATAGCTTGGTAAGCACAACTTGTACTTGATAAGCACAGGCAAATACGCATATGCACATAGCTTATAAGCTTAGATGCGACGTCAGCACATACCTCAGGCCGGCTTCTGGAGCACCTGGGCCTAGGCACTGAAGTGTTTAAGCAGACGCAGGTATGTATATATATATGGACACTTGTGTAGATGGACTGCTACAAGTCCATGCCCATGGTGTGCAGTATATACAAGTACTTGGTTTTACGTTACCAGGCATATCAGCAAGTATCATTATTATCATTACTTCTATCCGTCCGCATAAGGACGTTCTATAAATGCTTAAAATACTAGAATCATGCGACTAAGTAGGTAAGCTATGATTCCAAAGCCATATGATCTCCCAAAAAAAAAAGAAGAGCTCAAATCGCGAATAGTCCAAAGGCCCGTCCCGCTTCCAAACTCCAAATTTGTGCCCCCCGGCAAAGCCTCGCCTTTCCCCGCTATGCCACAAAGCCACTACCTCTTCTTTCCGACAACTTTGGTAACGGCTGATCGGATTACACTTCCCGCTTTCTCACAATCCTTCTTACTAAATCCAGATGATACATAAACCTTAACCACCATGGCTGGATTCCAGCCGAACCATTTTGGACCCTTGGACATGCCTGCTGGCAAAGCTATCCTCTTCACTCTGGTAACTAGAACTCCGTTGGCAAGACACTCATCAACAACATCCTGAGCCAACCGATCCTGTTCATCATTGCTCATTTCTCGTTTTCCATTCAACTGAATAGAGATGGTCGGGTTGATGAGCGAAGAGGTAATGGTCAATGTATCGGTCTTAGCCAAAGCAGCATGGAACGTCTTGATATTCTCGCGGAGTGGGGTAATGAAATTCTCCGGGTTCTCTCGGAGCATCTTAATAATCTCAGAAACGGTGGTGGCAAGCATTGCAGGTAAAGCGGCAGAGAAGACATAGGCAAGACCGGAGATACGTTGGTGGTGAACAATTTCCTTGGATCCACAGCAGAAACCACCACCTCCAACGAACGTAGTGGCAAGGGTACCAACAATCATATCGACATCGGTGGCAGGTAAGTTGTAGTATTCCGTAAGGCCGCGACCAGTTTCACCAACAACACCGAAGGAGTTTGTTTCGTCGAGGATAAGGCGGTACTTGTACTGGAACTTGAGTTTCACCTGAAACCACGTGAATAGTTAGCACGGATATCTTGGCTGTGCTCTTTGAGGGATAACTCACAATTGTGCCCAAATCGGCAACATCGCCACCATCTTCGAACAAAGCCTCAGTGACGATAAACCTTCGAGTCAACTCCCGTCCTCTGAACTCCCTCTCGACTTTCTTCAACACCTTCTCGAGATCGTCCATGTCGTTGTGCTTATACCATCTAATTGTACTTCTGCTAAGTTGCAAAGCCTTTTGGGTAGCAAAGTTAACCTTTTCATCGACAACAATGATATCCCCTCGCTTCGCAAAAGCTGGAATCACGGCACTGATGGTACTGAATGCTTGAGCGTATATAATGCAAGCCTCGGATCCGATAAACTCAGCAATATCCTGTTCGCAGTCCACATGCACATCTTGGGTACCGTAAAATCCAGGGGGTCCACAGGGGCCGACACCATAAGTTCGAAGAGTAGTAATAGCAGATTCGGCTAGGGCAGGTTGGTTTGCAAGATTGAAGAAGTTGGTAGAAGCCAGATTGGTGACGGTTCGTCCGTTGGTGAGTTTAACTTTTGTGCCGGTAGGTCTAATGTCCAATGCCCAATGTCAGCAATTCAAGCACATACACGATAAAACCCAATGAATGGCTAAATACCCTGCAATAACAGGCGTCTTGTCGATCTGTTCCTGCTCGAACTCTGTAAGAGGGGCGACTAGTGGTTCCGGCGTCCAATCCTCGATTAATTCATCAACTTCCTAGAGAACCCGAGTCGTGTGAGCACCAGCACTCCAATAACCCTTCCAATGATACCATTTTCAACATACATCAGGCCGAAGCTTAACAAAATTCTTCTTTTGGGTCGAGTATTTCGGCGCCAACAGATACTGTATCGCAAAAATAACCAGGCAAAGCTCAATCACGGATCGTGCCGGATCATGCTGGTACGACATCTTGATGTACCGGGTCAAGATGGCAGAACCCGGTATCCGGTGGAATTGAACGATTGCCATATCGCGAATGGTAACGAGAAGGGCGAGAGCATCTTGGTAGTCCATGTTGAAGATTTGCGATGGTGATGAAAGTGGAGAGGACGTCATGTTGGCGGTCATAATAAAATAGGGAAAGGTGAGGACACCTTGGGAAGTCTGCAGCCTGCTACGGAAAAGTGTGAAGGTTTTAAGGAGGAAAAGGGAAGTCGAAGCTGTCGGCTCAAAGCGTGGCCGGCTTGGCACAGCGAGTATGACAGTGAACCACAACACCGCCAAAACACCACAAAGCGAAGCTAATTAAAGCCAATTCTCACATCGATAATATTACAATACAATAACTACGTAAGTACTTGCGCGTCGAGTGGGTATCAAAAATATATGGAAATAGCTTCACCATAATATAATATCCATTTATAGGGTGAGATGCAAAAAGTAAGTACTTGGGCAGTTAGTATTAATATAGCGGGAACGTTTTGTCGACTCTTCTCGACCACTCCCACAATCCTCCCTTGATGTCCTTTATCACATTCCCCTTCACCAAGCCGCTTTTCTTAAGCCTCTGAACAGCTATTCGAGAGTCGTTTCCAAGCCTGCAAATAAAATATATTGGCGTAGAGGTATCTCGAGGTAGCCATGACGGTATGGGTACCGGTGGCCTTTCCTCTCCGTCCATCCCGTCCTTCTCCGCCATGATTGGTAGCGTCAAAATTGTCGTGATTGGAACATCTAGACTTAAATTAGCTCAAGCCAACGGGAGTCGATTCAAACCAAACTTCTTACTTATACTGTTCTCCAGAGCACAAATTCCAAACTGAACATCGTCTCGCACATCAATTAACAATCCTCCTTCTTTATTTTGGCGAAGTTTACTGTATTCCTCCACGTTTATGACCTCGTCCTTCGTCAAAGGCGGATATTTACCACTCCCCTTTCCTCCACAGAAGGCCACGTAATCCAAGGATCCATTCCTCATAGATTCTTTTGTAATTGTAGCAACAGGTGAACAAGCCTGACACGTCTTTCTCTTTCCAAACATCCTGATCGTTCTAAATGGTGTATCCGAAAATGCAGAATATATTGTCATATAGAACTTTTTCTGCTCCAACGACTCTTCCTTCTTCGGAGCGTCTTTCGCATCGGCTGGACGTATATCCGGCGATAAGTGTGCTGGCTTCCGCCGTTTCTTCTTATCTGCCTTTGAAAGCAGAACCTTCAGAGCTTCGGTCGACATCAGAACCCCCATAGCACCCACAACTGGACCTAATACTCCGCCTTCCCCACAGCTTAGCACCGACTCCGGAGGGGGCGGTTTGGGGAAAACGCATCGATAACATGGTCCTTCCCCAGGTGGATTATTCAAGACAACCAATTGACCATCCGATCTCAAGGCTGACGCAGAGACCAGTGGTTTCCCGAGAAGCACGCAGGCATCCGATATCATATACCTCGTCTGAGGTGAATCTGTGCAGTCCAAAACCAGATCGTACTTGCCCAACGTCTCGATGGAATTCTCGGGCGTTAGAGCATAGTTGTGGGCGATATACTTTGGATTCGGGTTAATCCGTTTCAAAGATGATATTATAGACTTGACTTTAGGGTGGCCGACTTTTTCGACCGTATGCATTATTTGTCGGTGTAGGTTAGAAGGCTCAACAAGATCATGGTCGACGATCCCAATAGTGCCGATTCCTGCACCAGCAAGGTATGCTGCAGCTGGGCAACCTAATCCCCCAGCTCCAATAAGGAGGACTTTCGATCGCTTAAGTTGCAGTTGACCTAAATTTAAAATTATTTATCGTTCAAATAAAATAAAATAAAAAAAGTAAGATAAACTGCTTAGGATACCATACCGTCGAGACCAACCTCCGTCATAATCATCTGTCGTCCATAGCGACGAAATTCATCCAGGTCAAGTCTAACAGCCTTGTCGTCTTGATCCTCTGGAGTGGGAAGCTCTTCTTCTTCCTCATCCTCCTCATCTTCCCCATCTAATCCATGTGTCGCATGCCCATTAGTAGTCGAGTTTGCGACCGCTCCACTACGATAGTCCGCTAGCTCCCTCTCAAGTTCTGCAATCCGTATTCTCAGATCAAGGTTTTCTGATCCTAAAGAAAACTTCTCCATGACTGTGTATTTTTAGAGTCCTTTTAGAGCTTTAGGAGCGGGCTAAAAGTCAAAGCTAGGTCGGTTCGAACGTTCGAATTCTGGAGTTTTTAGATGTTCAAGTTTTAATTTTTGTTCTTCGTGCTCCGTCGCAAGCTGCAGTTAGCCATGCAATGGCGCAAACTTAGCTCAAAAGATTCTAATTCTGAATCACGCCAACCAGACGCTGAATCACCTTTTTATAGACGGGCGTCTCGACACCGCATAAACCAGCTTAAGCTCTCGACGTAGCTCGAGCGCTAATACAACAACGAAACCCCCTGCTGTGGTCGTCTGGCTCCTTTGACGCCCTCCTTGAGCCCTGACTGATACCTAGCTGCCGGTAGAAAGTGAAAGGAACTTTGCTTATTTCAAAGTTTCCGCTTGCAGGTTTTGCTTGTGTCACCGAGAAGGCTGTGTGGTATTTTTGACAACACAACGCGATATTGAAAGCCTCGAGATGTCCGCTGTCGACACCGAGGTCGAGGCCTCAAACTCAGAATTGGAACAGCTTCTTTTGCCCAATCATCCATCGTTTACAACAGAAGACCCTCTAGGATTCTCGGATATAGATGAATATCCGGTTCCAGTCTATTCAATTCTTGAATCTCTTCTCTTCCGCAAGTTTGAATCAATCTCTCAGATTATTCCTCCAGAAGCTTTAACAAGCGAATTCGTCTCCGTAGTATCAGATCTTTCATACACCCTCCACAACCGTCCAGATCCCAATCTAAATATTGTAAAATCCTGTATATCTGATTTACCAGATTCTATAACCTATATTCAATCAATAGTGCATTCCGCATCAAAACTACCCATTCTATTCCCATCCGGATCTCTGCATCCCCTCAATCCAGGAGAGACAAGAGCATACACCAAAGCCCATTTATCATCTATCCTCTCTCATCAATCTCTATTAACTCTACCCTCTCCTAAATGGAACGACTGGGGTGGTGTAAACCTTACACCATGGTATTCAGATGCCGACGGTATTACTGAACCAAAGAGGACATACACCAACATCACCCTCGACTACTTCAAACAATCCACAGCACCCTCAAATCAATCCCAAGAATTCCTTTTCCATCTTTTCCATAACCAGATTCCCCCATCCCTTACCGCAAAAACCGCATTAATACCTCTCAAAATACTTGAACTCCCCATCGAAGAGGACTTCCCGAAAACTACACTGCCCGTCGACAATGTCCACATAACATACATCATATCATCCCACAAACTTATCGGCCATGGCCCTTCAGCGACTCAGGAGGAAAGAATACTCGCTAGTATACCTGAACTCCTACCGGTTTCTACATTTACACCCCCATTGAAAGAAAAAACCGCATTGGCGGTTACAGCTTCCGCAGAGGGTGGGTTTATACCCACAGCAGTATTTACGGGACACGGAAGAACCGCGCGAAAGGATAATAGTTATAACCGTGAGGACTACGAAGGCGAGAATAAGGAGAAAAGGATACGAGCCAATACTTTCTTGTTTCTTAACGCTACAGAGTTAGATACCGTTGAAGTTCCTGAGGTAACAGGCGGTGAAAGTGGGATGTTGCCAGATTTCCTACCGGGTGTTTTGCAAAAGGATTTGTTGAAAGCATATACTGGGTTCTTTGGTGTATTTGATTCACAGGCAAGGAAAGGAGAAAAGAGGAACCAAAGGATTGTAGCGACGCCGTGGGGAAGTGGTGCTTTTGGTGGTGATGTTAGAGTGAAGCTGTTGATATTATGGGTTGCTGCTAGTTTTGCAGCCACAAGGTTGGAGGAGGGGCAGAAAGCAGAGTTGGTGTTTTTGGTGAAGCGGTTTGTAGTTGATGCTAAAGAGGTTTGGTGGAAAGAAATGTTAAATAAGGTTCAAGATAGTGGGCTTGGGGCAGACGATGTATGGAGGGCATTGTTGGAGATGGAGGAGAATAGTACTGCAGATATTAACGTTTTGGAGGGTATTGTCAACGCCTTGGGTTTGGAACGCCCGCACGTCATGTAATTCTAATTCTCAGCTACTTAGATACTTATGTCCATTAGAATAGTAGTGGTAATATTAAATAGAATCAATTTCTCGAATTGTAGGATAATATTTAAAGTTGCATTCCCCTACCGGAATGCTCTTGGAAGAAAATCGTTGTCTGTTCTGGGAGGCTCTAAAAAAATTTAAGGTCCCATCTAGACAGTAAACGCCGTGGAAATGCCCACCCATGAAATATATAAGCAACTTTTCAAATCGCTTCTCACTCGCTATGCAGTTAAATACATTCAGGTATCGAATCAAGATGGTATCAAGTAAGTATCAAGGAATTGTTATCCAAACAAATGAAATATAATAGATGGAAAGAAAAGGCGTGGTTGGAATGTCTTAAAAATGGTGGATAGGCAGCCGTGCTGGCGCACTGCTGCTAAGCTGAGGGAGGGCTGCAAATTTGACAGATTTTGCTGATGGGTTTCCAGCAGAGATAGAATAGCTATAGCTAGACTCCGCCCCGTATACTCTATCTTGGTGTTGATAGCTTTTACTACTCATGGCGCTTCTTGCCGGGTATGCAATTTTAGGATATGTTGGCTGCTGTGAAAGAGAAGGGACCTCAGGGATAGAGGATGGATTTGAAGATGCACGGGGCCTCCCCAGACTTTCACGAGAAGCTTGTGGGGTGCGGTAAAACGACATTCGGGGTTCTTCCCTTGTATTTGGTGGTTCTGGTTGTCTTTGATGGATATGATAACCACTGCTTCGAGGGTTTATATACTGAGGTTTTTGAAGACGACCTCTAGAGAGTGAACGATGAGGGGTGGTTTCTGTGGTAGGGGAAGGAACAGAAGGAATCGTCATTGGTTCAGATATTGGATGATATCCGTCCATTGATGTGTGGCGGATTTGCAAACCGTAAGGATTGGTTTGAGTGGATCCGCGATGCATTGTATGGTGCCATGATGCAGTACGCTCGTGATCATGAGGATGTGAACCCTGTCTGATATGATAAGGAGTGGATTTAGGTGGTTGTGGTAGAAATATTTGCTGACTTGTTCGCATATTAGCAGCTGTTGGAACGAAAGACCTTTGCTGGTATGCTGGCTGAGGTGCTCGATGTGAAATCTGTGTTTGGAGAAGATTCATAGACTCTTGTCGGATATCAATATCAGATGATTGAGGTTGTATGTTTTGTTGTCCCACTGGCATTAATAGAGATCGTTTTTTATGCTGTCTTGAATATCTTTGGAAAGTATTATACTTTGGGTGCGCCCTATGCACATGCGGATCCGGGGGACCGAGCGATCCAGTTGAGTTCCTATCCGCTGGCCGATTTGGAGGCATGAGACCCTGTGCAGGTAGTCGAGGAGAGTGAATCTGAGGTTGAACTAATCCTATCACTGCTTCTGAGCTATCATTTCTCATCATCCGTTCCCTCCGAATATAAGTAGATGGTGACTTTGGAGAAGCAATTGCAGCAGCGGTTTCAATGTCCTGCTCACCAGGAGCAGCGGCATTGAGAGATAGAGCTAATCTCGAACTGGTTGTAGAAGAGCCAGAGCCTCGAGATTTTTGAAACCCTCCGATTTGCCTCATCGAGGGGCTTTGAAACCTTTCACTTCCCACTCTATCCCATTGTATCGGTGCCGATTTGTTTTTTCTCCTTCGATACCATCTTCTCCCTGGCCCCAAAATCGCCCACATTAAAATAGGTACGAGAGCTGATAAAAATCCAATTAAGAACCAATGCCAGTTTGCGTGCCAGAATACCTCAATTTTCGAGTCTCTGTTTTGTTGTGCGGTTGAAGTTGGAGGCGGTGCTGAACTCGTGAACGATGGTAGTGTCGAAGTTGGAGGCGTAGATTGTGATAATACCCCAGTCGTATGAAAAAGTATGATCGCATGTGAGATTGCCAGAATCCTCTTTGACATTGTCGAAATGTGATTAAAACGTAGAAGGAATTTCACAAGCCAGCGCGAAATCCCCTATAGATGCCTAGGTGCTTAAGTAGTAGTTTTAAAAGTGGTATTCCGGAGCCGTTTGAATTCGAATATTCGAGGATCGATATGTTCTCCCACCCTGCTGAGGCGCTCTGCACCCTGAAAATCAACTGTTGAAAGAGTGTAGAATCGAGAATGTTGGAAAGCCAGGAACCAATTCCTTCTTCTGAAGACAAAATGACAGCAACGTTATTCGAAAACAAGGCTGACCGGTCCCTAGGTTTTGTTTATATGAAACCGAAGCGTATGAAGATCTCCAGTGCTATTGGCTTGAGCTGCGTGATACGCCGATATTGGATTAGGTAGCCAACGCCCCTGCAACACGAAATGCAAGAAGGAATGAATGACGTTTAAAATATCGAAGCGGACAATCAATGTCACTGATATACCAAATATAGAAAGAAAGGAATGTTGAAAATAATATCGACTGGTCGATTGCGATCGATTGTTGAAGAAAAGAATGGAAGGCCGAAACGCAAGCAGGCAAACAGGAACAAAAGGAAAGTAAAGAGATCGAAATCCGGATCGATATCCCTCGAGAATAACTGGTTTCACAGAAACCTTCAAAAGTGTCAGAAGACGTTTGCATACAAGGTACGAGGATCTCGGTACCTTTTTAAGAGGAAACCGGACCTCATGTGAAGAAACATCTTTGCAGGGGGTTTCCATTGTTGTAGCTCCAGCTGGCCAGCATTGGTCGTATAAACAGCTAACCGACGAGGCAACTGTGGTGCAGGAACACTGCTTGACTGACCATTGGCGGCGTCAAGTCGCATTCCCACGTCAGATGAATCGGGTAAGTCGCTGTTTGGATAGACGTGGAGGTCGTCGCATGGCAAGGCGTTAACTTGCTGCGAATGGTCGACATGTTGCGCATGTTGCAACAGGCATGTTTGGCTGGTAAGCTTCGGATGTGGATTCTTGGCCTTCACGATAGGGAAACCGGTGCTTGCTGGCCGCCAGATGGGATGAGGGTTTCACCAGGGGACGGTTTCAGGTAAGAATGGAAAATGTCGCTAACCAAACCACGACGGGAATGGGTTAACTTGCAGCCAATCTCTGCACGTAATAAATACGTTGATTGAAGGTTTCTCGCATTGTGCCTGCGGGAAGGCTCTGAGCTGGACAAGGGCCATGACCACACCCATACTCTGTGCTCTGAAAGGGAGAGGCCCAAGGGTCGGGTCGGGGAATTTTTAGATGGTCTGGCGAATCAGCGTTTCTGAAACCGCTGCTTGGCGGGGCGGCTGTTGCAACTGCCCAATTTTGTATCCTGCCAGTGAATTTAGATGAACCTGTACTTACTAAGTACTTACTTACACTGGCATAGCATGGTGCTTGAGAGGGATAGAGATTGCATCGATTGTAAATATCGCAGGACTTCGTATGTGGAGGGAATTAATCAACCAAGTGGCTCACCAGGTCAGCTATGAGGGGCTCGTATATCTAACACGTGGTTAATTTCTAGGTAGCAATGTGATATCTGTTGAGAGTTTTTACCGCATCCAAAACGTTGATAAAAAGTCTTCTTAGATATGCATAATACATACATAGGATACTAGTTACATACGCCTAGCAATACGCCATTCCACGCGTTTACAGCCAATAATGTTCCTGCGATTCTCTTGAGTAATGTACAGTAAGGTGAGATCAATGCAGGGAATAAATTTTTTTCTCTCTTCGAAAGGTCGGCGCAACCAATCGATTGCCTAATATCTGCTGTTTTCCTGACCTTTTGGACTTGGCTCGAAAATTACTCTGCAAGGGGTTCCTTTTTTTTTTCTTTCTCAAGAATGACTTCTAATTATTAGTAGCAATTGGTTAGATCGAGGGCCACGTCTAGAGCCACAGTCGAAAGTTTTCCAGTACCCGATCCGAACCCAACATTCTCAAAGTGTCGTTAGTCGTGCTCCTGCGCAGCTGCTTGGGGAATTACTAGACTAAAGGGGAATCGAGTTTAGACAAATGTTATAAAATAAAAAGCCATCAAACTAAAAAAACTAGAAACATTCTGACCCGTATAAAGCGGTGTCGATAAGATTATAAATTCAATATCCCAAAGGAGTAAAAATAATAGCCACGAAAGGCTCGGCGACCAATAAAGCGTGACCATTAGCGAATGAGAGGGTGTGCGGGTTTAAAGTATACGGACACCTGATCTCTGCATCTCTGCAAGCCTACATCATTGCATGTGCCGAACCGAAATCAATATCACAAGCGACGGCAAAGGCGGGAGGAGAAATAGAGCCTTGCATATAATTCGTACGTGTCCACGATGCAAGAATATTGAGCGATACTACTTTAGTTCGCCGAATTGTGGGTTCCCTTTTGAACTAAAACTAAGACCTCTTCCTTAACTTTGGCTACAATCAGACAAGCACAAGTCGGAGACATCTGGTCCATCGATTTGAGGGGCGAAGGATGCAGCGCAAAAAGTGTCTCGATTTCAAGAAGCACGAACCTTTTTCTGAGTGACCTGCTTGATCAGGATTGGGACAGTCCCCAACGTGGCTCATGCATGATAGACGGATAGACCTGGCTTCTCATTTGGTCGGCTAAATCTGGTCCTTGCAGCGGCATACGGGAATCCCAGTTTGGTGCAAAGAAGATCAGCTGCCCACTCAACATTAACATTCCAACAACAAGGTTACAGCATGCGGTTCGTTATCTCCATCGTAACTTGTCCTTGATGGAAGGGTTTTATTTTATTTTATTCTTTTTATTTTATATTTTATTTTTATATAATTTTTCTTGATTTATTTCTTGATTTGTTTTATATAACACCAGCTCTTAAAACGCCGTCGACATCGGATTGTTTCGTTCAATAAATAGGCCTCTTAGACCTCTTCGCCTTCGAATATGTCTTATAATTATATCATAACTTTGCTTCGCTATTTTTTGTGCTCATGGCACATTTGCCCAGCCATACTCGCTGTAGTATAGTACACGGATTCTTAAATCCTGAGGGGAGGCACGGGTGATATGTCTCCGTGCGGTTGGGCGGCGGGGCAGATCTTAAGCTGTTTGAAATAGATCAGCTTCTCGAAAGACCATCCTTCCATGGAAAACTTTTCCTCGCAAACGTGGAATCACATTGACGACGGTTCAACCGATATGATGGTGAAAGCGATATATTACTATACTACGTGCAAGAATCTGGATCTTACAGGGTTTCAGGGAATCGCCTGTGCTCGATCTCGACGAGGTTGATGCGATATCTGCCAGGAAATTGATTAAAATTGTTTCGGGTTCTTCATTTCTTTTTCCTTGGCTCGGAAGTCAGTGCACTCGGACTGTGGTCCGGGGATGATAATCTTCAGCAACGAAAAAAAAAAAAAAACTGATAAGCTAATACCCGTTAAACGTTTTTCTAAGTAATATCATTGCGGCGATATATGTTAATATGACGGGCTGTTAAGGAACAAACCGTGAAACAAATGCTTGAGCGCTTCGCATGATCATGGTCTATCAAGATGATTATGGAGTCTGGACTAAAGTAAATTACCTACATCCCGTGTACCATTTGGTAGATGATGAGCTCATGAGCACACTATGGGTAGTAACGGGCGCGGCGCGGGCGAACAGACGGCCGGAATACATAGTACGTCTTCCAGGTCTTTGAGAGTAAAAAAACAACCTTTAAGACGAATTGGTTCTAGTCTTTTAACCTACAATTAACCCGGCTGAGTGGGTGTGCTATTCCATGCGTGTGTTGAGTAATTTGGGGAGAACAGAGGCCAGACCGCTGGGAACCTGCAAGCTAAGTCGACCACTACCATGTCAAAGATGCAGCGGGAGAATGGGAGCGACCCAAGTGGATAGCAGGAAGGGAAGAAAAAAGAGACATGACCCTTCGATCTCCCTATTTTGTCGTCATTGGAGGGTATGTACTAGTAAGTCGGGTACCGAATTCCAGGTTCGAAGCTTCGACTCGATGGTGGTCACGGATAATACTTGTTCCCCCTCCTATCCTTTCATCCCGAATTACCGCTACCTGGGTAAGTTCGGACACCCACTTATTTGACTTCCTTATTTTACTTAATTCCTTATTTACTACAATCAAAGCCTGTACTATGTATGTATGTATGGGCATACACAAAACATGTACAGAGGCTGTAGTATAATCAAATACGATGGATGAGGGGTCGAGCACACCACCAGAGAGCAGCTCCACTCCGGTCCCTGTTACGACATCCAATGCGCCTGCCGCGCTCCTCAATCTAAAGTCGCCCGAACTAGGCCGTTCCATATCTTCAGATTGAATGCATACATAGAGCGATGCAAAATCCTTAAGTTTGTTCCGTAGTTTAGACTAAACTATAACACTATTATTATCCCATTGACTGTTTTAGTGTCTTAGCTGGTAGCTGCCATGCCACGTAGTATTCCTTTGCATCCAACTCCCCATTACGAATAGTCTAGTATAGTATACTGTGATATATATATATACCTTATAGTGTGTCAAGTGAACAGGTCTAGACATCTGGCTAATTGGCCTACGTTATTCCTGAGTGCAACTACTATACCAAAGTACTTAAGTGAGTAACTAACAATTTAATTGCGCTCTATTCGATTCTTGTTTGAAGTTCAGTAGTGTGGGTGGGTGATGATAGGATAAGACAAGTCAGAGATGAGCTAGCTAAAGGTAAAAGAGGGAAAAAAGCAAAATCCAATATATGTCCTCTAAACCAAGATCCAGTCGCACAAGGGCCAGATGATTTATAGACAGGCTATGGGAAAAAAAAAAAAAAAAAAGGAAGAACGAAAACCACTATTACTTAGCGACATTTACTAATACCATTCTTCAGTCTTACACCCGGTGTATTAAGCATAGAGATTATTTAGTCGACACGAAGTGAAACCTACAACCGTCATTATTAATTCATTCTCTACACTTCGGATCCAACTTTTTTCCTACTCTTTTGCGGGGACCCCAATCTCAATATCAAACAGCTCGGACCATCGAAGCGCCATTTCTATTAATTTATTCTGGCGTCGCAAAGATACAGCAATAACAGCGGCGACTGGATCTCGATATCGAAACGAGATTGTTTCTTTTCAGGCTCTTCGGGGCCATCCGTCGTTTCCAGAAGAGCTACCCTCCACTACCTGACCCCAGATTGTTTCCCAGTCGCGAAACGCTTGAACCCAACCACGGTCCGAGCTTGAATTTACTCTTGTTTTTTCCGTATCTGATTCATTGAACGCTTCACGTCGGTATCTGTATCCTATAGCTTCGTCCGTTCACATTCAAACCCCTCGCATATTCCCGTCATACTCTTCTATCTTTGTACTACCGACAAACTCGATTGCAGGACGCTACACACCCTGTAGTTCGTAAATTGATTGGATGGTGTCTTCATAACCTTCTCAAACGACGATTGCACAACTCGAGAGACCACACAGCTGTATCTACGACCTCGATATTCACATTAAATATCTCGAATGGGTAAGTTCTCCGGTAAGGGAGCTGTTCATTTGCTTTTGCCACAGATATAAGCTTTGATTTGGTACAATTTTTGCGCTCTTCTGTCTTTTTACTTTAGTCATTTGACATCGTGGATACAATCCACGGTGGAGCCTTGAGGGGGGGTGGTTTGATTTTTTCCCTCCTCTCTCACTTTCTCCCTGCTCGTCAAGAATTTGAGAACACGCATTGCGATTGGACTAACAATCTATTGATTGTTCTGGAAAAATTGCAATGTCGTCTCCTCAAAAGTCTTTTCTGATATATGCCATTCCGGCGGTAGCACTATATATCACATCATATCATGGTTTCATGGGGAGGCGAAGGCCCATGCGCGATATAGGGCTATATCTCGCAGATTGATGAATTGGCCCGCGCGTTTCCAAACATAATTCGGTCTGATATTGGCCATGGAACCTTCTTTTGCTTCTCTGTTTCTGCTTTTGTTCATGGCATCTCACGACCTTGTACCACACTTACTTGAGGGTTGGTGGTATCAGCGGGGAACAATTTGTATTATTGGCCGGCCCGTGGTACAACTCACATTTTGGCCATCTTATTTGTTCGCTAGAGTTTTGGCAGCTGTCCAGAAGCCATGCCGCCAGCTTTCTTTGATAACCTTATGCTTCAGCATCAGTATGATGCCAGGAAGCGGCGGCTTGCGAAGAATGCGGACGGGCAAGCTGTGTCTCAGGTCAACGCCATTCAATCCTGTTGCATTTTAAAACCCGGGCTACCAGTAATTTGATTTTTAACCTTGCGACATACCTACGTTATTCCCATTCCTTTCAGTTGCGACGCTGTTCCGGGCAAGCCACTACCGCTGATGGCCGCTCTTGAGAGGGAAGAAAAGAAAACTGTCTTTTTCTAAAACCTGAATGAATGGGAAAACTTTTTGGGGATATTATTTTCCACGATGGCTTAAGCTCCACTCCATGCGCGACCTGCGTCAGCCATCTCTTTTTTTTATTTTAACCTTTTCTGCGCCTGGTCGCAAAACTACAAGGTCAAAATCGAGTTTTCAGCCGAAAAGGGCACCCATTCTATTCAAACAACGAGCGCAAGAGGGGTGACTCGAAGCAGAAGAGAAAAAGGAAACCCCACTCAGGTAAACGAACTGACCAGCAAAAGGGTGGTCGCCAAATAATATTAGCGATTACTTGGGATTATAATGTTAATAACACTATATCCTGACCTTTATGAGCCTGGGTATGCCTTGACTTCCAGAAAGAGTAATTGTTAAATTAGTTGGATTTGTTATCCTTACCCAGCTTTTTTGTTTTATTATTTCGTGCTGGATTTTCCTTCCAACTAGGCACGTTTCCCGTGCAAGTTCTCTTTCACCCGGGTCAATGCCATTGTCGCCTGGGGGCCTGCAAGCCTGCAAGACAAGGCAAGGGAAGGGAAGAGGGGTGGGAAAGTGTACTTCTCGCGCAGCCTACCCACCTCAACTAGCTCCAATTCTTCAGTGGCAATTCCTTGCGAAAAATCAAGAAAAATCATGACCAGACTAGCTAGCACCGTCAATATGGTCTCCAAAAGGGTGGTTTTCTTCTTTCTACTTGACAATTAGCTGGCCAGTACGGTGTGCCTGAAGATCGAGGAGAAACATTACATACAGACATGCGCAGCTGAGCGTGGGAGCAGGAGCAGGAGCAGGAACATGGGGATGGAGATTGATTAAAATTTCAATTTGATACTTCGCTTTAGTAATTCTTTGTTTCTTGTCGTCGCATTCTTTTTAATCTGCTTCATACCGCCTCCTAAAACCCTTAGGCCGCCTATTTACCTTACGAGTTACCTTTTTTTTTTTTTTTTTTTTTTTCTAAACTAAAGAAAGTTATTGTTCATTTGACAGCGTATTAACCTTTTTCCCCTCCCCTTATCCCCTCCTCTTTTACGACCTTTTTGACCTTTTTGACTTTTAGTATACTATAGTAGTATTACTATTTTAATTTTTGTTATTAATTGTCTTTGTGCAGCTTTCGTTTCCCCCATATTTCTCATTTTGCAGTTTGCAGTTTGCATGCATCCGTTATAATATATAGTTACTTCTTTCCATTAAGGACTTTTCTTACTTACTTGCGGACGCCCTTTCGCGCCTTTTTCTTTCTGTCGCATTTCAGATATACTAACGACGACACCTGGACATCGATTCATTCCCCCTTCTCGAAAGAAACCCCTCCCTCACTCCCTCCCTTCCCCCCCATCCTCCCCGACCGCTTCCCTGCTTATCGTCACTATTATTATCGGTGTTATTGCTTCTTAACAAAAATTAATAATACCAATCCAGATTTTCTCTTTTTTAATTTTTCTTTTAACTTTTTTTTATTTTCTTTTTATTTTATTTTATTCTCCCATTTCCCCCCAGTTTTGCGACACACATACAGTTCACAGTACTGACTTACATACATACTTACATACGTCCTTTTTTCTTATTCTGGTTTATTTTATTTTATTTTATTTTACTTATTTTATTTTTTTGTTTTACCTTTTTTTTATAATTTTTTCCTTTTGAAAGCATCCTTAGGTACTTCCTTCTACTTACGCTTTCCCTCGCTTTGATACAATAGACTCGCCTGCAGATATCGATATCGATATTCCCATACTTCTTATTATATCTTATTAATACCACGAAACAATAATATATCCACTTCCACTAACTGTACGACATAGCGCTGAGAGATTCAACTTGATTAAACTGGTTTCTCCCGGCGCAGTTTCGAAACTTCGACTTCAACTTCGTTCGTCACCGCTGTTCGATTCCTATACTATACTCTTTTGCAATTAACAAACCTAATCCACCTCCACCACCATCATTGCGCTGCTTAACTAACTTCGCAAACATTGCAAACCACCGTGCGCCGTCGACGTCAATAGTCCCGACAACATATAATACTGCTTCTGCTTTTTTTTTGGATTGCGACTGTACGATATCATTGGACATAAATAGTGGAGGTCGCATCTCCCCACCACTGGACTTCTCTTCTGGCCGTCCCGATAACCAGGGCTCTACGACCGTCTTTGCATTTACACATATCGCATGTTACCGTTCCAAAGGTTAAACCCATCCGAGAAGAAGAAGAGGACGAGTTCGAGTTCGAGAAAACTCTAAAGCGAACCAGCGCGTGTGTGTGTGCAAAAACTCTTTGCCAGCATCCCTCCCAAAAATCTCTCTCACTCTTTCTCTCAAAATTTCAACCGTCGTTTTGTCGCAATCAACTAAGAAACTACCTAATTACCCTCCGGACACTTTGGTTCTTACCATGGCTGTCAGTTTCACAGGCTCCCTCGGCCACGAGGATACGGAGAGCCCGTCGGCACAGCTGCTAGGCGAGGGAAGCCCACCTCTGGGCTCGGAGAGTGCAGCCGGCGACACCAGCACAATAGATGCGAATATGTCACCTTCAAAGCGCAAGGGAGGTCGGCAGCCAGTCGATAATTCGGAAGAAACCAAGGAACGGCATGCAGAGCTATATCGGTACTACAAGGAGAACACGGGCCTGTCGCAGGCAAAGATGGCCGAGTGGTACACCACAAAGTTCGGGTCGACTATGTCGCAATGCACGGTATCGCGTATGTACCAGGCCTCCCGATCCAGCTGCATCCCCCTGGCATTTTTGACGTTTGACCGAATATCCGCTGACTCTATATCTTTTTTTCCTTTTTCTTTTTTTTGGGTCTGTAGAGGTGTTGAAGAAACAGAAGTTGTTGCACGGTGAAGAAATCGCGGAGCCGCGTCCTCGTAAGAGCCCTGCCAGTCGAGAACTCCCGTGACATGTCATGTCACGACAACCTTGGCAACCATGCTAACCTCATCGCACCCAAAAGGAAAACGAAAGAGCATGAAAGCGGAAGACCAGGCCGGAGAAACCAAACCTAAGAAATCCCGTGGAATTGAAGTCGGGCCTGACGGAACACCCATCGGTAGTAAGTTTCACTTCTGTCTGACAATAGTTTCGGCATAACCTTATTTTTTCTTTCTTTCCGATCTCCCCCCATCCCATCTTCCTTTTATTTTTGGATGAAGACTAGGTTTCTGACCGGACGCGTTTTTGCCAGTTCAAACAGTCATCTATACTCCAAGCTCTCAGTTCAATAATCCTCCGTCATTCCAAGCTGTTAACGCTCCTCCAACATCATACTCGTCATTCACATCACCGGCGACCCCTGTCTCTCTCGCCCACGCCGCCTTGACACATACCGAAGCCATTACCCCTACCACAGGCTCGGTTCCGTTCCGGGCAACTGACCCCTCGAGAACGAATCAACAGCCATTCAGTATTGGCCCCAATAGCAGGCCCGTAGCGCCAATCCTTCATCATCCAGGTGCGTCAACGCCCTCTAAGACATTCATAGTCAATGGGAAACCAACGTCTCCGATAGGTGCAATGATGGAACAGCCTACTCACATCCGGTCCGGGGATGTTCAAACTCTACAGTCAGAACTTGAGAGCTCGCGGCGGACAGTTAGTGAATATCAAAAAATTGTTCAGAAGCAGGAGACTCTGATTGATAATATTCTCACCAATCAACATAATGAAAAGGAAAAGATCAAGGACCTTCAAATCGAGAATAACTTGCTTCGTGAGACGAAGGGAAATGAGCAGATCTCCGAGCTGTTGACGAAGATCGAAAAACTGACAAGAGATCTCGAAAATGAAAGAGAGAGAAATAAAGCTATGGCTGATTTATGGTCAAAAGAAGAACAAATATTCAAAGACATTCTAGCTACCCGGTCGAGCAAATTCCCTCTTGGTGCCGACATCAAATAAGGTGGAACAATCGAATCCTCTTAGTCAAAATTCATGACCTTGGATCACAAAGCTGACATCTTACTGGATGATCTGTATTTTGAACTACACTCTATCTAACCCCTCCCTCCCTCTTCTTCCCTTGAGTTTTATACCTTTTACTATCTATTTATTCCCCTTCTCCTTTTCCCTTCCCTTCAACGACCTTATTTCCCTTTCCTTTGTTTATAATATTTTTTTTTATTTTTAACGGTGCTGGATCATGGACCTGTCCCTTGTTTTAACTCGATACCATTGCTTGCAGGCAAATATTTCATTTGTTTTTACGTCTTTTTTCTCTTTTTCTCCTTTTATTTTCTGAGATATCCTTTTGCGCTCCTTCCTGTCAACCATCCCTTTGTAACCAATTTGGGTTCCTGGGTGGCTTATTTCCTTCCCTTTCACTTTTATTATACGGTAGATTCGTCTGTAGTGTGATATGCATTTTCATCGCTTGCATGAACCCCCCCCCCCCTCTCTGATTCTTTTTACTACAACCTTTATTTGTATATTTCTTATTTCCTTTTTATATTCTTCGACAGAATGTTGGTGGGTTGGATTGCGAGCGCCCTCCCCCTCCATACCCTTCTTGATCGGTTCCCTTCAGATTTATTGTCATAACATAACCCCTTTGTAATTCTGGGATCAAATTTCTTCCTTCTTGGCGTCATAAACAGGTTTCCTTATTCACTATTCTAAGCATGTTGGCTGGTTGACATTTTTGGTGTTTCCGTTAACTTCTTCATATGCAACACTCCCTTTTTATACCTCTGCTTCGACTTCATCAATATATACCTTTCTATTCTCTCCCTCCTGCAGGCTATCAAATTTCTTAACAGTCCCAACAATATACTCGCTTTTACACTTTTCTTCTATCTATTTCTCACAATTGGAGTTGCTATACCATTGCTTCAACCAGTTTTGCGTCCATTGAATACAAGATCGGACAGGCGTTCTGCTATGCTTCGGAGGTATTTCTTGATATACTAGGTAGATAATTGAAAGCCGATTGGGGGCTCAGGATATATATCGAAATTATTCAAAGAACATGATCAATATAACTGGGTAACTCAGTCTTGTTGTAGTCTCGTATTGCAGACGCGGTCCACACCTTGTGTGGAGCGTCTTGTTGGTGGTTGTTACCTCGGCAGGGTGGCCCTAACGTTAACTACATATAATTCGTTGCTATCATCTCAACCGAAAGGGTGTTACTGAAATAGAGCGCCTCGGTTTCATGAAGTAAAACCTGAAGCCCTCATGCTCAATCAACCAAGCCCGGCTTGGTGGAAAGCTTATATCAGCCAGGCCGTCTGAGACGCAGGAGGTTTTTCCGGCGTCCATATAAAACAGCTAACGTATGTTGACCATTTTGCTGCACACGCTTTCGATAATCCAACGACGCCACAACACATTTTGCAACCGAGAGCTGTGATAGGTGGATTTTTTGAGGGACTCCGGACATATTTGGACGGTTCCCAGAAATGAGGTTCGGTATAAGACTAGTCACCGTTCAGGCTATTTAGCCTATGTGTAAATTGTGGGTTTTCTGGGGTAAAGGCGACGTAATGTCTAGCAATCTTTGAAGTTCTTGCGGAGAAACAGGTATTATCTCTGGTTGGTGGTTGGTGTATGATCTTTGGTATCGAAGACTTCAACTGTGGAGATGTTCACAAACTATTCGTTCTTGGGATAGTACCGGCAAAATGTATGGTACCTGAAACCTGTAGCGAGGCCGTTCCATGGCTCTGAAAGTTAAGGGTATCACTTGCAAGCTTAACTTGTTTATAGCCCTTTCGAATAGCTTCGGACTCCGGATTAGAGATATCGCGGGCGCTCCTTGTTTCTCCAGCTTCCTGCCCCCCGGATAAAGTGAACTCCAATTATCCATCCCATGGTCGCGAAGATCTGCTAGCCGATGCCACATTCCCAGGAAAGGAGCAGGAAGTATATATAAATGGGTCCTTGGCCATGTCTTCCCCAGGTCTTACTTTGTCTTGGAAGCAGCAGGCGACAACTCAATCAACTGTTGTATTCTGATAACTCCAGTCCTGCTTGATATCAATTGCAATACTTGATATCACTTGTTTAGGCAAAGCAAAGATGCTGTCCAAGGCGTACCTGAGCAGCCTTTGTCTGCTTCTTGCCGTTCCATTCTCTCGGACTTTACCTGTAGAGACTCGGACAACTTTACCTGCCGGCTGCTATGGAAAGCGCACGGGTATTCATTTCACGACATATTCTGCATGTCAAATCCCGTCTACCGACCCAATGGCACACTGTCCACAAAGTGCCGTCCTTGTCGACCCTTCCATGACCCATATCTCGAATGATTACCCTACCTATCCGACAATCCAACAGGCAATCGATTCGATCCCGAATAATAACCGCCGATATACAATCTTGGTTATGGCGGGGACTTATCGCGAGCAACTTAATGTGACTCGTGCGGCTCCTCTTTCGATTATAGGGCAGACATACGATCCTTTGGACCATTCTAAGAATCTCGTTACGGTTATTGGTGGTACAGCGAATTATAATAGCCGCTATACCGATAATGCATTCACGAGCACCTTGACCGTGGCTCCTAATCTCAATGCTAGTTTGACGGGCTCAGGTCCTACTGGATTTGCTGTTCCGGAGGGTACACCGTTCGGAAATATAGACTTTAGGGTTTATAACATTGACTTTCGTAACACTGAGTTCGACATCTCTAATGGGCCGGCATTGGCTATCAGTGTGAGCAGGGCGAATGCTGGTTTGTACTACTGTGGATTTTACAGCTACCAGGATACTGTGGGTTCTCCATTTTAAAAAGATAATATACGATGTTTTTTTTCTTCTTGACTAACAAAATCCTGCAACAGGTCTACATTGGAAAACTAGGAAACGCTTATTTCTTCCAAAACGAGATCGCTGGCCAAACTGACTTCCTCTACGGCTTCGGTACCGCCTACATCAGCAACTCAAAGCTCCTTATGCGCAGCTGCGGTGGCGGTGTCACAGCCTGGAAGGGTACAAACACTACTTTTGAAAACAAATACGGTGTTTATATCGCTTCTTCAGATCTCGTTGCCGCAAATTCGACTATTGCCGCCACAATGAAAGGAAAATGCGCCCTCGGAAGGCCATGGAATAATTTACACCGTAGTATCTTTATGGATACTTACATGGATGCCAGTATCAAACCTGTTGGGTATATCACTTGGAGCTCTATTCCAATCCCTCCAGCTTTGTTGGGAGAGTATGGAACCTACGGACCAGGTTGGGATCCAGTTGGAAGGAATACGACCCAGAATCAGGCGGGAGTTCCGACTGTTATGACGACTCAGTTGACGGATGCTCAGGTGAAGAAGTTTAGGAAGCCGGAGGATGTGTTTATTACGGAGCAGGGAAAGAAGAATATCGATTGGATCGATGAGCAGTTCTATGCTTGGTAGATGTGAATAAGAATATTTCTACTAGTTGATGAACTGGCAGGATATATCGGAGTAGTGGATCTGGAGAAGGCGGGGTTGTATGTTTTAGTAGCTGTACACATGCCTAAAAATATATAATATATGAGCTCAACGAGTACTGCCATGATGGTAGATATCAGTTTTCTTTTTGATACTTGACCTTCTAGTTCTATATAACGTAGATACGTAATGAAGTTAACTAAGTCTAGACGTCTGTTATGCCATGAGGAAGGTGATCAGGTTGATGGAAGCCCGTATATGTGCTAATCGCTCAATCCACCCGAACCTATCTTGCTTGGCGAGTCCCCATAAAAGTTATATTTCTAATACTTGAAGTTTCATTGCATAGCCACGAGCGGGAGGGGCATGCAGTTGAAGCATGGCGTTGACGTTAGACCTGCCTCGGAGCACGTTCATCGATAATTGGTGTCGAGGTTAATTCGAAAATGCGATAGTACCCGTCCTAGAACCAGCTATAGACTGACCAAAAACTCCAGAGCCGATCGCGTGATCGCAAAAGGGGTTTGGCATAATGATATCTAGCTAGAACCTCGCCTCGGAGCCGGACGCCAATCCGAATCCGTCGAGAAAACAATATACATACCTAGTATATACCTGTTGAGATTTGAAAATATTTGTAATAGAATCCACCTCCCAACTCGCTACCGTGGTACCCAAAGCTTTGGTCGCAAAGGCTACTCTCCTATCGGATCATTCATGCATGTTTATGGCCTGCATATGCGCCTTCGAGGATAAAACGGAAGCATTCCCTGACCTAGATCGCTCAAGTGGAGATATCCAGATAAGCCAGTACATGGGTATGATAGTTCCCCGCCGCGCCCGCCTTATACCATAGATGCCTAGAATTTTTTTGATCAGATTAAAGAGGCTCTACAATCATGATCATGCTTTGAGGTTGAAATAACCTCGGGTCCGTGATATTTAGGTGTCTCGATACGAGGATTATTAATTCGGGCGAAAGGCAGTGGATGCCTGCATATGCAAGCATAACGCCACAAGGCTTGACCTCGTGGAACGAACATTGCGAAATCAGCGATATCGACGATTGACTTCCACCAGTGATATTTCATGATTTATGCTTTCCGCTAGCCGGAAGCATAGTACTAGGGTGTTTAAAACGTGGGGCCGAGTTAGTCTCCGGGGCAAGTACCTGAATACGATGTTTTGATATGGCAAAGAGGTATACACAGTAAGCTCCCTAAACTCAAGATTTCCATGCACCTTCAAAAACAAAACCGTTGTACTTATGTTCAGCTTGATCGCCGCCAGGGATATGTTACACACATGGGCATGCGGCACTCTCCTTCGGCATGTTATGCAAGTGGCTAGAGAAAACTCTGTCAAGCATTGCATATCATTTTCTATTCCGAGGTTATTTACCAGACCCATTTGGCCGTCATCCCGTTCGATCGAACTTCGATATCGTTTGTAGTGGATCTCATGTACTTATGTACTTTAAGCTTGATAGACGTGGGGAGCCAAGCCCGACATGACATAGACAGGAATACTTTGCCAACATTGCTTTCCAGGCAACTGCGTCAACATTGAGGGGATGAGCGAATTGAATGCAGAAAGGCTCCGACTGCAACTTATCTCATTGATCGAGACTTTTTGATTACTTTAGTAGTGAGCACTAATCAATCCAAGTTATTCAGCGCCGGTGGTGCCGACCTTCTGCCCAATTACCAATCTAGCAGGGTTGACACTCGCCTGTTAGTTAACTTCTCCCCGCCAAAAGTCTAAAACTCGCCTGGCGTAGCCACCCGCTCAATGAACCAAGAATCAAACTAAAAGGCTTAATAAGTAACACAAGAGGAGAAAGTAATATTTTGAGAAGATATTTTCAAAAAAATGACTAAAAATTGTAAAGTATATACTGTTGATATCGGAAATCAAACCGCTTAGACAGAGGAAGTCTCAACAAAATCCCAAGTTTTTACTATACAGCTTCAGTAGTTACATATATCCTTACTAGTAATATTATAATTTGCGCATGGTGTATGCAACCACGGACTGTTTCTTCGTTTTAACTGGTTTTAGGTCGAAAGGAAGGCACTTTGGGCAACCAACATATAACAGGGATTTCCAACTGGCCTTCTCCGCATTGCCATATCTTATGTATATGGTTTGAGATAACGCTGCTAGCTGCTTATCAAGAGACTTCGATGCAGTTCGAAGTAAGCAGCGGTACTGTGCAGTGCCCAAGACGGAGAATCTGGTGCCGAGTTCCCCACAAAAAGCTTCTTCTCCACACTACCAGTTGCCAAGCTAGCGAATAGCGCGGAACCAAACCGACGGCGACCAGCCAAATTGGTCAAACCCGTTGTTAATTTTCGGGACGACAGACCACGCGTGACTTTTGTTCCAAAACCTTGATACGAACGAAATTATCAGATATATGTTGTACACATACAAATTGAGAATTCTCGTACGACAATCAGAAGGGGGAGTCTGGAGGAAGGGTTGTGAGCCGTTTGGAAATCAAAGAAAAATCTATGCAAATTGCAAAGAGACCGCATGGCGGAAAAAAGCTTGAACGGTTTTGTGTGTTACATCATGGATGAGAGCACCTCTGTCGCAAAAATTAACAGGGAAGGCCAAGAACCCTTGCCGCTCCATGTTTCTTGTCCCCATGCCCCAGATTTTCAACTCTTCAGGTACCAGAAGGGAAAGTACCTCGACCGGTACTATAGTACTACCCCCCAATTGATCAAAAAGCAAAGTTAAAGTGTGCGACATTGCGATGTGCAGAAGGCATGTAACGTTTGGTCAGGCAGGTCTGGGACGGTTCTTTGTGTAAAAACCAGTTGGATGGCGACAGATATGGAGGGGTTGTCGAGTATATAAACTGGGAGGGCCGTCTTGACGATCGACGTTAATTACCCTTTGGTTTTTCAGGGTCTCTTTCTCAATTAACCAGTTTGCGATCTTCTACGGCCTATATTTCGCAATTCTTTCTTGTTCATAGAGTTTTTACCTAGAAATCTTTGGCAGCCATGTCGGACTTCAAAGATGACACGGAGAAGGCGACAATGGAGAGGATAGAGTCTCCAACTAGAAACCTAGAGGGGTCTATCATAGATGACATCAGGGATCCTGATGAGGGAAAAACAGAAGAAGAGAGAGCAGAATTGGTAAATACAGCAATCTTAACAAAATCGATAGTTCAAATGTTTCAAGTCGATGGCATTGGTAGCTTACCGAATATATTTCATTTTCTAGGAACGACAATTGATACGAAAACTAGACTATAGGTGAGTTACATATTTCCTTCAACATATTCCAAAGCTAGTTACTCATACAACCTTTCTTTAGGCTTATTCCATGGCTCTGCGTCTTATATCTTGCTTCTTTTCTGGATCGAACGAGTATGCATGCACCTGCCGCATCTAAACTTCCAACAATGTCGAGACTAATACTGTGTTGCGCGTTGTAGACATTGGAAATGCTAAGATTGTGGGACTGCAAAGTATGTAATCTCTTTAAGGGATCTGATAGTATCGACAGTTAGAACTTTACGAAACTAATCTCACTCGATATTCCTTCTAGAGGACTTACATAATATGACTAGTGGTCAATACAATGCCGCCTTGTCGATATTTTTCGTCTCCTATTCGGTCTTCGAACCAATCTCAAATATTCTATTGAAGAAGTTAAGGCCAAGGATCTGGTTCACAATTATCATGGTCGTTTGGGGTATCTGCATGACCTTGATGGGCCTAGTTAAAAAGTATGCTTGTGTTCTAGGAAGGTTATAAAAAAAATCGTGCTAGGCTAACATTATCTGCTGGATAGCTGGTCCGGGTTAATGGCTGCTAGATGGTGGTTGGGCCTATGGGAAGCCGGTCTTTTCCCCGGTGTTAACTATTATCTTTCTTGCTGGTACAAGAGAAGCGAATTCGGTATCCGAGCTGCTATCTTTTTCTCAGCAGCTGCGGTCAGCGGTTCATTCGGTGGTCTCTTAGCTGCGGCTATCAACAGGATGGACGGTATAGGTGGATTACATGGTTGGGCCTGGATCTTTGTAAGTCTCGAGGTTGATATCTTTAACCTTTAAAGGTTAACTTAGTCCGAAATTCCTAACAAATTTTTTGGTATAGATTCTTGAAGGGATTGCCACCACTCTCATCGGAGTTGCTTCCTACTTCATCCTGGTCGATTTCCCGGATGAGGCTCATTTCTTGACCGACGACGAGCGCCTACGTGTTATTAGACGTCTCCGAGCCGATAATCAGGCCAGCGCCAACCACGAATCATTCCAGTTCAAATATGTCAAGCAGGGCTTGACCGACTGGAAGACCTACCTCGGAATGATTATGTATATGGGTGTCGACGGCGCCCTATACGCATTTTCGCTCTTCTTACCCACAATTATCAGTAATCTTGGCTATAAGTCCACCGAGGCTCAATTACTCACGTATATATTTCCCCTAGGATATTATTGATAGAGTAACTGGCTAACAGTTGGAATAGTGTTCCCGTATATGCTGTCGCCTGTATCTTCACAATCATTGTCGGTTACCTTGCGGATCGCTTCAAGCAGCGTGGTATTTTTAATATATTATTCGCCTTGTTTGCAGTGGCAGGGTATTCTATCTTGCTTGGTAGCAAGAATTATAAACTATCATACGCTGGAACCTATCTTGCGGCGATGGGGGTCTATCCTTGTATTGCTAACACCATCACATGGGTGTCGAATAACACGGAGGGGGTCTACAAGAGAGGGTTTGTTTTGGGGTTGGTGATTGGGTAAGTTCTAACCATTGCTTAAATTAAAAAGCGCTGATTGCTAACGAAAATTTCGAATAGATGGGGAAGTAAGTTTCGATTATCAGACCATATCAAAAAATAAAATATAGATTACTAACTTTTGATACTTTTAGATTTGAATGGAGTTATGTCATCGAACGTTTACCAGGGACGAGATTCACCGTGGTACAGGCCAGGGTAGGCTTCCCAAAATTGCTTTTTACACTCATATAGATTATTTCTAACAATTCGTAATCATAGTCACCTCATCGTCCTGATTTACCTGGCAGCATGTTTACTGGGCGGCTCACTACTAAATTATGTTTTACTTAAAAGAGAAAATAGCAAACGTTTGAGGGGCGATCGGGACCATTGGATTCAAGGAATGGAGGAAAAGGAAATTGCGGATCGTGGAGATATGAGACCAGATTTCATATATACTTTGTAGATCGGCCCGGGATGACTCAACTAGACAGGGGAGCTGTTGTTTTTGTATATTTACACAGATGTATAACCGTATTTTAGTATAATTCCTCCAAGGGCAGATCTTTCGCTCTAATAGACATGATATAACAAAAAATAAAGCCTGTGCGTGATGAAAATTTATAATTGTTCGGCACTAAGTTGACTGCAGCGAATTAATTTCAATATGCTAAGAGCCTTACTATGAGCTCGAGGGGTTTTAGATTTTAAAACCCACTTTTTATAAAGCAATTTACTTCTAGGATGTCGGTAAGAATTTAGTAAAATTAAAAAAATACTAATGGCATAGTTTTACACTCATAAAATAATTCATTCCTTCCATTATTCTAAACCGAATAAGGATTATTTTTCCTCACAAAGTTAATTGGGCGATGATCAGATCCACGTTAAGGCCCGAGCCATCAAATTATAACATTAGCGACCATTGATGTTACATTGCCAATTTAAATGATATTCATCCTAACCTTCTGACTAGGGCTATGGAATCCGTTTCTAGATTGCCTATCTATATAGAATCTGGCTTTCGGAGATAATGTCGGTGATTGAATAGTACCATAGTGGATCGCAGTCGTGGATTTGTTCAGAACTATTCGTGACCTTGTTTTTGAGTTTCGGCAGAACAGGCTTTCGTACATCTCATGAACTCAAGAAAAATACCACCATTGAATCTTCAATTTTTCTTTATTACTCAATTCCGAGTAGCCCTCTGCATCTGGCAATATCTGTAATATATATTTAACATATCCCCAACGCTTATTAGTTGGGCAGAAAAAAAGCTGTCAAGCTATCTAGCCAAGTCTCGGAATTGAACAGCTAGCTTAGGACCAAATATCTTTGATTGCTTCTTCTCGTAGCCTACACCATGGCGCCACATCATGTCATGTCAAAACCCCACGTTTGACGGCGGGCTGCAGCTCGACGTCGGAACTGACACCTCCTATAGCTGCCAGGACACTACCCGAGCTATATTCCACTTACGATTTCACAACGGAGACATAAACATGTTAATATGCGCAGCGAATGTATTTACCATTTTGATATAACACATACCTACCTAGATACAGTCTAGATAGCTAGTTTTCTAAACATATTGATACAAATAATACTGATCAATGAGCGACGCCTGCCATAAATCAATATCAATAAATTGAGGGTTTCAAAGAGAGAAGGAAAACTGACTCGCACAAATTTGCAACTTATAAAATTTCCGAGTTACCCGATCATATAATGAAAGGCGGTGGCTCAATCGGGCAACTACAGCCTCCAAAGGTAAGCGGGCAATCTGAACCAGGCTCTTTCCTCAGGGATACCCGGAAATCGGGTCGGGGAAAAGCATTGGTAAGACAACTCAAGAGAAGCTTGAATGGGTAAAAACTCAGGTCACAAAAATCCGTCAGCTTTTGATTGTTAATTTGTTCCGTTGGTTTTCTCATTGACGTATAAAAGTCCCCGCAATGTTTCGCGTTGAATCCATTTATAATAGTAGATATAAATGTTGAAAGTTGATGCGAGTTCGTGCGAATGCAACAGCGGCTGAGGGTTAGAAACTACTGATAACGGGAGATATTTGGTTTTCTTTGATACCTTCATTTTGTGAAGTTATCGTTTTGTAGATGGAGATTACATTCGAGTATATCGATATACCAGCCATTTTCATATTCATTATATAAATTGCAGATTAATATTGAGTTGACAGGGCTGCATTGGGTACTTTTAGAAAGGCATCTCTGGTGACGAAAAATATCTAGAGCTGGCAGTTTAATCTTTGCATTATAATACCAATGCAATTGTTACTGCTGGCCCCGGTGGGAAGGTTACCGACGACGGCGACGATGATGACCAGCTTGGGGATACTAAGAGATTAAGGAAATAGACTAATCTCGAAAACAGACGCTGGGTTTTGAGATTCTTCATGGAATTATACGGATGTGAAAATTGTTAGCGCACAATTGAGCTTCATGAATTTAGATATTATGTCGCCATCTTGAGCTCTATTTTGTGTTTTTCTGTATTCGGAAACTTATGACGAAATGAATTACGATTATGAATCCTTAACATATCATATCCGAACCACACCGACGACTGTGCTCAAAACCCTCATGCAATATTTACGAGTATAAAATTTCCTTAAAATAATCACAATTCATATTATCACCAATTGACAGAAGTTTTTCTTATATTTTATATTTTTTTATTATATCTATATAAACTTAAGTTGCTAGAATTTTGTTATATAGTCTAGATTGAATAAAATAAATTCCTTTTGATATTTCAATCAGCTTTTGCATCACTTCCAACATTTTACGTAACCTTTTTATTTTGATTATACTCTGTACTCTATCATTTTACGTTTGCTGACTGTAAGCTTCTATTCGGTTCCATTTTATTCCATGTGTTCTACTATATTTTCATTTATTTCATCCTATATCGTTTCATCCCATTCCATTCTCATGTTCAAGAACTTTCTATGCTTCCTGCTGTAGATTCCTAGGTTTGCATTCAGCGCAACCTACACCTCGTAGGGCGAGAACAGCTAAGCCGAGCTGAATCGATTGATATCGATTGACCGATCATCGGGGTCTCGATTCTAAAAGCATGATCGCCAGTGCTATAGTTTTGTACCGTTACTCGGACAGTTAGCTTGTGAGACTATATAACTCCCTCCAAGCCCCTGCCTGGGAATAAGTAATCAAAGGGCTGAAAGACATACCGTGTTTCCCAATCAGAAGGACACTAAATACTAAAAGATGACCGTAGAAGGTTCAGGTTTGGCCAAAGAGGCGAGACTCTACGAGAAGTCCCTCAAAGCACCTCGCCCACAGTATCCCTTCCCAGATCTGGTAAACCCTTTCTCAGAGGCTCTTTTCTTAGAATACTGCCAATGGATTGATGAAGATTATCATTTCGAAACCCAATCCGTTCAAGACAGACATAAACGACACCGGCTTTGTGATATCGCCTCCCGCGCATTCCCATGGATGACAATAGAGCAACTGCGTCCTATAGCGCGGTTTACCCTTCTTCTCGCCATTATTGGCGACTTCATGGACACCTCGAGTCAAGAAGAAATTGAAGCTGCCACGCAGACAGTTTCCGCTCTCTTCACCGGTCTCGAGGACGTGGAGCCACCGCCAAGTTTTTACCGCCAGATGTACCTGATTCGACAGGAGGCGATCACCTGCGGCATGCCGGCTCATATGTACGAAGAGTTTATCAGCTCCATTCTAGATCTGATTACCGGGTACGGAGAAGAGAAGGAACACATTGCTAAATCGACGCCGCCGTCTATGGAGGTCTACCGCGATATTCGACGGCAGACTTCCGGCGGCATCTGCTACGCCAGGTATATGTGCATGCAGAAGAATTATTGTGATCTGCCCGATAGTGTACTCCACCATCCGACCATACTGCGAACGCACAATTTGCTGGGCACGCTGATCGGTTACCATAGCGACTTCATCTCGCTACCTAAGGAGCTTGCACGGGGCGGAGACGTAATGAATCTCGTTACGGTTGTGCAGAATGAGTCCCAGCTTAGCCTGGAGGAGGCGAGAGCGAGGGCATTGGAGATTCATAATGAGTCTTTGGATGAGCTGATTCGATTACAGAATACGTTGCCGGATTTTGGAGAGTGGCAGAATATTGCGCGAGAGTATGCTGATGATATGGGGGTACTCGTGCAGGGCATTTATTCATGGCATATTCAGAGTAGCAGTCGTTACGTTGCGGGGGCTCATGCTGAGCCGGAGCATCTTGCTGATGGACAGGTTGATTAACTTGATGTTAGATCGAACCAATTTTAGACTCTTTGATATATAGGTATATACCTAGGTAATTGGTCGAAAACATAGTGTTTATCTCATAATCTATGCAACTACCTTTGTCTGCGTTGTCCGTAGGAAACCAAGATCCTGTATATATAGTGCGTGGTTAGTATATACGGGATTTATGTCTTTGATTAAAAACTAGACTAGTCTTTGATTTGATTTGGAGATCTTACTTCTCTATGTTCACAAAGACGTGCTCATCACTCCCTTTAGCACTGTAACATTGGTACTGACTTCTTCAAAGCTTATGAAGACCAAGATATGATTTCTTGTAAGTGTGGCGTCATCTTGGCTTTCTACATAAACTACTGACTCCCTAGACCCTGTGGGTTTGTCGTAGTTTTGCATTAAATAGTACTAGTAAGTAAGTATGTACTTAGTTTTAGGATGTAAGTTTTAGATCTAAACCTAAAATTTACTCTATATAATGGTCTTGAAGGTAAAACTGGCTGTAATTATTCATATCTAGAAGACAATTTCAACGTAATCGAAGTACATCTATAGATCTACAAGTTTCTATAGAAGACAATGCTCCAACATATCTAAGGTTAAGGGCTTAGCGGGCAACTATAACCTTTGGAATTTTTATTCGTATAAGCTAGGGCTAAGTCTATAGTAAGCTTACTAAATGAATTGACAAAAAAATCCAACGCGAAAGAAGCGTTGGGCCAGATCGTTCGGATCGTGAAGCCATAACCAGACTCTTGGCTCGATGGATCCAGCTATCCCATCCTTAGTAATTGTTAACAATTTGTCAAATTACTCAAATCAGTCGATCCATAGGACCTTGTATTTTCCATGGCGAGCTTGTTCAAACGGAGAGAAAAAAAAGGTTGTAGACGTCTACGTACGTATATTACTTCACTCCAGTATATATACGTATAGTGATTGTATATATGTGCACACGGCACATAGCTTGAGGTTTTAGCAGGCGTGCGCTTGCAGGTCTGCTGTATACTAGACAATTGTACTCTAACAGGCCGTATTTCCGGACAGATCACATACAGAGCGTCCGGTCCGTCCGTTGAAGGAGTATTCAGACCATACAGAAGCAATATTTTGTAGGACTATGACGTTTTCGTCGTTCCATGATCAGATGACATGTTCTAGCAATTATCTGTCATTTGTTGCATCTTGGAAGTCTCAACACATGACAGAACAAAAAACTACTTTTGAAATCTAGACCGATGAGAGTTCCCTTTGAAGCCACAAAAACCATACCATTCGCCACTGCCAATTGACAGAAACCCTAGTTATAAGGTGGCCAATGGGCTTATTCAAGTTAATATGAGTTCCCAATTGGCCAATGGCCTGATGTTTTGCAATAAAGATGGTTTATGTCGTTGCCAAGAGGACAACTTGACATGAGCATTTGTAGACGAGCGAGCTCACCACACACTCTTCGGCAACAAAGCCTCATATCGATACTGGTTCTTCAGTCCACTATCGATACCGTTTCATGGAGGGGCATGTAGTTCTGTTTAACAATTTCTAGATCGAGGCATAATTATCTTTCGGAGAGTTTAGGTTCAGAGGAGGGGGTGTTCGAAATCGTGGGTACAAGTGTACAAGAGGGTACATGTGTCGCGGGGAGGCATTATAGACCTGGCCGAGCTGCAGATTGAAGCCCAGGAAGTGTAGGGACGAGGTGCTAGCGTCCCGAGATATTACTATAGAACTCGGGGTCAACTGGGGGGCGGGGTTAGGTAGTATAGACATTTTCAATAAAAGAAATTTAGGATCGATGGGAGCTATCGATGTCGGACAGCTATGGGTAGCTTCGAGCTACAACTGTGGGAGCTAGCTGCCTCTGGAGCTTCAAAGCTATCGTGATCCGAGTCAAGACGGAGGGTGGAAGTGCATGAACAAAAGATGTTGACATCTAATTCGCCAATTGGAGACATTTCGTCCAAGGAAACGGCCGGTAGACAGACGCTAGGAAGCAGGGATTCTGAGCTCGCGGGGATTTTATGTTGACGCTTGTACAATAATCGAGACATTGCTAGTTAACATGTTAACGTTACGTACAGTGGGCACTAAAGCTAGCAAGCCAGACGGATTCGATTGTGAAAAGAACATGCATATGCATTATTCGATAAGAAAAGTCTGGTAACGTACAATATAGCTCGGCCCTGTATCGAAGCCGCAGCCGACTCATGGGCACCCTTGGAGCAGCAAATGGGTCTCCGCATTACGTTGGCGATAATGCCAACCCGGCTATCAAATACCACAGTGGCTTCCGTATCCCCAAACTAGGACGGCATGGGCTGCTGCATAGAAGCCGAATCGAAATGTTCGGCGGGACCCGCAGCGCTTGTGCTGCACGGGTGCTTTGGGCTGCACAATCCTAACGTCAAATCCTCAAATGTCCAACACCAAACCCGATCTTAGCGTGGGCCGTTGGGACCCACTTTGGCATCTGTAATATAGACACCACAGATTCCAATATAATTTTTTCTTCTGAAATTCCCGGTAACTTGTTCGATCCTAGGCTTCGGAGTTTGGGCGAAAAAGAAATTATAACCCGCAGGTTCGCTAAGTAGACGAAACAGCTTTCGTTCGACTGGGGTAGCTCTCACGGCTTGTTGTTACCCGCGTGGGCTCAACTGTCCTTTCGTCGGGTATATCCTAGACTCCCACCACTATGCGTCTGTCTTTCCGTCTGCTCCCCACTTGACCCCCCCTCCCGCATCTGGCGTAGCCCAAGAATGTGGGACACTGTCCCAAAAAAGCTTGACTGGGAAAAATAAATAAATAAAAAACCAGGTTGGCACTTTCTTTTTTGGTGCTTGCGGCTTTTCTCGCATCGACAATCGATTGGGATGTCCTTTGTTCTCCTCCTCATAGGCAAAGAGCGTCGGTAGATGCATATGACCTGCAGGTGTTTCTCCGCATCCATCGACATAGAAACATGGGCGGACATGGTATGAATGTATGTATGTATGTATGTACCAGCAATGCAATGCATCGTTAGGATCGAGAGCACACCCGTACAAGGATTCACTCGTTAATTCCTTGCTTCTGTGTGTCGCTGAGACACCAGTGAATCCAGCGCCGCATGGGTATTGGTGCGCACTTCAATTGACCTTGCCTTCAAAGTCATATTCTTTATGCACAATGCGGCCTCATCCTCGAGCGCCCATAGGATCAATGTTTGAGGAGCATACATGGCTGGTCGTGATAACTGCATATACCGATGACCATCAACATTGCTGCACTTTGCTGTAGGGCCCGGTAGCTATAGGCATACACTAACATTATAGCATATCCCGGATCCAACCATACCTATAATGCTCATTGCGAAAACTTAGGGTTCATGTTCTAGACTTAGGCCCCTCTGTCTAACTACCTAGGCTATTCTTGCGTAGTTGGCCATAGCTCATTCTCAGGCCATCTACGCCTATGTACACCGTATGTGGTAGGCGGTGATCTATAGCATCGATATCGATACTGGCGATTACCCTGCACAGCCACCCCGCCTAGATAGAACTGCTCAGTGAGTAGGTACTCATGTACTTAGGCATTTATGAGAAGACTTGATGGTGGGGGAGCTCATCACCGCCACTTTTGGCCCAAGGTTGAGTTGAATGAATCGTTTAAGCAAGCCTATGCTGATTTTTTCCCTCAACATTATTACTTCTTCGTGATCTTGAGAAAGGATGCTAAGTACACTCCAAATGAAAAAAAAACGCTTTGGGTCTATGCCTAAAATACATGTTAAGTTACAAAAAAACAAATGACAATGTCATCTGACCTTATAGCATTGACAGTCGTCCCAAAATATTAGTGTTAGCCACCAACTAAACTAGAGGCCCATTTCAACGTCTTCATCACCCTCGTCGTTATCGAGATGAATGAAGAGGAGTCGCGTGCCTTCGTTAGTTGTTTGCCAAACCTATTTAGTAATGTTAGTAATGAAACCTTATGAATGAGTTTTTGGAGATAGGAACTTACATCCAAGGCCTCATACGTCTCAATTGTTTCCAGAAGGTCGTCGTCTCTAAATCCTCTGGCAAGAACTCGGCTTCTTATTTCTGAGATCGACAGCTCAGTACCAGGATTCGACTGCGCCATTGTCTTGATAATATGATAAATCTTCGTAGTTGTAGTGGTATCAACATCTCCAAGATCCTTCTCATACAAACTAGCCATAGCGATTTCGGTCAACCGTAGAGCTTCGTCGACATCATCCATCTCTACTCGGTCGCTGAAGCGCAGTCTAGCTAACGCTTGTGAGAAACGCACAAGGGCGAGTAGGGTTCTGGGCGTGACTTGGCGTCGGTTCTCGGTGTCCTTTTTCATAGCTTGCCGCATACGGACATAGGCCGAGACAATGTATTCAGAGACATCTTTCGGGACAACCGGTCGGTACTGACGGGCTTTGCTGATGTACGCCCGCATTTCAAACGGAGATAGAGGTGTAAAGCTCATTTCTGGATGCCTGTTTTCCATGTGCACAAACGTAACGTGACGGGCAAGCTGCTCGTCGTTTTCACGGGTTGGGGTATCTAAGATGAGGAAGAGGATATCGAAACGGGATAGTAAAGCAGCAGGAAGGTTGATATTCTCGACCGGCGAGACCTTCGGGTTATAGCGACCGTAGAGAGGATTGGCAGCTGCGACGATGGACGTGCGAGCGTTCAAGGTAGTTGTAATTCCGGCCTTGGAAATGGAAATGGTCTGCTGTTCCATGACTTCGTGAATAGCGGTACGATCACTATCGTCCATCTTGTCGAATTCGTCGATGCAGCAAATACCATTGTCAGCGAGCACCAGAGCACCGCCCTCCAGAATCATTTCGTCTGTAACAGGATCCCTCATAACAGCGGCAGTGAGACCAACGCCGGACGAACCACGACCAGTAGTATAAACACCTCTAGGTGCCACTTTTCCAATGTACTTGAGCAACTGTGATTTAGCCACACCTGGATCACCCATTAAACAGATGTTGATATCTCCACGAATTTTCATTCCATCTCCCATCTCTTTTGTCACACCTCCAATGAGTAAGAGGAGCAAAGCCTTCTTCACGTCCAAATGTCCAAAAATTTCAGGGGCGATGGACATAGCAAGATGGTCGTACAGGTCACCAGTGGCCCTGAGGTCGTTGATACGTTTTTCGGTCTCCGCATCGATATTCCCGATTTCGTGGTACTGTTTTTTGTGCTGCGTAACGTACTGAGCTTCAAGGTATGTATCCGTCAAAAGACCAGCTCTGATAGCCCTGAACCCGGTGTATGGAGTGGGTAAAAAGATACCAGCGACGTCAATAACATCACCAGGATTAATGGTCCTTGTTTGAGCACCGTGGCACTGGATTGTGATCGAACGTGGAATGTGTCCAACGGGGACCTGGTCAGACATCTCTTGAATACGCACATCTTGGAAGGGAAGGAATTTGCTGGCCCGGGTAGCCATGAAAAGTTGCCCCTTCGCATCGTTCTTCTTGCACTGATCCGAAGGACATTCCTGAAGTGGCATGAACTGTTTCGTCTTGACTTCTTGGAAGATTTCGTTTCCACATCGGTCGCAAGTATAGGCGTTGACCATGACAGCGGGCTTGACGTCTGATACACGGGTAGCAATACCTCGAACAGTAATCAGATGTCCGAGTAATTCTCCCTTGACTTGTCTGACAGCCAAGGCCTTCCCTGCTCTTTCTGGGTCGCTCAATGGCTTGAAGTATACCTGATATCGGCGAACAAGATCAGGTGGTAGAAGGGATGCTGGGTCTTCTGTTTGTGTGCTCTCCTCAGCTAGTGTCTCAGCTCTGGCTCGTCGGTGGTTTATAATAACATCAATAACATCGTCTTTATAACTGATATCCACAGTCTCTCTGGGCATAGCCTTGTCGATAGCCCTCGACATGATCTCGAGATAATGGTGCGCATTTTTTGTAATCGAATCGACCAGCCTTAAGTTTTCACCACTTGTTTTTTCCCACTAATGTTTTAGCCACGAGTTAGTGAAGCTATCCTTGTACCAAATGATAGAATATACAACGTACTCTATCCAGGTCATCCAATTCAATTGTTATAGCGTCGAGATCTCTGTTTGCAACTTTTTGCAATATTTCAAGGTACTTGACTTTGGGTCCCTGAGACCTAGAGGCCCCAAGGAGCTCCTCATCTTCGTCGTCGATGTTCAGGTTCTGCAAAGCTTGTGCGGGGTCCGCTTGTGATGTCTTGAAACCCTTAAGGAAATCCTCGAGACCAGCTATACATTATCATCATTAGCCTATGGATTCTAACATAGCTAGCCAATTGGACGTGGTAGTCCTTCGTACCCTGCTGTTTGATGTAGTCGATATTTAATCGGATAACGGGGAGCCTTTGTGCAGACATGATTCTAAATTGGTATGACCGGCCGTAGCCGATACAAAGTCAAGCTTTAGTCTAGGTTTAGAATGAAGGGTCGTGAGGGGGCCGTGGTAGGTGAATGAATCGAAGACTTGGTGTTTATGTTGGTGAGGTTGCGATTCCGTTTATCTGAGGTCTCGTCGTTTGGCGCCTGAGGTCTGGTTGGTGGACGCGTTCCCTTGGCAGCAAGGTCAGGTTGGGTAACACAAACAACACAAATTCCCCAGCTGTCTATGTTGGCACACGCCTGAATGCCAGCACAGCTGCTATCACGGAATTTATCCACTCTTTGGGAGAGGATAGGCCTGAAACTAGCGGCCGAGGTCTACATATTATGTATGGGGGATGCGTGGAGGAAGATTACGTGGCTAATGAATTGGACGCCTGTTGCCAACTCCTATCGCTAATTCTAGAATGCTATCAACGACTAACGACAATTATGCAAAGTATAATACAGTCAACTGGTTAAGCTACCGATGATTCTCAGGCCTGACTACTCTCAGGTTCACGCCAATTGACAGCTGTGACCTCCTCTGCTTTCACAAGCAGGGCGTCCGTTTCAGTAGCAGGGCCAGCGTTCGCAACGACTTCATCTGCTTTCTTTACGCTATGTCTCGTGCTCTCACCGTCTCCATACAATGGCTTCCAAACGTAGTCGTAAAGATTCCAGATCTGCCCAAAACAGAAAACCTGTGCATCATTCAGCCATTTTGGCGCCTTTCCATCTTTATCACTGACAAAGTTTCGTATACCAAACAGGAAGATAACGACGGGTAGAACAGTGAGAAGCACGGCCACGGAGCCGACTTTTTGCCTGATCGTTCTGGCCTCATAGTAACCGGTATTTGCAATGTAGTCTTGATACTGTGGTGGGAGCGAATGCTGCCTTGCACCCTTTATCAATAAATTGAGATATCGTAGCGAAGGTAGCCCCTCATGGGTTGTCCGAGTGCCTTTGCCCGGAACGATAAGAGTTTTCGATTCGAATGAGTCCATGCCCTTAACAGGTTCCAAAGGAATGCATGTGACCTCGATAACACTGTAACCACCCTCGGTGGTCAATATTTTGCGGTAATCCTCTGGTGTAACCTCGTACACAACACCCATGAGCTCCTGGTCTTCTTCTTCGCGTGGGCGAACATTGGCAAAACGTGGTTCTTTATAAGGAATGCCCGCAAGATCGAAGCTTAAAGTCAAGGACGGTACTCGAACTTTAACTTGCGACAGCGGTTTGATTCCACGTCTGCCCAAGAATGTTTCTGCTGAAAGGTTGCTGCCATATGCCAGATATTTAACGCTTTCCTTGAAGTTCGGAGACGGGAAGGTCGTTACTGGTTCGGCGACCTTGGCGGGATCTGGAGTTTGCCCTGAAGCATTGTGACGACGGCCAAACAAGACTCGAGAAACGATGCTTGCCATTGCGACAAAAAGCTGATAGTGATGGCTCTTGTTGCACGAGTTTGAGGTATTTGTGATTCGGATGGAATTAGGACTGTATTGCGGCGCAGGAATAGTTGTCTCTAGCGGCCAGGTTCTGCGGTTCCAAAATTAGGAATTTCAGCAATAGGCATAGATGTTGGATCATTGCCATGCCATAATCAGGAGGCTTTATAGCCTTTCAGGGCTAACTTTACGGAGGCCACGGGCATCTCTCCGCCGTCGGATATAACTGATATTAGTAAGTTTGCCAGCATTTGGGCGTCGTAACTCTTTTGCACTTCGGCTTGCGGCGTTCAAAATCGGCCGATAAATCTAAATCTTGGAAAAAAATTCGCTGGGCTGCAGGGAACTACCCCACAAACAAGGGGGTTTTTGATTTGGACGTGTCGAGAGTTCCTGAGTCGGGGAGAATGTTCGACCACCGGACGTCTGAAGTCTGGGCGGACAGGCCTTAATATATGTATGGATGCATCGATGCAAGCCAACGTAACGTAAGCGTAGTAAGCAAGGAACATGCGCATGTTTTCATGACGAAAGGCCCGAGATGCATGCATTGCTGGTACCTGTGATGGTTGGCTTCGCAGCTAACCTCGGCATATTAGTGGCCCCGGGAACTGCTGAATACAGCCAGGAGGCTAATTATAATGGAGACCCTCCAAACGCGAACGGGATGGCTACTAGCGGCCTGCCTTAATCCTGCCCCGAATAGCTGCTCTCTGTAGGACCCGATCATTCAGCCGTCGGTGCCGACACAAAGAGACCGAAGTTACTATTGAATTAATTTGAAGTTGAAGCTGAAGTTTGAAGTTTGAAGTTGCAATCAGCCTAACAGCAAGCCAGCCAGTCCACCACGTCCACACCCACCCAACACACTCAATCATGGCCAGCTCCCAGCGCCGAGGCCCAACCACAAAGACCCCAGCCGTCGTCGGCCTCACAGCTCTTCGGAACTGTCTCGTCAACCTTCCTTCCGGCCTGGTATCGGTGCTTGTGTCTTCGAATACGGTATGTTGAGATCTTTCAGCTTCGTTCTGTCGGGGAGGAACACGCGACCCGGACTCAATGGCTAACATAGATCCCGCTGTAGCCCGCGCAAAACGTCGTCGTCGAGCTTTCATGGCGTGTCAAGGCCCCTCCACAGGCCGGTCCCCTCACTGGGCCGGCGACGATTACCCGGCAGGCTTTTGCAGGATGGACAGGCATGCCGAGTAAGAGGCAGCCGCTGCAACCTCAGGGAGCCGGGTCTTTCCCAGGATCTCAAAGGAGTAATTCGTTGGAAGGATGCGTCGAGATTGACTCTGCTTTCGCCAGGAATGTTGGATTGACTGAGGGCAGTAAGGTAAATTATCTACAATCGACGATACTTTATACTCCCGGTGGATTACTAACATGATGGCGACATCCGTAGGTTAATATCCTTCTCCATGTTGACCCACCCACAACCCATACAATACATATCGAGCCATTGACGGCTTCTGATTGGGAAAGTATGTTCGCTATATATAGTCTATTTATCCTGCATATGCGATGTAATAGTTTTTAACTTGAGTGTAATGTCTAGTTATCGAATTACACGCGACCTTCTTGGAGCTTAATCTACTCTCCCAGATCAGAGCAATCACTTTCGCCCACCCCCTTACCGTATACCTCTCACCAACGTCGACGGCATCGATCAAAGTTGCCAGAATTGAACCCGAAGATGCTGCTTCGGCCTTTGGATTCGCAAAAATAGCACCTAATGCGGAAGTCATTGTGGCCCCGAAGACTCGTCAAAGGCGTATGAGCCATCAAGGAAAGAGTGTAAAAGCGAAATCACTAGCATCCACACGGCATGGGAAGCGACGAGATGACGGTTCTGGGCCTTCTGGTGGCGGCCCTGTATTCTTCAGAGCTATCAGTCTGCCCCACGAATCATTCGATGCAGCTGAGGAACAAAAAGGCGCATACTGCGTCTATTTAGACCCAGAAGTCCTGGCTATTCCAGCATTGAGGGGATGCGCATTCGTTGGTGTAGTCGTCGTAAGACCGCCAGGTCTGGCTCCGCCACCGGATGCCAATCAGGCAAACAACGATGTAGGAGGCTCGACCTCCCCAGACGCTCCTGAAGTCATCAAACCGAGCTTGAAGATAGTCGCCAAATTGCTGCCTTGGAAAAATGCTCCCGACCTCAAGCATATCGCTATTTCCAACCTTCTGGCCGATGCCTTGGATATCAAGAATGTTGTTGGTTGTGTTATTCGCATTGAGGCAGCCCACCAGCAGCTCCCCAAAGGCTCAACAACGAAGGTCATAATTCGTCCGTATTCTGCTGGTACCCTATCTTCCTCAGCAGCTTCCGAACAATCTTCGTTGAGGTGGAGTGGTAAGGATTGGAAGAGCGATCTGGCTGTTAGGAGAGTCAAGGAAGTGCTATCACAAAAAACAGTATGGGGAGAGGACATTCTCGGCGGCCCCCTTAGTGACCGATTAGTTCTCCCTGCTATTCCGGACTCGCCACTATTCGCAGGTGGTATCTTGCTTCTTGATGGGTCCGAAGTTAAACATGGCTGGATCCTAGGAGGCGATCGGAAATACATCCTCGAACTTGGCTCAGAGATCACAACTTCCCGCCCACATGTTCCTCTCTCAATATCCGAAACTGCACTACCAGTGTTGCCACCAGGTAGAATTGTCGGCGTGGATAAAGCTATAAACACGGCATCGAATATCCTCACTCGATCCGCCTCGGTATTGCTAACTGGCGCACGAGGATCAGGCAAAACCAGCTTGGTTAGCGTTATCACAAGTATTTTAAAGAAGAAGCACTTCTTCCATGTTCTTCCAATTTCCTGTGCCAAATTCGCCGATGAACGGCTTCAAACTATCAAAGACACATTCTCTAGGGCAATTGCGGAAGCGAAATGGTTTTCTCCTACAGTCATTGTATTTGACGACCTCGATCGGTTAATTCCAGCGGAGGTAGAGCACGCAGATTCTACCAGGAGCAGGTACATAGCAGAGGCCTTCGGGAAAGCGATTCGAGATCTCAAATCTAGCGTTCTCGGGCCAGGGAATGTTGTCATTCTAGCCACCGTACAAGCTAAAGAGAGTGTTAACAGTTTAATTGTTGGCGGTCATATTTTCCGTGAAATAATAACACTGAAAGCACCAAACAAGGCAGGGAGAAGACAGGTGTTAGAACAAGCCGTTGGAGGCCTCTCAGACGAGAAATCATCTCCTGATACAAGCTCTATACGTGTCAAGAACCCAGCCGCCCTAACTAATGGGCCTGAGCCAACGCTAAAAATTGAAAAGGGGTTGGAGCTGTTGGATATTGCGGGAATGACTGATGGCTACATGCCCGCTGATCTCCAGCTCCTCGTTGGCCGCGCTAGGCATGAAGCCATCGTTCGAGCGGTGGAAAGCGGTAGTGATGATGCCGAGGCAGACCTCGTCCTCGGGAAGAAGGATTTCGATAAAGCAATCAAAGGATTTGTTCCAGCTGGACTTCGTGGCGTCAAGCTCCAGACGAGCGGTGCAGCTTGGAAAGATATTGGAGGTATGGATCTAGATACTCGAATCAAACACCTTCGAATGCTAACATTTATAACATAGGCCTCACGGAAACTCGTAAAATCTTGCTCGAAACCCTCGAATGGCCAACTCGCTATGCCCCAATCTTCGCCAACTGTCCCCTCCGTCTCCGATCCGGTCTTCTTCTCTACGGATATCCAGGATGCGGGAAAACTCTGCTCGCCTCCGCTGTGGCCGGTGAATGTGGCCTTAATTTCATCAGTGTCAAGGGTCCCGAGATTCTTAACAAGTATATCGGTGCATCCGAGAAGTCAGTGCGAGACCTCTTCGAGCGTGCTTCCGCCGCTAAACCATGTGTGCTCTTTTTCGACGAATTCGATTCTATTGCTCCCAAGAGAGGACACGATTCTACCGGTGTGACCGATCGAGTCGTGAATCAGATGTTGACACAAATGGACGGTGCCGAAGGGTTAGACGGTGTCTATGTTCTTGCGGCTACCTCAAGACCCGACTTGATCGACCCCGCTTTACTACGTCCTGGACGTTTGGATAAGAGTTTACTCTGCGATCTTCCTAATCTAGAAGACCGAGTGGATATTCTTCGAGCATTAAGTTTGAAATTGAAAATCGAAGAGAGCATCGGACTAGAAGACATTGCAAATCTAACAGAAGGGTACAGCGGGGCTGATTTACAGGCGGTATTGTACAATGCACATCTCGAGGCTATCCATGATGTCATCGCCAGCCAGGATGAAGAGGTAGAGAGGTTTGGAAACGGTGGTAAGGGTAAAGGCAAAGTTGACGCCGGGTCTGGAAACGACTCAATCGATTACATATCCTTCTCAATGGGGAACAAGGATTCCACAGGAGAACCATCTACCCAACCGTTAACAAACGGAACCCAAGCTGCCAGAACAAAATTTGCGGAACGGGCAGCGGTGATGGCCAAATTGGATAAATTGAAGAAAATCGTTCAAGGAGATGCAGCAAAGCAGGTCCAGCAGCAACAATCACAGACAAATCAAGCTCAGGAAGAGGAGAAAGGGGATGATGAACCCGTCATTAATTGGAAACATTTACAGAGTTCGTTGAAGAGTACTAGACCCAGTATTGCACCTGATGAGAGGAAGAGGTTGTTTAGAATTTACAACGAGTTTATTGTTGGAAGGAGCGGGGAGATGCCGAGCGGGCAGAGCAGTACAGAGATCGGAGGGAGGAGTAGTTTGATGTAAACTACGAGAAGGACTGACCCCGTGGGCTTACAGTAGGTAGATGCAAAGCCGGTAGTATAAAAGAATCATTCCCTTTCCCCCCCTTTTTTTTGGCGTACGGCCGTTATGTCTAGTGAAAGAAAGAAAATGTGAAAAGCATAGCACCGTTAATTTGTTTATTCGTTCATTTCACATCGATGAAGCCTGATGGCGACCTGGACGAGCACACCATACAGCACTATGGGGTGTATTACATCTGTATCGTTATAACACTAGTTTCGCAACCTGTAACGAGCAATAGAGCGCATTGCAGCCATAAACCCCTATAGGTTTTTAATTTATTTCAACACGTAGATTCATCGAGAATTCGAATATAAATTATATAATTATACGTATTCACCTATATATATCGGAAGGGTCTAGGAAGTTTCTAGACCGTTTGAGCATCGAAGGAACCCGAGGAAAAAGGAAGGGTTCAAATCAAGACTCAAAGGCAACATTAATAAAACAAGGAGAGCTGGTAAAAGAAGAAAGAAGAAAAGAAGAAAAGAAGAAGAAACGAAGAAGAATGAGAATCAAATGTTGTACACTAGAAAGTATCAAAGTGTATTAAAATAAGAAATTGAAATAAAAAGAATTTTATGAACCCCAAACACGCCTTTCAAAAATAGCTAGCTAACAAAGGGGGAGAAAAACCGCTCAACCAAGTTCGCACTTCGATCTGAGACTCCTGAGTAACAAAAAGAAAAAAAGGGGGCAAAGGAATATAAAAGTATACAAGAAGAATTGAAGTTGAACACGAGAAAAAGGAAGAGGTTTATTAGGTTTATCGTTCGGGGAAAAAACCGCGCAGGACATTAAATTAGGGACCTCCTTGTTTATGATGGGAGAAAGAAAATGGCGAAAGGACCCATAACAGGAAGCAGTTTTATCACCTTTATCCCCTCCAGTAGTATTATTATATCCAAAAACTCCGACACCGGGAAAAAAAGTTTGTTTTGAATGTTAAAGTTGAACATTCTCCAGAAAGACATCATTATCAATTCCCTTTCGTTGAATTTTATTTCGTACTCACATATCGTAGTGTAATGTCGTGATGGTTTTTACTTAAGTTGTTTTTACTGTTCGTTTTCGACCTTTCCGGCGCTTCTAACCTTTGCCATAAACTCGTCTTCTTTTCCGAGCCTCCAGTCGCTCCTGTTAGAACACCCCTTGCCTTCCCAGCCAAGGAGTGCGATGATTTCTTCCTTAGACCCGTACAGCTTGCTTTCGAGAACTCCGAGAACTGCAACTGCAGATCGGATGAGGAACGCGTCACCTTCAAAGGCGTAGACGTCCCAAAGTCGAGATACTATATCGATTGGGACATGTAATGTGAAAAGAGTGGTGAACATAGCTTCAAGGTAGAGAGGTGGAGGGAGTTGAAGCTTGACGTGGATGTGCTGGTAGAGGTTGGGAAGTTTGTACTGGAAAGCTCTGAGGAAGGCAGCATAAATATTGGTAATCTAGAAAGGCGCACGTTAGATGATTTGTAAGTCTGGGGGGCTAATTATCCAACATACCTGTGGCTCATCCTGGGTGTAGAAAGACAACGGCAACTGCCTATTAAGGAGATTGGCCAGAGTCTGGAAAGCGTCATGTGCGGAGAGATTGAGCAACAAGTTGGCGGCGAGAACATGCAGGCCAAAGCAATAACCGATATCCTTGCGGTATACACTGTACGCCATCAAGACATCAACCAAACTCTGATGCAAGGGACCATCGCTTTGGAATAGCCTCAACTCTGGAAACGCGTTCTCGGCGTCCTTCTTGATATCCGCGAACTGATCTTTTAATGGGTGTCGGTCTTCTTGAGCGTTGAGCTCAACTTGAAGCTTTTTCGCCCTATCAAGGGCAATGTTGTAGGTCTCTTCGGTGACAGCCAAGGCGTTTCCAATTGCACGCTGCCAGACAGTTCCTCGAGATTTGGGGGATACACCTGCCCACCATAGCTCTCGAGTGTTCTGTTCGAGAATGGCTTGGTTCCAGTTGGGAACAATTCTGTCATCCCAGGCCCTAAACACTGCCTCCCTCGCTATTTCGCGAGTGGCAATCTCTTGCCTCTCCTTTTCAGCTCGCTTGCGCTCTATCAACAGGAGTTAGTTCATGTTAAAGAAAAGCGTGGGCTTGAGGGTGCATACCTGACTCAATAGATAGCCGCATCATTTCCTGATACTCTTTCAAGTGCTTCTCCTCCTCAATTTTTGACTTTGGTGGTAGCCAACCAGGGCGGGTCCTGCTAAGTGCAGCTTCTTTTTCTTTGCTCATAGGAAGGGCCCCCATGATACCTTCGGAAACTTGCTTAGGCGGCAAAGCGATTCTCGACTCCCTCCTCGGCGGGGTGGTGGAGGTAGTCCTTGCTGCCTTCACCTGCTTCTGTAACTCCTTCTCCTTAGCTTCCATAGCCTCATCAGCATATCTTTCAAGGGCTTCCGTTAGCTCCTTTGCATCGTTCCCAAGTTCGTACATCACATCACCCCAAGACTTCATCCGGTTTCGCATCCGCCCTCTCGGCTCTGAATCACCGGAATCCGACCTTGCAAGTGATGGCAAGGAGACTGTCGACTGAGCTGGTGTAGGTGTCTCTGCTCTCTCCACCTTTAAATCTCCCTTGGTAATGCTATTACGCCTCGAATTCGAAGCATCGGACGACCTATCCGGCGATGGGCTCTTCGATCCTCCTGATGGCAACGACTTCCCGGCCCTAGGAGACAAAGGAATATTCCACAAAGCCACCTGTTCGTCAATTTCGTCGTCGTCGTCATCATCGCATTCTTTTTCTATTTCCTCGACGGTCTTGCTCTTCCTCCCTGGTTGCCATGATGATCTCCGCCCTGTCGGTCCGTATTTTGGGGCAAGGGTGGGTAAGCTGAGCCCCTTTCCTGCCCCTGAGGAGCTAGTTGTGGCAACAGCGCCATTACTCGAGATATTCAGGGATACAGATCGGGGACTTGGTGGACCAGGGCTGGAGTGTCGAGATGATGGGTGAACTTGGGTCGGAGTCGACTTCTTTCGCCTAGATGATCGGGCAGGTGGTGCAAGGTGGTTATCGACGATTGTAGGCGAAGATTGAGTTGCTGGCACGGAAGGTCGAGTCTTCGCATTGACCAGATCTCTACCTGCGGTTGTTGGAAGGATAGTGGTACCATTTGAGATGGATCGCGAACGGATGCTTATCGGGTTGAGAGCAGCACTGCTGCTCGCTCGCCTGGCGGCTCCTGGAGGAGGTCGGACAGCAGATTTTCCAGGATCAGAATCGTCTGAAAGACCGATGACCTCGAAGTCTTGCTCAACGAGCGGACGAGGTTTGACTGCGATAGTGTTGTTCTTGGTGTTGTTAGGGACTGACATCTTGGATGAAGGAACGTGCGAGTGAACTATATGCTTGCGAAGGATCGCATTGTCAATGGAGACAGTTCGTGGGCGAGATTGGAGGTAAGCTTCTTGTCGTTGGTGATAGTTGAGAGGTTGTGAATGTAAGTTGAAATATGAGAAAAAGTTGGAGGTCGGACGGGCAGCGTGGACCTGCATGGCTAAAGTAATTGCTCCTTCTCCTTCTCCTTTATTATAGTAACAACAACCAACCAACCGAGAGAGGAAAAAAAAAAAAAGAAAAAGAGAGAATTCACTCTACCAATATCTACTAGGCTGATTCAGAAGAGAGGGGAAAAAATTTAAAACGATAGTATCAAGCAAAAGGGATAAAAGCGACTAGCCGATACAATGCACAATTAATCGTCCAAGATTCGGTTTGAGTATCAACGACTGTAAGCACCAGCTTGACGTCGGAAATACCAGCTTAAAAAGGTTGAAAGTTATCGAAAGATCTTAAAGAGTGAACCGAGAAACCCAAACAATCGATCAAATCGAGCGAAAGGAACGGGTTTAGCAGGGAAACGGTTTGCTACTTATTAAACTTGACAGGCGGAGGTATGGCAAAAGGGCAGCTGGCTGTGGCCCATGGAATTTGTCCGTTTTGCAGAGGAGAAGGGGAGGCAGCTAGATCTCAAACGAGTGCTTAAACGATACCGAAACGACTGAGGCGCATTCGACAGATGGAAGGAGGCGAGTGTGGGCGAGTGCATGTAGGTGGTTGGAACAGACGGACATCCACGCTACACCTTATAAAACATTCCCTCCTCTTTTGAACTGATTGCAACCCGATTAATTGATCGGAACAGACCAGATCTAGATATCGTCATCTCTCGCTCACACAATCATGTTGTGGTTCGTTCATGCAACATGTTCTATCCGCGTCGTTTCCTGTCTCTGCTTTTATCATGTCATAGGTATCCTGCTTGCCGGAAGACGGGATGGATGAGATAGCGGTCTTGTTTTCCTGCTCACGGAACCTGCCAGGGCCTCTGATTGGGTCGCTCGTCCTGCCGGTGGGGTTGCCCATCTATCGCAAGAACCTGGATGATGCCTGCAAGCCACTTTAAACTTTGGGCTGCCGTTGGTGTGTTGTTCATCAGCCATGCCTGCTGCATCGATGATTCTTTCCCATGATGGTGTTCGTGAAACGGACTTCTTGCATGGGGGTTGGTTAAATGCGGGCTTCTTCGCACCAGTATGCACGTTAGTATCACAACGAACGTCGAGCTAAGTCGGCAAGATCTACCGATGCTGTCTGCAAATGACGTCCAAATCTTAGCTCAAGCCCTGCTTACGGGTAAAGCCAATGTCAAGAAGCTAGGAAACATCAAGAAAGAGCATAATATCAAATCGAGAGATCGAGTTATTGTTTTCATCGGTCTCTACCGCCCACTTGGCGATCAGTTCTTCAGCAGCAATGGAAGTTCTAGTCTTCAGCTAGCGACCACCCAGGAGCTCGGAGGGAGGGCACTGCACTGTTTTTAGAACATTCCGCCCCCAAATGCCGGTCTACTGTTTCGCGCGCATCCTGTGACGTCGCCCAACAAACAGGTGCGTACCTGCAGATTCCTTCTCTCTCATTGGAAAGTCCTTCCTAGCCGTTACACAAAAGTAGAAAGACTTGGTTCCGATTTCTGGGAATTTTAACCGTGGGGAACGTGGGCAGACGGAATTCGCGAGACAGAGTGAAAAAATTTTAGTTCTTAGGCTTGGGCTTGGTTTTGAGGCTTGAGGCTTGTAAAATTCCTTGCACAAGTTCTTTTATCATTCTTCACAATTGCAACTAGTATGCATTGGCTTAAGAAAAAAATTAATAGGTGATGTAAAACATCAGCTTACCTCAAGATATCGATAGTGATGATATCTCCGATAATAATCCATCTTCGGTGTTTATGTTCCCCTGCAAAATATTCGCAAACCTAATCACGAGGTTCCATCGTTAGCATATATTTAGAAGTCTTTGCATTGCATCAACAGGCATTTGATCTCGCTTTTTGCCACAACTTACCATCGTGCAGTTTCTCGACCTTTTATCTCCACCTCGAGTTCCTTCGACTTGACGGCTGCAGCTGCGCTATTGGTTAATACACCGCCTTCAGCTCTTCCATAAAGAGGTTAGCAACACTTACTATCCAGCACCGCCTGTGGCACATTTGCTAGTTTCGCCACATTCAAGCCATATGACCGATGTGCTGTCCCTTCCGCAATTTGGTAGAGGAATGTGATATCTTCGCTACCATCTGTTGCCTCCTCGAACCTCATGTGCGCATTCACAACTTCTCTTGGATATGCCTTTTCCATTTGCGCCAAAATTGGGTAATGCGTAACGAAAAGCGTCATCGCCTTGATCGAACTAACCATATAGTCCAAAACTGAGTATGCAATTGCGACTCCGTCGTGAGTTGAAGTTCCTCTCCCCAGTTCATCGAGTATCACAAGCGATCGCGGGGTAGCCTGTTTGAGGATGTCGCTAGTTTCCGAAAGCTCCACCATGAATGTTGACTAAGAGATATTCCCTGTTAGCACATATTATTCCGGAGCTTTTGCGAATGATCTTATTTTCACCTCTCCTGTCATCATGTTGTCAAATGCTCCCATCCTCGTAAATACCGCATCCAATAAGCCAATCTTTGCAGAATCAGCGGGCACATAAGAACCAATCTGTGCCATAATGGCTATCAATGCGATCTGCCTCACGTATGAACTCTTGCCACCCATATTGGGTCCTGTGACCAATAATGTTCTCCTTTGGTCTGCTCCCAAGTCAATATCATTGGGCACATATGTTTCAATCAAAAGCTGCTCCACCATTGGATGCCGTCCCTGCTTAACTTTAATCTCAATATCGTCCGTGATGGTAGGCTTGCAATATCCAGGCAATTGAGCTACGTTTGCTAGTGAAACCAAGCAGTCCAACGTCGCTAGGCTCTGAACGACGTCTCTATATTCCTGGTATTGACCAGCTATCTGTAGCATGAAATCTTTGAAGGCGCGGTCGCAGTTATTTGCAAGTGTCTCCTTCCTCTGATCCCTCTCCCGGAGCAATCTGAGCACTTCTGGTGTGTGAAATCTCGAAACTTTTTTTGTCCCGCTGATCTTAACCCACGATGCTGGGACGTTCTTGATGCCAGAATTTTCTACCTCAACCAAATAATCGATCCCAGAGACCGTCACGTAATCCAAATTCTTCTTCTTTACCGCCTTAGCAGCATCTGGGAGATGCTCTTGAAGATCAAACTCAACCCCCTTGATAGCCATTTTTGAATCCAGGATGTAATCGTATTCGTCGACTTCCTTAAAGAAACTATACTTATCATCTTTCGTCGCGGCTTTATGGTCGAACTTGCTCAAATACCCTTCAACGGTTTCGAGTATAGTAGGTAGTGAGGCCATCGCTCCGTTTATTAACGGGGAATCGTAGCCACATTGTTCTGGGCTTTCAACGTTTCGAAACGTTTTCGCAATTCTTAAGAGTGTATTTAAGATGTTAAATACTTCCGGTCGAGTAGCCTTCGGAAGAAAGTCCAGATTTAGTATATCAATAAAGTTTTAGGAGGGTTTTATATGCACCTTGCCGTAATAGATACGGATCAACCCTTTCTCGAGATCATAACGAACAGTTGTCAACAGGTTTTTTAGTTGTTGCGTCCTCTCCGATGTTGAGGATAGCATCTCCTCGACAGCGTTGATTCGTGCCTCCAACTGAGAGCGATCCAATAGCGGTCTCCCGACCCATTTTCTGAGTAACCTTCTGCCAAACCGTGTTGACGTATGATCTAGAGTCCAAAACAGACTGCCTTTCTCCGAAAAGTCTGTTTGGTTACGGTAGATCTCTAGGCTACTCAGGGTATTCCCGTTCAATAACATATGAGAACGAGCACTGAAACTTTTGAAATATTTGGTAAGGTCAAAAACATGCTCAAGACCGTAGGCCGTTAAATGAGTGATCATTGCCGATAAACAAATAGTTACCAAGTCAGGTAACTGTGTTACGATATCGAGCAAGTCTACAGCTACGTCAGTGGTTCACTTCGATATCGAAGTGCTTGGCTAAGTTTACATACCTTGGGGAAGAGCCGCCGCCTCACTTTTTAGCTTCTCAGCATAAAACTCAGAGACATGGATTGGGGATGTAGTCTGCATTTTCTTGGGTCGTTCCACCTTTTCTACACGCACGCCATCCCCAAAGACATTATTCCTACTAAGATTAGCTATGGATGTTCTGAACTCTTTTAAGGCGCGATGCTACTTACGTGCTGCCCGCAAGATGCGTAACTAGTTTATCCGTAGCCTTGGAAAGCTCGCCAAGAATCAATAATTCACATGGAGCAACTGGAAATTACGATTAGTTTGGTACCTCAACTTTACTACCGCGAAAACTTACTATGCAGCAGCCTTGTCTCAATCTCCGTTCGCATGAATCCATCATCGAACTCATCATATATTATATCTCCTGTTGATGGCTGAACTGCAAGAATACCGACTTTAACCTTTTCATCGGCTCCTGCACCCCCACCAAGTTTTTCTGTAATACATAGAAGGTAACCCGTTGAAGCAGCGCCGCCAGAACCCGCTCCTACAGCGTCATGTTCATCAACACCATCGATGTCGTCGATATATGTTCCCTTCGTATACAAATTCGTAAGCTTCCTTACGAAAGGGGCATTTCTATTGTCACCAGCTGCTTTCAACGCTGCTGTTTCCAATTGACGAACGACTCCAACTTTATATCCGGCGGTTATTAACCTATTTTGATCGGTTAGTTTGTGAAGTATACAGGAGAAAAAAAGGGCTTTTCAAACCTTTTCACATGGACGTGGAGACGATGAACAGGGATACTGGCGGATGCGAATTTGTCGAGGTGAGCCTCAGAAGGATCTGCCTTCACTGTTAGATACTCCTAAATTCTCTGGTTACAAATGGGCCTCATACCGTATGTAAACTTCATTCTCCCCGGGATACAAACAATCGAGAGTACGCTGGCGGCAATCTAAAGGAATATTAGCAAAAAGTATTGGTAACCTTCGGTTATTGATACATACTCTTGCATCCTCTCCAAAAAATCTGTATTTATATCCAACTTCGACGACTAACACGGTATCTGCATATTTTTCTTTAATATCCACAACTTGCTGCTCCAACGGTGTTAATTTTTTGCCTCGCTTTGCAGCTGCTTTTGAGCCCCTTTTCGGTTCAGGCGGTCTCTCGGGTTCTTCTTCCTCCTCATCTAAATCCTCGTCCCCTTCTTCGCCGTTTTCTTTCAGCCGGATCTCAAATTCACCTGGACGACCAAGCTTTTTAACAAACTTCTCGTGGTTCTTTCTTTTCCTCAAAGCCGCTTCAGGGGATATTTCTTCTTCTTCATGAACCGAGCTATCCGCAAGTTGACTTGAAGAGAACGCAAATCTATTGGTGATTATTCCCTTCCCAGATTTTTTGGGAGATGTGTGACTGAGTTTGTGTGGTAGTGGCTCTTCCACCTCGTCCTCTCTATCTTCCAGAACTAGGTCCTCCGGCTGAGCTTGTTCATCATCCTCTTTGTTGTCGACAATGCGTCTCTCGAGTCGAGCTCGTTTAGGGGCCGGCGCAGCTGAATCCGAACTTGGAGGTTGGCTGCTTGATTGGACGCTAAATGCTCTTACACGCTTCGAAAAAGATGTAGTTGGTGGTAGATCTTCTTGTTCCTCCTCTTCGTCGGCTTCATCTTCTACGTCGTTGATTTCAAGAGTTGTGGCAACTTTCGTCTTCGCTTTGCCTTTAGCTATCGTTTTGGATAGAGCCCTCGAGGTTGACCCGTTTGCTTTAGGGGTTTGAGCTGCCTTCGAACTCCCCGGTTTCGATGCAGAATCTGAAGTTGATTTGGAAGTAGAGGCGGTTCTACCAACCGGAGTGAAAAAGCTAGATATCGAACGCTGACTGCTCATTTTGGTCTTAGGTTCGGTAGGAACGGTATAGTAAAAGGATTAAGTCTAAGAACCTTAGGAGTCCATTCGAGGGAAGACGCGTTTTGAATGCGTTTGTGGAGCCAGCTCCTTCGCTACCGGGGCTTCGGGAACAATGCCAAGCCTAATTGGTCGACGACCGGGACAAGCCCGGTAGCTCCAAAATGCAACGTCGTCAACGTCACGGCAACACATACTTCAAAAAATGTACAAGTACGAATTCTACGGATGGCTTGGTACACCCTCAATGCTCAAAGTGCTCCACTTCTATAATGCGGGCTTCAAGTGAAAGCCTTCGATGGAGAAAATGCAAATAATGAGGGGTATAGCATCGAAAATATTCGCTTGGAGTCGGTTCAAAGCAAGTAAAACGTCCTAAATGGGTCTATAAAACTACATATATCCTAAAATCGGACCCTAAAAACTATTTTACAAGTCCCTGGGGGTTCCTTACAGTATCATATCGATGATCAAGGATCGAGTTTCATCTTCCTCTGTAGATCTATGGTACAAAGGGCTTTCGTGTTGAAGTCAATGTGTGTATAATGGTAACGTTTCTATCACAACTCGGATGTCGTGGTTGCCGCGGCACTGCGAGTATCGTAGAAACGCTGTATATGTAAATGAATTTACGTATAGCTATAGCACTGAATAAACGACCCTTCCTCTCCGCTCTCCTCCGCACCTCTTCTTCAACCATCCTCCGCACCAATACCCTACAGCTCAATCACCTTCATCACCAATATTCCACAGCGACTACTGCATCGCCTTCCAAGTGCAAAATTCTTCAAAATGTCTAATACTAGTGAGTCTCAATCAATTCTTTATCTCCTTCCCGTTGTGATGGGCTTCTCCATCTTCCTACGAGCTCCCTTGGCATGGCGAACTATCATGACTCTATATTCTCCACCCACCCAACTTCATCAGGTTTGAGATGGCATTCCTGACTTTCATCATCAACTAGCTCCCGGGACGCCAAACCAACAGGCCATCACTATATATGATGATGATTCTAACCATCATATCGGTGATGATACCGTCTGGATATACAACGGCTGTACCTTCAAACGAATCACGAAGAAGGAAGCAGACGGAAGTATTGTCGAGCTTCGTAATGGAGGAGTTCTATCCTGTCCTATTTGCCCAGAAATCGGAGTGATGACTACACTCTCCAACTTGATTGGACATCTTGTCGCCAAGAACCATGCACAAAGGTTCTACCATCTCTGGAGCTTGCGTGGCTCTGGGAACAACAACGCGGAACCGATGCTTCTTTTCCAAGATAGCTGGGAGACTGCAAACCATCTCAAGGTTCTTCGTTCTAAGCGATTGGAGAAGATTGATAGGGCTGTCATCGCGCAGGGTGAATACAATTGGACCCGACTCAAAAGCCGCTTCAACTGCATGGTTGAGGGCCACCAAAATGGAGGGCAAGCCCCTCATCCAGGACAACTATTCATGCCAGAATTCGATATGCTACACAAATTCAAAGGTGTTGACAACCACATCGGAGGATCCGAATGGAGTAAGCTCTTCGAAATATAAGTACCAATGGTCAAGCAACTGACTTGGAAAGACCGAATCCAACCACACCAGGATCGTTTGTTAGGGACTCGCACATATCATTCAAACCGTGAGGGCCCTCGATGTTCAAATCAATATTTTATCAAGACTAAATTAAGAATGGCCAACAGGTGGTATCTCATCCGTTCGAACTTCAGGACAGCAGATCGTAACCTCAGTCTTCAGACAAGCGAAAGAGAAAATGACTGGGACCAAAGGTCCTTTGTCCGAGATCGTCGACAACCCACGCAAGCGACGAGCCCCTGAAGAGAATGAAGCCGCTGTCTTCAAAGTTCCAAAGGGGCCATACCTCTGCAGCGATTCCGGTATTCGAACTGACCAAGCAACTAACAATGAAGATGGACAAGCAGAGAGCTACGAGTCCCCGAAAGTCACAGGTACCCTAGGAATTCAGTTTCCTTGGACAGACCAACAAATAGCTGAAGCTCGAGCTCTGAAAGCTAAAGTCGCAAACTCAGAGGGCCTCACTCCAGAAGAGGAGGAGGGCTACAAGAACTACCAGCAGCTTTGTTTCTTGTTAGATACCTTTCAAGAAATGGAGAACGGAGAAACCTCCGGTACCCACTCGCTCTAACTTCTGCTAATCAAGGGACCGGCATAGGTGCTACCTGCATCTTTAGCTTTAATTGAGAAATATCATCGGTAAGAAGGGGATCTCCAGAGCCACCGACTTACAGGTAATTTCTAATCGCTTTAATGACGGCCACAGACGCAGCAAGTTGGGCACAAGATGCCCTCGAGATACATCGTGGCGGTATAGCCTTGATAGGCGGTTTTGTCAACTGAAAAAACAATTCCTCTGAATTCTTAATTCATTATTTTTTCTTAAGAAGTTAGGCTGCAGTACCTTCATACTTGCTACTTTTCCTTTTTTCCCTTTGTCTTGAAACCTGTTTTTTTACTCCACATAGCTAAATACAGCTTTTTACTATTTCTCTATCCTCCCTCCATCCATCCCTACATCCCTCCCTCACACCAAACCCCTCAAATTCGTCCCTTTCTCTATTTTCTTTCAAGACAACCGGTCTAGTGACCCAACTAATTCCTTTGTGCGAGACCTCCTCTAAGATTCCATAGGATGCATCTGCTCCCATCGTAAACTATGAGGTTGTCAATAATAGCGTATCTACAACCCGTTCCTCTCCAATAAAACACCCCCCACGTTGCGTTCCTGTACTCTAGCACTACCAGTAGCAAATCTATGCCGTCTCAGAGAACATACTATTCTCTCCTTTCAAAACATCGATATCTGTGCAATTCTAGTCTCAGAACTTCCCCACGCATCCTCCCTATGCGTAACAGCGTAACAGAACCTCCCTTACTAAGTAGATAGTCAGTACAAAAACACGACGATACTATTTCCAATTTCCAATACTAATTCCGCATAAATCGAGAATTTCGACGTATTCTCCGTCCCGGAAGCCAATCTCACTAGTAGACCTCCGCGCATGTTACACCTTTATGCAAATGACTTCTACATATGCATCTCGAAATATACTAAACCTCGATATCATATCCGCCTAGGCTTTGTTTCAGCCAAATTATGTCACAGTATATGCAGTTTCAACCATGAACTACGGTGACTCGGCAGAGACTTGCCACATTATTATCTGCATATATGTATTATAATTGCAATTAATAGTGCTATTATATATCTAGTGGAGTTGTTTATGTCTCGACTAAGACATTGGGTTTGATATTCCAGATCAGAGAATATAGCACTGATCACGAGGATCTTAGCTTAGGATTTTTTTTTTCGAGGTACCAAAATTTCAAAAGAAACAAGGATCGATCATTGTCTCATCGCCTTGAGTCCGCATAACGGCATTTAATATCATTATAATAACTAGTAAAAAATGGCGTGTTTCGACTAATCTTTCCTGAAAATCCATACGTGGGCCCACATGCTCCAAAAAAACAAAGCCAATAATAATTTTATAAATGGAACTCATAAAGAAATAACAAATAATGCGAATACTTACAGAGGCTGAAGCGGAGGCGGTAAGACATCACAGTTATACATATTAGACAAAAATATATTATAGGTTTGTTATAAGGTACCCACGGGTCGATCTAGAATCAAAGTTGAAAAAACAACCTAGACCGCGGGTTATGAACCGTATTCACATATGATATCAGTACGTATGGATTCATAGATTAATTTTACTTTAGGATTTGGGGTCACAGGATTCATGTACGTTTTTGATGGCTTTGATTGTATCCGATAAATGAGTTTTAATGCCTTGTGGGTTTATTGGATGCTTCGTTCCAGCTTCAGCTTTTGATCTATGGACTGTCCCGTGCTGCTCGGGCTTTACATTGTCCAGGGGTGTATACCGTATACGTACGTAGGCGGAGGGAGGGGGGGGGCGAAAACCAAGAGCCAAGTACCGGTAAGAACGGCAAGCAGGTCGCCCGGTGGGAGGCAAGTGGTATTCATACGGTTATCCTACGTTTCATGATGATCGGTAGACAATGAGCACAGGCTTGTACGTAAGGTACCATCAGCCCGCTCCCTCCTTCGGATACGGGTTGTCAAAAGTTGCATTTCACGAATTGAAATGTGTAATAAAAATCGCCCTAAACCGTTAAAGTAGCATAAACAGAGTTTCGACGTGGATGGCGGAAATATAATCCAATGAGCGAACAGCTCATGGGTGGGGTCTCTTAAACTCGATACCCTACCTCATTGGAGTTTATTTTCCAGGTTTAAACAAGGCTTGGTAAGTACTTGTGATTGAGAGAGGGAGGGGTATGAATGGGGAATTTGATATCGTTTCTGTTCATTCAACGGACTAGCTCGGGCTAATTCTAGGTACATTTACCATAACTTACATTTCGGAATTTAAAATGGGATACACAAAGCAGCAGTGGCGTATGAGGTTTATGCATGTCGACAGGCCTATTGATTGGATGGACCTTGCAGCCGTGCTTGCATTGCAGCAGGGAATGGCGTGGAGGGCATCCGACAGGGGCGGTTGTAAACCTCGATATTTAGGGTATAGCGTAATGTGAAAGTGGCATGGTGTACAGGAGCATATGATCTTGCGGAATTTTTTTCTTTGGACATCTTACTTTTTTTGCCGATGAGGAGGGGGGCTTGAGTTCAGCTGGTGGATCCACGGTTAACGTGTGTGCTCAAGTGTGGAGAGCTAGGAAGAGTGGGCCCCATTTCCTGCAGAAGAGGTGGACGAATATAGAATCCTTCAATTTTATCGAGTCTTTAAAGGTTAGAAATAACGACTTGTGGAGACAGGTCATGAATGGAGGAGTGGATGTGAGCGAATGGTAGGTTAGTGCAGCCTAGCGAGCTTGGAGGTGGAACATTAATCTGACCTCCAGCCCTCTCTGCACATGAGCAAGAAGTGAAGATAGTATGGCAAATGTTTGAGAGTTCTTCTTGATCGCCCTGCGGTTGAAACGATTGGATGTGTGACTGTTGGAGATGAGCCGTTATAGCAAGGGTGAAAAGGTACCTGAAGAGACAAGTGGATATGGAAACTGCCCGGAGTCGAGCAAAGACGTTAGAGGCAGGACGTGGACCCGGGATTTTTTTTTTTCCCTCTCGACTATTGTTATTGGCGCATTGGCGTCTGAAAATGCCCCGACAGCCGATACAATGGAAAATCCTGGGCCAGAAGTAGCGTGGATGTCGTGCAGGGCCTAGGGTGATCCGTCATATCACAGGTACCGATCCTTTGTCGTGTGCTTCCCTAGCTCAAGGCAGCAGGTAGCTGAGTGGAGAACTCAGCGCGAGGCCCCTGGCAATTGCCATCGAGGTCCCCTTCCGATAATTTCAAATGCGACGGGGCCGCCGTCAAAACCGTATTTCTGAAGCTAGACCGGTCTAAGGTAGATCGCTTAGTATGTAGCATAGCGCAAGGTGCTCTCTATGGCAAAGCGTCGATGGCGGATATCATCAGCTTCTCAGATGAGCAAGCGACAACCAACGGTTCAGTCTTGGCCTCTGGCCCTGCAGGGTCAAGGGGTCGTGAAATTCGTAAGAGCAACTGCGCAGCAACAGCTCGCCTTTGAATTCTGATTCCTAAGATACAACATGGAAGTCAGCTATGCGAGGCCAGTCGTCAATGCGGATTGGTCCAAAACAAGTCTCACTGTAAACTCTTTTCTCGCTTGATATACAAGGTCATGCATGGAAGTTGACAAAAAAGCGGAAATGTCTCATGGGCTGTCCGAGTTAAGACTTTTTGATCTCGACCTCTTCATTCTAATCGGGACATGTACAGCCCATCCTTTTTGCCTTGCGACGTTTTACACTGCCCGAGAAGCCGTGCTTGATACGGTGCTCCGGTATGAGCGATTAGCTTAGCCAAGCCTCCCACGGGAACTTTTTTTTTATAGTGAAATACACGGGATTCAGCATATGCACATCCGGGCAGTTGATTTTAAAGATCCCCACAGTCTAGACACAAACAATCATAAGACCCATATCGTAAATTAAAAACGGTAAATTTGATATCTTCTATAAATATGTAGACGAAATTGATCTCTTTTAGAGATACAACGCCAATGGGGAAAAAAAAGGGACAGAGACCTGTCAACATGCGGGAGGTGCGTGGTCCTGTCGGTTTGAGTTTCTTCTTTGCTCATAGTGTGTGTTGTGTGTGTGGTAATGTTCCAGCTGCAGTTTCACTTCGGCTTGTCACAGCCCGCCATTCGCCTCTGTCGCACTGACTGCTTTCGTCCTTCCACACAAACTGCACAAACAGATTCGCGTTCGACATTCTGTACCAATTAATTTTACTTCTGTGCAGACGTGTAACGGAAATAAGGGGAATAAAAAGACCCATTTATTAAAAGTTATAATTATATGTATGTAAATACGTATGCGGGCGGTTTTGGAAGTTATACACTGAGGGGGCGTCTGATGGCTTGAAGCTCCCCATGCAGGTGCAGTTGTCAATTCATGCGCCGAAATAGCTTCTAGAGCTTCTCTAGAATAACAACCTTTGGCTGTGGGGTTTGTTTCATTGTCGCAATTGTATCCACCAAATCCATTTCATTTAGACCCACTTTTTTGTGGTACCTCCTGCCGTTTTAGACCTCCTGGGGACATCACCAAGACGTACCTCTGAGCACGCGAGCGACTGTTCCCGAAAGGCCGTGTGCTTACATACATCCTGTACATGTATGTACGCGCATTCACAACCAAAATTGACCGTTAAGTTTCAGCGCACTGGCCACGGCTCGAGTGATTTATCTGAAATTACAGCCGTGATAGTCGGGGCGCCTGTGATGCCTAATCACCCACTCTAAGCTAGGTCCTCTCCGATAGTATGTTATCAAAAATTTTGACCTCTTTGTGTTGGCTCTGAGAGCCATTTTGCAATGCGCACGGATCCGTCCGATACCGAGGGAGCCGATATTGACGATCATATGCAATGTTCTTCGAATAGACAGCCGGTAAGCAACCGCGCAGACTTTCGAATCAACGAAAATCATCTGCAGGTACCGTGGGTCTATATTGACGGCGAATACTGCCTGAAACCCTAGTCCTTTGAGCTTTCGATCGAACCGTCGAATAGCACCTGGTAGTTTGCCTGGCGTGCATTC